ACCATCCCACCATCCGATCCGATCCACACAGCAGAACCTCTCACCCCCCCACTCCCTCCTCCCTCCGCATCTGCAGTCGAATCAAACTCTCACACAGCCGTTCAAGCACCCACTCGCTCTCGCTCAGCCCAGACGTCATCGGGCTATCCGCTCCGATCCAATCCCACTCCACGAGGCCTTGTTCTTCTGCTCCTCCCCCTCCTCCTTCCCCTCCTGTCCCCCCTCCACCTCTGCCTCCGCCTCCGTCTTCACCTCCGTCTTCACCTCCGTCTCCGCCTCTGTCTCTGCCTCCGCCTCCTCCCCGTCTTTCGTCGGGGTCAATCTGGGGCGTCGTAAACCGAATCAACCGCGTAAACTCGACCCACTCCTCATACGCATACCGTTTCGGGCGCGGGAGGCGCAAGTCGAGGGAAACGGATTTAATTGTGTGGGCGAGGTGGCGGGAGAGGGAGGCGTGTGTATGTGTGTGGGGGGTTGTTTCCACATCCACTTCCTCTGCTTCTGCGGGGGCTTCAACGTCGTTAAAACCCCCAGCGCGACCCAACTCCACCCCCGCCTCCCCCTCCCCAGCCTCAAACCCCCTCTCCACGCGCCTCCTCCCCGCCCTCTCCCGCAGCCTCCCCAGCAGCGCGGGATGCGCATCCAAAAACCCCCTCCACACGCCCTCCCTGGGCAGCACCGTAAAATCCGCCACGCCATCCACCCGCGCCTTAAACACCGCAACCACCGTATCCCCCAAATCCGAGACCAAAATCGTCATACTCGGCACAGCAATGAGGCTCCACACGACGAAGAAGCAGCGGCCGGCGTTGGACTGGGGGGACAAGTCGCCGTAGCCGATGGTTAGTAGGCTGATGTAGCAGAAATATAGGGCTTGGAAGTACGTCATGTTTTGTGTGTGTTTTTCCGTCTGCCAGAAGACGAGCGCGCCGATGCACCATAGGAGGAGGAAGAGGGATAGTGACCAGAGGAGGGAGAGCCATTTTTTGTATTTTTTGGTGGAGAGTTGGATGGCGCGCATGGCTTCGAAACGCGCTTTTTCTTCGGTGAGGAGCTGCATTCTGGCTTGGTGGTTGGGCTTCTTCGGCATGCGGGGGATTGCTGTGCGGAAGGGGCGTAGCGAGGACGGCGCGCTGATACGCGGTTGACCAACGGGTGCGCGGCGCTGGATCAGGTGGTGGGCTTTGTGCTCGCGGTGGCGCAGGTCGGATGGGGGTGGTGGGGTGGTGCGTTGGAGTGCTCTCATGCGCTCGCGGTTGACGCGCTTCTGGACGATTTTCTCCTCGCCGATGTCGCGCATGAAGCGGTATAGGGCTGAGACGACGAGGGCGAGCGTCAGGATGCCGCCGACGGAGTAGGGGAAGACGATTCCGCGGCCTATGTTTGTGGTGGGCGCGAGGTCGCCGAAGCCGACGGTTAGAATGGTTACGTCGCAGAAGTAGAGCTATGGGGTGTTAGCCTCGATCATGCACTGTATGGGTTTTGGTCTGGTCGGGTCGGGTAATGTCTGTACATATGCGTGACAAGAACAGACATTACCATACCACACACGACATGCACTCACCGCATCAGCAAAACTCCACCTTACCCCATCCCTCTTCTCAATCCTCGTATACACAGCAGCCCCACCCCCCAACCAGATAAAGAACCCCATCGTCTGCAGGATAAGCGTCCTCTGGCTATCACTCAACGCAAACGTATCAGGATACCTCCCCAGATAATACCCCAGCATATTCCCCATCAGCAGCAACGCACAGACGGTATAAAACGTCGCCGACGCCACCGCATACCAAAAGCCCTGCGTGTACGTCTCGTACGGGCGGTGCGGCGGGGCGAAGACCTCCATGCAAGCTGTACTCGCGATGAGCAGGCCGGATGAGCAGAACCAGAAGAGGATGGTGGCTGGGAGGGCGATGAGGTAGCGGATTCGTTGCGTGAAGTTTAGCAGCAGGAAGATGTTGCCGAGGAAGCCGCAGATGAGGGAGGCGGCGTTGAGCCAGTAGCACCAGTGCGGGTCGGCGTAGGGGATGCCGTTGAAGTCGGGGACGAAGACGTTGTTTAGGTAGTTGGTTTGGCGCCAGCTGGTTACGAGGGCCGCGATGGAGGTTACGTTTGCTAGCGGGCCGAGGGTTGCTGCAAGCAAGCTGTAGGATGTGAAATTAGTCTTGTTTGTTAAGTTTCGTTGCATCTCATTCTAGTCATGTGCAGAGCAATGGTGGATGTAAAGAGCTTACGGGATCCCGGTACTGGCAAACCACCAGTCTATCTCCTCATCCTCGCCTCTTCTGCGACGTCTCCAGCCATGCCGTTGTTTTTTCTTCTTCTCCCTTTCTCTTTTAGGCTCTGTGTCTTTCAGACCAAATGGCTCCTCCATTATTGTGTCTTGCTGCAGCTCCATCCTGGGTAATGGGGATGTGGGAATATATGTACAGCAGTACCCCAGACAGAGCACAAATTCTTCTACGCAGCCAGAGAGCTAGCTCCCAGTACACCAGACTTCCGATTGCGATGCGCAAACAGTGTCATCCGCGGAGATATCTTCACATGAGGTCGTTGATGCTAGGAATCGGCACCGCTAGATAAAGGATATAGAGTATGAGAAGGGAGGCAGAAAAGATCGAACATCACGGGCATCAAGTTGTGTTGTATAGATAAAGCGTGGCGAGTGGGGGAGATGACATCGGGAGGCGCAGTGGATTGCGACGTGAACGTGGGGAATGCTTGTTAGCGGTTAAGCTTTCTGCATGCCGATTATCACCCGATACGACCTAGCTCCAGAGCGAACGCAAGTTCGCGTTGCTGGTCACGTTCTGTCAGACGTCTGATTTCCAAGACGATGTTCAGTCGATGGTATTACAAAACACAAATATCTCGCCATTTACTGCGCCTTGAGCTTCTCTGTCAGCTCGGGTACCTTATCAAACAAATCACCAACCAGACCAACATCTGCGACCTGGAAGATGGGCGCATCGGGGTCCTTGTTGATGGCGGCGATGACCTTGCTGTCCTTCATTCCAGCCAGATGCTGAATTGCGCCAGAAATACCAGCACATAGGTACAATTGCGGCGCAACGTTTTTCCCTGTCTGTCCAACCTGCAGACTGTTGTCGGCAAACCCACTGTCGACAGCCGCTCGCGATGCGCCAATGGCTGCACCGAGGGCGTCCGCGAGAGGCGTCATGACCTTGTCGAATTCCTCCTTGGATTTCAGGCCGCGCCCGCCAGATACAACTTTCTCCGCTGAGCCGAGGTCGGGACGGTCGGACTTGGCGAGGTCTTCGGAGACCCATTCAGACTTGGCTTCTGCTTTGGGATCAACGCCCTCTTCAATGGTAGCTGATCCACCGTCAGTCTCGGGTGCGGGGAATGCGGTGCCGCGGACGGAGATGAATTTTGTGCTGTCGCTGGATTGGACGGTGAGGATTGCGTTGCCGGCGTAGATTGGACGGACGAATGCTGGACAGCTGTTAGTCGTGAGGAAGTGAAGGGTGTAGTTTCCACGCACTGTCTTCACTCTCAATGCCAGTGATGTCAGAGATCATCTGAGAGTCGAGAAGTGCTGCGACGCGGGGCAACAGGTTCTTCGTAAAGGCTGACTGCCCTGCGAGAATATGTGTGTAGCCGCCTTTCTTGATGTTCTCCACCAGCAGTGGCGCAAAGTTCTCGGGGAGACCCTACAACGCCAATCAGTCGTCGGCCATGCAATCACGTTTTTGACTAGCTGACCTTATCGTAGGCGGCGTTGTCGACGTATACGATCTTCTCAATGCCCTTGACCTTTGCAACCTCGTCGGCGACCGACTTGACCCCACTTCCGGCAACAAAGGCTGTTATGGAGCCGCCCAGCTTGGTCCCTGCTGTGATGGCGCATAGTGATGTTGGCTGTAGCTTTCCGTCTTTCTGTTCGAGGAGGGCGAGGGTAGAGAGGAGTCGTGTAAGGGAGGAATATTGTGGTGACGCGGTGGCCCGGAGCTGTGACCGCGCTGTGTGGAGGACCGACTTGCGCGCGACGGAGAACATGGTGGGCGAGATTATGCGATTTCCAGGTGACGTTATATCCGAGTTGCAGTCGGTATTGGGATGAAGGATTTTGCAACTTTTAGATTGTAGTGACACGCCCACGACGGACAATAAAGCAGTGCCAATCTTCAAGCGGCGGAGACCATTGCCTCGGTTTGGCGCGGTTCGACTCGATATCCACGCTAGCCAGAGTTGGCAGCCATCACGTGCAGATCGCGGCTTAGTCAGGATGCGTTCAGTACCTTTTGCTGGGCGCTGGAGAGCAGCGCGACGTCGAGACGCGACCACCGCCCTCGCATCTCCAAACAGCCCCACGCTCATTCCCTGCCACCACCACTTTCCTCCTGCCGAGCGCATTCCCTTAACCTGCGCATACACTGTTCGCCCCCTGTCTGTCCTGCACCTTCCTTGTTGTCGCAAAGGGGAAGCCATGTCCGACGACGCGACAGCAGGCGCGTCTGCCCAGGACCTTTCTCTCCCGCAATTCAATGCGCTAGACCAAGGTATGTTTTGATGCGCTTTATTCTGGAACTGCTTGCGAACATGTCGATGGCGTGAATGCATGGAATCCAGGACAACCAATGAAGGTATGCTCACCTCGCACCCAGACACCAGCATGCTCGAAGACACAGAGGCCAAGGACTCCTCGCGCGAGGCGTCAGAAGCTCCGCCCGCCCCGCTATCCGACAACCCACTCGATGCGCCCGACGGCCCACGCCCAGACGCAGAGGATGCAGACGGCCAGGAAGACGAGGAGATGGGCGGTCTCGACGACACCAAGAAAGAGAAAGATGCTGATGGCGCTGACGTCGCGGACCCAGAGGCACAAGCAAAAGCCGATCTGCAAGCTGCTGCCCGCTCACATTTTGTCACACAGACGTACGCGACCATCATCCCCAGCTACGCGACGTGGTTCGACATGCGCTACATCGACTACCGCGAGCGCAAGGCCCTGCCCGAGTTCTTCAACGGCCGCAACCGCAGCAAGACGCCTGCCGTCTACCGCGACTACCGCGACTTCATGATCAACACGTACCGCCTGAACCCCTCCGAGTATCTCACCGTCACAGCCTGCCGCAGGAACTTGGCCGGAGACGTGTGCGCCATCATGCGCGTGCACGCCTTCCTCGAGCAGTGGGGTCTGATCAACTACCAGGTACATGGCTCGATCCACCTCATGCAACATGTTGCTAACCAAACACCAAGGTCGACCCTCAAGAGCGCCCGTCCAACATCGGCCCTCCCTTCACCGGCCACTTCAGAGTCACCGTAGACACCCCCCGCGGACTGCAGCCCTTCCAGCCTGGCCCAGGCTCAAAAGTCACAGATGGAAAGCAGCACGCAGCCACAGACCGCGCTGCAAGCCAGCAGCCCACCGCCAAGACAGAGACCAAGTCCCTCGCCGGACGAAACATCTACGAGGCAAACGGCAAGGAAGCGTCTACCGAGCCAAAGGACCGCACCATCAACGGCGAAGGCGGCTCAGCAGACGTCAAGGAGCTCGAGGCTGCTGCGAAAGAACCACTCAAAGTGATCAACTGCTTCAGCTGTGGCGTCGAGTGCACTCGCGTACACTTCCATGAGACGAAACCATCCGAGCAACCTGGACAACTAAAGAGTGCAGGCGGTCTGAAGCGCGATCTCTGCCCTAGGTGTTTCGTAGAAGGCAACTTCCCCTCCGGAACCTCATCAGCAGATTTCGCAAAGATCTCGAATCCAGAATACTCGGCAGTACCCGAAACTGAAGAGAAGTGGACTGAGGAGGAGACTCTTCTGCTGCTCGAGGGGTTGGAGGAATTTGACGACGACTGGAACCGCGTCGCTGATCACGTCCAAACAAAGACTCGCGAGCAGTGTGTGATGAAGTTCCTGCAACTCGAAATCGAGGACAAGTATATCGAAGCGGATCTGCCACAGAGCGACTCTGCCGCACCGTCGACAAAATTCCTCCGCGATCTAGAGTACCTCAGCGAAGGCCGCGTCCCCATCCACCACGCCGACAACCCCATCCTAAGCGTAGTGAGCTTCCTCGCCGGTCTCGCCCCCGCAAACGTCACCGAAGCCGCCGTAGCCTCAGGCCGCAGCGTCAACGAAATGAAGCGCATCCTACAAGACAAGATCAACAAAGCGCCCACGGCCCCGTCCGAAAAAGGCAAAGAAAAGGAAACCTCAACCGTCAAGCCCGAAGGCGCCGATGCCATGGACGTCGACACCACCCAAGACACAACCGTAGCCACCACCTCCTCCTCAGACAGCAACCCTCTCGTCACCCTCCCCTTCGCCCTCTCAGCAGCCCGCTCCTCCGCCCTCGCCTCCCACGAAGAACGCCACATCACGCGCCTCGTCTCCGGCTCAGTCAACCTACAACTCCAAAAACTCCAGCTCAAACTCGCTCACTTCAATGACTTTGAGAAACTTCTCGCCGCTGAACGTCGCGATCTGCAGCGCAGGCGCCAGCAGCTGTTCATGGACCGTCTGAACTTCCAGCGCCGGGTTCGCGCGCTCGAAGATGCGACGAAGAAGATCTCGGGCAATTTGGGTGGCCAGGGTCTGCCGGGCGCGATTAGCAATGAGGATGCTGTCCAGGCGCTGGTTGAGGCTATGCGGGTTTTTGGCGTGGGGAAGGGAGAGGATAGCGTGGGGGTTAAGCGCGGGAGTGTGGATGCGGGGGTTGAGCCTGTTGGTGAGGGGGGGGAGGGGTTTGGGAGGTTGGAGATTTAAATGGGGATTGTTTGAGTGTGTGAGGTTGGGAGTTGCTGGCTAGGGTGGTAAGGTTGATGTATTTGTCTTTTCCTTTTTGTGCCGGCGTACATATCATGTCGTGGATTGGTTGTTGGTCAGGTGCGTGTATGATGAGTAGACAGACAGACAGGCAGATGGTATGAATATGTTTTTCTCCTTTCTACGGAAATCAGCAGAGTTAGTGCGTACTTCCACTTTCGTATCAAGTGCTGCGGAAGGATTGACTGATTGACTGGTTGACTGACTAACTAAGCAAGCAAGCAAGCTTCCTGTTTTTTTTTTTCATTCCTTTCTTGCACAAACTGTCCGTTTTATTCCTTTCGTTCTGTAGTATGGAATGTCTGTCTGTCTGTATGGCTGTCTGGCGGTTTACCACTTGTCTACCTACTTACTTCCCCTGTGTGTTGTTGCATGTGCCAGACTGAATATAACGTCAATCTCTTCTAGGGGCTAGGTTGGTTCAATGCACAAACTTGCTGGTACACATAGTCTTGTTATTGTAGGTATTATATCCTCACGCGCGTGTGTGTATATGTGTGGTGTGGAATAGGATTGAAAGATCCACAGTAGCCATCACGACACGACACCACACCAAACACAAAACCATAAAAGCATAAAAAGGTAAATAGAGCATTAAACAACGACTAACAAATTCCCAAACCCAATCCCGCAAATTTTTAGAAAGAAGAAGTAAGAAGAAAAGAAAGAAAGAAAGAAGTACAAAAGCTAGATAAATGGATGGATAGACAGGCACCACACTGCACCCCACTACACCAGCCAAGTTGGGTATGACCCGATTCCACTTCTTCCGATAAGAAAACGCCTGTCCACACACCAAGAAAAGGGTGGTGTGAAACCTGGAACCTGAACCTGGACTAGAAACCGAGACGGAAACCGAAACGCCAAAGAGAAGATGACAAGACAAGAAATCCCAATTCCCAATCCCAAAACCCCCACACCCACAACTTCATCCACAAAGCCGCAAACCCCTCTCAAGCCCAAAACCCCACCCCCTCTCAACCCCTCAAGCAACCCCCCTCTTCGCCAAATAATACGTAAGAAGATTTAAATGCTGTTCCCTCGCGCCCGCCACCGCTCTCCAAAACCCACCACCACCCTCAGCCCCACCCTTCTCGCCCAACCCCTTAGAAATCCGCTCATGCAGCGCGATGCAGAACTCGACATCCGCCTTCCTCACATCCGCATCAGCGTCGTCCATGCAGCGAACAGCCAGCCTACCCAGGCGCGCCGTCTGCTCAGCAGGGAGGGGCAGATTTTTCTGACGCGTGACGTTAACGAGAGCAGCGAGGGAGGCGAGGGCCATTGTCGTTGTGCGGGTCGCACTCGGCGTGGGTATAAGCGTGACGGAAGATTTCGAGTTCAGGGATGAGGAGGACATCGGTGGGGAAGTGGGCGTGTGTTCTACAAGAGCGAGGACAGCGTCGAGGCAGTCTAGCGTGTGTCCGTATTTCACGATCTCCGCGGCCGTGGTCTCGAGGTCGATGGCGATGTGCGATGTATTCTCGTACTGGGCTTTTGTGTGCAGCAGCGAGGTGAGGACTTGTGAGGAGTATTTTGCTGTTTCCCTGCGGTACATGGAGAGGAGGGCGCGGATTGTGGCTAGGGCTTGGACTTTTAGGTTGACTGCTTTCAGGGGCGAGGTTTGTAGGTTTTCGACGGGCGCTTCGAGGTACGCGAGCGAGGAGGTGAGGAGGCGGGTGAAGTTTTCGTCGTTGGGGATCCAGATGTCTGGGTGCGATTTTACTACGTCTTGCATGCGGCGGAACATGTGGGCTTCTACTGTGCGGGCTTCGATCTTCTTGATGCCGCTTACGAGCAGCTGTTTGTTCTTGAGTGCTTCGGCGTTGTTGGTGTCGGTGTTCTCGGCACGCGTCACGTTGCCTGTGCTTGTGGTTTTGTGGTGGCCTCGAGGACGTTCTTCACCTGCATCGTCCATCATGACATGATCTGCTAGGTCCGAACTGCGCCGTCGCTCGTTGCTCTTTTCGTTGATGGGGAGCTCCTCCAGCACCGGCTTGTTAGCTTGGTGTCCAGCAGATGCTGGCTCGTCGCCCACAAAAGGATCTTCATAAACCTGAACTTCTTCCTGGGCGTCGGTACCCCGCGTACTCGGTCGATCTGGCGACCTGATTCGCGGACTCTGAGTTCCTCGAAGAATGATGGGGTTGAGATCGCCGATAGATTTGGGCCGTTTGAGCAGTGACGTCCGTGGGCTTGGTATTGGTATGCGTCCAGAAAACGTCTTGGGTGGGGTATGGTGCATCGGCTGGGCTGGGGGGCGTGCCAGATTTGGAATGACCATTGTAAAGTTATCCTCATCTCCAGTGTCGATTACATCATTATCACCAACGGCACCCTTCTCCATCCCATTCCTATGCTTGAAAGGGATGGTACCCGCATCATGGTGGCTTTGTGATCGAGAAAATCGTTTCCTCTCTGCCATGTCTGAATCTTTCGCAGGGCTCGTAGCTGGGCTATCCCGTTGGGAGCTCATACTAGGAGTCTTGCGGTGGGTTGCAATACGGGATTTACTCCGGACAGGGCTGACATTTGGACTATTTTGAGTTTGGGACCGCGGTCGAGCGATGCTCTTCGGCACAGCAGGTTTCTTTGTTGCGACTACAGCTGGCGTCTTCTCTGGTGTCATCGACGGAACATCCTTACCGGCACGTCGAGCCGCATATGGATCGGCCGTCGCCGGTCTGACAAGCTCGGGTCGGCGCATGGGTCGACGTACAGTTCCGCTCATCAGCGAACCAGTACCCGTGGAGCTTTTCAGTGCTGACTTGGTCGACTCTCCTGACATGGCGGAAGGCGGCCGTGCAGTGCCTGCAGATGCTATGGATGTCGTCGAAGTAGTCCTCGCACCTAAAGACTTGGCTAGTACCGACTTTGGAGGTGAGTAAGTCGCAGCAGCAGACATGGGCCGTTCAGGAACACCCTTGCTGCTAGCTGCCAACTTGGCCCTCCGTTGTTCTGCAATCTTCTCTTTCAGCGCGGTTCGTGCAGCTCCAGCGCCGACGGATTTCGAGAATGTGGCCGCGCTGCTCTGGGACGAGGCAAGTGAAGTATCTGGGTTGTTGGGATCCTTCTCCAGGGCAGTCTTTTCTCGCTTCTCAAACGTTTCGAACATGCTAGTAATTAAGTCAGCATCCAATTTCTGTGTATATGCCGTTGGCAACTTACATTTCAGCTCTTTGTGGCCATACCAGCGCAAACGTCCAGTACGTGCTTCGATATGCCTCACGCACTTTCGGGTTAGCATCAGTGACGCCTTTCTTGATGATCTTGTCGAGTGTTTCCAGCCCCCCCGAGTGGTCGATTTGGCCCTTGTGCTTTCGAATCAACGTCTTGATCCAGGTAGCAGAATGTGACCGTGGCTGCACGTTCTTGTCCTGCGCGGCGAAGGCGACATGCTGTAGCAGGCGGCTGTTGTAAGAAGCGTTTGAGATGATGGCGTCCACTGTGATATTTCCGTTCTGGGCTGCGATGTTCTTGGTGGCCGCGCACATCTTGACGAAAGACTGGAGCAGGATCTCCACCCAGGGGTCGATGGCGGGACCGAGTGTCTTTGCGAGCTCCTGGACCAACTGGCATCCGTTCGTGGACATTGTGGTTCGTAGGGTGTTGGCCACTTTCAAGATTCCGTCCAGCAGCCCCTTGATGCCGGCGATGAACGCGCTGTGGAACTCGGTCGGCGCGTTGCCCTTCAATATGCGCCGCAGCTTCGTGGCGTTCTTGTCTCGGGCGAGCCAGTTCCCCTCGCTCTCTCTCCCCTCGAATGCAGGCCCCATGTCCCGGAACATGTCCTCCATCTCGCGCTGCGTGTATAGGTGTATAGGGTCCATGGATACGGTCTCGACTGGCGGGGGCAGCTCAGCCTCTGTAAAGCTAGGCTCCGTGTGTCGCGGCACTGCCTTCTTGGTAGTAATAGGGCGCTCTGGCGGCGGTGGTGGTGCTAGTTCGGCGTCTTTGGACATGGCGTCGTCGTCGAGGTGGGAAGTGATGTAGGCTGCGATGGTCTTGCGCACGTTGTGGGTGGCGAGCTGCTTCTTGAGGTTTGCCTTTGCGTGTTCGGGCGCGCTCCTGTCTCGTGTTAGCCTGGAACACATCTGCGTCTGTTTCGCGTGATGGCGTACCGGAACAGTTCCACCACGGCCTTTTTGGCCGTCTCGCGCACTACTGCGTCGGCGTCTTCGAGGTTCGCCACGAGGAACGGCACGTATGTCTTGAAGGGAACGCTCTCATGCTTGTTCATCTGCCGTCACACGCGCATTAGCTTCAGATGACTCTCCATGAACGACGCGCTTCAACGCACCTTGACAATCCACGTCATCGACGTCTCCTTGGCGCGCGCATTGCTCCCGGCGATGGCGTTGTGGATGACCTCGTCGACCTCCGCATGGCTCAGATAGTGCAGCTCGGCGAGTATCTGCGACGCGGCGCTGCGATGGCCCTCGCGCGCATCGCCCAGGCGGTCGCTAAGGATGGCGCATAGCGTCGAGGCCTGTGAGGTGATAATCTGCGTCTCCTTTTGCAGCTGCAGGCGCTTGATGAAGTGGCTGAGCGTCGAGAAGCCCGTCGTAACCAGCGCAGCCGAAGTCGCAGCAGTAATGGCGATGCGGATGCACTCGAAAATATCCGCCTGGCAGCTCTCGGGGACGCGATTGTGCTTGATGCCGGACTTGAGGTTGTTGAACAGCTGCAGGCGCTGGTCGACGTTGGTCGAAGGCTTCTTTAGCGCCGCGAGAAGCGTCGCCGTTTGCTCCTCCATGATGAGCGAGCGGACAAAAAACTGTTGTTAGTAAAGTGGACGCGGGGTACGTGGACGACGTATCGCGTTGATGTTGTTTGATCCATATGTTGTTGACCCGCTTTTCCTAGGCTAACGTTGTACCGGTAATCATGGCAACCGTGCTGATGCCCCTCTCTCAAGCCTCCTTGCGTCGTTCGCCAGAACAGGGGCGAGGATCAACAAACGCCTGTTGACTTTTGGTCTTTCATAGAACGCGCAGGGACCATACAAGGTTACTTTTAGATCGTGCTCGGCATCATAAGACATGGATCATAGCTGTATTTGTTGCAGAATGCAATCAACATTCCACCTGCGATGGAATGTTCCAAGACACACGTGCAAGGCGTCTACAACAACCCCTCACACCACTGTCCAATTGCAACCACAAGACCAAACAATAAACGAGTGACTGTATTTACTCCGACAACATGAAGCCCGTCATCAAGCCAGCCAACCCTAATCATCGTTCTGCGCCTTCCTCTCATCCCAAACACCAACCGCCTCCTCCGCCGCCTTGACACCACTCAACACCATAGCCCCAAACGTAGGACCCATACGGTTCGCACCATCAACCTCGCTCAACTCCATGCCGCCGACAATCAGGCCCGGCACAATCTCACGCGTGCGCTTGACAATTGCGTCTTCGGCAGTGCGCATATCGAGACCGCGCATGCCGCCGAGCTTCTCAATCTGCTGCATGGACACGAGGCGCTTGACGCTGAAGGCGCCAAAGGGGCCGTCGTGGCCAGTCGTAGAGATGACGAGAGGCGCGTTGATGGTGTTGGGGTCCATGCAGGATTGGTCTGGGAGGGGGTTAGTTAGATGGGTAGGACGGAGAAGAAGGTAGGGGGAGGCGTACCATCGTGATGCATAGCAACGAGCGTCCAGTTAGTCACCACACCCGCAATGCGGACCGCGTTGGGATCAGTAGCTGTGGGAGCAGGACGAGTGATGAGGTCCTCAACTGTAGTAGCGTTGAACAGCTTGACGTTGGGGAACTGCAACACCTTGCTCAGAAGCGTGGACGTGAACAGCGCGGCGTGCTTGACGACCACAAAGTCACCCTCCTCCTCGTAGGGCACGCCGATCTCGTTCAAGAACAGCTGCGCGGGCTTGCGCATCACCATGGCGCTGAACAGCTGGCCGCCGAGCCAAGCACCTCCACCGGGGGCGACGCCCGCTTCGATGATAGCGATCTTGAGGTCGGGGCGCTTGGAGGCAAGGACATACGCGGTAGACAGACCGCAAGATCCGGCGCCGACAATGACAATGTCGGATTCGGCGTAGTTGTTCAGGTCATCGAAGTAGCGGCGGGCTGGACAATGTGAGTACGCGAGTGAGGGTGGTAGACCAAAGTTAACATACTCATAGCCCTCGAGACCTGGGATTCGCGGATGGGAGCGAATGTAAACGCCTCCCAGTTGTTCTCCATCTCAGCGAGAGTCTTGGCCTGGCCCTTGGACGCCGGCTTGACAGCGAGGTCCTTCTTGAGGCTCAATCCATTGCCATTGCTAGCAACAGGGAGTTCAAAAGTAGCAGCAGGAGGAGACATGTTGGCAATGTTTCACAAAGGATCGGGATCTGTGAACTGTTAAGGCTGCTCAATGTGGGAAGGGGGAGAAGCAAGCATGAGTCCTTTCGCTGGTATTATCCAGATCAAGTTATGAAACCGTATAATCTCAGAACGAACCCAGCAATCCTCCCCTCGCACGCACTACTTCTTGAGGACAAGACGTGGTGTTGCGAGAAGAGGGCTGCTGGGAACGAACACCGGTCCATGCAGTATACTTAGTATTGAAAGTACCTTGATGGCTTAAGGATAACGCCCGCGTGCAGAACATGTCTTGCATCGAGGGTGCCATACTTGAAGAGTTGTAGTATCTGTGTAACAGTCAGTACATCTTCTCATGGCGATATCAGAGCAGAGTGTCCAGTACGGATAGGAAGATTTGATAGTCGGAATGAAACAAATCGAGATGGAGGGAGAAAGGAGGAGAGACAGATGAGCTCAAGATGGATGTGTCTTAAATACCTCACTACCTGCCCCGCTCCTACATATGAAGTCATGTCCATCTATATCCACGTTCATCCGTTGAAGTGGGGTAGCTGTACCGCTGCCCTGCATATGAGGCAATCCGTTTTCCATACGCCCCACAAACCCGGCCTCCGACGAGCCATGATTCGAGGAATTAGAGGCAATACCATCATAAAATGCTCATTCGGTATGCTTTGAACCTAGCATGTCCCTGCAACCAAAGCAGTATAAGTCAAGTGTGTAATGAGGGGTAAGAAAATCTGCTTGAACGATTGAAATGAAGACAAGAAAAAGAGGCACAGTGGTGGTGTGATGTTGACTCTGCTGAGAAACAGCCTGGTAGTGAGTCACGGAGCATTTCCTGCTGCAGAAAAGAGATAGACATCGAAACCAGCATGCCTGAAATTCCAATACTCTGATTCGACGAGATGAAAGGAAACGGGATGGGGTGTTCAGGCTGAGAAGCGATGCAACAACAAATTAGTGCTACTGTCCTACACTTGACAACAATCGTGATGACCATTTTGCCGGACTGTGTATAATTGTTTGGAAGCGTAGACCACAAACACGAGATGTGGCAAACGTGTTCTGTTGCAACGTGACATAGCTGAACACTGCAGAATCTCAGACGTATTACCATTGCAAAGCTGCGTGCAAGCAAGCCATCTTGTGAGTGGTGTTGATATACCGGAAACACGTTGGAATGTCTAGATTATCGGTTGTGTCGACGATATCATACTTGTACACCCGAAGCAAACCATTCAAGGGTGGCGTTTGCTCAGTGATATAATGTAAAATTCAAGTGGGCCAAACTGTCATGCAAACATGCAAGGGCTTTCTCGATTGTCAGGATAGTTCGACATGTTAATCAAACATGATGACTGGCAACGATACGACCGAGTCTGGGACCGAGATGATGTGTTAGCTTCCCAAGAGATTGGTGTCATCCAGAGTGCTCACACTGAGCAGGGAAGTGGGTGATGATGATCATGTTCGAATGGCAGTAAGAGGCCTCACAGAAGACAATACCGCAAATACCCGTGGTCTGTGGTTGTGGCCCTCGTGATACAGGGTGTTTCGGACGAGTCCCTGGTGTCGCAACGGGTCCCACAATTCGTCGGACAACGTTTCGGTGCCGATGAAACAGATCCGTGGTCCTCTACTGAATCCCTTGTCCCAGGTTCCTGGCGGGTTTGATGTAGAGGAAGCTGTAAGATGAGGCGCAGTTGGTCAGAAATTGTATGCACGACGCGTGTGGCAGCCGCAGTGTGGTCGGATCACCGCGGCCGCGTGGAGCCAGACGTTTAGCATGGGATGTTTGGTTCTCATGAACCATGCAGGGACGTCTAGGTGAGACGACGTTGCGGTGCGACCGAGCACCTGACAGATGACTGGAGACGTCGCGGGGAATGTGTTAGTGCCCCTTGAATCTCCCGATAATTTTAGACAGCTTACGTTGGTGGGTGAGAGCTGACGACGAGAAGGGAGGGTTGTTCAGCATCACACGATGACGAGCGGCTGTCAGGTGGTGAGTGGGACTGCCGCTTGGGTAGGGTACCTGCATTCATGTCATGTATGTCGTGTGTGTAGGGGCTGGCGGAGGCGTCGCGGCTTTGTATCACGAGAAACATGAGGCTCGAGTACTACTTCCTCTTTGGGGTGCAGCGATGCAGCGATGCAGAATGCGGGCCGCTAGCGATGGTGGTTGGGCGTTCGCCAGCCAAGGCGAGGGAAGAGGGGCTGATTGGCAGGCCTTCACACATGGGACAGCTGGAGCGTGGTGCGGTGTGGAGCAGATTGCTCGGGAGTGCTGGCCAGTTTCAGGCGGTCAGATGCACGCTGGCGTGCTGCTTGTCCATGGCGCGGCCGAGTGCCTTGCAGTGACAATTGTCGACGCCCTCTAGTGTCGTGTCTCCAGCACTTGTCCTGGCACGCCGATCCCCGCCCGCTGATTTACCCTGGGCGGAACCCCTGCTGCAGTGAAGCTGGCCGACGACGGTCCCGTTGCGCAAACAGACTGTCTGCCCTCGACGGCTACCGCGTCTGTCGCTGCCAATCGCCATCTGGCACTTCACCTCGTCGACGCCGCCCACGACTGCTCACCACTGCGCGCGCCCGAGCCCGTCCCCTCGCCCTCCAATTCCACCCTCGCGCCCCGGACCCCTCCCGTTCGCCTGTCGCCGTCGACGTCGACCTGACCTCGACCTCGCAGCAGCAGCAGCATGGAGTCGCCCACCTACCCCGAGTCGCCGCTGGACCAGGACGATGTCGTGTATCCGTGCAAGGGGTGCGGCGAGGTAGGCAGCTGGCACACTTCTGGCCCGGCAGCCGCTGACTAGAGCCCAGATTCTCGAGGAGGGCAAGGCCTTTGAGCTCGGTATGCACTCCCCCCTACACGCATGGCGTCCCCCGCGCCTCCCCCAGCTGGTCATGTATGGGGCGCGTCCTGAGCAGCACACTGACACTGCCTAGCCGGAAACCGATGGCACATCGACTGCTTCCGCTGCAACACGTGCGGCACGCTCCTCGACTCGGACGCGAACCTGCTGCTCCTCGGCGACGGCTCGCTGATCTGCAACAACTGCACCTACAGCTGCAACCACTGCGGCAACAAGATCGAGGACCTGGCCATCCTCACGGGCGACCAGGCCTTCTGCGCGAATTGCTTCAGATGCAGGAACTGCAAGCGCAAGATCGAGAACCTGCGCTATGCACGCACCTCGCAGGGCATCTTCTGCATGGCCTGTCATGAGTCGCTCATGGCTCGCCGGCGCAAGAAGTCGAAGAAACCACCAGCCCCAGCGGCGCCAAAAGTGGACAAGTCCCTGCCCGCATTGCCTGGCCAGGACCAGCCCCAGCAGCGCACCACTTTTACTCCAGATGTGGAGACGCCCTCAGAGATATACTCGGAGCCTCCAACCACCAACACCTCTCCCAGGCTGCCCCAACCAAGGAGGGGCGACACGTCTTCCAGCTACAGGCGCGATGCATCCCCAGCAGCGAGTGATCTCACCAGAAGAGGTATGTACCCTGCTTCACCTGACCAGCTCAGCTGGAGGTTAGTGTGCTGACCATATCCTTGAACCAGACAATCTCACCCTCCCAGCCACGACCTACAGCAAAACCAACACTCACGTCGAGACCCCAGACGCCGCTGACGATGGCATTATGCTCCCCTTCGCCCTTGATCCTAACCCTGCGCCCGGCCCATCACCGCTCAGCAGGTCGAGCAGACATTTTGGCGATCGGCCAGTGACACTCACTCAATCAATAGGCAACGACAGAAGAAGCGGACGCGACTACTTCAACAGACCGACGGCGGAACACCGGGAAAAGCTGAAAGAGAACAACACTCGACCAGCTTCTACAGAGCGGCGACCGCCGAGCCCGCATATCGCCTACCAAGAGAAGGGAAGACAACAATCTGAAAATCTAGTGGAGACGCTGAAGAAGCGGAAAGATGCCGCAGCTGAGGCTTCTTCTGGCACGGAACGGTCTCGAAGTCAGCATGCCTCCCCTGTACCCTCGCAAGTATCGGATCCGTTCAAGCTACAGGACGTACCACAGAACAAAAAGACAGAGGTGAAGCGCAGGAATTCAGAATCCATAACTCCACCCCAGTCGTCACACCAGCCGCAACAGCATGCCCCCACCACGGACATGTCCGCCCGACTAAGTCGTCCCCTTATGGAGCCGATGACTTTCACGTCCTCTCCGCCCACTGGTACGCAGGATTCGCCGGATACGTCAGGTTCTTCCTTTAGTTCTACTCAGCGAGTCGAGCGACCTGCCCGCGGAGACTCACTCAATCCTTCATCACAGAAGCCCCCCGCTAGAGGTGACAAGTCCATGCTGTCACCCACGTCAACAATTCTTGAGCGCACATCGCCTGCAGCCGCAGCGACAGCAAATCTCAATGCGGGTCTAGGTATCAGTAGCCCTCTGGAATCCCTTTCTTCCAAGTCCTATTCCGATACTCCTGTGCCTCCTGCTCGCTCTGCTGGAAGGCCTGCGCCGCCTACTACAGACACGTACACATCGCCACGCGCCCCACCCCATCCACCAGCAGCACAATCTTCCAAGAATGTTGACACTGCAAGTAGCATAAATAGCGAAGGCTCGCGAGATGTTTTCCCTCCAGGTGTCCTTCCACGCTATAGCGCTCAGGGCGACTTCTCTATGGATGAAGACTTTGCGCGTTTGCTCGGTGGCCAAGAGAATAAAGACGACAAAGACAACGGCGTTTTCCGAAGAGTCTCTAATGCTGTGTCGAAGCATGGGCGCAGTTTCAGCGATCGTGGATCAGTCAACTCGCGAGGCCACAAAAAGTGGCCTACCAATGGCTCTGTAGACATCAGTAGCCCCACGGTTGCTTCGCCAGACTCGAAGGAGGAAAGCGTGAATTTGCGAAACGAATTGCGCCGTGCTCAACAGAAGATTGCAGAACTTGAAGCGGCCAAGAACGGACTTGAGGAATCTCTAAATAGCGCCGCGGACATTCGTCAGGCGAATACTGTCTTGAGAGAAAAGCGCAACACCATGGCGGTCTTAGACACGCAACGCGAAATGATCATTCGAGAATTGGAGATCATGACCGATCACCTCAAGCGGACGAAAGAGGGCAACAGCTCCATGGACATCAACCAGCTCAAATCAGATGTCGTCAAAGACTTCGCGACGTCTTTGCAAAAGCTCAAAGACCAACTTGGAAATCAGATCGAAGAATTGATCACCAAGAGGGCCGAGCTGACCGACGAGATCTCCAACTTGATACAGATGAAAGACAAAGGGTTCCAAGAATATGAGACACTCACTGCTCAAAACACCAAAATGGCTGCCATGTACCGAGATCTCGTGGACAACATACAAAAGACGTACCAAACCAACAAGAAGAGTGCTCCGAACTTCGACCCCCCAGCAAACGGACTTGGCATATACAACGTGCAACACAAGGGCGGCAAGTCAGAACTGTCGGTCGACGCGCACGGTATCACTCACGATCATTCATTCTCAAATCTGCATGAGGCGGACAGTGAAGCTACTCTGGCCCAGCCGCAGGTTGTTAACATCAGGAAACCAGGAAAGGCCAACAAGTTTTCCACGTGGAAGAAAGGTGGCCAGGCAATCAAGACCAACGTCACCAAAGGCTTCAAAGGAGCATTTGGTTCAGAATCAACAAAGCCGGACGAGTATAACAGCATCAAGGTTATTGGGACGCCATACGGATCTGTCCACACTCAACCAGACCTCGCTTCAATGTCTAGTTCTGTCAGAAGTAGAGAGGACCAGCAAGCACAAAAGGGCTGGTTCGGTGCTGGCAAACCTGGCCCTCCAGGTAGACAGTATCCACCAAATGATCGCTTTAGAACGGCGATGCAGAACAACAGCAGCACCAACGTGGCCGCCGACGCTAGTACTGTCCTCTTTGGTTCGGACTTGAGCGCTCGGTGCGAGTTCGAGAAGCAGATGATTCCAAGGATTGTCAGCCGGTGCATCGAAGAGGTTGAGTTGCGAGGTATGTACATATGCTCAGCTGGATGCGGTACTGTTACTAACAATTGCTCAGGCATGGATGTTGAAGGAGTCTACCGCAAGAGTGGAGGTACTTCCCAAGTCAACCAGGTTCGCAGCGGCTTCGAGTCTGACAACGAGCACGACATTTCGGATCCCGACTTGGACATACATGCAGTTACGTCCGCCATGAAGAACTACTTCCGCAGACTTCCCGTGCCGTTGATCACTTTCGACGTATATGACCAGTTCCTAGAAGCAGGCCGTAAGTTCCCGTCCACAAGAAATTCGAATGCATCATACTAATTTGCTCGACAGTACTCGAGGATAATGACGCACAAATAAAGGCATTGATCGCCGCTGTCAACGAGATTCCCAAGGCTCATCGCGACACACTTCAATTCTTGGTGTTCCACTTGTCACGGGTCATCCAGCGCGCCAGCGACAACTTGGTGAGTAGCCCTATTTACATATCAAGATCCGCAGCTAACACACACTTAGATGACCCCATTGAACCTCGCTGTCGTTTTCGCTCCAACCATCATGAGGCCTATGGATATTCAACGCGAACTCACCGACGTTTCACAACAACGTATCGCTGTTCAAGCTCTTTTGGAGAACTACAAGACCGTGTTCGGCGAGGATTAGATTCAACAGATCTGGTTGTAGCCATATGTTTTCTATCGTGACCTCACGCGTTCCACCACCGACATTGCATCCATAAAGTCAATTTCTCGATTTCAGAGCATAGTTCTGCATCCGACGACCCGAGACGTTGAGCGGTTTTGTCTTCTTCCCATCTCCAATTTGCGATCTTTACTCTTGATGCTTATTCATTGAGCCTTGTGATATTGATGAGCTAGATACTCCCGAGTTGTTCTCTGGATTTCTCTGTTTTGTATCATATGATTGGCGTATATGCATGGATGGAGGGAGAAGTTGTCACCGTGCCGTTGAGGGCTGCTTGTAATGCGGCTTTGAATGAAACTCAAACTGCCCGTGCTCTGCTTTGTTCTAGTGATTGTGCAATGTTTGGTGATGTTTTGGGATAGTATTGCATCCGGCGCCAAGTTCTATAGGTACCCCAGCATCGACATCAATTAGACTTCAAAACAACGAATCTCTTCTCAAAGCACCGCTTTCTTCACATACACACACACACATAGAGACTACTCTGCGACATCTTGTTCCCATCCTTGGCATAGCAAATCGCGGAGCACCTACCGCCAGCCACGCGCTTAAGCGAGGGTTGACGTAATACTAGAGCCCTGTTTCGCGTTCAGACGATCGCCCTTTATCTGCCAAAGCTCCCCGTCCCTCATCCACACCCGCCGATCAGATCACCGCTACCTTCACACTTCACTCCACTACCCCGCAACCCTCATCCTTGACATCTCTCGCCAACTCTATCATCATGTCGTACGCTTCCGTTGCTGCCAGTGGCCCAAAACAGAGTCCTGAAGAGGTACGTACGGTCAATCGCACACCAAAGATGACTGACTCACAGATGACAGGCGTAAGTCAATTGATCTCGTTGATGCGAAATGTTGTATTTTGGGAGTGGCGTGTTAGTGTTGGGACAATCATATCGCCGGTCCCACGTCTACTTCCGAGCCTACCGCAACAAGCATCTACTGTTACCTGGAGCCAAGCATCACGCATCATAAGAGTCGCTACTAACGACATTGTAGTCGCGCCCCTGCTCCCCTAGAGGTTGAGCACACCGAGGACAGCGTTTCCTCCCTTGTCGATGTCGACAGCCCCCACATCTCATCTGTGCCTTCGGACTACGAGGAGCAATCCGTCAAGACCGATACGCAGGAGGAGCGCATAGAGCGTGAGGAGGAGATCAAACAGACCGCCAAGGACATCAAGCAGAAAGCTGCCGCCAGGAAGGAGGCCACAAAGGAGAAGGCCGAAGCTGCGAAAGAGAAGGCCGAATCTGCGAAGGAGAAGGTGAAGAAGAACTCCGACAACCCGGTCGTTGTCAGCAATGCGGTTGGTCTGGCTGTGATTGGTACTCTGCTCAGCATTGGCGCATACAGGAAACACTCTCGTGGAGAACTGACCGGCAAGGTTGTTGCAGCTTGGGCGGGTGTTCTCGGGCTTTTCGGCGTCGGGGACTACTTTGTTAGCCAGTAAGTCACGAGCTAGTTCGGTTTACAAGTCGACTTGCTGATTGGATTGCAGGTACTTCTTCAAGCGCTACCCACCGAAGAACTAGACGTTTCCATCCGGATTTATTGTCTCTCTTCCATTCGATTCCGACCATCTCACGACTCTCAACTCGATGACTCTTTGATTAAGCAGTAAGGTTTCACGAAAGAATGCCAGTCGGCTGATTTGGGCAATTGTGGGGTGTCTTGTTTGGTTCTTTACGGTCATACGACAGCAAGCCTATGATTTTCGACACGATTAGCGGGGTTGGAGTTGGTCTGTTTAGCATGCGAGTGCATGGCAGGTCTTCTTCCGTGTACATACAAGGTCTCTGCTTTTCAATAATACCCGTCTGGAACCGCAGCTCTAGGTGTACCCGTACTATCTGTTAGCACCCCGTCAAGACGACATATCTACCTTTGCATCTTGGTACGCCAAAAATGAAGCTTTGACGGCCTAGATGTTCTGCAGGGATGACATATATAAACATGTGAAGATCGTGGCTATTCCACGTGACCTAACAATCCCTGTCGATTCGGCTTAGAAATCTCCATATCGGTTCCGAGCATCACCGTCCGCTTGGGCAACTTTTTAGCATCATCCCGTCAAACGCCTGCTACGACTTTCTTCGTTCGCTCTTTCCTTTTCGTTTCCTTGCCCCCCATCATGTTCCGCGCTGCTCCGCGCTTAATTGCGCGCCCAGCGTCCCTGCGTGCCATTGTCCCCCGGCCCACCACCCGATTCCTCAGCACAGCACCTCCCGCCCAGAAGTCGCGGAGCTGGAAGAGTCTGTTCGCAAGACTGGGTATTGCAGGAGCGATAATATACTACTATAATACGAATGACCTGTTTAGGGAGGAGGAGGACTGTACGTCATTTGCTTGGGGGAGTTGTGATGCAAAGGATAGGCGTAGCTAACGTGCCGACGTAGATCCCGCCCACGCTCTCACGCCAGAATCCGAGCTCCCCACTATCGAGTCTATTTCCGCAGAGCGCGAGAAGCGCAGAGCTGTCAAGGCGCAATTGGATGCCCAGCGACGAAAAGAAGAGGAGGAGGCTGCAAATGCAAAGACACAGGATGAAGCTTCGGCGGCACCCACGGAAAAGTCTGAGGGCGGATTAGGAGGCCTGGAAGAGGAGGCTGGCCAGCAAGGCGCGTTCAACCCCGAGACGGGCGAGATCAACTGGGACTGCCCGTGTCTGGGCGGCATGGCGACTGGGCCGTGTGGCGAGGAGTTCAAGGGGGCGTTTAGCTGCTTTGTGTTTTCCGAGGAGGAGCCCAAGGGCATGGACTGCATCGACAAATTCAAGTACGTTTTTTTGTCTCTCGCACGGGGAAATCGCGGGGAGTGAAGAAGAAACACAGCTAACATACGGACAGAGTCATGCAAAACTGCTTCCGCCAATACCCTGAAGTCTACGGCTCGGAACTCGAATCCGACGCTGATGATGAGGATGCCGCCGACGACAACGACGACGATTTGACCCCCGACGTCGATATGACACCCACATCTCCGGCGCCGGATGCGACACACACCGACCAACAGCCTGCCCCCACCAGGAAACAGCAAACCTCCGAGCGCGCTGCCCAGGCTAAAACCTCCCCCGAACCCTCCTCCAAACCACACTCACCAGAGAAACTCGAGGAAAACAGACGAGAACTCGGCCTCGTGCCGGAGAACTACAGACCAAAGGAGAAGAAGAAGAAGCAGCCTGTGAGTGAGAGTGAGAGCGAGACCCTGGTCCCCAAGGCGGCGCATGATGCAAGTGATGCGACGGCTGAGGATGGCGGGAAGAAATCTAAGGCGGGGGAGAGGAAGTGAATGAGTTGGTGGGGGTAAAGAGGATTGTGTTTCATATGGGGTTGATTAGGGATTGTTGAAGCGAGAACGCGCGTGGGAGGGGCGTGGTTGAGTGGTGTTGCAAGGGTGCTTGGACTTGTACTTGTATGTACTGTATAGCGCGATGCGCGGAAAAGTCACGCTTGGAAATGGGGGGTGGGTCTGTCACCTTATAGTGGCAGGGCGGGTTGGGATAGGTTAGTTCATGCTTGTATGTGTAAATGTGTAGATGTATAACACCCACTCCAAAAATCACTGTCAGTTAGTATCCTAACAGGAGGTATTCTCTATCTGAGTGATATGCTCGATTCGTGTTGTGTTGTGTTCTATTGTATTATATCGTGTTGTATCTTCCTTGGCCAACATCTTATCCCGAAAGAGCCGGAAGACCCGGTAAGCAAATAGTTGGTACTAATCTCTGCGTGGTGGTTGGGAGTAAGAGTCGGCGTAACGGCTGGTCACGAGATCGGAGGCCCCACTTTGTATTCATCTTGTTGGTAGCGGCAACCTTGATGCGCACTACATCACCTGTCTATCTAATATGTAAACTATCTCAATCCAACTATCCAGGTAAACAAAGGCAGAAAAATTGCCACTTCTCCGATATTCGTCACCTCGCATTTCCTCGCTCGATATGGACGTCGCTTTACGCCAAGGGGGTGGCTGATCGGTACGACCTCGCTGAGAGGCCCGCCTTTGTGCACCGCAACACCCAGGCAGTCGATCCTCCAGATGTCGACTCGTGTAATCTTCCGGATAAATATACGCGAGCTGCTAATTTCCTGTTGCTAAACTGGGGGTTGCACATAATATGCAGGGAGAAACGCCATAGATTCTAGGCACCAACATTTTGTTGGCCTTTAATACTCGACTTGTGACGGATCTTGAGTAGCTTTTAGTTTCTTTGTATGTTGCACGGTTTTTGAGAGTCATGTTTAGTAAGGATAAAGTACAGCACCCTGTGGCTAGCGTCGAGGCGGGTGTTGCTGCACAACAGGCGCAAGTCGTCGAGAATGCGGTGACGGGGAAAGATGGTGTGGCGGAAGCTGTTGAGGAGAAAGAACATGGTGGTACCGAGACGAAGAAAGCCTCGAAAGGAGATATGGTTAACTACTTTGTAAGTGCCATGGATAGACGTTGACTGCTCAATCGCTGATGGATGATCCGCAGCGCGTGCTCTCCTATGGCACGAACTTGGATTACTTCCTAATGGCAATGTGTTGCCTCACGGCAATCGGCTCTGGCATTACCATGCCACTCATGAACATCGTCTTCGGTGTGTTGCAAGCGCAGCCTATACATCGAACCTCACTGACCATCCAGGCCAACTGGTCGGCAACTTCACAAACTACTTCATCCCCGGAACAACAGTAACACGGAACGAGTTCCAAGCAGAGATCAACCGCCTAGCCCTCCTAATCGTCTACCTATTCATCGGCAAATTCGTCCTGACATACATTGCCATGGTCTGAACCACCCCCCCTCCCCTTAACTACTCCACCCACTAACCACCCCCAAACAGCTCACAATCCGCATCAGCGGTCTCCGCATCTCCGCCGCCCTCCGCCTAGCCTACCTGCGCGCCCTCTTCGCCCAGCCAATCCCCCTAATCGACACCATCAGCCCGGGCAAAGTCTCCACCCGCATAACAACATCCTCCAACACCATCCAGCTCGCCATCTCGCAGCACCTAGCCATGCTATTCCAATCCCTCGCCTTCACAATCGGCCTGTATGTCGTGGCGTTTACGAAGAGCTGGCTGCTTACGCTGGTTGCGTCGGCGGCGCTGCCATTTATTCTGGTCGTGTATGGTATGGTGCTGCCGCCGTTTATTCGCATTCATAAGGTTACGGAGAGGCATGTGGAGGATGCGTCCGCGATGGCGTTTGAGATGTTTGCGTCTGTGAGGATTGTTACGGCGTTTGGGGCGGAGGGGAAGTTGGCGAGGCTGCATCGGGGGATGTTGGGGAAGGTGAGTTTACGTTTTTTGTTTTACGGGATTCAATCGCGACGAAATGGATATGTTGGGGTTGGGCATGCTAACTCATGGGTTGATGGTTTAGGCTATGGATAATTCGAAGAGAGCTGCACCGTTGACTGGGCTCATGATTGCTCCTTCAATGATGGCTATGTATGGGACGTTTGGCCTCACTTTCTGGTATGGGATCAAGCAGTATAGCGAGGGTCGGATTGCCGATGTTGGTGTGATTACCGTGTGAGTCTGCTCCCTGGTCTACTTCCCGCTCCTCTATCCAGTGTGTTTTGTACTCCAGTATTCCGTTATCGCCCACTATTGTTATCTGAGACGTTCGGCTCACACACCCACAGCGTACTCTTCTCCGTCATGATGGCTGTGATGAACATCGGACGGCTCGTGGCTCCCATCATCGCCATTGCGAAAGCAGGCGCAGCAGCCACTGAGCTATTCACTACCATCGACGCCCCAGTTCCAGACACATCTGGTGTGAAAGAGCCAGACATCAGCGCTGATGCCGATATCGTATTCGAGAACGTGTCGTTCTCGTATCCCAGCCGTCCTAACGTTCAGATCCTTGATAAGCTCAATCTGACACTTCGTGCTGGCAAAGTTACGGCGATTGTAGGCCCTTCTGGGTCGGGCAAAAGCACCATCGTCGGCCTGGTGCAGAGGTGGTATGAGTTGCTGGGGACAACTGCGATGGTGGAAATCACAGACCAGATAGGGGACCAGGTCCCTGTTGATGTGCTTGCTAAAGAGGAAGAGAAACCTAGGAAGTTCAGGGCATTTCGAAAAGCTGGTACGCCCAAAACTGGGGACAAAAATCATGATAACACTGCAAAGCCCAGCCACCACAAGAAGCCCGCAAAGCCCCAAAACGCAAACCAGAAGAAAGAACCCGAGCCCGACCTAGGACCGAACACCTGCACAGGCAGCATCCGCACAGGAACCACCAACCTACGCACCGTCGACCTGAAATGGTGGCGCTCCCAAATCGGGCTGGTACAACAAGAGCCCTTCCTCTTCAACGACACGCTCTACAACAACGTCGCCTACGGCCTCTGCGGAACACACTACGAGGACCTGCCCAGAACGCAGAAGCTCGCAATGGTGGAGGAAGCGTGTCGCGAGGCGTACGCCGACGAGTTCATATGCAAACTGCCGCAAGGCTACGATACGCTTGTGGGGGAGAGTGGAATCAGGCTCTCTGGGGGCCAGCGGCAGCGGATCGCTATTGCGCGGAGTATTATCAAGAGGCCGCCGATTCTCATCCTGGATGAGGCTACGAGTGCGATTGATGTTCGGACGGAGAGGGTTGTGCAGAAGGCGCTTGATCGCGTGGCGAGGGGGAGGACTACGATTGTTATTGCGCATCGATTGTCGACTGTTAGGAGGGCGGATGCGATTGTTGTGTTGAGGCAGGGTGAGTGCGTGGAGCAGGGTACGCATGAGGAGCTGTTGCAGGTATGTGGTGCTGTGGTGTGTCTGTTTTGAACTTCTAGGGACTCCCTGGTCGATATTTACTCCCCTTTCTTTGAACCTGCTTTACTCACACCGATAATCTTCACTAACCACACCAAACCCCCAGATAGAAGCAGGCGTATATAGAAGCCTAGTCCAAGCCCAAGAACTCACAACAGAAGCCCAAGAAGACGACGAGTGCGAAGAACCAACCACAGAAAGAGCTCAATCCACCACCTCGAAGGCGCAAGAATCCTCGCCACAGAACCACACCTCCTCGGACGACAACGACACAACATACAAAGAAAAAGGCTTACTCCGCAGCGTCGGCCGCCTCGTCGCCGAACAGCGCCACCACTGGTTTCTCTACACACTCGCGACCCTAGGAATCCTCGGCGCAGGAGCAGTCTACCCCCTCCAAGCCTACATCTTCGCCAACGTAATCCAAGTATTCGTATACACCGGTCCCCGCCTCGTCCGTGAAGGGAACTTCTGGGCGGCCATGTTCGGCGTCGAAACCGCCGGCGTCGGGCTATCATACTACATCCTAGGGACAGCCACACACCTGATCTCCACGCACCTAGTACGACACTACCGACAAGAATACCTCGTAAACATGATCCGCAAACGCATCCCCTTCTTCGACGACCCGGCGCACAGCCCCGGTTCCCTCACTGCCAGACTGAGCTCAGACCCCACGCAGATCCAGCAGCTGATGTCGACGGAGATGTCCCTGGCACTCATCGCCATCGTGAACCTGGTCGGTTCGCTGATCCTATCTTTCGTCTACGGATGGAAGTTATCCCTCGTCGGGCTCTTCTCCGTGCTGCCCGTCATCCTGACCGCGGGCTACTACCGCATGCGGCTTGAGATAGGCTTCGAGGCCATGAACGCCAAGGTGTTCGAGAACAGCAGTCAGTTCGCCACCGAGGCTGTTGGTGCGTTCCGCACCGTGCTCAGTCTGATTATGGAGGACACGATTGGGGCGCGGTACGAGGCGCTGCTTGCTCAGCATGTTAGGCAGGCGTTTGGGAGTGCGAAGTATAGCACGCTTGTGTTTGCGGCGAGTGATAGTGTGGAGTTGGCGTGTATGGCGCTGACGTTTTGGTATGGGGGGACGTTGCTTGCGGCGCGCGAGTATGGGCTTGTGGACTTTTTCGTTGTTTATATGGCGGTTGTGCAGGGCGCTGTGGCGGCGGGGACGTGGTTTTCTTTTGCGCCTAGTAAGTCGGTTCACTCACGTATATCCACGTCTTACCGCATTCTCACCACTGGACGCAGATATGGCCCAAGCAACCGGAGCAGCAAACCGCATCCTCAGCATGCGCCCCCCAAGCATCCCTTCCCCTCCCCCCACAAACAACCCCCTCATCCCCAATTCCTCCCCCCTCGGCCCCAGCATATCCATTCACAACCTATCCTTCACCTACGCCTCGCGCCCCACCCCCGTGCTCTCAAACCTCACCCTCTCCATCCCCGCCGGCCACTTCGCCGCACTAGTAGGCTCCTCCGGCTGCGGAAAATCCACCCTAATCTCGCTGCTAGAGCGCTTCTACGAGCCCACATCCGGCACCATCCTGCTCGACAACACGCCCATAAACACTCACTCGCCATCCGCACACCGTGCGCAAATCAGCCTCGTGAGTCAAGAGTCCGCGTTGTATGATGGGAGTATTGCGGCGAATGTGGCGCTTTCCGTCGACGAAGGAGACGAAGGCGACGGCGACGGCGACGGCGACGGCGGCGGCGGTGGCGGTGGCGGTGATGATGACAAACGTAGACTAGATATCGAAGCCGCATGTCGCGACGCACAAATCCACGATTTCATCGCATCGCTGCCCGAGGGGTACAACACGCGGCTCGGGCCCAAGGGACTTAGTCTGTCGGGCGGGCAGAGACAGCGGGTTGCGCTTGCGAGGGCGTTGTTGAGGCGGCCGCGGCTTTTGCTGCTGGATGAGGCGACGAGCTCGTTGGATTCTGAGAGTGAGAAGTTGGTTCAGGGGGCTATTGAGAGGGTTGCTGGGGTGGGGGTGGGTGGGTTGGATGGTGGGATGGATGATGGGAAAGGGGTGGGTGGAATGAATGATGGGAAGGGTGATGGTGGACAAGGGGTAAAGGGAGATGGCCAATCCAGACAGAGGACATGTACAGTCCTTGCCGTAGCGCACCGTCTCGCGACGATCCAGCAGGCGGATGTCATTTTCGTGCTGGGGAGTGGACGGGTGCTGGAGCAGGGGGATCATCAGTCGCTGTTGAGGAGGCGGGGTGTGTACTGGCAGATGTGTCAGGCGCAGGCTTTGGATCGGTGAAGGTTGGGGTGGGCGTTGGAAGTTCGTGGGTGGGTGGTGTGTTCGTTGACTTACTCTGCTCAGTGTAATGTTCAGTGTGAGTTTTGTTCGATTTGTGTGTTCCTTTTCTGGCATTACTTTTGCTCCTTTGTTGAACGCTGTATCGACGGTATGAACGACCCCTAATAAACAGTATCGATTCATTCTCTTCCCTATATATATACACTCACATCATACACTCCCCCCAGTCCACAACCTACTGCTTCCCCTTCGTAATCCCACCATCAGCATAATCCGGGCTCCCCTGAGCACCCAAATCCTCGACCCCACTCTCCGCCTCCGCACTCGGCTTCATCTCACTAACGCCCTCTTTCGGCTCGCCCCTCCCTCCAGGGCTCGGCGGCGACTTTGTCCCCGGCCCACCCTTCTTCTGCCAGTCATTCCAACTCCCCGGATACTCGCCCACATTCACATACCCGGCCTGTCTCGCCAAGCCCGCTGCAGCCCTGCTCCTGACCCCCGCTTTGCAGAAGAAAACTACCTCTTTGCCGAGGGGAGGTTTGGCGAAGTTGAACGTCTCCAGAAACGCCGCGTCGTCGAGGAGTAGCGCATCCGGGTGCGATGAGACGGGGATGTTGATGGCGGTGGGGATAGTATTCGCGTCGTATTCGTGTGGTTCGCGGACGTCGATGAGGAGGCGGGAGGAGGAGGGTGTTTCGAGGATGTTGAGGACCTGGGTTGTGTGTTAATTCCCTTCCAATACGACTCAACACCTCAGTATCACACGAGCAAAACTCACATCTTCAAACTCATACACCGTATTCCCCTTCTGTCCCGCAGCACCAGACTCCCACCTCTTCTGCTGCGCATCACGCGAGCTCACAACCCCACACCTCACACCCCCAATCACACCCCTCGCCGCGCCCCGCGAACTAGCCAAACGAATCTGCCCACCCACAACCGGCGCAACTCTCGAGGCGAAAACAGGTGCACGCCTGAGCGCCAAAGCGCGAACGCATTGCCTGGAAGCCATTGGCAAGAATGAGCAGGAAATTGAAGATAAGAAAGGGAGAATCTTCCGTAGGAGAAGATGGTTTTTGAGTTTTGATTGTAGACGATTGCTGGAAAGGCGCAAGGATGACGATGGATGGATGGATGGGGAAGCTCGAGCTCGGATCTAGATAAATTAACGCCGACGTCACTGTTCGCGAACAACCCCACGTGCATGCCAAGCCGCGCTCCGCATCGAGCAGTGTCACTTCAATTCTCTCAGGCGATTGCGCTCTGAAAAGGCAGGTTAGATTACAAGAGAGCAAATTGAGAATGGCAATGGGTATATATGCGTTCTGTTGCTCTATCGTGTATGTCCTATGTTGTTTGCCAAACAAAATGTTTCTTACTCCCACGTCACCCTCATAAGTAGATGTATCATTGACGCACTCGAGGGCAGAGAGCGAAGAAACGCACAACCCTTTTACACCCCATCCCATCCCATCCCATCGCATTTCCATCGCATATCTACCATGTCATACATCATCCATCCATCCATCCATCCTCCCACCAAGATCCGACACGGAGGGGGCGGGGGGTATCGATCCACCAAGCACTCCTACGCCCAAGCCCAACAACCCAAGAAAACAGACAGAAGCTCAACAACAAAAACACAGCAGCAGAAAGAAAAAGCAAAACGCAACATACACACACATACACACAGACCAAGACGACGCAAAAAGTCCACAAAGCAGCAAATTGGTATATTTCTTTTTGCGCCAATGGGGGAATCATTCAGAGCAACACACTCCACAAAAAAAAACGGAAGAAGGAAACAGAAACACCAGAAAACAATCAAGCAAAAAAAAAAAAAGGAAACTAACAACATGAAACACAAAAGATTAACGATCCGCACAGACACAAAAACACAACTTCGAAACACAAACAACCAAGCCAAAGCAATGGCTTTTGCATATATACGCCGTATCAGAGAGGGGTATAATTCTTTTGTCGTCGCACTGGATAAACGCGTAGCCGAGAGCGTGGGGTATTTCTTCGTAAAGGGGCCGGAGGGGTAGTACTGTAGATAGGAAGATAGGTGGTATCATTTAACGGGGAGGCCCAATAGGGGCCGGGTATCCAGATGCAGAATGAGAAGTGCCGGGGCGCCCGCTGTCCACGGAGCCCCGCGGATCGTACCTGGGAGTTGAGTCCCCGGTCGCCGCTGAAGAGGAACCAAAAGGAAACTTGGATTCATAACGCGGAGTTGGCATCGGCCAGCCGTTGTTGTGGTGTTCGTCGTCCGCGAGATTGATGCCACTGTCGTTCCACGGGTTGCGGTAGCTACCTGTGGATTCGAGGCTGGCAAGGGATGCCTTGGAGGCATTGCTGGAAGCATGCTTGAAGAGCGATCCAGGTGAGTTGGTGTTCTTGCGTCCCGCAAAGATGGATGTGAACGACGACATGCTGCCTGGCTTGCGAAGTCTATCAAGCATACCAGGGCGCTCATCATCGCCAAAGTGGGAGCGAGTTGGCGAGTCGGTGCTCTCAACAGCAGGTTCGGCTCGTTGAAGGAGCTTGGACTCGAAGAAGGGCAACGAGTCTTCGAAAGAGTCAGACTTGGGACGAGGAAGAGCACCACGGATAGTGTTCGTGTCCAGGCCATGCATGACGAGATGGTTGATCAGGAAATCCGTAGCATCCTTCAGCCCACCAGCGTTATTCCTGGTGAACCCAAGATGGATGGTCTCAATCTTCTGCTCCTTGCCTTCAATCGTCTCAGTCTGCGGCTCCATAAACTGAGCATCGACGACGTGCTGAGTCCTGAGTTTGTCGAGGATATCAGCCTTGAACTCGGAAGAGCGAATGTGCTCACTGAGCTCAGCGGAGGACTCAAAACCGATGTCGTGAGTCTCTGGTACCATACCCTGCAACTGGTTAGTTGACATTCTCAAACAAAGGTCATATACAAAACTCACCAAAAACTCGTCAACAGCCAATGGCACCTGGTACTCAGGGCCAGAGACGGTAACGATGTCACTCGCTTCCTCGGTGCTGGGGAAGGTGATCTTGCAGTTGAACTTCTTCTCCAACTCGTCAATCTTGTCTAGGCGCGCAATGAGCTCACGATGGTAGAGACGGTTGATGTTGATGGTCTCGGAGACGAACTCTGCGTCGGCTTTCTCGACCATATCCATGATCTCCTGCTTCACCAGATCGAGGTTCTGAGCGTTGCGAGCAGGTGTGCGGCAGATGACATTGTCAACCTTGATGTCATCCTCTTCCTTGCCGAACCCACCACGATCCATGGCGTTGGAGAACTTGACAAAGACAGAGTACTTCTTCATGATGCGTTGGATGTGCTGACCGCCAATACCAATGATGCGTTTGTGATACTGGTCGGGGACATGGAAGGAGATAGCAGCAGGCATCTCTTGCTCGACAAGGTCTAGACCATTCTTGGTGGCCTCATACTGGGCACCACGGACTACAATGTAGAAGTTGTACTCGTTGAAGCCATCAAAGACGATCTGCACGCTGCTGTGGCTCATGATCTTGTTGATCTTGCCATTCTTCTTACCGCTAACAAACTCTTTGTGTTCGTTGGCAAGCTCGATCTTGACGCTCATGTTGTACTGAGATTTCTTCACAAACGGAATGTTACTAATGACCATCAAAGCAGCTCTAACAGCATCATCGGACCCGTAGATGTGGAAGTTGAGTTTCTCGAAACTGACTTCAGCACCAGAGTTGATGCAGATGTCAGAAAGCATGGCGCGAACGTCAGCAGCAGTGGGCGGACGCTGTGTGGGATCAGGGTGCGTGATGAACCATGAGGCACTGTAGAATTGGCCAGCCTACATTTGTGAGCGTGTGGATCAATAGGTACTTGTGGACGACTTACGAGAGACATCAGTTCGCGCACGGTGCGCTCGACATGCAAGACATCCGTGCCCTGGACTCGGACAACACCACGCTGGACGCCCAGAGGTGGCAGCAGGATGTACGAGCCATTGGTCTCGATGATCTTGCGCACCTTGTCGAGACGTTCAAGCAGGATGGCATCGAGCTTGGTGTCAGTCACCATGACTGGCTTCACGAAGACCTTGGTCGACATGACCAGGTCGTGGAGGCGCTGCTTGGCGCGCAGAATGCACTCCGAGTTCTCTCCTGTGATGTAGATCAAGTCATCTGGTCTACGCTGAGCACCTGGGGGCGTGTACCCAAAGAGCCGGGGGAACGGCGGTGGGAAGTAGATTGCGGTCCCTGTGGCAGACTCGATCATCTTGATGTTCTTGCGCCCACGTCCACAGATCAGCGTGTGCATGGTTAGCTCGAGCTTCATTGTGTCCACATATCGCTTAAGCTGTGACGATTTTGAATTAGCTTGGTGCGCTAGTAAGAGCTTGACCGCAGGGGAAAGCAGCGACGTACAATCTGGTCAATCATGATCAAGACGCGTGTCTTGGCGTGCTCCATGGTCTCGAGGTCGCCAAAGATGGCGCAGCGCAGACGCGGGTCCATGGTGTCGACGTTGCCGTTGAAGCTCGCAGACTCGATGTCGGGCTGCTTGGGGGTCAGCAGGAAGATGTCGGCCTTTGTCGTCTTGGCGATGAGGTCGAGCTGGTTGAGGACGGCGCCCTTGACCGTCTGCGAGGCCTGGTCGAAGATGAGCTTGTGGTCGATGTCGACAAACGACGAGCGCTGTGCCAAGAGTCAGCCAGTGCGCGATGAGGCTGTGGTGCCAGGTGTGAGCCTACCAGCGAGATGGGCGTCGAGTTGAGGATCTTGCAGCGCATCGAGTGCACAATCTCGAGCTCGCCCGCCAGACACACGTTGGTGACGAGGGCGCGCAGCGGGCCCCGTTGCAGGCCGGGCAGCGGCTTGGACTCGGCCGAGACGACCGTGGCCGAGACGCGTCCCTCGGTCTGCTCGCTCACGTCGCGGCACAGGTTGCGCAGGTTGTCGACGTTCTGGGCGTGGACGGGCAGCTTGTGGGTGGGCGTGTTGTCGGCCGTGGCTTCCGGGTGCGTCCAGCGCGCCATGGCCCCCGGGCTCGCCCACATGATGTCGTCGGGGTCCGGGCCGACGAGGTTGGACGAAAAGGGCACGTTGAAGGACAGGTTGACCTGGGTGCCGGGCGGAATGGTCGGCGGCGCCGACGTGGCCGTCGTGGGGCGCTTGATGGGCGCTGGGACGGGCATGTCGTGGTTGGAGCGCGAGAAGGGAAAGCCGGCCGACGGCTTCATCGTTTCCCAGCCATGGCGAGCCGAGCCGGTGAAGTTTGATATCTTGTGCATGGCGGGATTGAGAAGCCCTGGGAGACGGACGGGCTGCGTGGTGGTGGAGTGGAGGGAAGGGAAGAGGGAGCAGTTGCAGTCGAGCTTGAGATGCGTCGAGGGCTGAGTGGGGCCGTGATTGGCTGCCTGCCAGCGGCCAGCCAGCCAACCTTGGACGTGGAAAAAAGCATCGCCTGTGCAGTCACGGTTGCGTTCCCATCATACGAGCACGCCCGCCTCCATCACCACCCTGTCATCACCACCCTCCTGCCTGCCCTATACAACCACCGTATCCCGCTCCAAAACTAACTTTGCGCCTCGATGCACTTGACACTGCCCGCCCCGTCCGCGTCGTTTCACCCTGCACCTGCACACTGCACACACACCGCCCAACTTGCTTCTGCCAGTGCCACAAACTCTGTTTGACCTCGCCCATGCCATGAACCAGCCCTTGGGCGACTACAAGCCCGCCCCCGTGACCACCGTGACCCCCCAAAAGCAGATGCAATGGCAATGCACCCCGTGCGTGGCAGTCTGGCTGTTGTGCACGCAGACGCAGGGGCGCCAACGTCCCTGCCGTGCAACGACAGAGCGCGAGACGAAGATTTTCGAGTCGAGTCGAGTCGAGTCAAGTCGCTATCAGCACCAGCATCAGCATCACATGGAATGAACGTGACCCCAGAACACGATGGAACTTACTCGACGGCGATGACGGATGGTCGGGTGGCCGTGCTCTCTTGACGCCGACTATTCATAGATAGCCGTACCGCGTTCCCTGAACAGAGCAGAACAACGCACATGCTCCTTTCGGCTGCATATGCACCTGAAGGAAGACCAGACCCAGACCAGACCAGACCAGATCAGCGCTGAGGAGACATGATGCCGACCCAACGTCCATCTCCTGTCCAACACAACACAACACGGCACCTCCGACACACGACACGACACCCTCCGATCCGTCATGCGGCTCCGCCTCGAGGCTGGCGCCACCTACCGGTCCGCTAACATAATCGATAGACGATCGCCTCCACAAATAGACGTGCACCTCTCCCCCCACTGATTTTCACACGCCAAGCCTTCCATATTGCTTGATCCTCAACCATCTGCATTCGACACATTGCGTTCCCACGCTCAGATTCACGGAAAAATAATCACGTTACACGTGATTGATTGATACAAATGTTCCACAACTACACTAACCAAGTGTGATGAATACGACAACTATGCAAGCCAAGTAATTCTACAAGGTGTTCTACACTCCAGGTTATTACAACCATGTACGCGAAACGCACGTCTTCTGAACAGGCAATCCTGAGAAACAACCTTTTTTAATAATACCAACTCCTCAACAAGACCACCCCCACTAATACCGTTGGCGTGGTGGCGCCGCATACTGCTCTTGTACAACATCTCCATCTTCAACGTATCGTCTACCCTGCGGCGCCGGCGCACTATACATGAAGCGACGATCATCAAAGGGCTCCTGGTGCACAATGCTAACCTCGCGGTAATGAGGCTGAGAAGCACGGACAAGGCCCGGTTGCACGCTCTCATGGCGAACATATCCCTCGGGCACTTCTCGACGAATAACCTCCGGACGCACACTGTATGCTCTCGACGACATATACTCACGCGGAGGGCCCATCTCCTCATACTGTGAAACAGAACGCCGCTCAATCACTTCTTGTGGACGATACTCCATCTCTACCGGGCGACGGGATGCTTCTCGTGGGCGATAGAGTCGACTGTCGATCATCTCGGGCTCCGAAGCCTCCACATATCGCCGAGGCGGCGGAGGAGGCATCATCTGCACGTCCTCCTCATACATCTCTGTGCGAGCTGGCGCACGCATTGTGGGCTCTCGCGTTACCGCGCGCTCGTAGAAAGGATCAACCTCCATCCGCCTGCTAGGCGGTGCAGCTGATTCCCTGGCGTCAACTGGTGCTGCATAGTATTTGTTGCCATACTGATCGACTACTATACGGCGCGGCGGCGGGGCCATGATCATGGGAGATTGTTGTTGCGGAAGGTACTCGTGGATTGGCGAGCGAGAACGTTCATGCATATATCGCGGTGCCGCTGAGGGACGTACTGAAGCCTCGCGGTAAACGGGTTGCTCAGGCCGATCCACGAAAGCATGTGATGCTGCACGTATCGGACGAGGTTCGGGTGCTGCATAGACGTCGCCACCGCCAACGGGAGAGTATGGCATGCGAGCATGTTGGAGGCTTGCAACACGCCGAAGGTCATCGTCGCGCTGTGGTCGACGTTGTGGTACCCGTATAACCGTGGGCGACGACAACTCTTCGTAATCACGATAAGGTCGCGGTGCTGATGCCGGTTCTCTGTAATAGACTGGCTGCATCCTAGCGCTCTCTTGTGGAGTCACAACCTCAATATCATTGGGTAGTGGTTGCAATGCGCGCCGCTTGCTAGCTGGAGCATCAGCGTAAGCCGGGAAATGGGGAGGTGACGGTGGCTCCTCTTTGATGTACGGTTCGGGAGAACGGGCTACCCGCTTATTCGCTTGCTGCTGGCGCCGCTTTTCTTCTCTTCTGCGTTTGCGAGGATTATTGAGAGGCGCTGCTGGACCCACGGGGCTTTGTTGACGAGATGATCTGTTGAACTATTAGCATATTCTACTTTCCAGCATAATTGACCATAAAGAAATGTCTATCGACGCAACGCCTGAAGATCATGTGTGGAGTCGTTTCCCGACTTCAGTAAACATAAGCTTCTTTGCGGCCGTGGAAGTCAAGACGTTCATACTTGTGTCCCCGGTGATGAATATGCTCCGCACATCTGCAGCGTGATCTCAGCAGACGTGCGATGCAACGACTACCAACGGGATTTTCACAATGGAACTCGATAGGACGAGTTGTATAGAGAGAGTGGTAAGGAAAAGTGATAAGATCATACCCGTTAGTCCCACCATTGCGCTGATTGCCACGGTCTCGCGCCCGTCCTCTGTTGGTTTCACTTGGACCGACATCGGCAGGAGGAGGCGAGTAGTCTTCCTCCTCCGTCTCTAGCAGCCCTGACGGCTCAGGCTCATATATTTCTATGTCATCGGCAGGCTCATACAGTTCTTCATCAAGATCGATGACTGTAGGCTCGACTGGACGAGACTGAGCAGCTACTTGAATGCCAGATCGCTTTGCCTGCGGAGTAAACGGACCTGCAGGATCAGCATTGGCATTCTGTTTAGGATCAATCTCCTCTGAAGACCAACTGTCTGCTTTGCTAGAATAGTACGAGTTTTCATCAAAAGACTCCACGCCGTCGCTGTTGTTAGTCGTAGACTGCAACCCAGACACAGGCGGAATCCGTATCTGAGCTTCGATCAGACACTTCTCCACATCAACGTGTGTTTCTCGCTCTTCCAAGTCATTGCCACGACCCTTTTTATCAAACTGATCCTTTAAAAGGCGTTCTATTTGCTGCCGCTTGAGCTGCAGCTCTGCCCTGATCAGGTGATCAGACTTGGTGAGCAGCACCGGGTCGATGCTCGATGAGACGGATTTGGCTGAGTAGGGTCGTTGTGTAGGGGGGACAGGAGAAACAAGCTCGTTGGCTGACGCGTACTGCTGACGCGAACTCTCCGGTCGCGGAGGGAGCAGTTGCGAGGCGTGAATGCCATTTGAAGCGCCGTTGGTCGTGGGCCTGTTCGGCAGCGTCGTCTGCGGGAGACGCGGTGCGACCTGTTCAATTACTTTGGATGGAAGATGGATACGCGGGTGTTTGCTAGCAAGCACTTCATCGCGTATCTGCAAGATCTTCTGGAGAAAATCGGCCTCACGGAGCACCTCTGCGGGTACTACGCTGTTGCCGTTCAGACGCGGCGGTGCTGCGATGGTCGACATAAGCGACTGGCGGGCGATGTGCCTTACAACAGTACGTGAAGCTAGTTCAGTTCCAACCACGTCCAAATGCGCGAATGATCAAAGTCTGGAGATATACAAATACAGGTGGGGTACACGCTGTTGTTTGGGGCTGATGTTGATGAAGGAGACGGGATTGGGAGCGAGCGGCCAGCGTGCAGCAGAGGAAAACGTGCACGCGCCAATCGAGGCACTACTCCCAATCGAGTCGTCACTTTCCCCAATGCTCCACGCACTGATGATGACTCTACTTTAGTCTTTACCACCCAGGTCATTGAGATCCCGGCTAGATCTGTTCTACAATCACGACGAGTCTCTCACATTTCTTTCTGTACATATCAAGGATCTGCTCGCGAAAAGCCTAACTGTCAGAGCACATACACCAGCACATTTATCAAATAGTTTTCAAAAAACTAAGTAGACTTGCCCAAGACGGAGCTCAAAAGACGCCATACACAACACACCTACTGCGACTTTCAACTAAATCCCTAAACACTTGTCAATATGGCGGAGGAGAATGAAAAGCCAGTCTTTTTCTTCGACATCGACAACTGCCTGTACTCGAAGAGTATGTACATCCTGCGATCATAAGATATCGTATTCGACACTGATTTTCATAGATCTTGGAATCCACGGCATGATGGCGAAGTTGATAGACGAATTCTTCCAAAATCATTTGAGTCTATCGCAGGATGAAGCAAACGAACTTCATTACCGATACTATAAGGAATATGGCCTTGCTATTGAAGGACTTGTCAAGCACCACAAGGTCGATGCCTTGGAGTACAACAGCAAAGTCGACGACGCACTACCTCTCGAAGACGTCATCAAGCCAGACCCTGAACTCCGGAAATTGATAGAAGATATCGACACAAGCAAGTTCCGTCTATGGTTGTTCACGAACGCGTACACTACGCACGGAAAGCGAGTAGTCAAGCTGCTACAGGTCGATGATTTGTTCGAGGGCATGACGTATTGCGATTATGGTTCAGACAAGTTCTACTGCAAACCACAAGCACACATGTTCGAGAAAGCGATGAAAGAGGCTGGAGTGAAGTCGAATGAGAACTGCTACTTCGTTGGTGAGTTAGAAGATCGAATCCTAATTCTAGATATGTACTGACATGAACCAGATGATTCTTACATCAATTGTGAAGCAGCACAAAAACGGGGATGGAAGGTTGCACATTTGTTGGATAAGAATGACAAAGCACCAGAACAACCCGCATGCAACTATCAGATCAGGAGCTTGCAGGAGCTACGAAAGATATTTCCCGAGGCTTTCAAGAGCTCTTAAGCATGGTGAGCGAGGAGTATGGTTAGCGGCTTTTCGTGGATATTGAAGCATCTCTATCCACGACCATGTAGAACACAAAGTTCGTGTGAGTTTTGAACGGCGCAACTTCATAAATTCTACGTACAGAAATGTTTCCATAACTCGACAATCGCAATTGCCAAATTCCATATCTGTCGAAGCTGACTTGTCTGATTGGTTTGAAGCTTGGAGGTAGCTTCGATCTCTCGTCTCATGTCTGAACATCATACACCACAAATCCAAAACTCCAATGACATCCTCAGCAACACCCACCTATTTCCAGACAATGTCTTCCGCTTCATCCCCTGCTCCTACCTCGACGTCAGTCCCGCCAGCCCCGCAATCCTCGGCATTACCCCCATCCACCGAACACAATACCAACAACTCCCAAACAACACAGACCGCTTCCGACACAACAACATCGAAAGTCAAGCCACAGCGCAAGCCCCTCCTCCGTCTCGAACTCCGTGACCTCTCCTCAGATGGCGCGCACGCATTCCTCCGGCTCCTCCACGCCTCCGCGGCTCTCGAACACGCCGTTAACAGCGTCCTCACACATCTATACACCTCTCTCGACCCCTCATGCATACCCCCCACCCGCTCCATCACACTCGTCCTCCGCGCCATGGACGGCGTAGCCTACACAACAGGTCTCGACCTCGACTCGGACCACAAGGAAATCCACCTCAACACATCGTACATATCCTCCGTGCCTGCCTCGCGGCAGAAAGAAGAGATCACAGGCGTGCTTGTGCACGAGATGGTGCACTGCTGGCAGCACAACGGGCAGGGCGATGCGCCTGGGGGGCTCATAGAGGGTATAGCAGATTGGGTGCGACTGAAAGCCGGGTATGCACCGCCGCATTGGAAAAGACACGGTGATTGTGAGTGGGATGCTGGGTATGAGCGGACGGGGTTTTTCTTGGAGTGGTTGGAGAAGGAACATGGTGGGGATGTGGTGAGGCGGATCAATCAGGCTTTGAAGGGGTGTAAATATGATGCTGATAAGGTATGGAAGGGATGTTGTGGGAAGGGGGTTGGGGAGCTTTGGGGAGAATATAAGGCGAGTTTGGAGAAAGGCGATGAGAAGCCTAAAGACTAGGTAGCAAAGAACGACCTTTCGAGCCTAAATTAGCACCTGTCTGCCTGTCTAAAGAGTAGTATGTTGGGCAAGAGTTAGAACTAGATGTACTATAGATTATCTTGTAGTGTTACCAAACTTGATGGCCTGTTCAAGACACGCTTAGATATGGGTGAGGATGGGCATAGTATATTTAAATCAATAGTCAGCAGTTGTAAATTGTTCGTGTAACATGCTCCATTAATTTGATTTCATGTGCTATTATAATCGGCCCTATGAGTGTCAAGTTGAGTTGCCACCGTTGTGGCTGTCCGTGGGTGAATTATATTACTACTATTTGCATGGTGACAATCTAGAGAGCTACGTGTGTGATGTTAGACAATATGCGCTCGCGTCAGTCAGATTGTATGAATCTTGAACCCAAATTGATAGCACATGTGTTGCGTCCACTGATGTGTACGCGCCAGTGAGCTAGTACTCGAACGTCGCGTCGAGTACGTGTGTTGCAACGCTCAAGGAGGGGTTCGGGCTGATGCTCGGCGCGCTTTCACATGGTATGGATTTCCCGTAAGGCTAACAATGAGCTTGCGCCATTTGAGCCAGCTCTGTGATCGCTAGGCCTCGAGACTCTCGACCTCATCTGTATTGCGCTTTCAGGTCTTGCCCATCAGCCTCTGCGCTTTGGCAAGCAACACGGTGCTTTCGCGACCGAGCTTCCTTTTCCCATCTGGTCCTCCTCGCGCCTTAGCCATAGTTTTTCTGAAGCGCTCTCTTTCTGCCAGCCTTATTGAACGCTCATTCTCTGCGTCGTTCCTTGCCTTTCGGCGTGCGTCCGCTTCTGCCTTGTTCTTCTGCGCTATCTCGGCCTCTTTCCTGAAGGGCTGTGAGCGCGGCTGTTTTTTTCTTCGCTCTTTTGGTGGCTCGGGCTCTGGGTTGGCCTCTTCGTCCTCCAGCATCTTCATCCTGTCTGGATGCGGATCGAGAGTGGGCTCTGGAACAGGCTCGGCAGGTTCGTTGTCTTCGTCGTTGACCTCATCGTCGCGGTCGTAGACGGATTTTCGAGGCGTCGTGCTTGCTTCTTCTCGAGCCTTCAGCTTGGTGTATTGCTGTTTCAGCTTCGCCTTGTGGATGAGGTCTTTCTTGATCTTTTGCACTAATCATCGAGTCAGTATCTGGTCGGAGAAGGTATTGCGGCATGTAAAAGGTGCTAGCCACGTGGCCCCTGTCAGTACGAAACCCTTCGCAGAAATGAAGGTTGCATTTCTGCTGCGGCACGAAGATTGGGAATCTGCACGCCACCATGGCAGTAAAATAGAAAGTTAGTGACCACTCACCTTTGCGCTTGTATGTGCCATCAGGCAGATTCGCAGGGCCAACAGAGAAGCCCTTTCTCTGTTTTTTTGCATGTCTGGCTGAGTCGTCTTCGCGTGGCCGTTTCGAAGCCATGTTGTAATTACGTAGTGTTTTTTGAAATTGGGGTGCAGAGATCGTGAGGCAAAGCGATTCGGAAATCTAAGACACCAAAGTCTTGGCACGTGATCAACCAGTTACATCACTCGAAAGCCGCGGCAGAGACTCGACGCCCCAGCTTTGTGCACCATCGTATCTCTGCTGATAGCGACCGGGATGCACCTCGTCAAGAGTCATTACCCGTCGTGTGACCTCTTTTGCGCCAGTCAAGAGCGGTGTAGAGGGCTGCCGTACTCTACCAGCGGCGATAGCAACCTTCTCTTTGTCGAGACGACCACGCGCGTCATCTGGCAGAACCCTGTCGCCATCCTCTCCGCATCTTGCGCCGGAGCTCCACGTCGTTTCACCTTGAGACTGACAAAGACAGATGCGCGGTGAGGTGGCCAGCGCATTTTTGAACAAACTGGAAACTTTTACTCATGTCATTCGTCGAGCCAGCAAGTGCTCCAACCACCTGATCTGTCCCCGCCCGGGTACCAAGCAGCCATCTCAGTGCTCCACGTCCATCACGCCTCCAAAAGCGCATCACTTCCGTCACAACCTGTATCTATGCTGTTTTCTGCGATAACTTGTCTTCAATATGCCTGTATTCCATGATTTTGGTGACAGTCCGCCGCGGCGGTCATCTTCACGTCAACCGACACTGGCTGCACTTCAAGGAGAAGGAACGTCGAATTTTGGATTTGACACATCACTGCTAGAAGGCGTGTGTGCAAGAGATTTCGCAGACTCGAATGTTCGCCTTGAAACAAGCCCTGATACATCTAATCACGAATCCAAACCATCTTTACTCGATCGAATGGAGCTGATAGAAAAGCTCAAGAGAGTAAATAGCCCTCCATGGCAGCAGCGGCAAAGTGTGAGTAAAGGTCGTCTTTTTGTATTTTCAAAGTAGAAAGTAAGTCATCGCTGAAGCGATAAGAAAGCTGATTTTGTGTCATAGAACGGCGGCCGTCACGATATAAACTCTGAACTGCGACCGGCATATCAGGGTCGCCCAAAGACTCCTCTTTCCCCGTCTGCTGAACTCAAGCCATCACGCACGTCTACTCCTGAGGCCTTGCGGGACCATTCCTCGGTGGGCTTAGCGATCGAACGACCTCGATCCGCCCTACATTCGGGAGACTTTCGAGAAAAGAAGGCAGACGCAGGATCTGACGATGAGCCTTCTTTGACAAATTTCCTAGCGACTTCGCCCATCGTGCCATGGAAGCGCTCGTTTCCAGCAGTTACAAATCTTTCTTATCGGAATAATGCGTCATATCCAATCAGAGATGTGCCCAGCTGCGAATTCACAGTCTCCCGAGCACGTGCGACGTCACAGTCATCGTCCAGTCCGTTTGTCTTCATGCCTCCAACAAGTCCACTTGTGCAGCAGTCAAACAACACAGACTTAGATTTCTCTTCGAGACCAGTATCCAGAGATGGTTCCAGAAGTCCAGAGAGGCACATCCGGCCGCAGACGATTTCTCCTGCGTCCTTCAATGAGTTTCTGTCGACTCAAATGGCAACGTCTGCATCCGGCACTCCGGCAGCACGGCATCTGCGGCACGGAGGGTCAATACCATACCAAGCGCATCAACCAAGGCGATCTATGACAGCAGTCAACCAGTTTCAACCTCAGTCCAACCCACAAACACCGTTTTTGAGCTCACGTCGACCTTCATTCTCCTCCGAAGCATCGCCTCTTCACCACGCCCCTATGGTCGGGTCCTACGAGGAGTCTATTCTACGCGGACGCATGTCAACTACACCTTCACGCCCCTTGAACTTCGTTGCCAAGATTGGAGTGCTTGGAAAAGGGCAATGCAAATCTAGTCTCAAATGTCCACCCCATGTGACGGTGCCTTTTCCCGCTGTCTTCTACAGCTACAACACTGGGAACGGCATAATATCAGACAATGAGCCAAGCCCATATGTGGGCTTGGTAGATTTGGAAAACTCGTTGTCTGCGCCTGAGGAGAATAAAGAAGCGAGCAAACGCAAGCGCCGACAAACAGTACCCATTCCAGAACAAGACGACCACGAATTTCGATTAGATCATCAGGACCAACAGCCGGATCGGACTACAAAGGAACACATAAGACGGAGGGAAAAGAAGAAAAGACGGTCAACATCGCCCAAGGCCCCACAAGGTGGCTGCTACCGGATTCCGCCACAAGGCCAGCTGCAAATTGTTCTTAAAAACCCGAACAAAACCGCAGTCAAGCTTTTTCTCGTCCCGTATGATGTGTCGGATATGGAACCAGGTCAGAAAACATTCATCAGGCAGCGCAGCTATTCCGCCGGCCCTATCATCGACATGCCGATATCTTCGCGCAAGAACCTTGGCACAGACCGACCCGAAGCGGCGCTCAGTAACTCAGACGATCCAAATGACCGTCCAATTCTGCGATATCTGATTCACTTGCATATTTGTAGTCCGTCGAAGGGCCGCCACTACCTGTATAAAAGTATTCGTGTTGTGTTCGCCAACCGTGTGCCAGACGGGAAGGAGAAGCTGAGGAACGAGATCCAACTACCAGAACCGAGATACAGCACGTACAAGCCAACCCGCGATTCAGTGGCACCGCAGACTTTGTCAGTCGGAGGACAATCCACGGCTGAGAAGGTATTGCGCCGTCAAAGTGCAGGATGGCACCTTGAAAAGCCACCGCAGTCATACGACCGAATCGATGGCTTGAGACAGCACCCACCTAATCCTCCACCTGCTGTGCAATTCACAGGCGGTCCATTGAGTTCATCAGCATCAGCCACTCTAAGTTCGCCTGTGCCACTATACCAGCCCATTCCTTTCAGTCTCACTCGATTAGCTGCCATCGAGTCGCGACCTGTTTCCCGTGAATGTATGGATATTGAGGAGTCGAGCCCTTTCAGGACACCCCTGACATCGCCAAAGTCAGGCCTAGGCAGCCCAAACAGTCAACAAGAAGGCACGTTTGGAAAACTTAGCAAAGGTGATGTTGGATATGGAGGGAACGCGTTTTCACCTCTTGGTAGTCCATGTTCACCACCTGCTGCAGGGCTTTTAACACAAATACTTAGGGGTTTGGAGTCTCAGCAGGTTGAAGAGGATGAGTCCACATTTGCAGGGCATACGTAGTCCTTGTTAGTGTTTATTTTTCATAAGCGGAGTTTCAATTTGCACTCTAGATCGGTTGTTCACACTATTAATACCCTCATGGCGTTGGTATAGAATTCTCTACTCACGTAGTTTTTGTATTTTCCAGGAGTTTCGACATTTTCCTTTGTCACATACTGTTGTTTTGCCTGCTGTGGCACGTCCTGCTCGGCTTTTGTATATGGCGTAGGATAGTTGGAGTATTACTACTAGCTGCTCGAGAATGATATATCATCATATATATGTCTGTTCAAGCCGCCAGGATCAGGCAGTAACTTTTGATCGTACTTTCCTAGTCATCGTCTAGTGAGGTAAGCTCACTTGGCATACGCTAGTAGCGTGAAGTAACCTTTTGTACGTCACCAAACCTAACATAGTCTGATTCTAAGTCCCTCATTGAGGAACACAACATCTACTTGCCTACCTATGAAGATCTTCTCGATAGATTCAAGGGGCTTTAGCATCATTAGACGTCGACACGAAGTACCAAGATATATATTCAGCTTTGCGCTCCGCCCCCCTTACCTCCAATCTTTTCGCCATACAGGCCCAACCATAGTGAGCGGATCGACTACGTCGAATTCTGATCATGCTCATAATGGGAGTCACTGTGCTATTGCAAATCCAGGGTACAACTTGAATCAATTGCTTACTTTCCGCGAAATCAGAAATTCTGCAGAGCTGGGTTGTATGATCGGTACGCTCCATTGTTGTCCGCGCGCTGTCAGCCCGCAAACGTGTCAGGGAGCCACTATCAGATCAGGCCTTGTGTAAAACAAGAAAGAGGGAGGGGGCTTAAAGTCCATTCCATCGGGCTTCAAGAATTTGACCAGACCAGCCACACTAGCCCTTTGCGGTAACACACGAGAGCCATGGCGCATTCCTGTGGTTGCGCAGTGAAGGACAGCGAACATGCAAATGAATCTGCCGATCAGCTCATCGTGTTCATTAAAATACGTCCTTCTTGGAAGAAGAAAACATCCTTGGCACGCATCATTTTCACCACAAGACGCGCACGGTGTTTAGATCCACAGTGAAGTATTTACTGCCTCTCCCTCGACTTCTTTTACAACACTGTTCCTCAACCAAACCCGCACTGACAGCCACTCAACTTGCCTCTCTCGAACCAAAAGGCTACGCCTACGTCTCACAATGCGCGTCTCCATCTCCATTCTCGGTCTTATGAGCGCACTTGTCGCTGCTGCGCCAACCGTATATATCTCTAATTCTTCTGACTTTCACTGCTAAATCTTATCACAAGGCCACCGGCGGCGGCGCAACAATCTACAAGCAACAGAACCTCGCCGTCTCGCCCCTCGGCACGGATAGCACTTCTATTCCCGCAAACGCATATTGCACCGACTTGAACAACATCTTCGGCGACTTTGACGGCAAGGTGCGCAGTCTGAGTGTGGAGAAGGGCGTCAAGTGCCAATTCTATCTGTAAGTACTTCTGTTTCTTGGTGGTTGTGTTTGGTTGAGAGGGTGTGGAGTAAGGTTTCAATTCGACGATGGGCTTGCTAACACATGTAGGAACACCGGATGTCCGACTGATGGCACGAAGAAGGAGGTTGGTAGTAAGGACAAGAAGGTTGAGGAAAAGACACTGGCGAAAGAGTGGGATGGAAAGATTCGGAGTGTGTTTTGCCAGAAGATCTAGATGGTGGCGTGAAGATATCCTGCAGGTGTCGACAGATCGGGCGAGTCCGGGGATGGTAGGATCCTACATTGCAAGGGTCTTAGATTGTCATATAGCAACTGCTTGTTTCAGCATGATGAATTTTTTAAGGCAGGTGGTTTCGAGTTCATCTATCTCAACACTTTATCGATTCCCATAACGTTACGCACTACTGCCCCTTGGGACCTGTATACGTACCATCCCACCCTTGCTCATACACCTCGGGTAGTCCTCCCCTCACGTTTCCTTTCTCCCCCTTCCTCAGATCCCTGACGCTCGGCAACACGCCACCGTTCTCATACGCCCTGATCGTCTCCATAAACGCCTTGATCGAATCATCGAACCTTGTCCACCCATACGCCCTCGCCTTGTTGGTGCTGACCATCGTCGGCCACGCCTTGCCCACAGCCCAGTCGAGGAACCACCACGTAGCCCAGTCAAACGCCTCCTTCTTGCCGCCATACTTCTCGGTAAGAGTCTCCCACACAGGGCGCTTGTCGGCCGCCCACCCGGCAAAGCTGAACGAGTTCGACGCCGAGTACGAAGCCTCCTTGACTTCCGAGCCGCTGGCCGAGACCTCCGAGTCGATTTCGACGCCGTAGAGCACGCCGAGGCGGTGCAGTAGTGTCTTCCAGAGGACCACGTCGCCGTTTCCATGGTTGAAAGCCTCGTTCTTGGTGTGCTCTTGCGTCATTGCCCAGACGGTAAGGTCAGCAATGCTGGGTGCATACGACTGGTTCTCGGGACAATTCCAGAAGAACTTGTTGCCGCCAAACTTGGCCTTCTCGCCCGTTTGCTTGCAGGTGATGAGGTAGAGGGCGACTGACAAGGCGATTGACATGCCGCTTTTGCCCGGCGCATACCCGATAATCCCGTCGGGCCGAATGATGGTCCAGCTCCAGCCATTCTGGGCGGCTTGCGTCTGGATGTAGTCCTCCTGCTCGTAGTAGAACTGATGTTCGTCCTGAACGCGGGGTAGGTCTTCCGGGCAGGGGCAGATGGGTGGATTGATTTTGTGGATGCCGTAGTATTTTCCGCCGGTTTGGAGACTCATACGCTGGAGGTTCTTGCCAGCAACTTCGTTAATGGAGTCGACAAAGTTCTTGAACAAGGGAATGTTGGTGTCTTTGAGGTCGGAGAAGTCGTCCTTGTGCACATAACTCGTGAAGTAGGCATGGGTTACGTCTTCACAACCGTGCTCTTTCATGATAGCTTTGATCTTTTCAACGGGGTCGAGGAAGTCGATGGCGACAAACTCGACACGCCAGTCTTGCCAGGAGAAACCCAGAGGGGAGCGGGAAGTAGTTATAATCTTGGAACTGAGTCGTTGTCAGCAGTTGTCAATGATTATTACACGAGAGGACATACAATTCTTCTTTTGGTGTGCGGATGAGATGCTCGATGATGGCATTGCCACTGAGACCGTTGGCACCTGTCACAAGGGCGACTTTACTCTTGAGTTGAACCATGGTGTTATAGTTGTTAAGTGATTGATGCTCTTAATCTTGAAGATGAAGATGAAGAAAGAAGGAAACCGTGAATTTATACCCATCTTTGCAGGGTCGGTGTTCGGATCCATGCAGCGACCGCTATGATAAGCTTTACCTCTTTATTGAAATTTTCACATTGATCAAGTGTTGCGTGTACATGTTTCTGTGGTGATTGAACCTCAATGACGCTGGAGCTCCGTTAGCGGCCGCAGAGCTGCGACAGATCGACGCCAACGCAGGACCGAGATTAAGCCTGAGTGAGCTAGCTCATGCACGCTCATGGATAATAGACCCACAGTGTGACCCTGGATAGTAACCTGTTCTCGGATAATACCCGCAGACTAGTAGACGTCGATTCTCTTTTCTTCTCTTCACGCCCCGACACAATATCACTCTCTGTTCTTCAACTCATCCATCCTCTCCCTCAACTTTTGCCACCCCGGACCATCTTCCCAGTTTTCCTTCCCCTTGCCCATGACACTGCGTATCGCACTACGCGCCTTGAATTTCCAATCTTTTGCGACCAACTCACCGCTTCCTGCCGCCAACCCTTCACTGCGCTCCCTCGGACCTAAAGTCTCATATGCATCCACGAGATCAATCGTCTGATCCACTACAACATCCCACTGCTTCTCTGTCCCGGACTCCCATTTCGGCTGGCTCGTGACAGCGCGCCAGGCTTTCTCATGACATTCTAATGCAGAAGTGGGGCGCTGCGTGTGCATGTACAGAGTTGCCAGTACGCTCCATAATTTTGGGGAAACTGTAATGAGCGGCTTCACGTGTTTCTCGACGAGCTCGTTGACCATGCGTGGCAGACCTGGACGGGAGATATCAACGCCCTCTTCCGCCTGTACGACGTGTTTGACAAGCATGTCTAATACTTCTGCGTCGACGCACTTCTCACCCTCCGTGGAACCACGTAGCTCGCAGATACGGGTCTGCGCCGTTACGACGTCAGCCCATGACGGAGGATAGGTGGATGCAGCGACGGCAAGAACGTTGGTCCAGATGCGGAAGCTATCGTGTTTGATTGTTGCAGCGCGTTTGAATGCCTTGAGAGCATCAGTGCGCGGGTGATTTGTTATTTTCGTTTCGCCGTTCTCGTCATCCTCTGTTCTAGTTTTAGGACGAAGGTGTAGGAGGGAAGCAGCAAGATTTGACCATGCTTCTGCATCGTGATCGTCAAGCTGCACACAGCGTGAGAAGGCCTCGACTGCGTTCTTGAATTGCTGGAGCTCGAGATACGAGCAGCCGAGTGCAAACCAGGCAGGATGGTACAAGCCATTGATTTTCAGTGATAGCGAGTAAGCTTCTGCAGCCTTCTCGTAGTCGCGTTTTGCGATGTAACGTTGGCCGAGTGAGCGCTGAGCACGCGCATATCGCTTGCCAGAGACTTCCCAGGCCGTCTCGTACATCGAGAGATCATTACCAATGTCACCCAAGATGCAATACAGTCGGGGTGCCTCAGCAGGCGCGGGATGTCGAGCTGGACCGTCCCATGTCTCTGCATCGAGATCGGCGGTCTCGTCGTTACCATTGGTGGCGTGGAAGAGTTGTCTTCTGATAAGCCTACGTGCCTTTTCTTCTTTCTCCGTAGCTGCCCAACAAAGTGCTGCTTCAGCCCACATCTCCAGTCGTTCGTAAATCTCCAGCGCAGAACGTAAACCACCGACACTCACCCAGCGTGCAGCCAGTTCGGCCTCCAGTTCCCAGCGCGAGGGCGAACAAAGTGGGAAGACGTAGCGAAGTCGATCGGCTACCGATGCAGATTCTTCATCTTTTGCAAGAGGCAAGAAGGATGTCACTTTCTCATTGGTTTCTGCATCCGTAGTAGCGTCGCCAGATGTCTCCGCAATGACTTGGTCAACAAGCGCTTGAAGTTGGAGAAGACCACGTTCCATAGTTCTCGACTTGTAGCCCTCGATGCGACTCCGCACGAGGAGAGCCTGCGTGTAGATTTGCCAGTTTGAACTACCACCTTCCAACACTCGAGTCGCATACGGGATCGTCTCTTCTCTGGTGATTCCATCAGCCGGGTTTGTATTTTTGATGCTCTCTGCGAGCGAGAGTAGAATCACTGAGTCTAGTGGATTGAGTAATGGCTGATTCGACGGATCCATCTCCGTGAGACTGGCTGGTAGTGTAGACTCGTTCTTGACGTCCATCGATGAATTCTTTTCCGTGAACTGGATTGATTCGTGCAGGGTATCGTCATTTAAATCTAGGTTGGTTGGCTTTGGAGCATCCACAGTCTTCCCAAGTGTTTCTGACCCAGCACTTCGGGCTAGAACAAGCAGTTGACTGTAATCCTTCTCCTGGAATTTCGTCCTCTTGCCCAACAGTCCCGTCAGCGCAAACTCAAACTTGCGCTCCGAAGTTGCCTGATCTAGGTCCGCTTTCGCTTTCTTGTCGAATCCATGATGTGTATGGACAGCCGCTCTTTCCAACAAGAAACTTGTATGCAAATCCTTGACCTCCTCGCTCTTGTCCGAGTTCAAAATTAACGTCTCGACATTCTTCAAGTCGTCATAGATTGCAGTCTGCAAACTTGGCGCAACTTCGCTCAAGAGTCTTTGATGCACAAAATTCACCCTCAATCTCGCCCAAGCCGAAACCTCGATATTCTTCTGAACCGGCGGACAGGTTAGAATCATGTCCGCAAGACACATAAGCTCGATATTCGGGGTCAGCCTATATGCTGCAATTCCGTCCGCGCCCATCGACGCAACCAGATCTGCTCTCGTCTTGTTAAGCAGTGCAACATCTCCAGAGACATCTTTCGGCAGCAACATATCTGCAGATTTGAAAGGTAATGGCGGTCCCGTAACAGTAGACTGTATGAACGCGCACAGCGCTGCAACTGCAACCGCAAGAAAGAGGTGCTGACGATACGCTGCTGTTTCGCGTATTGGTGTATCCGCCTCTTCGCTCCGTTTTGACAAAATCAGCCCCAGTCGGCGGAAAATGTAATCGCTCCAAGTTCCGAAATTCTCTCTCTTCAAATCTTTCGTGACATCGTCATCTTCATATCCAAGTAAGATCTGCACCTCTGGTTGCTGGAAAATGGCTAAGAAGTCGCCGGATTCAAGTGCCTTGAGCACGTCTTCGAGAACGGCAACAAGTTCATCGGGCAGGGAACTGCGAAGGAACCGAATAAGAACGTCTCCCATGTTTGTTTGATGTTTGGTATTTCTTGTTGCGGGGTTGTAGAAAATTGATCGAATGTGGATGAGTAACTTGGTGGAGAAAAATGGCTAGTGTGATGCCTAACCGGATTGGGTTGTGGCAGTATTCTAAGGAATCTTTTCGAAGCTTTCGCGCGCACTTGACATAGCTCACAGACGGTTGCGCAAGATGAAATCCAACGTGCCTTTCAAACGGATAACAACCTTTTGCGAAGAAAACTTTTGTGTAAGACAGGTTGACCAATTAGAGGCATAGCAAACGACTCCTTCACAAGCACAGACACATGAATAAGACCATCAGGTATCAATAAGCTACGAGGACACATACATACTGAGCAGGCATTCCCTTCAAAACATAACGCTCAGTCCGAGTCGCTCGATGACGATGAAGAGCTTTTACCACCCCGGCTGTGGCTCCTGCTCTTATGTTTCTTGTGGCCCCCATGGCTACTTCCCGCATACAGACCACCGAGTCCAGCAGAGGAACCGGCATATGATGATCCCTGGTACGAACCACTGCCGTGCTTCTTGTGCTTCTTCTTCTTGTCCTCTTTCCTAAATCAATCATCAGCATGCAGTCTGTTGTGGAAAAAGGCGAGTGGACTTACTTGTCACCCAACATATTCGCGCCAATAGCGCCAGCGACCAGTCCTCCAATGGTGCCCAGCGCTCCACCACCGAGCTTGCTACCGAGGAAAGCCCCGCCAGCGCCTCCCATGAGCGTGGATCCAAGACCGCGGTCGCCCTCTGCAGCACCGCCCGGTGCGCCCGGTTGGCCATACTGCTGCTGACCGTAGCCCGGCTGCTGGTGCTGATCCCCATATCCGTGCTGTTGTTGCTCGCCATACCCTTGTTGGTGTTGTTGGTGTTGTAGGTGTTGTTGTTGTTGATCGCCGTAGCCGTGCTGTTGTTGACCGCCGTATCCATGCTGCTGTTGATCACCGTACCCATGCTGCTGTTGAGGTGGGTATTGTTGGTGTTGCGCAGGCGGTGGGTAAGGAGAGTGACCGCGGTTCTGGTCGTAGCCCTGGTCGTACTGGCCTTGGGGAGGGGCGCCGTAACCGTGCTGCTGAGGAGCTTGGTAAGGCGAATGCGAGGGAGGATAGGCGCCCTGCGCTTGTCTTAGCTACACTATAGAGAACTATATAGCATGTGTGGACTCACCTGTCCCTGCGCATACGAGTCGTGACCCTGGTTGTACTGGTCGCCTTGCTGTCCATAGGACTGCTGCCCATAAGGCTGCTGTGCGCCGTCGTAGCCTTGGCCGTAGTACCCGTTGTTTGACATGTTGGTTTTCAAGCTTGAAACGTTTCTTCAAGAACAGATAATAGTGGTAGTAGTGGGAGTATAAGGAGAGTTCAGTGTAGGTGGTGAGATTAGGCTGTCAGCGAGGGAGGGGCAGGATGCGCTGCTCTTAAATGAGCCACCCCGCGCCTGAGAGAGTGCCACATGAGCCGCAGCTCGGTCATGCCGACTTCATGGCATTGCTGACATGGGTGCAATCGCGGCTGAGCTGCGAACGCTGGAGGTCAAGCGGGGTCCACCTTTGGCTGAAGGCGTGACGCAGTGTGGCTGGTGAGGCAGTGCCACATCGCTGATTGGCTGGACAAATAGGTACCGAGCCGTTAGTCAAGATACCAGGAACCAAAACGCCGCGAAATTCTGCAACAGCTGGACAACTCTTCAAGCTTACAAATACCACTAATATCTGACTAGCTTGATTTGTTTCTGGCATTTGGTCTTGTAGTCAGTTTGCGGTGTTCTGCTGTGGAGGTAGTAGCTCACTTCCGGGTATCTCGACTATCCGAGAGACTCTTTACCGCCAAATCCTGCCACGTCGCAGGGGAATGGTAAACTGCCGCAAATATGATATGTCTGAGCACACCCAGTAGTTCGGTACTACGTCATGAGGCTGGAGGCTGACGTTGTTCATACCCTACCTTCATCCAATCATCGAATTTGAACAAGACCGATATTTCAGCCATTCTGTGTGAGCCATGTACTGCCTGTCGCAAGTTCAACAAAAGGCCAACTACAACGAGAAATCCAGGTCAGGCATCTGAAAGTCATCCCCAACCTCCATAAGGTTCATCAGGTATCTCGATCCCGAAAACCAATCTTGCACTGAGTTCTGATTCGCACCCAGTGGCCCAAAACCCATACCAGTGAGGTCGTTGCCCAGATCCTGGTTCTGATCCTGCGACTCCATGTTTGTCGCAAAGCCCGCCATGGGCCATGCTGAATTAGGTACTAGGCCCAAGGCGCTGAGATACGGATCAAACTGTGTCATCGCACTGAGATCAAGCTGCGTTCCATCCGAGGTTGTGTAAAAGTTTGCGTGATCGGTTTCGGGAACTGATTGTGATCGAGTTAAGCCATCTTGCAACTTTGCCTGAACATACAGTTTGGCAACCTGTAGGAAGAGATGGCACATCTTGTAGAGCTTGTCTGCGCCTTCGGAGATTGTGCGACACGACTCGAGGCTGGCCACGAAGGCGGATAGGGAGGGGAGATCACTAGAATCAGTGTTTTGGATTGCGTTGCAGAAGAGGACGATGAAACTAGTAAAGGTGTATCAGTAATGGGGCTCGTAGGGCATGAGGATTAGCGTACGGAGTAAAAGGAGCCTGAACTTAGATTAGTTTCTAGAACATGTTTCATACGCTGCTCTATCCACGTACCTGTAAAATGGACCAGTGGACATAGCCCGACCAAAGTTCCTCACTTCCTTGAACATTGAATTGGGAATTACACCTCATATGCGATACAAGCGCTGATCGAGAAGACGCAAGGCTCTGCTGGTGGAATGTGACATTATCCGAGCTGACAGCTCGCTGAATGAGTGCGCATACACTGTAGTAAACAACAGCATCCGAGTAGAACAACACGTCCACGATACGCCCAAGTGAAGCTACATCTGATCTCAGTACCATGCACAAATGCGTTGGATTAGATGGAGAGATCGATGACATGAAACATGTAGTTTTACTTACCATGTGCACGCTCATCACATTGTGAAGATGCGCCGGAGGATTGCTGAACCATTCGTTTGCTTTTGGAAGGTATTTCAGTGTCATTTGGCGCGCTCGTTCCTGTCTTCGGTTGCGGTGGAGATTTGTATGTGCTGCTATCCGTGATGGGTGTCTCCCCTCGCTCAAACCAAGCTTGGCCTAGAGCGTGAAGAAGTTCAGCCGCTGTCTGAGCACGATCTTCACTTGATCTACCAAACGCGGCAGGACTAAACAGTTTCTCGTAAGCCTGTCCTTGTACTCTAGCAACCTTCACCCAATATGTCAGCATGCCGTCACCTCCAGCGGCCTCATGTGGCTTCCCAGTCGGTACAATGAATGGTAGAGATATATCCCAGTCCTGGATGACACTCGCGCGGCCCAGGCGCAACGATAATGTCTTGTCAAACATGTAGATCATCCAGAATACATGCATCTTGGGATTTCGCTCTTCTTCACTTTCGTCTTTCATGGTTTGATAACGATGGTATCCCAGACTTTGACACAATCCAGCTGCCGAACTAATCATGATCCAGCAGAGTGACGGCTTGCACATCTCGACTGCATTCGCAGCACCAAGCAGCAGTGCCATAATATTTTCATAACTGGCGGGCACGAAAACGTCTAGCTGGCTCATTGCCACCTCCATATGCGTCTTGCACAGTGCGCTGTATTTGCGGAAAACCTGTACGTCCATTCCGGGTAGCGGGAGAGTTGCGTATTCAACAAACATGTGATACAATATGCTATAAGCAAAGATGCGACGGGGTGCAGCACAAGTCCCGGGGTTTTGGTACGTGTCCTCAAAAATCTCCGTCAAGTTTCGCATTTGGAGAAATGGAAAGATGACAGTAAAAGCCATGGTCGGAAATACTAATGAAGTTAGTTTGGCAACAACCAAACGAAGGAAAATATGTGTTACCCGAAGCCTTTTCCAAAACCATGATGACCACCCCCCATGGAGGTCGTTCCAAGTCCACAGGGTTGATATTAGCCAATGAGCGATTGAGCAGAGGCTGATTTCTGGATGTTGTAGGTGCAGTCATTTGGCCTTGACGAGTAACTAATTCTCCAAGGGCATTTAGAGCACTTTGTACCTCTGCGTTCTGACCAATTGACGGCGTACTACCAATGGCTTGTGCCAGAAGCTCTCGAGCGTAGCCTGACTGGCTATTGATGGCTGTTTCGCCTTCAAACGGTGCAGGTGTGTTCGGTTCGACAACTGCTGCCGGACTCCGCGCTGTTCCATATCTCGTGGACCGTGACTGACTGCTGTGCTCCGTAGAGTCCCTTCGGACGTCGAGATTGCCAAGTTTCAGTGCAAGGCTTTCGAGCAGATCCTCAATGCCTGTCAGACGATCCTCGATGCGGTCGATCTTTTTCTCACTAAATGCAATCAGTATCTCGAACCTGGCAGGCAAGACGGATACTGCACGTTCGCGTCGATGATGATATGCACTCACTATTCCTCAGAGACATGAATCCTCTGCTTCTGTACTTTCTGGGCGGGTGCAGTTGTTGTACAGCCTTCACGAGTTAGTTGCATATCCGGACATATTGTGTCTAAGCCAGCTTACTCAAGTTGCTTGCTTTGCAATTCGAGCAAGGCAAAGCTCTATCGCATCGAATCTTCCTAGTTCTGCAAGAGTCACACTGAGGATTGTTAATGGCTGAACCAATCATAACAGGATACAACTTCTCGTACCGCTCGCTTCGAGGCGGACCCATCGAGCATTGTATCCATGTCATCTCCGTGATCCATGCTGAAAAGCGTCCGGAGATTGCTTGTGGCTGCACCACGGAACGCGAGGAAGGCGAGATGGAAGCTTAGAGCTTCGGAGTTCTCGGACTCCGGATTGCCTATCTACGATTAGTGACTTTTGAGCCTTTACCAAAACACGTCAGTCACATCTAGTTATGATTGCGCGAGCCTACCGATGAGAGATGAATTCCAGACAATGTAAGCGTCATCTCATGACAAAACTTTTGTGAATGTTGCATCCTCGGCGCAAGGATCCGCCGGAGGTGAGATCAACATCACAAGATGACTGCAACAGCAGTCAACAATGGAGAAAAACAGGACGCCTACTGGGAGTTCACTGGGGTTAAAGAGGCTATTTCCAGATAAATCCGTTCAACATCGCAAGTCCAGAGCCAATCCGCTAGATTGGTAAGAAGACGCGAGAAACGCCAAGACATTCCGCCCCTGTTCCGCTCAAATCTCAAGTCGTGACGACATAGTGGTCCTCAAGGTTCACACGTCCTTTTCGTGGCCCGAAACTGTTTCGGAATGCGCGGACCCCGTGGATTATAATGAGCTTATCTTGAGCAAAGAATTTCTATTGAGTCGTCCTGATGCAACTTGCTACAACATCCGTACTTTGTCAACCATGACGCCAGAGAAAGAACTATCACCTACGAGGCTGAAAGATGTGGACAGAGGACTCAGTCCGAGTATATCAAAAGGTTGTGATACACAATCCGGCGAAACCAAAGGGGACACGAATGGGTACCTTGTACGTGAATGCTGGAGACGACAACACTAGGCTTTATCTAATGGGTTGAAAGCGAGTCTTTATATATGCTGATCGCAAAAGTTGGGTGCTGAATGGTGTCGCATTTGTTGCCGCTATAGCGGCTGACGCACTACTTCCTCTCATGGACCTTATCTTCGGAAAATTCGTTTCCACTTTCACTGGCTTCGCGACGGGCACTACCACGGCTGCACAATACCGGTCTGAGATCAATAAATACACGTGTGTTTTTCCCGAAACATTGCGTCCCTGAGCATACGACTGACCAAGCGCCCGTAGCTTGTACTTTGTCTATTTGTTCATAGCGTAAGTATTTTCCCCACTATGAGATTCGAAAGCTGACTGACTGCTGTAGCAAGTTTGGTTTTGTCTACATACATTCGGTAACTATCACTACTCTTGCGGAGGACTTACTTCCCAGAATGCTAATGTAGATTAGGTTCTTATCTCCATTTCAGCAATCCGGACTACCAAGGCTCTCCGAATTGATTTCATCAAGAGCGTTCTACGGCAAAATATAGCTTATTTTGATTCAGACGCAGTCGCTTCTGTCACAACCCAGGCTACTACCAACGGTAACAACGTTAATAACGGCATCTCGGAGAAGCTTACTTTGACCATTCAAGGTGTCTCGACCTTTGTCACTGCATTCGTGGTCGCGTTTGCTGTGCAATGGAAACTCACTCTGATAACGATCAGCATTGTTCCGACTATCCTCGTAGTCACCGGTGTCTGTGTGACCCTTGACATGAAAGTCGAATCACAAGTACTCACAATTCAATCGAAGGCTGGTCTCCTTGCCGAGGAAGTTTTCTCAACCATACGTACAGTGCATGCCTTCTGGCTGAACCCCTTACTTTCCCGTAAACACGACAAGCTTCTCGGCGATTCGATGGCCGTGGGTATGAAAAAAAGTCCTATCTATGCAGTTTTGTTCTCGGTCGAGTTCTTCTGTGTCTACTCGGGCTATGGGCTTGCATTCTGGCAAGGTATTCGAATGTATGCTAGGGGAGAAATTCAACAGAGCGGTGATGTTTTTACCGTTATCCTAGCGGTCATCGTTGCCGCAACTGCAATGACTTCTATCGCACCGCAGATCATCGCATTGACGAAGGCCTCGTCGTCAGCCAAAGAGTTGTTCAAGACAATTGATCGCCAGTCCGAAATTGATCCGTTTAGTGACGAGGGAAAGGTGCCGACCACATGCCATGGGAACATCGAGATTGAAGATGTCACTTTTGCCTATCCCGCTAGGCCTGATATTGCCGTTTTGAAGGGGTTGACTCTATCAGCTCCTGCCAACAAGACCACAGCTTTGGTTGGGGCGAGTGGTTCTGGGAAATCTACCATCATTGGCTTGCTAGGTTTGTAACTAAGTTCTGACGAAACGATGTACATTTGACTGACCTTGTGCAGAACGCTGGTACGATCAGCCTAGTGGAGCCATTTATCTTGACGGAACCAACATACACGAGTTGAATATCACTTGGCTCAGGACGAACATTCGGCTAGTGCAGCAAGAGCCGGTCTTGTTTTCTGGCACCGTTTATGAAAATGTTGCGTTTGGCCTTTTCGGAACCGACAAGGCGAAACTTTCAGAACAGGAACAACGTGTTCTCGTGAAGAAGGCATGCAGAGATGCGTACGCTGAGGAATTCATTGAACAACTGCCAAAGGTACAGACTTTGAGTATTACCAAAAGATCGAGTTCTCACTATGTTAGGGCTACGACACTCCACTGGGTGAACGGGCGATGAATTTGTCCGGAGGACAAAAACAGAGACCGGCCATCGCGCGAAGTATTGTGTCAGAACCGACGGTCTTGCTTCTTGACGAGGCAACAAGCGCCTTAGATCCCAAAGCCGAGAAGATTGTGCAGCAGGCCCTTGACCGCGTCTCAAAGGATCGTACCACACTCGTCATCGCACACAAACTGTCAACGATTCGAAATGCAGATAATATTGCCGTGATAGCGGACGGAGTCGTAGTTGAACAAGGAACGCATGATGAACTGATTGGATGCGACAGTGCCTACGGTGAGTGATCATGGCCAACGAAGACCTCTGCTGATTGGTTCTAGCCCGTCTCGTAAGGGCCCAGGATCTTGGTCAAACTGGAAGCAAAGACGATGTGGTAGACAAAGAAGATACCGATAGATTATCTCTTGTCCGCACGCAAACACAAGCGTCCGCTCGCGGAAGCCCTCAGAAGTCAGCAAGAGAAAGCGTTAATTACAATCTGATAAAATGCATCTACATCGTTTTGATGGAGCAAGGCAATCTATGGAGATGGTTTCTCCTGTTGCTGGTAGCCACACTTGCAGGAGGTAAGTCAGCACTCTTGTTACGTTTGAACAAATTGCCTAACATCTACAGGTGCAACGTTTCCGGCTCAGGCTATTCTCTTCGCTCGAATTGTAGAAGCGTTCACGCTCCCTCCTGATCAAGGTGTGGATCAGGGCGATTTTTATTCTCTAATGTTTTTTATCGTCGCCATCGGGAATCTGATAGTCTATGCGGTCGTTGGATGGGCTAGTAACATCGTGGCGCAGGTATGCAGCGATAGCTTGACCTTTCTCCTGACTCCATCGTGCTAACTTGGTGATAGAATGTCTCGAGAAAGTACCGTAAGGAAATCTTTGAACTTATACTTAAGCAAGATATGACCTTCTTTGACGACGAAGCCAATGCGAGCGGAGCACTAGCATCCAATCTTTCCAGCTACCCCGCAAATTTGTTGGAGCTCCTAGGCTTCAATATCATGCTCATCTTCATCAACGTTTTCAACATATTGTCGAGCTCTATCTTGGCGATCGTAGTCGGCTGGAAGCTCGGCTTGGTAGTAGTATTCGGAGGTTCGTGCTCCTCAACATCTGTCGTTGACTTTATTGGCTAACTATCTCTACCATCAGCCCTGCCAGCAATCGTGTTCGCGGGCTACCTTCGGATTCGCTTGGAGTTCAAGCTCGCGGAAGACACAGGCAAACGTTTCGCAAGCAGCACTGCACTTGCGTCCGAAGCGGTATCGGCGATCAGAACTGTTTCTAGTCTTGCTCTTGAAAGATACATCCTCGATAGGTATCGTAACCGTCTCCAAGGCGTTGCACAAAGCTCGATCAAAGCCTTGGTCTGGACTATGTTCTGGTATTCGCTCTCGCAATCAATTTCTTTCCTTGCGATGGCCCTGGGTTTCTGGTACGCTGTTGTTCCCTGCCTGACTTTTAATACATACTGACAACACACAGGTATGGTGGTCGACTGATCAGCTATGGAGAGTATACTACAACGCAATTCTTCACCGTGTTTATCGGGGTCATATTCTCTGGAGAGGCAGCAGCTCAATTCTTTTCGTATACAACCAGTATGACCAAATCGGCTACCGCTGCAAATTACATCTTCGGGCTACGCAGACTCAAAGCCGCTGTCCAAGAGGACCCTTCAAAGCCTCCTGACAACGATGATCACAACGATGAACCAGCACATATCGAGGTACAAGATGTTGCGTTCGCGTATGAATCCAGACCACATGCAAGAGTCTTGGAAGGCATCAATGTAGACGTAGGTACATCCGCTCTCGAGGACCTGCATTCCTGATTGACGATCGTTTAGGTCCGCCCTGGGCAATTCATAGCCTTTGTAGGCGCCAGCGGCTGCGGAAAGTCAACCATGATTTCGCTCCTTGAACGATTCTACGATCCCGTATCTGGACGTATAGCCTGCGATGGCTACGACGTGAAGGATCTCTGTCCTCGGAAATACCGTAGAGGGGTCTCGCTCGTTCAGCAAGAGCCTGTCCTATATCAAGGCTCGATCCGTGACAACATCGCCATGGGTGTCGAGCACGATGTGACAGATGCTCAAATCCAGGTTGCGGCTAGAAACTCGAATATTCATGACTTTTTAGCTTCGCTCCCGGAAGGATTTTCAACGATGTGCGGCAGTCGAGGTACGCAATTGTCTGGCGGCCAACGCCAACGTATCGCCATCGCTCGGGCACTCATACGTGAGCCTCGATTGCTTCTTCTCGACGAAGCTTCATCCGCACTTGATACGGAGTCTGAAAGAGTGGTACAGGCAGCACTCGAAGTTGCGAAGAGTGGGCGCACAACTATTGCAGTTGCTCACCGACTAAGTACGATCAAGGAAGCAGACATGATCATTGTGTTTGCCAAAGGACGAATAGCCGAACGAGGAACACACAAAGACCTTCTTGCGAAAAGGGGTGTTTACTATGAAATGTGCTTGGGACAGAGTCTGGATCGAAGTATACCAGCCTAAGCACGAGCGAGTTCTTCCAGCCATGGGCATGTACTATCACTGTTTTTATGTAATACCAAAAAGAATATCTTTCCTTTGGAGATGACTCTTATACTGTAGAAGCTGTTGCACTGTCCAAAGCTAACCAAAGTGCCTACTGACAGTGGTTCGACCAGCAATCAAGGTCTCGATTACCTTTCTTACAGAATCGCGACCGATGAGACCCATACTTCCGAGTCCTGGGAATACATCGCGCAACCCTTCTTTTTTCCGTTTCATCACAAGAGTCTGACGCAGATGGTGCACCACATCATGGTTGTTCGAAACGGCTTGGCAGTTTTGAATATCAGGGGTTCGACTTCAACGCTGGACATTCCAGTAAATTGCGACCCCATCTCCAAAAATATGATGTTGAAAAGCTTCAAGTGTGTATCGTAATGCTTCTCTCCTGGATAAATTTGGTCTGATTCTCTGGACGCAGATCTTCGCAAAGTGTCTGCAAGCATGTTCCCGCGGTTGACTTTCTAACAATCAGGATTTGGACGGAAAGATTCACAGGACTAGGGACTGGAAACAGTCTGTGAGTGAGGAGACAATGAGTGTCGCAAATCCCACCAAGACGTCAGCCCGTGTTCAAAGTATTGGCATCCCCAACTTTTCGAATCTGATTTGTTTCTTTCGCTTTGTGAGCTTGGCGACAAACCCATCGATACAGTTTGCCTGTCACTGATCGAATTCGTCACTAATTGATATTGGCCATTGTTTTTTTGTAATTTTTGTCGAAAGGTTGTTCACCAAAAGAACATTGTATAATGAATCTCTATCAACTCTGGCGTCGAACGCCTGTACTGGTATCTCTAAGGAAATCTCGACGACAAATGCTTGATAGTAGTAAGCCATTCATTTCTGGGGTGTCAGATGAGAAAAGAGAGGCGTCTGGAGAAAAGGATACGCCGTCTGACGAAGAGGAGAATCCATCTAAAGAGAAAGAAGATGAGTTGGAAAAAGAGTCTAAAGAAAGAGAAGAAGCATCCGAAGAAAGGGACGACCCAATTTCGACCTCGAACAACCACTCAACATCTAGTGTTGAGTCTGACAGAAAGGATAAAACGGTTTCTACCATCAGTCCAGCATCTACAGTACCAGACAAGACATCAACAACATTAGCTTTCGCCCCAAAACCAACGTCACAAGGCCTTAATCCTGATACTGCTACTACTTTTGAGAGTAGAAGCACGACTTTTGCTACCACAGCCACGACTCGACCTCCAGCCGCGACTACCGTTGTAGTGCAACTACAACCATCTCCCACCCAGCCAGATGTATATGGGGCACCACATAATTTACATCATGACAAGACATTGATGGGCCCTGGTGCTGAAGCAGCAGCCATAACCTTGAGTATCCTCGGTGCGTAGACACCCTGCATGCTTCTAGGTACCGATACTAACATCTGAACAGGCGCGGTATCTCTCATAATCCTAGCTTTCATTTACTTTCGACAGCGTAAGCGCCGACAGGACGATCAGAACCCAGTGAGAGATTTCAGCAAGACCAATCATCTTCGAGCCCCCGATTCAGCATACATCAAAACGAACACCATATCCGACCGCGTTGATCATTATTTCTCACGCAGTGCGCTCTTCGATGCAGCCTCCTACTCACGTCCTAAGACCTTGTCTACTATCCACGGCACTTCCAAGACTCGTATACCACCTCACATTCCTGCACCCAACCCATTTGTCGACCCGCCGCGCAATAAAGCATTTGACGTACTTGCGGGCAGGCCGCGGTCTACAACTTTGACGGATCGGGAAAGTTGGATTGAGAACCCATTCAAGAATCCCGCCAGTGACAGATTTGATCCGTTTGGGGAGTTGCAGCAGAAAGCGAGAAAAGAGAGGGTACGGTATATGGAACAAATCAGGATGGAAGCGGAGGCACAGAAAAAGAAACAGATGGAATTAGGAAGAGGTAACGATAGGATGGGGAGTGAGGTGACGGTGGAAGGCATAGGGATTCTGGATCGCAGTGGCAATGGTGCATATGTATGACGCTCTGCTACGCAGAAGTAGAGTACAGAACGAAGATTCAGAGCATTAGATCCTAATCTCATGCTGCGGAAAGCGCATATGCTGTTTGGAGCACGGTAGTTCGAACAATTAGGTCACGTCACGTACCAAGTCCAGATTGCTGCAGCTTCCTGCGTCTCATGTCGGTTGTTGCCGTGCATTATAACGAAATCTAGTTATCCTAGATATTAACAACATAGGCTTAGAAGTGATCCGCAGTACATCAAGTATCACAGATTGAATGTCTGAAAGCGAATCGAAATTCACTGCGTTGTCCCATTCCATAAGGCTTTCCCGTTGTTCTTAAGTTTGACTGTCGTATTTGGGATCCCTCGCGTTCAATCCCCCTTCATACTCGATCTCCACCTCTGTCTCCGTTCCCTCCTCATCGACCAACAACGCACAGTTCTTACTGATCAAATGCCACTCGCCCTCGTCAAACGTCGTTGGCTCAGAAGCTACAATTGTGTGTTTCCCGATTCTCTCCTCTTCTCCCAGAGTCGCCTCCATGTTTGTCATATGTCCTCCATCAGGATGTCCAGGATACTTTGTGTTCAATGTACGGCCCGCGAATTCGGACCAATATAGACTAGGCGGTTGCTGCGTGACGTGGTTGCGGAAACGAATAGCGAGTAACTTCGTGCCGTCTGTGGTGCAGAAGTTCAGAGAATTGGGTACGTTGTCCGCGCCGAGTATGTCATGCTGCAGTTGCAGGATCTGCACAACGGTCTTGCGCATAGCTTCGAACATGGCTTTGAGAGAAAATGGCTTGTCCCAGCTCTCCTTCCCCGCGCCATTTGTCAAATTTGTCATGTACAGAGCGGCAGCATGCTCAGAGTCCGTGGAGCCGAGTACATTGCAATACGCATCGAAACTCAAGAGATCCGTCATATCACGACGAATGGAAGAGAAGTTTGATACGACGCCGTTGTGCATGAAAATGTGACGGCCAAAGACGAAGGGGTGCGAGTTTACTGGTGTGACGACGCTACCGCTGGTAGCACGGATGTGGGCGAAGACACAGTGCGTTTCGGTGTTCTCGCAAAGGGATTTGAAGTTGAAGTCGTTGAAAGGAGGGCTTTGAGACTTGTATAGTGCTGGACGCGGACCGGTCACGTGCTTAACATAGGTGGAGGAAGCTTCGGTGTACCCTAGTATTCGATAAGCCTGAATTCTGATTGAGACAATTGATGTCCAAAATATTGGCCGAGTTGGAAGAGATAGTTGAAATGAACTATTGCTTTAATTGAGTGTGCGAACAGTCGTCACAACGTCCTGGTTTGTAGATTGCGAACTTTCATATACCGTGACTTTGTGCTCAATTGAAGATAGATAAAATGACACTTACAAGCAACTCCCAATCCATCCATGTTCAGTAGTGAGTTACGGATACGTAGCAACTCATCAGAAGCATCATTCAGATCCTTGTCATCACCATGCGGCAGAAGTTTCGGAAGATAGTGCTCGGAGCATTGTTTGCTGATGCTGTTGGCAGGTGTGATGAGTACATCCGATAGTAGGCATGGCTCCTTAGGAGATATGTATGCGAACCACCGACACATGCTAGCGAAAATTTGGCAGGGACAATTGGTAATCAGGGAGCTGAGTTATGATGATCTGCGCGAACCGAGAAATCCAGAGGGGGTAGGTAAGCTTATTTGAAGTCGATTGATGTACGCAAGCTAAGAGGTAGCCTGATTTGTTGGGGGTAGCACCACTTTCGCTCAAACGCAGCTTCGCCTGAGTGTATTCGGCTGATAGGAGAAACAGGTTGAGATGGCGCGGGCGTGCAACCTTCACGGCGATACAACGTCGCACAGAGTAGTGATGGGTTGAATGCCAAGCTGAAGTGGCTGAGCCTTCGCGGGCTGAAGGTTGAGGATGTACTGAATTTGCGATAAGAAGAATCAAACGGGGATAGCAAGTACCGACAAATACGAGGTTAAGGAGTACAAGTACTTCTTGCAGTGTCTAGCGTGTGGCAAAGAGAAGATGCCTTGCGGATTGTTTCTTATGCAGGATGTTCCAAAAGCCAGGAGCCAAGATCGGGATGAACGTGGTGCATGTATACAAAGATGTGGAGGGCACCAACAGTCGATAGTGCGGGGCAAGTGCGGGGCAACGGGAGCACGTGGTATGACTGGAAGATAGGTGACTATGTAACTAGTGATATGCGGAATCTAGTCATTCTAAAGTATATTACATAGTCGACGTTTCGAAACATCTTGATGAATAAACTTGTGTCGGTTCAACACACTGTTGGTATCACTGGCATCAATATGTATCATGGAGTGAGCAATTAACAAGTCTTAGCAAGGCTCTGCTAGAGACGCGTGCACTACTTCAAAAACAAGATAGAGTGAAGTCTCGTGCGAAAGTAAATACCTTTACATAGAATAGGGACATGTGGCCTACTATATCGTAACAATGGCGGGATGTCGGCAATCGCCTTCATATCTCTGCGAGCAAATCAAGGCACCGAACACGATCATGCACTAATGCACATTATTATCCGAGGTTAGCGCTTCGCGACATCCAACCTCAGAGGGCGTGAGGAAGTCGCGTGAACTATCTCTGGAGCGGAATGGTGCTTTCTAACGAACCGTCCTCGCAACGTTGTAGTTAGAATTCGGAGCAATTCGAATTGGACTGCAAAAGCGGATCTGATGGGGTTTCATGTGTTCGAAGTCGTGAGTTATCATGTTATCCAAAATTCACGAGTGCTGAATAGCGAGATGTTGACGTGGTACGGATCGGATCGGATCCGACTCTCGCTCGAGGTGCGTCTTGCAGCCAAAACGAAGTCTTCTTGCATCTTTCAACTGCACGTATGAAAAGGGTTGAGGCCTTCCACCTTAAAGAACGCTCTGTTAACATCACGTTCTTCTACTTGCAGCGCACACTCAATATCACCAAAGTCTCCAGATGGCGGCAATAGATTTGGGAACGTCTTCTGGACAAGGCGGCAAGGCTCCACTAAAGTTCTTCCATCGCACCCGTTGTTATTTCAACGACCTTTCACGCTAACCAGGGCAGGCAATATGTAAGTACTGTCAATACCTGGATGGCGACTCTGCTACCGTCGCGCGCTCCGGAAAGGCAAATCAGTAAGGCGCTTGATGTAGTAAGATTATCAATCACGGTTTACCAGGTCTGCACATATCTCCAATATGTCGTATGAGCTCACGTTAGAGGGTTACATCTGCTCCGAGCAATTCCTTGTTACCCGCATGCTTGTTACCCGCATGCCATGGCTTTGTACCGCTTCCACAAGTTCGGGATTTTGGGGTTCTACGCCAAGAGTGGTCGCTGCCGTTACCCGAGGACATCTGGGAGATTACCTGGCTTGATGTTCCCGTCGAACATCCTTGCGTACCAAGAGTGACAAGGCAGGATTCCAGGCATACCCAATAGTCCCAGATACTCGGTGACGAAGATGGCGTCTGCTTGTAGGGCATCAGTACTAGGGTTCGAAATTTTCCAGCCTATCAGAACGCGCGGTTTGCTCTGGCAACAATTGTATGGAACAGACTTCTGGACAATGTGCAGCGGAGCTCTCCTCACCCCCCCGCTGGATTACGTTTTCCCCGTTGTCGTAATGCTTGCACGGCATCTGGAACCCATGTCCATTCTTGGCAAATCGCGCTATTCCGTAAAGGGTAAGTGTACCCAGAATATAATGTGCGGTGATTCGAACGCGCGTGGAGGAGGCAGAATCGTAAAGGGAAATGGAAGCGGAGTTGCAAGCGGAGGAGTGGTCGCGGCTGAATTGTGCGATGAAAACTCTTCTTCGCCTAGGTACTGCGTTCTTGATGTGCATTCACTACGCTATAACGCGTTAGTTCTTTCCGAGAAACTAGAAACACATCAAACTACTTTCGTTGTTGAGTCGCATCTTACACTCACCACCGTCAGGATCCGCAGGCTAGGCGTTTGCGATATCCCGCGTCTGCCTGTCCTATAAAGACCATGTCTTTGCCCCAGTCGCTCATGCTATCAAGGACGCCTAATCTTGCAGGTCCACAGCTATCCACTTCCTCCACACCCACTGACATCAGTGGAACGCCTTCCCCACGCAATCAGGTATATAATCGACTCCCAGGCGTCAACTGCAACTCCCAAGCAATTCCCAAGCAACCTTGAACATCCATCCCCACGCGACTTGGCCTTACGCGACCCTACCCTCCTACTCCATAGCAACAACCCTCAATTGCCAACGCCACACGTCCGTACGCGGCCATGAAGGGCGAGAAGAAGTATTCGGGCGAGTTCGTTCGCGACTCGTATCCAAACGACGATGTTCAACATGGGGTTGTAACCGACAACTCCGACGATTTACAGCGTCATCTAGGAAATCGCCAGATTCAACTGATTGCTATTGGCGGTTCCATCGGTACAGCCTTGTTTGTGAGTATTGGGGGTGCTCTAAACAAAGGTGGTCCTTTAGGTTTACTGCTCGCCTACTCTGGTTATTGTGTCATAATTGCCTTAGTTAACAACGCCATGGCTGAGATGGCTTCCTACATGCCAGTCTCTGGTGGCTTTATCCGCATGGCAGGCCATTGGGTTGATGAAGCTCTTGGTTTCACAGCGGGATGGAACTTCTTCTTTTACGAAGCCTTGCTTATCCCGTTTGAGATTACGGCCCTCAATATCGTTCTGAAATTTTGGAGAGATGATATCCCTGTTGCGGCTGTTTGCGCGGCTGTCATTGTGCTCTATGCGTGAGGCTCACTTTTTGTTTTCTCCAATCCAACCATTTCCATTGCAAGAACACAACTAATTGCTTACCTATAGTGCCTGCAATGTCCTCGCGGTCAAAGCATATGGCGAAGCCGAGTTCTGGCTATCCGGTGGGAAGGTCATCTTGATCCTCATCCTCTATTGCTTCACCTTCATTACAATGGTTGGGGGCAACCCGCAAAAGGACGCATATGGCTTCCGTCATTGGCGTGACCCGGGACCCCTGGGCTCGCTGTACACCGACGGCGGTCTAGGACACTTCGAAGGATTTCTCGGCGCTCTATGGGCTGCCTCGTTCTGTATCGTTGGCCCTGAGTACATTTCCATGGTTTCTGGTGAAGCGAAACGCCCTCGCATCTACATCAAGAACGCCTTCAAGACTGTGTACTTCCGATTTGGTGCGTTCTTCATCCTCGGGGCGTTGTGTGTCGGTATCGTGTTGGGTTACAACGACCCTGAGCTCGAGAGTGTTTTGAATGCAGGAGAGAGCAGTGCTGCCGCCTCCCCCTACGTCATCGCCATGAAAAATCTTGGAATTGGCGGCCTTCCCCACCTTGTCAACGCTCTCCTCATCACGAGTATCTTCTCGGCCGGCAACACATATACATACTGTGCTACTCGAAGTTTGTATTCGCTCGCCATCGAAGGCCGTGCGCCGAAGCTCCTACGCAAGTGTACCAAAAATGGAGTCCCGATCTACTGTTTCCTGGTCACTATGATATTCCCCTTCCTTTCATTCCTGCAACTGTCGGACAGCGCTGCAAAGGTTTTGAATTGGTTGATAAACATCATCACAGCAGGAGGCCTCATCAACTACATTATCATGTGTATCACCTATCTCTCCTTTTACAAGGCCTGCAAGGTCCAAGGCCTTGATCGCAAAACTCTTCCCTACCGCGGTTGGTTCCAGCCTTGGGGCACTTGGGTTGCGCTTATCTTCGAAATCGTCGTTGTCTTTGTCTATGGCTACTCTACGTTCCTACCGGGCAACTTCACTCTGGATAGCTTCTTCACCTACTATACCATGGTTGGTGTAGCCCCCATTCTATTTGTCTTCTGGAAGGTTTTCAAGAAGACAAAATGGGTTTCTGCTCACAAGGTTGACCTTACCTGGGACGCTCCTCTTATCGATGCCTATGAGGCCTCTTTCATAACACCACCTGTTGGTTTCTGGACCGAGGTTATCCAACTGGTTGGAATAAAACGCAACGTCGCCATTGATCAAAGAGCTGTATGAGCGGCTAAAGAGATAGACATGACTGGCTCATACCGGAAATCTTACAACAAGTTGTGATGCGACTGGCCATGCAGAATTGGATTAGATTCATGCAGTCAACCGCATGTTACACCATCTATGGTTCGAAATGAAAACGATACCCACTTGTTCAGATACGATATTCACATGACCGACGCAACCTCTCTACTTTTCCCATGCAGCAAGTAGAGAGTTCATTACAATCTTTACTGACTGAACAGACTATTGCCATGTTTCTCCACCCATGCAACATCAAATTTACAGCCTGCTTTCTCCTCCGCGCCAAGCAGAGTTCCCATCGTGCCGAAACACCAAACGCAACAATGTGTTCGCTGTGTTTGCAACAGCTTTTTACATCACGCAATCGAGCTCCAATTCCTTACACGCACCAAGCAAACGCCATGAACATGAAGGGCTGATCAGCCCACCGCACCATATACCAAACAACACACGTATATCTCGAGCACTACGACCGGCGAAACAACGTTGCCTCATACATGTGAGACTTCCACGGCCATTTGCTCATAACATTGCATAAAATCTTTGCCGCGCAGAGCATAGCCACGTCATGGCAACGCCTCACGGTATTTGTTCCCGACGAATCGGAGACACTAGAGGATAGGTAAGATTGGAGTTCTGTCCAGGACTGGGACGTTACCCCACTTTTAATGCCTACTAAAAGTCATGCCTAGCTTGATCGTGGATGTAATCGAGCTCCTGATGCTTTGGCACAGTATCAAATGTCCTACTAAAGTGTTGTCCTTAGCCTATAGAGTGGATCACTGCGTAGTACAGTCTCGCGGCTGCATCTCTCCCCGATCCACGACTGACTACAACAGATGATGACCGATCTACACAGGTATCAGTAAAGCCATGACGATATCGGGGCTAATGAGTACATTGACACAGTTGCCGATAACAACTTCAGGGTTGTACGTAAAAGTCGGATCCTCCAAGGTAGGGTCGCCTCCCCACGAAGTAGCACATGATTGGATGTAGATGCATAACCAACGTCTGACGGCGTATTCTTTCCCACTAGCATGTGTTGGAAGATAGTTCGTTTAACGAAACCGCAAGATCGTTTAAGTTAGGAAATATGCCAATCTGTAGAAAACGTCTCGCCAATCTGGCTAGATGCTTATCTCTGGGATCTATGTATTGATCCTAGCAGCATGAGAGGCCATGATAAGGACGCGATGGGGGTATCAACGACGTATTTCAGTCTCGCCGGAAGGCGTCGTGTTGAACACTTGCACACCAATATTCAAAGTAGACATAATCGAACAGGTACTCTTTTGAGGGTTTGCATCTAAGAGTTCTTGCGAAACGATAATCGCTACGTTTCTAATCTCGTAATCATAGTTCCCTTCCTTCTGTCTCTAATCGGCTGTTTCCTTCAACGTTTCCCATACCAACAAAGGGAAGAGGCGACCCCAAGCGCCCAATAACCTGATACACAGAATGGCTCCCTAATACAAGCAACAGCAACGGTATGCCAACTTGTCCAAGGATCCTTCCCCATGATGATCTGTCTTTTGTGTTCTTCAGCTCGACTTGATAACTCAGCCGCCCGAGCCAGATATGCCAATTAAGTAGCAATGTCATTGCGACCACGATGTTCCACCAAGACGTCGAATTGATGAATGGTGACGGTGCTCGACGGCCCATGAGTTCATAGAGATGGTCGAAACTCTGTACGATGCCGTGAATGAGTGTTGGGAGAATATACATGGCTGCGGCGACGAACAAAGTTTCCAGACAGCGCATACCGAGGCGCTTTACTAGACTTGCGTCTCGTCGCTTGACGTGCCATCGAGGAAACAACGAGTGGAGCTCTTGTGTGGAAGGGTGGGTCGTCGACATGTTGGATAACATTACGATTGTGAGATGGTGTAACGATGGAACTGTGTGTGTAGAGACAGAAATCCCGCGTTTGCGTTGTAGGTGCTATTGGTTGCTGTGCTGTTGGAGTTGCGTTTACGAAGTCGAGAGTTTGGGTAGGATTGGTCCTTCTCTTCTTATAACAACTTCCAGACACGTTGGCTCCTCCTTTCGTTGTTGAAGGCGCTGCCTTCCTTTGCGCTGTCTTATCCCTGTCTTAGACACCCTGTCTTGCACTACTCTTGTTCTCTCTATCGCGTCTCGAATCTATCACCCAGCCTAGCACTGCCAGTCGTGTCTTGTAGAATAATAATTTGCGCGAATGCTTGCCAACCTTTCTGTCGACTCCTCCTTTTTTTCTGAGAGTGCACAATTGTGCTGCTCGCTCGCAACGCGTCGCGCGCTCCGCTGCCTCGGCGTGTCGTATTGCTCGTAACGGGATATGAAAGCGACAAAACACAACCAACTTCCAAACCTCGCGACACAGCGGTTCAGCGACAGCAGGAGAGCAGTGAACGCGATGTCGTGTGCCATCTCGCAGCTGCGCCGCACCACCGTCACGTTGTTTTCTCGGCGACCAGGCCTCCCGTGTGTCTGCCGTGCCCCGCACGCCACCGTGCCAAACCTACCGTGTGTGGCTTGCACGCTCTACTGCTTTTGGTTGGTCAGAAGAGTAATTTGGAAAAGAAAAGGCGCAGTTTAATTAACCCCAGATTTAGGACCATCTCTCCGTCTCCGGAGATCTCTCATTCTTCGAACCCTGTGACGTGTCTCAGGCACGGTTTTGTTGCTATCAACTCAAGGAGGCGATGCACAGCAATCTCATCATTCTGACGAAGCATTACACTGGGGTACAAAATCGGGTAAATTACCCAGCTTTGGGTGTAAAAAACACAGAAGAAAGACTGCGGTTCGCACCGCATTGCGATGTAAAACGTGAGGCGATTTTGCATATAATAGTATACATATTGAACACTTTTTTTTTTTGCAGATTTACAGCTAATTTGTATATACAATCTATCAACTCTATGTAAATCTATATAACCTACCTACAAGCTCAATTGTGAGCTCAAATCCACCTTGATTGTGAGCACAGATCCAAGCTCGATTATGGGTGGGCTCGTGGGTGGGCTCTATCATGGGTATGTAAGTAAGATAATGTTGATAGTTTAGTTTTCAGCTTATGTAGAGTACGCTAGAGAAACGTTGTTGCAGTTAACACTAGCACTAGGAATAAAGAATATAAGAAAACTACTAAGTTTATACATAGGTAATAGAAATAACCTGATATTCAGTTTGAAATGACCTTATATGTAGTGTATAAGTGTAAATTTACCCTGTTCTGCAGTGTATTTTACACGGGGTAGTGTAAGATCACACTGATACGGTACCCCAGTGTTAGACTCACACAAAGATAACGTAATGCCTAGGCAGAGTACACCGGATAGATGAGCAGTAAGGTATCCGCGTTGTATAATATGATCAGGTATGACAAACGATCAATTTGACCACGAGATAATGAACCCCCCCCTTACAACGACCTTGTCTAGGTTCAAAAACATACATAACACTGACCACACCCCCTTCGCCAGCAGAACCTATACATCGATGCCAGCACAAAGCTTATATGGAATGCGTTACAGTAGCAACTATACCAACTGTCAGCTTCGCTCTAATAAAGTTGTTTTGTTAGAACCTATCCTGTACCTAAAGGCCGTTTGCGGGGTCTGGCCTGCATCCAGGTTTGAAGCCGTAGGGACCCCACTTGCACACTTGGGGGTTGGCGTCACGTTGTTCAAGGGTGTGAGGAGTCGCGACTGGTGCCGAAGCAACAAGTGCGGCAAGAAGGACAGGAGCAAAAAGAGAGAACTTCATCTTGGATGAATGAAGAATGAAGGTTTGGCTTGGATTGGTGACAAAGAAGGATGAGGAGGAGAGGAAACGATTGGAGTCGTTGTATGGTAATAGACAAGTAACAAGGACAGAGGTGCGATTTATATGAGGAATCGTCTCACGCATTCCTTTCCCCTGGTCTCTCCTGGCCGCACAAGTGCGTTCGACCGTCGACATACACACGTATCGATCCAGAACACTATGGACGTCAGACTGAGGCTGAACCTCGCTTGAGTCCCTTCAGCTCGCCAAAGCAAGGTTCGACACTGGAGAGATGAAGGTTAGCTAATCCTGATTAGGCTTATTTCTTCAGCTGAGCTTCAGCTTTTGCTCTCAGCCAGCCCTGAAACACTCAGAGAACATTGCTGCACAGTTCCAAACGTCTTGTTGCCATTTTTACTTCAACAATAACGTGGTCTAGACCATGCATGGGGTTTAGAGTGGTGCAAGGTGTTTAATTAGTCGCACGTCTTCAGTTATGAGTATCTCGGAGGCGCATTTACAAGTAAGTATGAGTAGTCTTGAAGCCACAATAGACGATAGGAGTGTGTCGCTTCGACCGCTCCGGGTTGTGTAAATTATGTCGCAGTTTATCGGGTAAAAAACACAGAGGAAAACTCAGCTCTCTCACTGCAATGTGGTGTCTTATGTAAGGTACTTGAATGATTGAGTAAACCCAGCTAAATAGGGTATCAAAATTAAATTTTACTTATTGTATAGTAGTCAAATCACTTACCGCAGTGTATACCACCCAGACGCTGTGCCTCACTGTTGTACAATGCTTCAACGTCAAGCCTTTCAAAGTCACACATAGATTTACAGTAGGCTGTTATGCTCGAGGGGTTTCCTAAACGCACAATTATAATTGAGAATAATTGCTCTATATGATGCGCAGAACTTGTCTTCCACCCATCTCCGTCAGCTCACACCCCTAGATATGCTACAAATATTCTTCTTTTTGACAGTGTCACAGACCCTCACAACTCTGAAAACTCTTTCAAAGGCCCCAAAACCCAACGGTCTCTCACCTCCCTGACCTCGTCTGCAAAGAAATACAATAATGCCCCTGCCAAAGTCACCAATCCTGGCAGTAATACCATCAGCACGACATACTGCACCATTCTCCACCACGCCTTGTCTAAGCTCCCTCGCATTGCTCCGTCCTCATTGAACCTCGGAAACTCTTCGTCTGGTACTTCTTTCCCTAAAAACTCGCATAAGGGCTCCCATCCCGACTCCCATCCCGACTCCGAATCGTCGCTGTCGATTTCCAAGAGCTGAGACGACGCAACAAGGCTGCGCACAGTATTGTAGTGTTTCTCGTACGCAGCTCGTGCTACAGGGTCCCCGTAGTTATTCCCATTATGCACTTCGAAGAGCGAATGCACAAGGCGTATCAACGGTGCCATTTGTGTGATATTCAGAATGCGACAGAGGATGAACAAGTGCCATTCATCAAGACACCAGATACTCTCCCGCATGCTATGTTCCCAGTCTTTGTACTTTCTGTTCGTAAGTATGACTTTGGCCTCGGGATACGCTTCAATAAGCTCTTTTGCAAACATGGCGCCGGGGATGTCGGTCACAACATCGTAGTTAGCAAGGAGTTTGTCGAATTCGGAGCGACCATATGGTGCTAGGTTACGAGGACGGTCAGCAGGTGGGAGGAGAGTCGTATTGATGGCTTCCTGCCAAAGTGCGAGTTCTTCAGGGTTGGTAAGGACTGAGCGCATCTGGTGTGGTGTGTAGCCTAGCTTTCGGAGTGCGGTGGAGATCGATGTTGTTCCCGTGCGGCACATGCCCAGAACGAGGATGCGCATGGGGAGTTTACGCTCGCGCTCGTTGATGTCGATAAGTCGTTGGTGGGCCATGGTGAATTTGGTGCGGAACAGTTTCGGGAGAACGCGATATGAACAGAGACGTATGTGTGAAAAACATAACTGTCATGAGAGATCTGGTGTTGTGTAAGTTAAAGCTGGGGTATTGAGCTAGCGGAACTGCAGGGCCGGGTCGCGGACATGGGTCTGACGGCGTAAGATTCTAGAGATGGTATGTATATACACGATCGAATTTTCTTGGTCTTATCAAACCTTAAAAACGGACTTATAGTTGTACAAAATGCGAGTTACCTGTGCGATAAAACAGATAGGCTAAGAACAGAATATGCAACTTGCCTAGCAGATCATCAGTGTACACCCCTTGGAGTTATTCGTTTGTAATGAAAGATTGGAACATAGCATCCTTATATTTCATGATGATTTGGAATTTGATACGTGCAGGTATTCTACCATTGCTGAGATTGTTTAACACCTCCTAGTATACAGTGTCGAATACATAATCGCTGAACTTGAATGTACTCGGATAATTCCACATCGTGCATATCCCAGCAAGTGTGCAGGACATGAAGAAGCAAAACCTTATGCGGCATTGCACTTATGACCATTGAACCGACATCCTGAACACCGGTGTCCCAGTGGCCTATCCGCGAGCCTCACTTTGAAACCGCGCATAGAAGGGTGATAAATCCGGCACTTGATTCCATCGAACGTGCAGAATGCACACGGCTCCAACGCGTCAACTCCATGTCTGGTGTAATCTATCAAGTGTGCATGAACAAGTTGACCTTGACGAGCGTGGCTGAAGATTTCGAACTTGGCGTTGGCATACTTGGAAGTATCGGGAGGTCCGTTCTCCTTTAACGACTCGAGATCAGCGCAAAACACCCCCTTATCAAAAGGTTCACTAGGACGAGAATAGACCGGTAGGTCTTGTCCTCGTTGATCCGACAAGACAGTGTTGTCCCTACTGAGAGACTTGTTCGTAACGGCTGTAGATTCTGGCTTTTCGCGCTTCACACGAGGAGGAGTCTCAACATCCAGCACGATGGCGTTAGCTTCGCTTGAACCCATGGACTGGGTAGTAGTGATTTTTGACTACACTATGATTAGCTATGTTAGATGACTGTGGTGTAGTCCAAATGATCAATGCGAAATAAACATGGCCCAAGCTGAACCGTTGTGATTTTGTGAGGATGTCTTACAGGTGGGGGTTGCACCTCAGTGCCTTGTCTCAATGTGAAATGCGCAACGATACGAAGCCTGGTGCCGCTCAAAAATGTTGAGTAGAAGTAGTCATGCTTGTCGTAGGAAATCTCGCTGATACGGCCCTCGCACATGTCGTCCGTGAGATCTTCAGTTGCCATGTGAAAATGCACCTCCCATTGCTCTTGAGGGTAGCGGCCGCCGAACTGGGAGATAGCAAACTGGACGAGTTTCTAAGCTTTGTTAGTAGAGCTCACTGCAACATCCAATACGCTGGTAACTCACATCGTGGGTATCACTCCGCGGGACCGTGTAGCTCATTTGTCGAGCATCGCCAAAACTTGTCATAGTGACAGTGGGAAGCGCCATCATTGCATATGGTCTTGTCTTTATGGTGTCAGTTGGTTATCTCAGCGTGCTTTGGTTGTGATAGCCAGAAGGAGTTAAAAGAACTTGCTCCACAAACGCGACTTATTCACCAGTAGCACGCGTAACGCGTAGAACACGCTAGCAACTTGGCAGAAACTTGCATTCACCTCAAACAGAGACAGGAAAGAAATAGGCTGATATGTGAGATAAGATGCGTAGAACCTAGATACGATACACAAGACTAGCCTTGCTATTGCTCACCAGGTGCGGGAGACCTCCCAGACTGAGCACGGCAAACTCATGTCCTTAATCCTGGATAGAGACACTTGAAGTTTTATCAACATCATGTCTGAGTTCATCATTAGCACATATGACGTAGACTCAACTGTAGCCGCACGTTTGTGAAGAGATTGGACTATGTGTCACCCGACAAGGGAATCTGCCCACACAAACAAAGCTATGTATTGTTCTCTACATAGTTATATTCATCCATCAAGAAAGAGTTATGTTGCTCTGGAGACATTACCCCACCGACGCGACTGAGGTAACGGCAACGACCTTTCGAATTTATAATGTCAGGTGCAGGCTCTCATTACTAATCTAAGGAAGGTGCTCGTTAGATAATCAAGGAAATATTCAAACCCTGATGAGAGAAAGCACAGTGATAGACAGTTTGAGCCTACTTATCGTCCGCTTCAGCACATCTGTGCCCGTGTAGTGGCGACCCACAATATCAAACGCGTTCGCATGTACCTCACCAGCAGTCCAGCACACTCTTTCCCCACAAATCACGGTCTTGGAATCACCCTACGGATAGGCGGCACGCACAACTTGGCCTGAAAGATCTCTCTTACCTCAACAGCGTGCGATCCATCCTCAGGCTTCTAGCAAATATATGCTGAAGCGCAAAGACTGGTAAATAGTTATCAACTCACTTCAATCAGCCCACGCTTAAGATCTATGAGATCGTTTTTTTGTACACACGACCAGTCTGGGGCACGAACTTATCACCGATAACGGTATTCAATCTCTCACTAAGAAGAGTTATTTTCAAGAGTGGTGCAATGAACAGTGGACGTGAAACAGACAACACCTTGACTTTCCAAGATTCCGAATGGGACGAGGTACCACATGCATGGATTAATAGACTACTGTTGATTTATTGAGACTTTATATCCAAACCAGCAGATATAAACACATCCGAGAGAGATTAGAGGATATCGTTCCCAGGTTCCTAGGTGATATCGAAGTGCACAGATCGTGAGAGTAGCAGTAAAAACATCAAACAGGTTGAGTTCTATTGACTAACCTTTTGAGCTTGAAATGTCATCACTGAAACCTTCGTAGGGCACTGTCTGTGACGAGTAAAGAGATATGTTTAGTGTAAAGGTGATGATTCATACAATCGCAACGAGCAATACCAACAAAGACCTGATTATTTCGAGAACATATGATAGAGATTGATAACTACTAACTCATCAGAACAACCATGAGTTCATCAATGTGTCAAGGTCACGTGCTCAACCTCTCACTTAGCAGCGAAGTAAAATATCGCTCGTCTCGGCTTGAATTGCGCCAACGAATCGACACCTCATCCGTAATTAGCGCACAACTTTGAACGGTAAACGCCAGTCATAATGCGGATAGTTCATCCAACACCCTCGCATAATTCAAATCAAGCACTCAATTCCTAAAAACGCAGCGGCGCACTAACTACCCACACTCTCCACCCCAACCACTCCATCCCATCCCCTCAAACATCCGCCTCGGGCATAGCATGCATATTCGCCCACTCCTTAACCCCCTCAAAATTCCTACAAACATGCTCCGTCTCATAATCCGGCCAATACCCCTCCCTCCCCTCCTGCTCATGAAAAGTAAAAACATTCACATCCGCAAAACACATGAGATTCAAGCGTAGAATTTCTATGCAGTGATCTATTCCCACACATATTAGCGCGTTGAACAGCAGGGAAAGAAGCAAGAGTGTACATAGACAAGCCCCGTAGATCACGTAACAATGACAGACGATAAGCAAAATACGCAAGCACAGTGACGATAACAAATAAAAGGAGAGACATACCCAAATGCGCCCTAACCTTCTCCCTCGGCTCACTGATATCGCTCCACTCCACCTCCCTGTAATACTCCGGATACGTGCTCATCCGCAACAAATTAAGACAGTGCAGTTGGTGGAACACCTCCAACCCGACGCGGTACCCTGTCTCGCCTGTGCGTGGGTCTGTGACCTGCATTGCGGAGGCGGGTTTGCGCAGCTTGGGGAAGTCTTGGAGGGGGACCATTTGGTCTGGTACTGTGTGGTTGTGCGTTAGAATGGTGTGAGGAAAGGGGGGAGGAGGGGAGGGGGTACGGTAAGCGATGTCCATCCACGCGTTCTCCACCTCGTCCGTTATGCCGACGTATTTCGAGCTGTTTAGGGGGGAGGGGAGGGCGAATTTCCTGGACGTGTGGGACACGATGTGCATTGCTGGCGCTGTTTATCTGTCTATCAGCTTCCGGCTTTCGAGGTTTCTTGACCCATGTTATGCGGCGGTGGGGGACGTACAGTATATGCCAAACTGATCCATTAGCTTTGCTGCCGAGTGCCCAGAGGGGTCTTTTTGCGCCATGATCGTGCACATGAGCGAGAGCATGGAGATTGTGAAGACGAAGAGGTTTAGGAGCGTGAGGATGGCCATTGTGCGCCGCTTTTGGGCGGATTGGAGGAGGTGGGGGGTGGGGAGGAGGGCGGTGGCTTCGTAGTCTGAGGGGGAGGGGGAGGGGGGGTTGAATTTCTCCATATTGGGGAGTTGGATGAGAGGATGATGTTGGGAGGAAGGCAGTTGATCGAGTCTAGAGAAGACGAGATGTATTTTATGATCGGAATGTGGTGTTGGGTCTTTGGTGTGTAGGAAGGATGGGGATGAAAAAGACGCAAGTCGAGTATCTCAACTAAGACGATTGGGAGAAAATCAGTGTCGACAATGAGCGACTTGCCGACAAGATCTACTGCTACAGTTCTAGTGACAAGTCAAGTACCCGCGCAAACCGTGACAGAAAAGCAAGGCACCCACAAGGCAACATCCTTCCACCCGCCAACCCAACCCGCAACACCACCACCACCAAACGCACCACCAAAAAAAACTTGACACACCAACCCCAGCCCACGCACCAATATCTCACCAGTATACCCACCCTCACAAAATCGCGACATGCGCTAGTCCAAGCCCCTCCTCCCGCAACCCCCCACCACTGTTTCACCTCCGCGCCGTAACAAGATCGCCATCTCACACCGAACCTGACACCCTCCTGGAACAGCAACATGCCGAATGGGCCAAAATCGCGCGGGAAAATGGTAATCCAGCTCGACAACATGCAGGGCTGCGGAACGTCCTGCGGATCGCATTTCTGGGTCGCGGGTGCGCGTGGCCAATGAGGTGCGCGCTGTTGTCTCAGGGCCTTGTGAGGGCTGTGGTTGAGGCGATGAATGTTAGCTGGGAGGGGGGGGTGATTGGCGAGTCGAGAGCGCCCGCAATGCGTTGCAGATGGGATTGCTTGTGAGATGCACATCCATAGCGGTTGCGATGGAGTCATGATGCCGTGCCGGGATGGCAGATGCGCTCATACGCCGCGGTCGATGCGATTCAGGCCACGGCGGCTGGATGTCTAGACGGTGTTGTATGCGGAACAAGCTTCTCTTATAAAGGGTATCTTTGTGCCAACTAGAACAGCAGCCATCGTTGAACGAACGCTTTCCTTCTCTACCTTACCTTCTCTTCTCTACTTGACTTCATCGCTTGTTTCTGCTGGCAGATTACCTTCCGTTCATTCCTATATATATCTTTTACGTTAAAACATATTCATCATGAAGTTCACTGTTCTCACTATCCTCGCACTCGGTGCATCGACATCAGCCTATGTCGTGCCCAACACAAAGGTAGCTGTGGAGGACAAGGCGGTAAATGCTGCTCGCATGCCGGTAAGTTCCAGCTATTTCCACATCATGGCCATCTCGTTCTGACTCTGCACAGGCAAGTGGACCAGTCCAAGCTGCTCATCTCGCAGCCGCGCTCCTAGCACGTGACCCAGCACCTCACCACAAAGGCAAGGGAAAAGCGGCCGGTGGCGCCGCAGCGACCGGTGCCGGCGGAGCCGGAGGACTTTCCGCTCTGTTCGGCGGCAACGCACGCCGCCAGGCGGCAGATGATCTCGAAGACGACGACGCGCACTGGGCCGATTTGCACACGCCCGAAGCTGAGGCAGCTGAAGCAGCTCAACTCCAGGCCCGCCACCACAAGGGCAAGGGCAATGCAGCAGCCGCTGCCGGCGGAGCTGGAGGAGCTGGAGGTCTTTCCGCTCTTTTCGGCGGTAACGCACGCCGCCAGGCTGCGGATGATCTTGAGGACGACGACGCGCATTGGGCTGATCTGCACACTCCCGAGGCTGAGGCTTCTGAACTCGAAGCTCGCGACGTTGACCTCTCAGCACGTGAACCCCATCACAAGGGTAAGGGCAATGCGGCAGCTGGTGCTGGTGCTGGCGCGGCTGGTACCGGTGGTCTCGCCGCCCTCTTCGGCAACCAAAAGCGAGACGCCGGAATCGAAGCCCGCCATCACAAGGGCAAAGGCAAAGCAGCCGGCGGTGCAGCCGCAGCCGGCACTGGAGCAACTGGAGCAGCAGGCACCGGCGGTCTCGCCGCTCTCTTCGGCAACCAGAAGAGAGAAGCGGGCATCGAAGCCCGCCACCACAAGGGCAAGGGAAATGCAGCCGCTGCCGGTACTGGAGCGGCTGGTGCAGGCGGAGCTGGAGGTCTTGCCGCCTTGTTCGGCGGAAACTAGAGGGGGTGTTTAACTCTGTGTTTGACTCCGGCAGTACGGGATCTCGCTGCCTGGGTACGGGAGTTTAATCTGGGGGATGTTGGTTGGGAGAGGTGGTGGGTTTTGGGTGACTGGGGGGTGGAGTGTGTTGTGATATGATATGATATGATAGGGAGGATAGTCTGTTGTTTTTATGGATGATCGAATATGATTTTTGCTTGGAATGTGGTACTTGAGATGCGCGTGAAGTCAGTGATGATGTTTTGTTGTGAGCATGTGTGAGGGTTGGGAGGGGTTGATTGATCGGTTGCTGAGGTGTTTGTCTCATCGAGAGATTAGCTAGGGGAGGAGTGTCTCGCTCATCTAGTCGTATATGCACCATACCTGTGGGTTATTAGTATGCAAAGAACAACACTGCCTGTTGACTTGTAAGATATGGACCGGCGTTGGAAGGAAGGTGGGGGATGTTCAAAGGCGAAGTCACGAATGCGCGCTAGTTCCCAGGAGCTAGCGAACGAGCTCCCCAAAACCAAAACCAACCCCATAACCATGAGAGACAGAAAGGTGGCGTGTCATCCGCATCGATGCATCACACATAGTCCCTGATTATTACATAAGGTGGTGATGCATTTCGCATTAGTATCCCAAAATGTTGTCACATACAATACATTGGCGTAGTTGAGATCATACGCACTTTCCCTCCCATCATATCTCGTACACCAGCCCCCTACTCTTCATGCAGCTCTAACCGTTACCGCCTGTCTGTCTGTGTGTGTGTCTGTCCATCATAACGTCTGTCTCTTTTAATGCATTCCACTCCCCTCCAAGCCCAATCAAGAATACAGATTTATCGAAGCAGAACATGGCCCGTACGTGTTCCCCATCTATGCACATACCATACAGGCCCCAAAACTCCATAATCGTAGTTTCGCAACGCCCCCCTCCTTTCTCATGTGATGACCTCACCGCAATCGACCATGTTGGGCCGCCATTTGCTCGTGTCGAGTTCCCCCTCCATGCTGCTCGGCACCGTCACTTCGACGGGCTTGTACAGATACCACCCCTTCAGTGCTGCGGCTGCGGCTCGTGTCCGAGCCTCGTCTAGGGAACTCCCCGCACCTTCGCCCAGCTTGTCTCTCCCGCTGTAGACGCCGACGACGAATACGGGGTGTCTGCTCAGTCGGCCGGTTTCGGAGATCAGGCGGGCAATGGGCGATTCGAAGCCTTCTCGAGCACACAGACGGGACAGATCGCGGGTCGGGGTGCGGAAGTCAAACAGGGTGCTGATGTCGAGATGGCGGCTGAGGAAGTGGTCGCGGAAGAAGCGCTTGACGAGGGGCGAGCCGAGATGGACGTGTAGCGCGCCGATTAACGCGCGGACAAACGACTGTGCTGCCTCCTCGAGCGGGACTGGTGTTTTGGCCAGGGCGTGTGGGCTCGACGGGGCGTTTGTGGAGCCGAATTCGTCCGTGGCCATGATCTTGTGGGTGGTGGTGACGTTCCATTTCCAGGGCACCTGGTGCTTCAGTGCGGCGGGCACGTCCTCGCCCGTCTTGAGGCGCTTGAATTGTAGTAGCCCTGGGTCGACTTCTCCTCCGGGCTCGGCGGCGGCTTCGATGCCCCACTCGCGGGCGACGGTGGCAAGCGCACGCGGGCCGATGTAGGCTTCGACGGCGGCGAAGACGACTTCCATGGGCAGGCGCGGGTAGTGGCTGAGCAGCCACTCGGTGGTGTAGTAGCCCAGCAGGTGGCGGCCGAGGATGGACAGCGAGGCGTTGTTGAAGGCGGGACTGGCGTCGGCGGAGGGGTGGACGAGGGTGCGGGCCAGCGCGGGCAGGGGGAAGCGCGACGGCAGCGAGAGGCGGCTGCGCAGGGCGTGCAGCTTGACGGAGCGCTCGGCGGCGTTGGGGTGTGGCGAGGGCAGCTGTTCGAGGGGCAGCTTCTTCTTCCGGCGTGCGGGCGGTGTTGTCGACGTCTGCTGCAGCGTGGCGGGCACCTCGACCTCCAATGCCTCCGCGTCTGGCGTGGCAGCGACTGTGCTCTGGAACCGCGCCTGTATCCCGTGACTGCGGCGTGTGGCATTATTTGGAAAGTGTGCAGCAGCGTGTGGACACAAGGGCCGGCGAGGCAGCGGGCGGGCCAGCAATTGCGAGGCGCATCGTGGGAGGGGTACCCGCTTCATCAAGGCCACAGTCGAGCAGAGCCGGGGTCGGGGGTTCAGGGGAGGCGGGCGGGCAAGAGGACAGCAGCAATTCCGTTGTCGTCTGCTTCCTGTCGCTATGTGGTGATCGCGACTTGCTCCAAAATTTCCGCGCAGCACGAGCCTTACGTAAGCCCCTCCCCCAAGCTCATCGCCAACCTCACTCCCAGGACATACACACCACCCCCACGAACCCGCACTACCACAACTCACAATGGGTGGCGGAGGAAAGATCCCGTAAGCACTCCCCGCCAATCGCTCACCCGCGCCCTCCTGACGCGCCATGCCAGATACCCCAAGCACGTCTGGTCGCCGTCCGGTGGTTGGTATGCGCAGCCCGCCAACTGGAAGGCCAACACGGCCGTCATGGGCCTAGCCCTCGGCAGCATCGTCGGCATGGTGTGGATGGTCAGCGCGAACCGCGAGTACCGCGACAAGATGCCCGAGCCCCACCGGTTCTTCCCCAGCCGAAAGTACGACCACGACAATGACGCATACGAGTGCATGGAGCTGACCGTGGCGCAGTTGGAGCAAGCAGATCATCGAGCACGAGCGGAAAGTGAAGGAGCAGGGGCAGTAAACGCGACTTGCGAATATGGGGGTCGGAGTGCAAGAGGGGATATCGCAGGGAATATGCTAAGGCTGTACATAACTACCCAGCCGCTTCCTGAATTCTTCCACCCTGTCTTCAACGCGCACCCCGTTCCACGTCTCACCCTGCAGACTGTGACCCAAGACCGGCATACCAACCTGCTCGATGGCAAAGCTCGCCGAAATCGACCCCCAGATCGCTGCTTCGTCGAGATTCTGCAGTCCACCACTCCTCACCAGTCCGACCGCTAATCCACCCAGAAAGCCATTACCCCCGCCTGTGGGATCGACGACTTTCTCGCTGGACTGGTGATACGCAGGTAACCACTTCTGCAGCCCAGGTCGTGCAACATAGCATCCCTCCTTGCCGCATCGTATCACGACCCCGCCTTGGCCATCCGACCCGATGCCAGATTCCAACCACTGCTTACACAGCTTTTCGATCAATCGGTGATTAACACGATCCATACCCCCAAAGAAACCACCCAGTTCTTGGTGATTCGGACTAATAACATCAACATGCTTCAGCGCCTGCAGACAGTTGGGCAGCTCATCAGGCGTGCAGAGATCCGGCACCGGCTCCCAGATAAACAGTGGGCGTTGGTGGGACTCTGTGTTGGAGGACTGAGCGCGTAGAGCGAGTATGTTTTCCACGAGCTCGACGCAGCGTGCGGGTGCGCAGATGAGGTGGAACGATCTACTCCAGAGTAGTGGCGTGTCCACTACATCACGATGGTTGACTCGTAGCTTTGGGGTAAGGTACTTGAACGCTGCGTTTGTCAGTATTCCATCCTCCCAGTCCCTCTCTCTGTGGGGAAAGACGCATACATACCTCGATGTTCATCCTCCCCATACCCATTCCAGCCCCTCGTCGTCAACCGATCAGGCGTCTCGCGAAACACAACCCCAGTGTCCCATGCCGCGACAAATTTGCGCAGTTCAGCGGGAAAGTCGGATCCGCAGTCGACTATCCAGCCTATGGATTTCGATTGAGGGGGTGGAGAGAAGATGCGGGCGCCGAGGGCGGAGTAGGAGCCTGCGCCCCCGACTATGTCTTTTGCTGGGGGCTTTGGGGGCGCGAATTCGATTTCATCTATGGGTGGTGAGGAGTGGGGTGAGATAGTGGGGGATGAGAGGGGTACCGATTATGAACATGCCCAGGGTACAGAATTCGATTGGGGAGGCCATGTTTGCTTGTCTTGTGGGTTTGTTGGAGTGGGATGTTCTGTGTGGATTAGTTTGTGTGTACTGGTAGGTGGTTGATTGCGTACTGTTTACAGCCTATTCATAGAGACCAGTGATGGAAGCAATAAGTTCAAAGTTGATGATTTATCAACACTACTCTCTCGTCAGCATTCTGTTTGGTGCATCACATGTCTCTATTCACAGTGCTGTTGTGGGGACAGTCGAGGGCGATCGTTTGAGAAGAAGTATCACCCCACCACATACAAACAGAAACCCAGCCTCTGAGAGTTACAACAGGTAGTTCAGTCAATCCCAGTTACCAGTGTATGATACGTAACCACCAGACCGATGGTTGAAGGCGATGATTAACAGATTGCTGCATGAGGCGATGCATGGTGGAGCCTCGTCTTGGCACGTAGCTAGACCCTGGACCCTCATGAACCCTCACACTCGATGCTGCGACCAAAGTACTTTGTACCACGCTTGCCATTGCATGTTGTCCTATTTCCACCTATTTCTACTCTATTCTTAGGTTTACTCGAACAAGTGCACACGTTGTACCCAACCTGCAGGCATCCGTCATCTGCCCCTTGCCTCCCCCGAAGCTCCGCTCCACGTACCTTCCCTGCGCGCGCAGCAACTTCCATCCACCCCACATGGCTCAGGGCAACATGAATAATCTAACGACGCTGATCAAGCGGTATGTAGACGACCTCCTCTTTCCCTGGCTCCCCGACATCTCGCCTCCACCCCCGCCCTCATGACAAGCATGGCCCAGGCGCAACACCATCCCCCAGGCCGCCATGAGGGCATTCCCACGTCGGACAAGCTGCTGACGTGCATGGTGCGCAGGCTCGAAGCTGCCACGTCACGGCTGGAAGACATTGCTGGCTCGTCGTACCCCGCGGATGGCAGCGTGCCCAATACTGGAGGGTCGGGTGCTGTCGCCGGCGCACCCACGGCCCCGCGAAGCATTTCTCCTCCCCCGAAGCCGGTCGAGAGCTTGCCGCCGTCGATTGCCGCATTCGACGAGCTTGTGGACGGCGACCTGAAGACATGGTTGGGCTTGAGCACCAAGCTGGGCAGCGTCATCGAGGGCCAGGTATGCGGGGATTGCAGCGTTGCGGGGGAGCACAAGATCTGACGCATGGACAGTCGAAAGCGGTACAGCAGGCCTTTGCAGCGCAGCGAGACTTCCTCTTCATCGCGAACAAGGCGAAGAAGCCCGACGACCGCACCATGCTCGAGCTGCTGAAGGACCTGCAGGCCAGCATGGAGAAGACGGACGAGGTCAAGCAGACCAACCGGGACCCGGAGCTCAAAGACCCGCTGCACATGGTCGCCGACGGTGTGGGTGCATTGGGCTGGATCACGGTTGGCGCGAAGCCCCACGAACACATCACCGAGATGTTCGGCGGCGCGCAGATGTACGGCAACAAGGTGCTTAGGGCGCATCGAGAGAGGTAGGACGACGCACACGACACGCGAAGAGGACTGTACCTGACACGAACACAGCCCGGACAAGACATACGTCGAATGGGTCCAGGCCTACTACAGGCTGTTCAAGGCCCTCGCCGAGTACGCAAAGACGCACCACGCCTTCGGTGTTGCATGGAACACCAACGGCATCGACGCAAAGGAGGCCGCCAAGCAGGTTGCAAGTGCCCACTCGTCCTCTCCAGCGTCGAGCATCCCACCACCTCCGCCTGGCGGTGTCCCTCCCCCGCCGGGTCCTCCCCCGCCACCAGGCCTTCCTCCGCCACCTGGTGCTGCACCCGCGCCCAAGAAGTCAGCCGCCGACATGAACGCCGTCTTCGATGCCCTCAACCAGGGCGAGGGGGTCACGAGGGGCCTGAAGAAGGTCGACGCAAGCCAGATGACGCATAAGAACCCGTCACTGCGAGCAAACGACCGCGTCCCCACACGCAGCGACAGCAGCAGTTCAATGCGAGGCAAGAGCCCAGCGCCGCCCGGCAAGAAGCCCAAGCCAGACAGCATGCGGACTAAGAAGCCGCCCAAGAAGGAGCTCGACGGCAACAAGTGGATAGTAGTACGTTCTGCCACCCATCACTTTTCAAAAAAGAAAATCAATATTAATATGTACATGACAGGAGAACTTCGAAGGCCCCACGGAAATGCTCGAAATCGACGCCGAAATCAACCACTCGATCCTCATCTCCCGCTGCAAAAACACTACCATCCGCATCAACGGAAAAGCAAACGCCATCTCCCTCGACAACTCGTCGCGCACCTCCCTCATCATTGACTCGCTGGTTAGCTCCGTCGACGTCATCAAGTGCCCTAACTTCGCCCTGCAGGTCGTCGGCACGCTGCCCACTGTTCTCCTTGATCAGGTCGATGGCGCGACGGTTTATCTGTCCAAGGATAGTCTGAATACGGAGATCTTTACGAGCAAGTGCTCGAGTATCAATATTAATCTGCCCACCGAGGAGGATTATGTGGAGAATCCGGTGCCGGAGCAGTTGAGGAGTTTTGTACGCGGTGGGAGGCTGGTTAGTGAGATTGTGGAACATGCTGGTTAGGTTGGGAAGGAGGGGTTGGGTGGATTGGAGGTTGGCAGTTGAGATGGCTTGTATCCGTAAAAGTCTTGGGTGCTGGTTGGTGTATGAGTTGTCTGGATTGAATGGATGCAAGGAGACTGACATCTTCCCTTTACCCGTGTTTCTGTGTGTTGATGTGTTGATGTGTTGTGTATTGTGTGTTAGATCGTGCTGTGTTGTATAGTATCTATCTACCCGATGGATCTTATCTCTCTACCTTATTGTAATGGAATAGACTTGCTGGCCCGTATACGAACGGGCAAAACGCAAGGCACTCGAGATGGATAGCTGGATTGTAAATCACCTCGGAGTCACTCATTCACTCACTCACTGTATTCCACTTCTTCCCACCTCTCCTCTTCCATCCCCCCTTCTTCTTTTGCACCCACCTCGTCTTAATCATCTCATCGCATCTTACTAGTAGACACGCTAAGAGCTGAGTATGGAGATGAATATGAATATGAATATATATATTGAATAGGGGGTCGCAGAAAGGGGGTATCAGAGGACCGCCGACCCGGGTGCTATATAACGAACTAACTGACTGGCTGACTGACTATGTGACTGGCTAAAGACTAGATGGATCCATCTTGCAAGACTTCCTGCTATGTGTGTTGCGCCCGAGTGTCACCTCGGAGCAATTGAGCACACCATGCGTGATCGTATCGTTGACGCGGTAAACCAAGCGTGACGATCCGACTACCCACTACCACCCCCCCGCGGGCTCAAGCCTGCGCGACTGCTGCTGAAAGTACCCATCAAAGACGCTGAGTTCCGGTTTGCGCATCGAGTCCGCGATACGCTCGGGTCCGATATCGATCAGCGCCGCCGTCGTCGTGGTCGATGTATTCGCACCCATCGAGACAGCAACCTGCCCCGCATATCCGCCGCCGTCGAGACTGCGTCTGCGGGCTCCCGCGACCTTACCGGCGCCGCCCAGACTAGCGAGCATGTGGCTCATTTTGATCCGCTCCTTGGGGCGGGGCAGCAGCATCTTCTCAATGATGCTGAGCCATTCTGCTTCGGCTTTGAGCTGGCGCATACGCCGGCCAGAGCCGATGTTGCCGTTGCGCAGCCCGGAGGTGCTAGCGGCGTGCAGGCGATTGCGCCAGCTGGCGACGCGGTCGAGGTGTGCGTGGAAAGATGCGTCTTGGGAGGAGCCTGCGCGGTACTGGGCGAAGCTTGCTACGGATTGGTTTTGAGCGACTGTCATCATGGAGAGGAGGACGCAGCCGAGGGAGAAGACGTCGGCCATGCGCTTGCCGCGGGAGACGATTGCTTCGGGCGCCGCGTAGATGTAGGCTTGGTCTTGGAAGTAGGTCTGCAGTTGGTCGAGGCGCTGCGATGTGGCTATGGTGGGGCTGAAGTTGTCGCTGCTGTGGCCGATTTCGAAGGGCGCGAAGAAGATTCGGGGGCCGTCGATTAGGATCTTGCGCGGTCGGATGCCACGGTGGCATATTGATTGGGAGTGGAGGTATTCAAGGGCTGAGGCCAGGTCGTGCATCCAGTCTACTAGTACCTTTGAGCGGCTCGAATCGTGGCCTGGCAGTGCTAGATACTCGTCTAAGCTGTACTGGGCTGTGTCTGTGGCGATGCCGATGTGACTTGGCTGTGCGTACGAGCAGAGTATCTTAGCGATGTTTTTGTGTTCGTACTGCTGGAATTTCTTGATCTGTTCCAACACGGCAGCCTTTTGAGAAGGCCGCGTGGTGATGAAGCGCTTTCGTACCAGAATGCGGTCATCATTGCTGCCCAACACTCGAACTTTGTCTACACTCTTCTCAGAGTTTCTAGACGTTCGGATAAGCCCAACATGCTGCAGCGGAACAGTCTCGCGTACTGCAAAATCTACATGGCCTCCGGTTAATGGGAGCTCCTTCGATGTGGCTCGCCATTGCTCCGACACAAGCTTACGGGCATCTGCCACGATGCCTTGAAGACGGTCCTCGGGAAATGGTAAACTTTCATCTCTGAGATCGAAAAATGCTGCCTGTCTCCACGAAGACACATCGTCACACACAAAAAGAAGGATGGCGACTCTCGGATTGGACAGTGTCCATTGCCAAATTTTCTTGACCAGCCCGCCGTCCCACCCCTGCTTGCGACACAGTTCGTAGAACCAGCCGGACAGCGACTGGCCCTGTGAAGATAAAACAGAAGTGTTGATGAACCCGTTTACTAACGGTGTGAGAGGTACCACAGGTTGTCGGTACGGATTTGGGGAGCCTGGAAAGGCAGACATTAAAGGGCCTGGATACTCAAAACTCTTGTACGAGTCTCCAGATGATGAAAGCGCGGGCGATAATGGCGCAAATCCTGCTACAACATTGTATGGTCTTATGGGTTGCGGCGCTACGGGTGTAGTCGACCGACTTACATGCTCTGGGGTACGGTTTGGACTGTCTCGGGGCGACGAACCAGCTGACTGTGTTGAGGTTGTTGAGTTTGAATCTGGACTCGCGACGATGTTGGACCATGGATTGTTGTTTATCGTGGTCGGTGTAGTAGTTCTGCTAGTGCTCGAAGCGGATGAGGCCGTGGGGGAGGTCGGTCCTCGATTCGCGTACCACGCAGCTTCTTCATGCAGGTTGACCATCGACACGGTATGTGAGAGGCTGTATTGGGGTTTAGGGTAATCCACCGCTGGTTTGCCCCATGGGGAGTTTGTGCTTTGATGCATATCTGCAAAGCTGAAAAGGCGTTGTTTGGAGTGAACACAGTAGAGCCAACGAAGATTGGAGGATATAGTGTGTAGGACAGAATGTCCGTTGGAGACGAAAGAGCACAGCAGCCGGTGAACTAGTTTTAATATGACTTAAGCATAGACGTAAAAAGCACTCGGAATAGAGCAGCGTAGCGCGACGAGGAGCGTGGGAGGCAGCGATTGAGGAAGTTTGGGTCCAGGAGCCCCAGTCTATGAAAGAAGTACCACAGTAATTACGGAAGATACAGAGCGGTCGTGCATCCAACAACAACACAGAGGCCTTTGATGTGCTGGCATCCATTCGCCTGCATTTCAAACCGCATTAGTAGAGCGTGACGAGAGGAGCAAAGGCCCTCGGTATGTGTGTTAGGCACATATTGGGCATAAGCGCACCCTTCAGGATTAGTCGCATGCACGCGAACGTGGCGACCTCAGAGTCGCTTCATTCGAGGAGACATAAATTGTGCATCTGTTCGCAGCCAGACGAAATCGTATGGTGCCAGATCATCCAGGATGCTCCTCTGTAGCGCGCGATCCGTCCCGAAAGAGCAGGTGTCGTTCCAAGCGCTTCCGAAGCGCTGCAGGAGGCTGTGGAATTACTGCAGGACCACCGGCTGTGTATTTTGAGCACACATGAGAACGCAGGACCGTCCTGCTTCAAAGGAGCCGGACTTCGCAGTTGGAAGATGCCGGGACGGTGTTGTTGCGTGGTGATACCAGAGTGCCAGATCAGAGTCTACGCCACTCACTCACCGTATCTTCCGGGAGACCCAAAACCCCACCGGGGATCTTCTCACCCCTGGCACGGCTTCAGATGACGGCCAAGTCAGTCTCGGCACCGAAGGCTTTTGGATATCGGGCACGCGACAGTCGTACAGTCCTTCGTCTGGCCAGAAATCAGGCCCAGCGATACGCCTTCGAGGGCCGTGCCATGAACCGGGAGTGGCAGCAGCTTATGATTACGCACATCGTGCCTATTTCCGAGACACCACAACGTCGAACACCGCCCGTCACATGAGGCGTTGGTTGTCGCCGCAGTGGCGCAACCGTGATGGAATGGAAGAGACATGATGGGGTCCATGGAGGGGTCACAGAATCGCAACGGCTCGGTAACTAAAGTGCGCTCATTGGCCAGCCATCACGTAACGCAACTCCCAGAGTTTCGGGACATCAGAGCCTCAACGTCAACCGTGTCAAGGGGTCTACCATCGTCTTGTCATCCCGCCTCCGTCTTAGATTCCATCTTATTGTCGCAATAGCTTGATCGATTCCCACCAGTCTGAGGGGTTCGAGACTCGAATACAGGTACATGTCAAACACTACGCCCTGACGCATAGATATGCACCATGCCACCCGTCGCAGCTTCAATCAAGATCAGTCTCAACTCTGGTATGGCCTCTTCCTGCCAAGACTTAATGGTTCGGAGTGTAGACGGTAAGCTCGAGTCGCGCCATCGTGAACCCATCATCGGACGTCCCATGTAGTGTGCCGCGTGTCCGCGCTGGCGCTGCCAATCTTTTCATCGTGTCCCATAGTGATACCTGTGTAGGGCCTTTTTCTCACGGTTCATCCTTCGCGTTTTCCACTTTCATCTTTTTCGTACCTCACTGTGTTCTCCTGCTAGTTTGCTGCTGGACAGCCTGGCGGAAGTTACTTTAATCACCAAATTTGTTTAATACCACTCGTTTACAATGCTATTCAAAAGTGCCCTCATCGGCGGTCTGCTCGCTGCTGGACATGCGACAGCTTTCAAGATTGGACAGGTCAACGCCCTTCTTCAACGAAGTGATGATGTGGAAGAAGTACTCCGACGGGATGCCGCCCTCGTCGCCTCTCTTACCCGACGACAAGACGCAAACCCCGCAGATACAGCGCCTCTCTCCTCGTTAGTACCAGCGTCCGGCGACGCATCCAAAGCAGATTTGAAGAAATGGGAGGAAGAGACACGATCAGCCTGCATGAGCACGCTTTCGAACCTAAAAGGAAAAGCCTCGAATCCAAGTGGCATTGCGGTCTGCTACAATGTACCATTTCTCGACAACCGGACTGGCGTCTTCCAGGCTGAACTCCGCCTGTACAACGTATCAGCACCCGTTGATCCCTGGATAGGCGTTACCGCAGCCGACATCAGCTTGTCGTTGTCCTATCTAGGCGCGACCGTCCAAAACATGAACGGCACATTCCAAAAGCGTGACATCGGCTACCCACCCGTTCGTACACGAGACACGGATAGCCTTCTCGTCGAGAGACAAACAATCAGCGATATGACCGAGTTTAAAGTGCTCATGTACGTGGGTCGCATCAACAGCAACCTAATGTTCGGCGACGTCATGACCGAGTAAGTCCCCCATCTCCCATCTCCCCCCAAACCCACCACTAACCCCACATCAGAGAAACACTAAAACCGCTTCTCGTCCCGGACATCGATCTCGCGGCTCGAAACCCCATCTCCAACATCGACGTCACAGAGACGCTATCATCCGCAGGCGCAACCTTCGTGAATGGCATCTTCGCCAGCAAAGCGGATAGACCCACGACTGCCGATCCCACCGCTGCGGCCGCTGCGTCCTCGATCGCCGCCATCGCCGCGCCGTTCGTTGTACCGGGAACCACGCTCTCTTTCTTCCCCGTCGGCCTCGTCGTGACGTGCATATGGAGTGCTGTGCTCTTCATAGCCGTGGGGCTGGGTACCTGTGGTCGGATTCAGTTCCGTGACCAGTATCGCCGGCGCGTTTTGGCTGAGAAGGCAAGGGGTGTGCGCACTATCTAACCATGTTGTTGCTTTTCGTATATAAGTCTAGTTGCGGGAGACTATGTTGATGAGTGCGAGCTGGCATGACGAATCACGAGTACTCCATCTGTTTGATGTAGTCTTTAAGTGTTGTATGTAATTCGCGTCCTGGAGATGCATAGTTTTGGTGGACACAGTACCTATTTTATCACGGCAGTTTTATCAGAGTAAAATCAGCATACCATAGCATACCGTAGAGTAGCATATACCCAATCCTCACAGATCCGAACACACGAAGTAGAAGCTGACCAACCCCCTTGAGCAACTGCGTTGCGGACATGGGCAGAAAAGAGTCACTGCCGTTTTTTGCACGTCACTAGCCGTCGTCCCCCGCGTTTCCTGATTGGCCAATTCGCCCATGACGAGCCACGCCCTACCTATGACTAGCATGCAGTACGTAGCCGGCATAGCAACGTCTTCTGTTGATTGAGTCACGGCGTTTTGCTTTGTATATATAGGTCTTGCTGTATACGTTTCTGTCTTCATCGCAAATACATTCTATATCTCCGTCAATTGGATTAGGTAGATTAGGTCATTTTGAGTCATGGCTACACCAACGAACAACGACACTTCAAGCAATGTGCTTGCTCTGAGGACGAAGAGTGGTGTCAAGTTTGGCAAGGAATTGAGGGAGAAGGATTTCTTGTTTGGTGAGGGGTACTTGAATCTGAATCATGGTATGTGTGTTGCTTTCTTCCATTGAGTCTTTTCTGGTTTCTGGTTTGGGCGAGATGTGGTGGTGACTTGTTGAACTTCATTCAAGTTATAAACTCACCGTAGCTATTGACGGCTTGGTTGTAACACTTCCGATGGCCCATAGGTGAAGACTTGAACGTCCACCACTCTCATCTCATCAACCTTTCCAGATTGATCTTCTCATCCCTCTCATTTCATTATCATATCGGCAGCCGATCAAATCCCCCCATCTAACCCCCCCAGGCTCCTTCGGCACCTACCCCCTCCCCGTCCGCGAAGCAATGCGCTCCTACCAAGACCAAGCCGAAGCGCGCCCAGACCATTTCATCCGGTACGCGTATCCCACCCTCCTCGACGAGTCACGAGAAGCCATATCCAAGATCCTCAACGCGCCGTCCGAGACGCTAGTCTTCCTGCCCAACGCCACAACAGGCGTCAACACCGTGCTGCGTAACCTTGTATTTTCTCCCGGCGAGCACATCCTGTATTTCGCCACCATCTACGGCGCGTGCGAGAAGACGGTGGATTACATCACTGAGACGACGCCCGCGAAGAGCGTGAAGATCGCGTATACGTATCCGGTTGAAGATGACTGGCTGGTCGAGGCGTTTAGGCAGAAGGTTGCTGAGGTGGAGAGGCAGGGTGGGAAGGTCAAGGTTGCTGTGTTTGATACTGTGGTTAGCATGCCGGGTGTTCGAGTGCCGTTTGAGGCGTTGACGGCGGCGTGCAGAGAGGCGGGCGTGTTGAGTTGTATCGACGGGGCGCATGGAGTAGGCCATGTCGAGTTGGATCTCCCGACGTTGGATCCGGATTTCTTCGTGAGTAACTGCCACAAGTACGTATCTCTCCTTCCATCCCTCTCGTATCCCTTCCCTCTATTTTGTTGTGCGTACGGGAGCTGATACGAAAAAGATGGCTCCATGTCCCCCGCGGCTGCGCAATCTTCTACGTGCCCGTCCGGAATCAACATCTGATCCGCTCCACGCTACCCACATCCCATGGCTTCATGCCCAAGAACGCAAAGATTGGTTCTCCATTCCCGAAATCCGCTTTCGTGGAAGCCAAGAAATCGGCGTACGTCAGCAACTTCGAGTTCGTGGGTACCATAGATAACGCGCCGTTCTTGTGTCTACCCACCGCACTGAAATGGCGCGAGGAACTTGGTGGCGAAGAGAAGATCCGCGAGTACTGTTTCACGCTGGCCAAGCAGGCCGCGCAGCATGTGGCAGAAGTTTTGAGGACTGAAATGTTGGATAACAAGACGGAGACGTTGAGTCAGTGCTGTCTGACGAACGTTCGCCTGCCTATCTCTGTTGCCAAGGCGAAAGAAGCAGCGGCTAAAGCGGGCCTTGAGAGCGATGAGGTGGGCTCGTTGGTGCGAGATTGGGTCAGCAAGACACTGATTAGCGACTACAACACGTTTGTTCAAACGTTGTTCTATAATGGCGCGTGGTGGACGAGGTTGAGCGCGCAGGTGTACCTTGAGATGGGCGATTTTGAATGGGCGGCACAGACGTTGAAGAATATCTGCGAGAGGGTAGACAGTGGTGAATGGGCTGTGGTGGAGAGCAAGCTCTGAAGCCAGAAACTGATCCGATATTGTGATGGGTTGTTAATAGACCACGTGTGCAATACTTTCAGCGCTGATGAAGCTTGGGTGCAATTGCTGCAGAATTCTATCTTACTGAAACTCTCGCAATAGTAGCTCAGGACTGAACTGTGAGACTTAGTTAGAGCACAGGCTACTTATTAGTTGTGTAGGTATCCAGAACAACCCGAGTTCGACCAGACGTTTTGCTTTGACAGCTTTGGTAGATAAGAAAAAGCAGGGCCATGGAATGCCAAATCGAAGTAGGACTTGAACTTCAAAGAAAGACCATACTGCAATATGTCGAAGACCCTCATGATACTGGAGACTTTTTGACTGAGAAGTATGGACTCGGAGACTTGGGCCTTCGAAAGATTGGTGAATGTATTGAACAACACAAAGAAGCTCGAGATCGAATATCGTAGCGTTTAAATATTGTCTTGGAGTTGGGGTAACCAACATAAGCATCTCAACTTGCAAACACATACGTAAGATTTGGTTACTCCCGACGGCAATGGTAAAAAGGCATATGACGAGTGAACGGCACTGACGCGCCCCATGTTATGCAAGTCATGGCACCAACAGGACGGATGCGTCCAAGCGTACTGCGGAGCACTCGATGAAATCCGGGGTAACTATCGATAACGAGCGCATGGTCGAGGACATGCTGCTCAGCGATCTGTGCTGCGTGATGGGGAACGGGCCGCTGACAAGCGTTCGAAGCGAGGGCCACAAGAGAGAACAGATGTGCAGTCTTTGCAAGGACAGTATTCATGCTGACGCTGATTCGCAGGTGACGAGCGAAATTGAAGATGGTGAAAGCATCGTGACCAATACTGCTTGTTCGCACGATTGTCTAAGGAAAGGTTATTAGCTAGCATGCACGACAAATTCTTCTGATCCTCCTCTTCTGCGAATGCGTCCACGGTGATGGTCTTTTAGGGCCTGAGGGCGCATCTGTCGTGGGGTTTTTGGCGGGAGGAAGGTCAAGTGACGTATTTTCGTTCATCAAATATGGATCAAACTTCTGCTATTCAAGTGAGGTGTATTTCAGTAGAAGTATTCGGCGAATAGTGTAAATACTAAAACGAACAACTTGCGTTGCCTCGACATCGGTTGAATCGGGCAGGTATGTTTGTTCCGTACGAGGCCGTAGCGGCGTATCTGCAGGGTCACGCTAGTAGCGTCAGGTGTTTGCCGCTCTTCTAGAAGACTGCAAGCCAGGACCCTGATGTCTACTGGCAGCCAACATGTCCCAAAGTATCTCAGGTACAATGGTGTGTTGAACTCTTGCCTGCGCAGGTTGTGAATTAGTCTTTGACAGGCGGGGGAATTGGAAAGGCGATTGACGCAAGGCTCCGGCGTTCCATGCTCTGTAATTCAAGTGCCTCGATTTGTTGGGTCCCGTCAGCTAGGATGTGTTTGGTACAAAAAGGGCGGTCAGCGCGCATGCTCGAAAGTCGCCACGAGTAGACTCGGTTTCGTTGTTGCAACGTGGTCTGCGACATGGCTGACAGAAGCAATGCAGCTGGTCGACTCGCACAAATTGACGCAGCAGCGGAAAAAGCACGTTCCAGAATTACTGGGGAAGCGGGCTCAAGAGGCGGCAAAAAGTGAAAACTCTGGTCTTCTGTTGGCCGTAGTGAACTCCTGACGGTTCCGAGGGCGATGCGCCCCGGTTGAGTTGTTAGAGTGGCGGCCCGTGCGTATCGGCTAGCGATTGCCAAAAATTCATCCAGCCCACCATAAAATGTTCCCCTCCCACCACCGAGAGCCTTTCCACTCTCTCTCTCCTCTCACTTCACCCCTAGGGTTCTTTCCTTGTTTCTGTCTTTGAGTCGGAAACATAGAACGCTGCGAGTCAACTTCTCGCGGCTGTGCGTCTTTTGATACCCGGTAGATAGGCTTTTGTCTATCATAACCATAAAAATGGCTCCCGCTGCTGCACACGATGCCGCGGCCGTCAAGTCGGAAAACTCCAAGGCCCTCAAGGCACTTGAGGAGCTGATGAGCAAGTTGACCGTCTCCAAGGCCCAGGACGAGATCAACTCTGCCGCCAGCGCCATTGCCACCTTCATCAACGGAGACATTGAGGAGGCTGATGCGCCCACCAAGTATGTCTATACTTTGCCCCTCTCCTGTCTCGCCTCCCCCACCACAACACCGCTAACAATACCCAGGGCTGTTGAACTGCTCAAGAAGCAGCTCGCCAGCAAGAAGGATGCCGTCGCCCGCGAGCGTGCCCTCGATGCCATCCGCGCCATCGCCCAGCACTCGCACGTCTCCGCCGCCGTCGAGCCCTACCTCGTCGCCCTCCTGCCGAACGTGCTGGCCGCTGTCGGTGACAAGATGAGCGGCGTCAAGGTCGCTGCCCAGACCGCCGCCGAGTCCATCGTCGCTGCCGCGAACCCCAACGCCGTCAAGGCCATCATCCCTCACATCATCAAATCTCTCGAGACCGCTCAGAAGTGGCCCGAGAAGATGTGCGATCTTAAGTGCATCGAGGTCCTCACCAAGAGCGCCCCCGCACAGATGGCTTTCCGTGTCCCAGACCTGATCCCCGTCATTTCTGGTGCCATGTGGGACACCAAGCCCGAGGTCAAGAAGGCCGCTTACGCCACCATGGAGACACTCTGCAGCCTCATCTCCAACAAGGATATCGAGCGCTTTATCCCCGAGCTCATCAAGTGTATCGCTAAGCCTGAGAACGTCCCCGAGACTGTTCACTTGCTCGGTGCCACCACTTTCGTCACTGATGTGCACGAGCCTACCCTTGCCATCATGGTGCCCCTGCTCGAGCGTGGTCTCGTCGAGCGCGAGACTGCCATCAAGCGTAAGACGGCCGTCATCATCGACAACATGTGCAAGCTTGTCGAGGACCCCCAGATTGTCGCCGCTTTCTTGCCCAAGCTGATGCCTGCTCTCGAGAAGAACCACGACAACCTTGCCGACCCCGAGGCCCGTGAGAAGACCCGCCAGGGTCTCGACACCCTCATCCGTGTCGGTCACGTTAAGGACGGCAAGGCCCCTGAGATCTCAAAGGACGGCGATGTCGAGACCGTCGCTGGCGCTCTCAAGAGCGTTATGCCCTCCAAGTTCAAGATCGACGACAAGTTCACTCCCGTTGTCAACTACGTTGGTGCCATCGGTGGTCAGCTCATCGACGAGAAGGACTACGAGCCGCTCAACTGGCAGGCTAACGCTGGTCCCTTCATTGCCGTGCTTGTTGGCGACGAGGAGGCCAAGGACATCACCGATGCTCTCCGCAAGCGCTCCATCCCCGGCGCTGCTGAGGAGGGTGCCGTTGAGCCCGATGAGGAGGAGGGCGAGGATCTCTGCAACTGCACATTCAACTTGGCCTACGGTGCTAAGATTCTGCTGAACCAGACCCATCTGCGCCTGAAGCGTGGCCAGCGTTACGGTCTGCTCGGCCCCAACGGTTCTGGAAAGACAACCCTCATGCGTGCTATCAACAACGAGCAGGTCGAGGGTTTCCCTAAGCAGAACGAGGTCAAGACTGTGTACGTCGAGCACGACTTGGACTCTGCTGATACCGAGGAGACCGTTCTTGGCTGGACTCAGAAGAAGCTGAAGTCGGTCGGCATCGAGAAACCCGATGAGGAGGTTCAGAACACCCTCAACGAGTTCGGTTTCACCAACGACATGTACAACGGTTCCATCGGAGCTTTGTCCGGTGGCTGGAAGATGAAGCTCGCGCTTGCTCGTGCCGTGTTCGAGCAGCCCGATATTCTTTTGCTCGACGAGCCCACCAACCACTTGGACGTCAAGAACGTCAAGTGGCTCGAGGACTACCTCACGAACTCGCCCTGCACATCCATTGTCATCTCCCACGACAGCAAGTTCTTGAACAACATCATCCAGCACGTTATCCACTACGAGCGCTTCAAGCTCAAGCGTTACAGGGGTAACCTCGACGAGTTCGTCAAGCGCGTGCCATCTGCCAAGTCCTACCACGAGCTCAGCGCCTCCGACATGGAGTTCAAGTTCCCCGAGCCTGGTTTCCTCGAGGGTGTCAAGACCAAGGCCAAGGCCATTCTCCGTGCCACCAACATGAGCTTCCAGTACGAGGGTACCTCCAAGCCCCAGATCGCCGATATTACCTTCCAGTGCTCGCTTGGATCCCGTATCGCCGTCATTGGTCCCAACGGTGCTGGCAAGTCCACTCTCGTCAACGTCCTGACTGGTGAACTTGTCCCTACTCAGGGTGAGATTTACCACCACGAGAACATCCGTATCGCCTACATCAAGCAGCACGCTTTCGCCCATATCGATCACCACTTGGACAGCACACCCTCTGAGTACATCCAATGGCGATTCCAGACTGGTGAGGACCGTGAGACCATGGACCGTGCCAACAAGATCGTCACCGAGGAGGACGAGAAGGCCATGGACAAGATCTACAAGTTCCAGGACACACAACGCCGCGTCATTGGCATCAACTCCCGCAGGAAGTTCAAGAACTCGTACGAGTACGAGTGTTCGTTCGCCCTTGGTGAGAACGTTGGCATGAAGAACGAGAGGTGGACTCCCATGATGACTGCTGACAACCTATGGATTCCCCGTTCCGAGATCATGGCTTCCCACGCCAAGATGGTTGCTGATGTCGATCAGAAGGAGGCTCTTGCCAGCGGTCAATTCCGTCCCCTTGTCCGCAAGGAGATTGAGGCCCACTGCGCTCAATTTGGTCTCGACGCCGAGCTCGTCTCCCACTCACGTATGCGTGGTCTGTCCGGTGGTCAGCGTGTCAAGGTCGTCCTTGCTGCCTGCTCGTGGCAACGCCCCCACTTGATCGTTCTTGACGAACCTACTAACTACCTCGACCGCGACTCTCTCGGTGCCCTATCCAAGGCCATCAAGTCCTTCGAGGGTGGTGTCATCATCATCACTCACTCTGCCGAGTTCACCAAGGATCTCACCGAGGAAGTCTGGGCTGTCATGGATGGTCGTATGACTCCTTCGGGACACAACTGGGTTCAAGGACAAGGTGCCGGGCCACGCCTGGCTAAGGACGACGGAGAGGAGGTTGAGACCTACGATGCCATGGGTTCTGCTCTCTTCCCTTGCCGCTTGACGCAAAGCTAACGTTTTTCAGGCAATAAAATCGCGTCGCAGAAGAAGAAGGCCAAGCTCACATCCTCCGAGATGCGCAAGAAGAAGAAGGATCGTATGGCTCGCCGCAAGCGCGGTGAGGAGGTCTTCTCCGACGAGGACGACTAGATGTTTTGCAGACGAGGAAAAGTTTCATTTTGGTTCATGGGTGCGATAGAGGTGTGCGTTTGACAGGCTTACGACGTTAGCCTACGACAGTAATGTGTGAGGGTGTGGTCATGGTCGGCGTCTGGATACCACAAAATCATTATGAGCTTGTTATGACTCCATCTTACACGTTGATCTCATAGAAGATACGAATAGATCTTTACACTTCAACCTGGTTACTTCTCGTTGTTGTGTCGTGTGACTGAACCCCCTGGCTCGACTTGGGTTTGGGTCGATGGTCTGAATGATGTTCGAGGTAGTTGGTTGGTTGGTTCATTCATAAGCTTTGCAAAGGCCTAAGGCCACGTAGCTGGTGTGCGGGCTCTTGGTTAGTCGGGATACCCAGAATCAAGGTCCGTTCTTTGCAGCAACACAACAACCCTAAACTACAAGAGTGAAAGTACTACAAAGACAAACATGCTAGCAGGCGTATACAACCTATACGCAAGGCGTAGAAATTTCACACAGTTTTTACATGTAGTTGTCAAGCTGTTGCGAGACCTCGCTGCAACCTAGGTACTTAGTTCTGGGTATTTCGACTAACCAAGAGGTGGGATACCTGGCTGCTTACTTCTAACGCGCGTAGTGCAGGCAAGTAGAGCCTATAGAATAGCTGCAAACAAGTAGATGTATTCTTCAAGTTCTAATGTATCTGTGTATTCGTAAATGTGTATGGTAAGTTGTAAGATCGTATCGTAGAGTGAATATAGCGTATAATCTGAAAAGGGGGCTTTTCACTGTATTGCACAACTCACTCTGTGTGTTGAAATTTCGAACATATTGGGTGCTCTGAAATTGGTGTTTTTTACGATCGATAGTCGAGGTAGCATCATCTTCTTGGTCAATCGAAATACCAGGAACCAAGGTGCACCGAAATTATTCGACAGCTGGACAACTACAGCTGTATTTAGTATAGAAGTTATATGCCCGAGTTTTTGACTGTATGCGCCTTGCGTATACATTTCTCAACTTTACTTCGTAGTTTTGCAGCTCGTAGGAGCCACAAAGAATGCAGCTTACTCCCTAAAAGAGCAGAGAATGGACTATAAGAGATGCTAAACGCAGTCCAGCTCAGCCTATCCAAAACTATCCAAAGCCCTTACTTGGAAGATGCATTTCTCATCTTACCGAGGCAAGATGATTGCTTCATATATAGATAGTCCTACAAAAAAGCATACTCTTAAAAACCTCTCTCTTCTTAAAGAGTCAGTAAGAGTTTCTATAAGAGCCCCTCGAGCGTTGCTTACATTACCCTATGGTATATAAAAGGCAGTATGGCCGAATAAGAAAGAGAAGGCAACAATGTTATTGAATGGGTTGGCAGCGGCGGTGACCGTGATAATGGGCATCTTCTCACTCCCTGATCTTGGTATAGCTTCGAGGTCAAGAGGAATAGACCGACCAACAAACAAATAATCAAATCAATACGACGTAAGATGCCTCTTAGTCAACCGTAAGAACGGCGTAGTTCACTTCATCTTCAGAAGCCATTCTCTCTAGCGGTATCTTTGATCATTTACACCCTTTGACATCAAGGGGGATGGAGTCTTGAACAAGTAGACTCTCTCTCGGCCAATCGAAATACCAGGATGTTGCAGTGAAATCATGCACCCGTGACATCTACAACTGAGTTTATTGTAAATTCTTGTACCTTAAAATGAAGTTGTATACGCCTTGTGTACACTCAACCAAATTTTAATTGTGTAGTCTTACGGCTTGTAGGAGCCACAAAGAATGTAGCTCACTTCCTGCTTTGACAGTTTACTGAGAGTCTCCCTCTTCGTATCTTGTCTTTCGCAGTAGCGAGAGATTTGCAAAACTGGGTAATATGGTGTGTCGAGCATGTTACGACAGTAAAGGCCGTAGATGAAGACATTTGGAAAAGCAGATATGCTCTGCTTGTCAATTCTTAGATGCGGTGATTCAACAAAACAGGTATGTTCTGCTTGTCAGTGCGGTGTAAAAACTGCATGGGCTGACGAAGTCGGATCTGCTACCTCACCGTGTGGAACCCTTGTGCTCCTGGTGTCACCCGGAAACAGCTCTATAGTTTACTCCTGGAGGCTGGCCAAAGCAGAACGCATCATGTACAATAGCGTTATTCTGCGTAGACAAACTGAGCAATATATTCTCTGGTTCAAATAGATGCTTGAAGCCAACTCGACCTCTGAGATATGGGTAATGACAAGGTAAGTAAGTCATGAGGCCGTACGTGAAGCGGCATCGAACAAATCTGATGGATGTCACTAATGAGGATTTTCTTCCAATTGCCATGTGAGATCTTCGAACCTGAAGCTCAAGCTCTTCATGCAACATGAAACAACCCGCACATAGCTAGTATAACTTCGTCTGACTCTTCTTCCCCATTCACATCACCCACATACCCAAGCTTACCGCTCCCTATATTGGTGAGAGCGATTGGAGTTTGCTGTAGGTCCTGGATCCGCTCTGGGGAGAAAACCAGAGATTGAGTTCTCGACGACTCAGTTGGCAGGTACCATGCATCATTGACAGACACATTTGCAAGGAAGACAGCTTTCTGGCTATAACTTGAGGGTAGGGAGAGGTGTGAAGATGCCCCTTCGGCGCCGTTTCGATAAACCCTGGTGCGCATATAGTCCGCGTACGTCCATGACAGGCCTGCTTCTCGGAAGAACTTGTCCAGATCTGGTGGTCTGATCGACGAGCTGAACTCGCCCATGAGAACAAGTATGCCACCTGCCCGAACGTAGTCAAGAAGTCCAGCACGAACAGCACGATACTCTGCGATTTTACTATCGGTGACGAGGACGGCGTGCGGTGGCTGATCCGCTAGACGTTGTAGTGCTGACTCTGGTTTCCTGGCGCGGGCGAGGGTGGCAACGTTGTTCAACTTGCTCAGGATTCGTTGGTAGAGCTCGTCGAAATATGAACTGAGTTCAAGGGACAGCAGCAGAACATGAGGCTTTGCGGGTGCTGATAATGGCATCGTGTGAACAATCAATGGGGTGTCGAGCAGGCTAAATGGGCGGACTAGACGAGTGCAAGTCGAAGAATGGGTAGAAAGCAAAGTTTGAAATTACTGCGGTAAGAACGACCTTACGGAAAGTGAGTTGGAGGACTGTATCGTGGGGTTCAAGTGGCGCATGTTGATTCATCCCAAACGGGCCGGGCCGGCTACAGCTTAGCGCTCTTTTCTTTCTGGACTCTCTTAGACGGTAGTATCGCAACTGCTGACTGCGAAGTTGGGATTGGCAATCGCTTTGAAGCTATGAAGTGCTAGGCCTTCAGAGTGGAGTGCGCCATTGACAATACGTGAGGCTGAATATTGCGGAAGAATTATGCGATTGATTTTTGACAGTTGCAAAGTTCGTTGAAACCATCGGTTGGAATTCCCCCTCCATGTAATTAATGGTGCTGGGTTGATTCCTTTGCACTAAATACATATGACGCCATATGATCCCGATTCAGCGCTTGGTCATCTTACCTCGCGTGAGCTTGACAGAGCTTCGCCTACCAGCCGCACAACTCGATTACTACTCCACGAGCGCAAGTGTTTGTCTTGTTCAGCCATTGTTACCCTACCTGGCGCATGCCACGCTCTCCGCAAAGATAACATTGACGCGGCCGTCTGAAGCCCTGTCAGATCCATCCCCACCAATCAACTACAGCCCCAGGTTATGAGAAATACCAGCTGAAGCAACAATGGCATGCGTCCAGAGACCTCTAATTATCCAATCGCATATTATACGATTAAGCTGTCCACGCACAGCTCGAAGAACAAGCAGCGGTTTGTTCTCGAGAGGGAGACTACACACCAGGACGGTTACGGATAACGATATCTCGCGACTAGCAAGTCTCCCACTGCACCCGCTGACTCTTGCGGATCTTGTGAAGTCAGTACATCAGTCGTCTCCACCTTTGACAAATAACTAACAGCTATACGTGACATACAGACACGGCAGACCGCCTCTCACGACGCAACAACTGCTCACCTCTGCCAATTTCACCCTCTCCATCCTGCCTGGGCGGCTCGCACATCGCATTCAATCGCTGCGAAACCTGCCATTCATCGTCGTATCAAATCCACATGTATCGAAGATACACTCCAACTACATTCACAGTCTATCGACGCTGTTGCCATGGGCAGAGCAAGAGATAACGACGTTGGAGGAAGAAGTCAAGTTCACCGAAGTCATGGCTGACCTCGTACAAACACACGCGAACACGATCAGCATACTGGCAAGAGGGTTTTTGGAAGCTAGAAAATACATCAGCCCGAAAGACGTGACACGCTTTTTGGACGAACATCTGCGGGCGAGAATAGGCACGCGCCTGATTGCAGAACAGCACCTCTCGCTGCACTTCTCGAGCCAGCCACACAACGAGATCATGCATGAACAGGAGGGCAGTCCGGGCTTCATTGGTGTTATCGACACGGATCTGAAGCCTGCGAGAATTGTAGATCATTGCGCGAATGTCGTAGGCGAGATATGCGAGCTAAAATACGGCGTACGACCGCATTTTGTGGTCAACGGAGAGCCTGACTACACATTCGCACATGTTCCCGTTCACCTGGAGTACATCATCACCGAGCTGCTCAAGAATGCGTTCCGCGCAACAGTGGAAAGTGGCATGGAGCGCGAGTCCATCGAAATCACCATCGCCCCGCTACCCGAAACCCTGCTTCAAAGCGACGACCCTGAGGACATGGAAACGGATGTAATCAGCAATGTTGATCAGGGAAACACCGATGTAGCCTCGGAACACTTCACGGGCAAGAAGGGCACGACCGACTCGCAGATTCGGCCGCTCAAACACAGCACACCAGGTGTGACGATTCGCATCAGGGACCGCGGAGGTGGTATATCGCCTGAGAACCTACAACATATATGGGACTACAGTTTCACGACTTTCAACGATGACCAGGCATCGTCGACACTGTCAGGGCAAAGCTCGGGCGGGGGCATGGACGTGCTGAACGTGATGTCAGGACCGGGGGGAGATGGAGGAAACAGCCTGGCGGGACTGGGTTATGGGTTACCGCTGGGCAGGGCTTATGCCGAGTACTTTGGGGGAGGTATTGCGGTGCAGAGCCTGTGGGGGTGGGGCACAGATGTGTATCTGAGTCTTCGGGGAGTCGGGAAGGTGGAAGAAGGGAGAACTCAGAATCGGCAGAGGAAGTGAGGTAGGTCGGCAGAGGCAGCAAGGCGATATTAGAAGTCGTCTATTGTTATATACCCAGTGATGGCGCCTTTACGGTACCAGACTCATTCATCCCATGCTTCCTTATCATCATGTCGTGCACGCAGCCGCTCTATTGCGTCTTCACCTCGCTGTCCTTCTCGACGGTGACGTGCTTGTTGGACGAAAGCGTCGAGACGGCATCGTCGGGGATCTCAGCGCTGTCGTGGAGTCAGCACATGCCGTTGACGCTGTCATGATATATATGGGAGAATACGTACGTGAAGCCCTTGATCAGGGTGAACTCGTGGACGATCTTGCCGCCCTGGTCCTTGACGTGCTGCTTGGCCTTGTCGAGCTCCTCATGCGGGGCATCCTTTGCGAGTGTGACCTGTAGGATGGGGTGTTAGTGGGATGTGGGGGGTAGAACGAGGACGCGACGCACGTTGAACTGGGCCATGATGTTGGATGGTTGTGTATGTGGAGGAGTACTTGGTCTGTGTTGTGGTTGTAAGGTAGGTTGCAAGTGGTGTATTGTAGCACGCGTCAGACGGGACTTATATAGGTACTCTAGCGTAGTCTCATCTGCCCCTCCCCCCTCCTACAGTACAATGAGAGAGCCCCTCTAAAGCCTTGTTTATGCGACGCAGCTGACGATGACGTGCGCTCCGGCCGGATTGCCCCCCCATCATCTCGTGTCTCCATCCCACCATGTTCGTGCCCCACTACAGGCATATCGATAAGACGATCCCTGTCGTTTCCTCTTGGCGCGTCGCTAGCGTCGAAATTTTGGAGAATCGCGAATCCAGAGGTTGACATCGCCGCTGCACTCGACACTTTGCGCGCACGACGGCTGCTGGTGTTTTCTCCCGCGCTTCTTTCCGACTTTCACGACTTCTTTTGTGCGTTGAGTCTGGGCAAGGAGAGAATCTTTCATAATCATGGCGGACCAGGCGAATCGGCCGCATAGGAAGGGCAAAGAGAAGAAGCCGCATACGGGAGAGAGGAATCCAAAGGCTTTTGCTTATGCGACACCGGGGAAATTGCACAAGCAGGCGTCGCGCTCTCACGATGTATGTTCTTCTTTCATTGGATTCTTTCCTTCTACATGGGACGACATGTTGATACGCGCAGGTCAAAGAAAAGCGCCTCCACGTCCCGCTCGTCGACCGCCTCCCCGAAGAAGCACCTCCGATCATCGTCGGCGTCGTCGGCCCCTCGGGTGTGGGAAAGACGCTCCTCATCAAAAGTCTGATCAAACGCTACACCAAGCAGACGCTCTCGACGCCCACGGGGCCCCTCACAGTCGTCACCTCGAAGCGCCGCCGCCTCACGTTCATAGAATGTCCCGCCGACTCGCTGGCCAGCATGATCGACACGGCCAAGATTGTCGACATCGTGCTGCTCATGATCGACGGCAACTATGGCTTCGAAATGGAGACGATGGAGTTTTTGAATGTGCTTTCGTCGTCGGGTATGCCGGGAAATGTCTTCGGTATCCTCACGCACTTGGATCTGTTTAGGAAGCAGGAGACGCTCAAGTTGCAGAAGAAGAGGCTCAAGCACAGGTTTTGGAGCGAATTGTACCAGGGCGCGAAGCTATTTTACCTCTCTGGCGTGGTGAATGGACGGTACCCCGACAGAGAGATTATGAATCTTTCGAGGTTTTTGAGTGTTATGAAGAACCCGAGGCCGTTGGTGTGGAGGAACTCGCATCCATATTGTCTGGCGGATCGCTTCTTGGACATCACGCCGCCGACGGATATCGAGCAGGACCCAAAGTGCGATCGCACCGTTGCGCTGTACGGCTATCTGAGAGGCACAAACTTTCCGGCTGGTGGGTCGCGGGTCCACATTCCAGGTGTGGGCGATCTTACTGTGTCTTCGACAGAGGCGCTGCCGGATCCATGTCCTACGCCTTTTGCGGAGAAGCAGAAAGAGAAGATTGGCGGAAAGAAGAAGCGCACACGGTTGGGCGACAAGCAAAAGATTTTGTATGCGCCCATGTCGGATGTTGGTGGTGTGCTGGTGGATAAGGATGCTGTGTACATCGATGTCAAGACGTCTACGTTCGACCCGGATAAAGACTACTCGGAGGCTGGGTTGGGCGAGCAGATGATGATCGGTCTGCAGGGCGGAAGGAAGCTGCTGGGTGAAGATGACCGCGGATTCAGGCTCTTCAGCGGCGGCAAGATTGTCGACAACAACATTGACGACGATGATGCTGCAGATACTGGAAGAAGGTCGCAGCGGAAAGCCAGAGCGGCGGATGCTGAGGAGATCGACGACGCGGACCTCGACGGTATTGACAGCGACGATGAGGAGCTTCAGCAGGATCACAGCGATGCCGAAGACGATGAGGACGACACAGGATTCTTGGATTCCAACGGTGCTTCGAACGGCAAGCCCAAGCTTGCGCGCAAAGAATCCGATCGAAACGGTGACACAGCTGAAGACCTGGCATTCGCCGACAGCGATTCAGATCTGGGTTCCATATCTGGAGACGAACCGGATTTGGAAGACTTGGAAGAGGGTGATTCCGATTCTGAGGAGGAAGAAGACGATGATGATGACGACGATGGTGCTTTGCGATGGAAAGCCAACCTTCGTGAAAACGCCGCGAAGCTGCATGGACAAAAACGGCCATACCGAGTCACGGATCTTGCAAAGATGATGTACAACCTGGAGCTTGCGCCAGAGGACGTTATCAAGAAGTGGACGGGTGCTGATGACGTAGAGGCTATCGAAGAAGATGAAGACGATGGTGGATTTTTCAAGAAGTCGAGGATTGAAGACGCCGCACACGCTGAAGATCGTTACATTGCCCGATTCAACTACGAAGAATTGGCAGCGAGGTGGGAGGACGAGGAGAACATCGAAGCTCTCAAAAGCCGATTCGCTTCTGGCCACATGAATGGCAAATCGGGAGACGGCGAAGAGGAGGATGAAGACTTTGAGGGCTTCGATGAGGATGATGAGGGTGATGGAGAGTTTGAGGATTTGGAATCTGGCGAGAAGTTCGGCGGGGACGAAGCGGAAGCAGAGTCAGGAGAAGACGATGATGAGGCCACGACGATTGAAAAAGAACGAGAACGCAATGCGAAGAGGAAGGAGGAACTGAAACTGCGGTTTGAGGAAGAGGATCGCGAAGGTTTCATGAACGACAAAGCCAATGCTCGTAAAGAAGCTGGTGAGGAGGAAGAGTTTGGCGAAGATGATTGGTATGACGCTCAGAAGGCGATGATTCAGAAGCAGCTCGACATCAACCGCGCTGAATTCGATCAGCTTGATGAGATATCGCGAGTACGTGTTGAAGGTCACAAGGCAGGCACATATGCCCGTATCGTACTGGAGAAGGTCCCCTACGAGTTCTCGGCGCACTTCAACCCGCGCTTTCCAATCCTCATCGGTGGTCTCACGCCTACAGAAGAACGCTTCGGATACGTCCAGATCCGCATCAAGCGCCATCGATGGCACAAGAAGATCCTCAAGACCAACGATCCCCTCATCTTCTCCCTTGGATGGCGGCGGTTCCAGACTCTCCCCATCTACAGCATATCCGACTCGCGAACGCGCAATCGCATGCTCAAGTACACACCCGAGCACATGCATTGCTTCGGCACTTTCTATGGCCCGCTCGTCGCGCCCAACACTGGTTTCTGCTGCCTGAACTCCCTCTCAAACAAAACACCAGGCTTCCGAATCTCCGCCACAGGCGTAGTGCTCAACGTCGACGAATCGACCGAAATCGTAAAGAAACTAAAACTCACGGGCCATCCATACAAGATCTTCAAGAACACAGCCTTTGTAAAAGACATGTTCAAGTCGTCGCTAGAAATCGCAAAATTCGAGGGCGCAAGCATACGCACCGTATCAGGCGTGCGCGGGCAGATCAAACGCGCACTCAGCAAGCCAGAGGGCAACTACCGCGCAACCTTCGAAGACAAGATCCTCATGAGCGACATCGTCTTCCTGCGAGCCTGGTACCCCATCAAACCCCGCCGCTTCTACAACACCGTCACCAACTTGCTTGCGCCGCCAACGGCTGACGACGAAGGCGAAAGCACGGCCTGGACCGGCATGCGTCTTACGGGCGCTGTGCGCGCCGCGGCCAACATCCCCACGCCGCTGCAAAAGAACTCGGCCTACCGCCCCGTCGTGCGCGAAACCCGCGTCTTCAACCCGCTCCGCATCCCGCGCAAGCTCGCTGCCGACCTGCCCTTCAAATCACAGATGGCCACCATGAAGCCCCAGAACAAGGAGACGTACATGCAGAAGCGCGCCGTGGTGCTGGGCGGCGAGGAGAAGAAGGCCCGTCGTCTGATGGAGCAGGTTCTTACTATCCGCAAGGAGAAGGTGGAGAAGCGCCGCAAGAAGCAGGAGGAGCGCAAGGAGCCGTATAAGAAGAAGATTGAGGAGAATAAGGAGAAGAAGAGTGAGAGGGAGAAGAAGGAGAAGCAGGAGTATTGGCAGAGGGAGGGCAAGAAGAGGAGGTTTCAGGATGGGGAGGGCGGAAGTGGTGGTGGTGGTGGGGATAGGGGCGGCAAGAGGAGGAAGTAGATGTAGACGTTGATGTGCATTACTTGGCGTTGGGGGCATGTAGTTGTTGTCGCGGAAAAAATATCAGAGAAGTTTATGTTCTGTTGTGTTCAATCGTATCAATCCGTTTCGCAAGTGTGAAACTAAACTGTCGGTTGCTTGTGAATCCCGTTTTATCGCCGCCTAACAAAAGCATGTCCACGACAAGCAACACCCAACGCAAAGCCTTATAAAAACTACTTCGTTCTCCCCACATCTCAACCCCAGCAGAGAAAAAGTACCGTGCTTCAATCACATGTCTCGCTTTCCACCGCCACACAAGGCAAAGAATAAATGACGGGAAAACACAACTCAACATGCTCCCTCATACACCGTCTAAACCCAATTTTCAATCTCCCGCGACCTTAATCTTCACACTCCCCCGCCGAACCACGAACCACGGCCCAGCAGATTCTACACTCATCACATTTGCTCAGCCGATAAATCCAAGGAAGCACTCCATGGAAAGATACACACGCCTCAATGGTGGAGTAGGCGAACTTCACGCTTATAGTAGTGGACTAGAACGAGGACAAGCACAAGCACAAGCACAAACACACCGCCAAAACAGCATTATGCATGGAGTAATTGGGTGTGAGTGTATGCTCCACAATCTGCCTACCATATTACCACGCTGAGCTGGTTCATAGGGGGCAGTGCAGTGTCCGGGTACCACAGAGTGTTGGAGGCGGCGTTTCAGCAGAGAAGGTCATATTCCCAGCTACGGAGAACGCGGGTCCTCCTTCGTCATAGGTATTTGATCAAAACCCTCAGTTAGGAAGGTGAGCGTTTCTTACCAAAGAAACACGTGCGTGTTCTGCCGTGTTTAGGCATAGTGCTGAGACGTTTGGGTCTGAGTTTTTCGCTCTGCTCCGGAGGGTTGAGACTCGCTTTAGATGGATGTGGGGAGTTTTGCTTTGCGAGGTCGGTCTAGAAAGGGGAAGGAGAAGAGTGGGTAAGACATGTACTTACACATCGCTATCGAGTGCCGATTAAGCCAGGCGAGACAAGAAGACTACGTGGCAGTTAGACGTCACGAGGAAAAGACGTCGAAGTATCACTCAACAGATACACAAGCAACGCACAGAAACAACATTAGAACAAGCACACAAGAAATCGTGATTAGAATTAACTTCTACTATCATGTCATGGCCGTTTCTTCGCCTTCCCCACGCCCTCCAACCACCCGCCTATCCCACCAGCCGAGAACCCCGACGCATCAACATGCACCGCAACCAACCACGCACACAGAATATTAGCAAGATGGTGCAGCACATACGCATACGTAACGCCATAAACCGCCGCATACGCCGCAATCGAGAAGAGAAACACACCCGTACAGACCGAGAAGCGCGACTGAACACGGGGCACCATACGGCCCGTACTCAGTGTCTCGACGAGCAGGATAAACGGCATGATGGAGAGGATATTGTGGTGCGAGGAAAACGGCGTCAGCCAGTGGACGGCGAGGTTGCGGACCCAGACGACCAGGACGGGGAGGTTGATGGGCAGGATCCACAGCATCAGGATGAGGATCGAGTGCGCGTAGTTGTAGAAGTTGTAGTTTGAGTCGAGCTGCGAGGCGCGTGCTAGGTGGAAGGCGCGGACGCATGTGGCGAGTTGTACGAGGCAGAGGACCATGTAGGCGAAGTGGTAGGGGATGACGGTTGAGATTAGGGAGAGGAGGACGAGTGTTGTGATGATGCGCTGGCGGGTTGATGTCACTGCGAAGTCGGAGGGTGTGCGCTTTCCTTCGTCGTTTCGGAGCGTGGATGAGCTGAGGACGGAGTAGATCGTTGCGAGGAGGTAGGTGAGTAAGAGCGCGACGTAGTTTATTGCGACGCAGATGCCGACGCACATTAGTCCGAAAAGCGGGACTAGGAACCAGAAGAACGTATCGTCAGATCCCATGAGCAGTTCGCCGCGAGCGTCTTCAAACAGCTGGGTGGTATTGCCGGATGTTCCACTCTGTGACCAGTGTTGGATAGATTGATGTCGGGCCCCTGCAAGAGTAACCGATAGGAACGTCAGTGCGACGAAGGCAAGCGGGAGTGATCCTCGAATGCACTCGTTCAAGCCTTCAGCAAAGCTCATAAACACTGCGGTCTCATCATATGTCCTGAATTGTTGGCGCAGGACTAGAGTGACAACTAGGATCGGGAAAGCCGCAAAGACGATACGGTAACGCATCCACAATTTTCCCAAGCTTCCCAGAATATCCACTCTCAGAGATACCTCTACGCTACTGTCACAAGTAGGATCGGTCCATATTTGCAGAGACAACCCGTTTGATGGCTGTTTGGTGTGAAGAGCGGGTGGCATGTACGGTGCAACGCCATGAAGGTTGATACTGGCGTCCTTGACATTGACGAAGAACTTGCTTTCGTAAACATCTGTAATGTATTGCCGCAGTAGAGGCGCGAACAACTCTCCCCGATCACACGATTGCTTGCCGATGTGGATGTTGTATGCTAGGAGACTAGAGTGCAAAGCAGGGACATTGACATCCATCGCCAACGGACGACGAACGGGCAGCCGAAAAGACAACCCAGTTGTTAAAAGGCGCTGCAAGCCCACGTTGATCTTGAAAGCCGAATCAGAGGCATTGCTAAACTCAGCGACGACCCATCCTGTGCTGCGCTCGCCAGCCTTGTCCACGACAGCTACGAACTGATGTTCAGCAAGATCCGCAATATCATACTGCAGGTAGGAGAAGGGACGCTGATCGGTCTTGAAGGGAAATGTCGACGCGCGGGTAGATGCAGGAAGAAGGATGACATCTGAAGCAGCATTCTTGCAAGCCAATCTGGTCGCACTAGAGCCGTCGCCAGAGAGGTCCATGTTTACGGAAAAGTGAATTGCCGACTGTCCAGCATGGGACGGAGAGACGCTGCAAAACAGAACCTCCAGCTTGCCATGTTCGCCAAGCAAGTCCAGTTTCTCATTAGTCAACAGAGTAAACTTCTTGCCTTCGCGCGCATCCTGAGGCGGGACTGGGAGTAGGTGTGCACTTGGCTTTTGCTTCGATTTTCCAAGGCTGCTGAGTACAAGTTTCTCGCCTTGGGAAACAACTGCATCTCTCTCTTCGAGGGTCAGCAGAGTCTTGACTTCCACGTGCGGGAGAGTCTTCTCTGCGATGTCTTCGAGACCGGTCAGAAACCATTTCTTGAAGCCCCGCATTCGTTGCGCGCGTGGAACCGTTTGTGTTGCTCTCGACACGTCGATGACGTCGTACAGTGCGCGCACGATGCTTTTTCTTTCCTGATCACACCATGTGATGGCCAAGTGGTCCATGCCCGTCCATACATTTGGCATCGAAGAGGTAAACACCGTGAAACCGTGCGTTTCAGGGACAAGTGAAGCGAGACTGGCGTAATCTGATGAAACAATGGTGTCAAGTCCTCCACCAGCAATCGAGATCAGTGTGACGTGCCACAGCGGGTTGTCAACAGCCCACTTTTGCGAGTACGCGTGTCGCCAGTAGTCGTTGACTCCCTTGTACGTGCGGACGATGTCTCCGTCGAAGGATACTGGGGGCCTCGCGTGAGGGGCAGCGAGGGTGATGACGGTGTTGATCGAGTTGGCCTGGTAGTTGGGCATGGTGAGCATGGTGCGGGCTACCATGCCTCCCATCGAATGTCCAACGATGATGACGGAGGTGGGGTCCGGCAGGTTCGAGTCGCGGAGGGAGCGCCCCGGGGTGTGGTATAGGGATAGGATAAAGGTGATGGCGTCGTTGAGATATTCGGCCTGGTCTAGCAATGTCTGGCCATGGAATGCTGTAATGTCCTCGTTGAAGTCGACCGAGAAGAAATCGAGAGGCCTCTTCCCCGCATTGGTCGCGCCGATGTCGTGTCGAAGCGCATTGTGGTAGTGGTATGCGGCTTCCGCGGCAAGCGGGCGCACCTGTTTGTAGCTGCCAGCGTTGCCGGGGATGAAGAGCACTGGCACACCTTTGACCTGCGACTTGTCAGCTCAACGGTCCCTCCAGCGTGCGTGGAGCGTACTCTGATATCGTCGTCGATGCCGCCCTCACGGTAGAGGTACAGCGAGTACTTGCTGGCGAAGCGCGTGTGCTCCGTGTCGAAGTCATTGTACTTTGAGAAGGAGGGGCGCATATACGACATCTCGCAGCCCTTGACGTCCAGCTGGCGCGTCAGGAACGACTGCACCATGAGGAAGAGGGCGGCAAAGGCCAGCAGCGTCGTCAGCAGCGTGTAGGGCGAGTAGGCCCACGGGTTGCGCAGCCGTCGCCGCCATCTGATCTCCTGCCCATCCGCCGTGCTGTCTGGTAGTGTGTCCCCGGGCAACGCGCCTGGCGCAGGCCCAGTCTTTTCGCTCAACATGTCTAGAGAGGTGCTGGAGGTGTGACGGTTTGCGGACGAGGGTCGCGGGACAGGCGCACTCGCTGCTTCCTTCCTGCTCTGCGAGTCGGTCCAGGCCGGTGCTTCCGTGTCTAGGGCGTCAGGTCGGCTGTCGAGCTTATCGCCATGCTCCAGCGGTTTGGCGGGATCGAGTGCAAAAGTCGAGGCGCGGGTTTCGTGCTCAACCAGCGAGCGCCGCTGCATCTAAACGCGTCCCAGGGTCGAGGGGGAGACGGCGTGCCTCGAGGCCGTGCTTGTCGTCTGCAGATGTACGCCGGGGGTCTCGCTTGGTCGGCGCCTTCCACAGATTTGCTCTAGACGACCCACCAAGAACCAGTAACCTTCATAAAGCGAGTGACAGCGCACGAGTCGATACTTCCTTGGCTTGCTTGTACAGTCTCAGTGCAGCAGCGCGAGCACTAAGTACCCAAAATACGTTGAGCGTAAAAACGCACCTCCAACGGCTACTTGCGTACTTACGGTATAGGCCTTGCACGTCGCCAAGAAACGAATTACTCGCACAGTAACGAGCGACGATGGATCACGACCCGCCCTGCGACCCATGTCACTCGATCACACGCCCGTCGATTTTCCAGTGCCGCAATACCCTTCCTGGGCACGGAGAATGGGAGGGGAAGCGAGCGTGGTGTTGTTGTTATCGTGCGATATGCAGGTTTGCGACGCGTGCATCTTCCCTCGCACCATTGGTCTGCGGCTAGCATCTTCAGCTAGCCCGTGATATGACGACAACCTCGATGCACAAGCTCACCCAGCCAAAACGTGGATGCGCCATGCATTCGCTTAGCCAGCCACACCCACCGCCGCTGAAACATCTATTCTTGGACGCCCATTCGCACGAAACACATGGGACCCACGACGTCATGTGCCCAGTGTGACTCCAGAAGATCATCCGTGACTACGCTAGGGCCCAGAGTTTGATGATCCGCGTCGAGGCAGATCACACATATTGGCCGCTCAAACATATACCTACGACACACCGAAATAGCCATTCATCTCCATCCCCACAACCAGCCTCTCAATCGAATTCTCTTCCGCCGTCCCTTTGCCCTTGCCATACCCTTTCTTCCCCGTCAACCCTCTGCATACACTCAAAAACACCCGTATCTTGCCCTTGAGCTTCGCATACAACCCCTTCACGCCCTCTCCCACCTGCACATCCTGATTCTGCATCTTTGCAAACAGCAGAATATAGTCAAATGCCTCTTCCACAAGCGCCATCACTTTGCGCTGACGTTTCCGGAGCAAGAGCGAGAACCCAATACTGTCTAGGCATTTCTCGTGCGCGTCGCGGAGCGAGGCAATACCTTCCGTCACGCGTGTGCCGACTTCGCCTGCTGCGTCTTCGTCGTCGAGGCGTGTTTCCAGGGTGTGGACAAAGGCCTCAAACTCGTTCCAGTGTTCGGCGATGCCCGTCTGGAACACGTAGTTTGCCAGAACCGTGACGAAGTGGTGCGCCTCTGTCCTAAATTGGCGCGACTCGATGTCGGGGAACTGTCGTGGGAGGTGTGCGACAACGAAAAGCATGCGCGAAAGGCGGAGTAGGAATTTGAAGATGCCATCGTATTTGTCCAGCGCCGTGTTGGTGATGACGAGGTTAAGCGGCGTCGGTGGTACGTATTGTAGGCGGAGAAAATCGAGCGCGGCGAGCGCGTCTGGGTCCATGACCTTCTCTTGTTGTGCCTCAGTCAGGTTGCGGATGGCAAAGTTTAGTTGTCCAGGAAGTTCGTCATTGTCTCTGCCAGAGATAGTCTTGCTTGTCGCGTGCACGTCTCCCAGCCCTTGCGTGGACTGGTAGAGGGCGGAGGAGTAGTAACTTTCACTCAACACCCCCCTTAGTGCGAGCCGGAGCTCTGAGCTGGCTGGCGGCCATGACTTCCTCGACCCTAACTGCAAGCCCATATGTACACCACTACGCATCTTTCCCTTTTGTCGTTCTGCACTCTCTCGTTCGGGATCGAAAAGAGCAGTCGTCAACAGGGATGAGAAGACGCCATCGCCAAAAAGATGATACTGCCGCTGTAACGAGAGATGAAGTCGCATCTGATGTGACCTGAAAAACAGGCGAAGAGTTGCTGCGTTGACAAGCTTTGCTTGTGCTGAAATCAATGGACGGAAAGACAGTGTGGACGTGATGGATAGAGGGGGCGAGAACTCGTCAGGCTGAGACGACTCACTCGTTTCCGAGCTGTCCAGTATGTGATCCATGAGCAATTGCAACTCGTCCGGAATGAGACTGAACAATCTTTTGGGTGGCGCATCTAGTTCTTGCAAGGACTCTTCAAAGTATCTCTCAAAGTCTAGTGCCTGTTCCTCCTTGGATGTAGGTTCTACAGCAGAAGAAATCGCGGACGTCTGTGCAGAGGTGCTCGAGCCGTGACTGTATTCGAGGATTGCTTTTCGCAGCTGCTCTTCGTAATCCGTCGCTTTCGTAGCAATTGCTTCAATGTCTCTCCAGCCAAAGCTCCACTCTAGCTTGGGAGGCTGCACGCCGAATTTTCCCAGATTAGCCAGTGGGTGGTGCGGGTGTTGTGTCTTTAGAAAGCGAAGACTGCTGCCAGTCTCGAAAATGGTATTACCATCCTCAGGCGATATGAATCTAGGCATCATCTCAGACCGATAGATATACTCTAGCGGACCTTGATCTGGTGAGCCATTCTCGACTGCTACAAAGCTGCCCCTCTCCGAGACAGGCGCAGCTGCTTGCTCTTGCCTGATGCCCATCCATTCACAGAGCAACTCCAAACTGGGTCCAGCTACCTGACACAATATCTGACATGACAATTTCCGCAAATGCTCATCCCCTTCTTCGATCTCTAGCATACGGTGGTGTAGTATGGATGACAGCTGCTCGTTGGTCTTTGCGTACTTAACAGAGTCGATCATGCGGGCAACGTGCGCCAGAATTTCGTGAGGTCTTTTGAACAGACGCTGTAATTGGAGGAGTGACACAATCCCCTTTGAGTGTCTCCCCAGATGGTCCTCGAGAGTGGTGAGTATACTTGACGTCGAAGCAGCTAATGCCACTCTTGCTGGAATGGGTGTTGTCGAATTGAACGTGCGCTCAGCGAATGACCTCAAGTATAGAAAGGTATTACCCGTATGGATGAACTGGGTCGTCAAGCTCTGGGCGGTGCGCAGGCTTACACCAGACGCACGTCCATCCGAGATAGCAGGCTCGAAAGACTTCAGCTTGGGGTTGAACTGGAACAGTATTGACGAGCGACCGAGGCCAAGGTTCCACAGCGATTTTAGTAGCACGTCGCCTCTGACAACTCTTCCAATGCTGGTCTTGCTCGTGTCGGAGGCCAGCGCCGCGTCAAAAGCTTCTGGGCCGTGTTCGGTGATGTATGGCGTGCGGCGCTCGACGTGCTGTTTGTTCTCGAACCCCTCCCAGGTGTGGAAGAGTACATCCTTGTTCGCTGGCCCTAGATCCAACGCAATCTCCCAGATGTCTTCCTCGGGCTCCAGAGATGGGCCCGCAGTCGAGATGCTGACCTCATCGAGGCTGTCGAGCTCTGGAAGCGGCCCAAACTCGAACGTCTCCAGGTCTGGCAGGCGAAGTTCGTGGTCGAGGTCATGTTTAGGGGCATATGGGTGATCGAACTTGATCGAGGGAACTGCACGCGGTCAGGCTTCCGAGCACGTTCACGCGAAAGACGCGACCAAACCTACTGTCTAACTCTAAGGGAGCGAACAAGAACGATTCGAATGCCTCCGGATCTTGGAAGAGCGCCGACTGCTTCCAGAAGCCATCACTTGAGAATGCATTGTTTATCAGGGTGTCATCCTCCATAGTTGTCGGACCGGGGAAGAGGTGAGGTGGTGGGGCATGACGCCAAAGTTTCCGGCGCGTCAGCCCTACGCGTATCCTTGCACTCGCACTTGGACTGCATCGTTCTGCAGCGCGTCCATCACCTGCATTCCACCCTCGACTTTACCACAGACCCACCGACGCCTACGATGCCGCCACGGAAGAAGGCCAAGGCGAGCGCGGCCTCCACTCCGCTCCGCGACACGCAGCCCAAGACGCCGCAGGACTCGGGCCGTCTTTCACAGTCGCAAGAGGATGTACTCGCCGATCCTTGGGCCGATGAGCAGGAAACGCAGCTGTTCAAGAGCATGATGAAGTGGAAGCCCACAGGTGAGAACAATCCCATTGCGCTATACAGGATACCATTTCTGACTCGCCCCAGGCTTGCACAAGCACTTTCGCATGATCTCGATACACAATGACATGCGCTCCCACGGTTTCGCGGCAGACGACGCTCCCCACACGCGCATTCCCGGCATATGGAGGAAGCTGCACCAGCTGTACGACCTCGAGACGCTTGACGCACGTGAAAACGACTTTGCCTACTCTGAGGACCCCGATCCGACCGACCCTGAAGAAGCCACCAACCTCCCCGACTTCGAACTACCAGAGGACGAGTTCGGCGAGCTGATGTGGAATGCGCGCTTCCACCGTGAGGAGTCTGCGGCAGCTTCTACCCCGGGCACTATGTCTATTGAAGAGGACAAGGCACTGTACGTGCCCAATATGGGCCTCCTCAAAGACCTACCTGATGGCGTGCGGTCGCACAAGGCAGAGAGCATCGCCGAAGTCACGCCTACACCCAAGACTGCAAAGGGAACGAGAGCAAGCAGGGCCGCAGCCAAGAGTGGAAAGGGCGCAAAAGCGGCTGCCAGTGCTGCTAAAAATGTAAAGGCACGATCCACCGTATCAGAGTCCACAGAAGAGGAAGAAGATGACGACGATGAAGAAGAGGAGTCTAGTACTGAATCGGAAGAAGACAGTGCGCCAGTCACCCGCCGCGCGAACCGAAACAGGGCGCGACAGACTGCTCCCAAACAGCGAACGAGGAAGAGATAGCTCAAGTGAGAATTGTACTAGACATGGCATTTGCTGTTCGAGATACCCCAATTGATTCACCTATACTGCGCTATCTCCATACCTCCGCCCACCCAGTCTGTCGAGATTTACTCAGCTCTGAACAGTCTCGCAACGCCAGCACGATCAGTCCTGCTCGAATATGGCAAACCCAGGATATTCGAAATCTCTTGTCTTCGGCGGTGGCTCATCAGCGGTCCATAAAGACTCGCTGTCAATCAAATGGACCTCCTGCGCTGCGCTTCTCAAGTACTGGTCTTCCTCGTACTTCAACATCAAAAAGTCGCCAGCTGGTCCGCCAAATCCATCGGTGTATATGTGCCGAGGATCAAGCAGCCAAAGCCGCTCCAAGTTTATTGATTCTATTTGGCTCAACAGACCGCTCCAACTGCCCTCGCTGATCAGGATATGAGCAAAGCCCAGTCTCCTCAAATTGGGGAACAATATCAGAGTTAAGAGAAGTTGATGTTCTGAGAAACTACGTTGGTTGTCGGACATGAGCCGGAACTCGCGAACCTTTGGCAGCCGCAATTTGATATTGTCGGCACGAACATTGTCACCGGGGAGAAGAGGGTGGTTATGATAAAACGGACTTCTCTCCCATATGTCATTGGGAGTCCTCGACAGTGCAATTTCCAGGAACTCCAGATTCGTCATCACATGCAGCCATCTGGGGAGTGGTCGTGCAGCACCATAGCTTGTCAAGGTCAAACTCAGACGCGTTATCGTCTTCGAAAATGACCATATCTCGTCTGGTATAGCGAAATAAAACGCTCGGTTTCCGAATAGTGGTATCGTTAGACTTTCGATAGGCAGGCCAGATTCACTTGCGCCGTGCAGGACATTGTTAAACAACCACCCGTTCTCTGCATGGGCATCTCTCCATGTCCGTTCAGCCTCTACAAGCGGCGGATACCCCGATATACTGGGTTCGAAATCTGCACTGCGCGTCATACTTACTGCCCTGGGCGCCACACTCACCGTCCTATCCGCCCAGCTCCCATCAACACATTTCGGCGACATAGGGTAATACCTCAAATGCCTAAGCTGCGGGAACCGCTGCAGAATTTCACCAAAGTACTTCGCCAGACAACACCCGCTGTCTTTATCGAACCTGTCACGCCAGACCTGTGCGCCTTTCCCGGGGATCGATACAATGTTCCCCGCTAGGTCGAAATCCATGCCACAAATCGACAGCGTCTTCATCCGCTCGGCGTATGCCGATCTCGAGATCTCTTCTAGCTTCGGGATGCGGTGCGCGTACCATACGAAAGGCGTGTCCTCGAGCACGCTCACAAACAGGGCTTGGAGTGTTTTGGAGGAGAAGAACCGACGCTGGACCTGCCGTGCGCTCAAGATGGTGGACCGTGATGTGGTGCTGAGGATGGCGAAGCGAGACGTGATGGGGAAGTCGTACTCGAGGAGGCTCGCGAAGACGACGTCGATTAGCTCTTGGGGTAGGGCGTTCATGATGGTGTTCACTTGGGGTGTGAGGGGCTGTGTTTACAAAAGATATTCAGCATGAATTACATATCAAAAAGACCAAACAGTGTGCTTCTTATACGGAGGATATCCAAGCCCTCCTTGACGACGTGGAGGACGTGTGTTTTGGTATACCAGGGCTTGACATGAATTCCTCGGTGACCAATGTCGTTCATTCAACACATCTTTGACGGTGCATCACGCAACAGGCACCGTTTACTAGACCTCCACTTCACGGTACAAACACGCCTATACTCGCAGTTCAGTCAACCAAAATGCCCACGATTTCTCGCAATATCGTGGGCCAATATCCGCTAACCAGAAGTTTCTAAGCAGACGTTAACAAAAACATAACCAACACCCTCTACCGGTGATAAACTTTATGTAGATGTCTTTGTTGACCGTTTACTCCAAGAGCGACAGAAGGGCACTGAAGTCTATCTCAGTCCAGATCTCAAATTATATTGGACTAAGAAACCAATCACGCGCGCTCGTTCTACTAGACCATCTAAGAACCACTCCCGTGTACGTACCCCCACAGAAGCGAAGTCCCGCCCGTCTTGAGTGTAGGACAAGATAGATAACTTCCATTCTCCAACATCCCCGTGACTTATCCAGTACGCAGGGAGATTCATGACTCATATTCCCTCCTCAATTCCATTCACAGTACAGCTACATCAGCGGGCGAGCAAACACTCCAACCGACCGCCTTCACCCGCCCATCCATGCACACGCGCACCTGCCCTTTCACCGCACAACATCCCAACTACACTAGCGCACTCCGTTTGTTTCCTCTGCGTCACACAACCACACCCTCATTTCGAGTACAGCCATCTATCCTATTTTCCAATCTAGCCACACGACGACACCTCCCCTCCCTTCAACCAGCCTAAAACCCAGTATGAAACTCGCCCTCCCTGTCTTTACGCTCGCGCTCGCGGCGATCGCCGCTGCAACAGCGGTCCCAGACTGCAACTCCTGCACCTCGCTGCTCGAGTTTTGCTTCAAGGTACACTCCCTCCCTTCTTATATACATCCACGAAGATGCCGTAAATTGACACACGCGGATAGAACGGCCATACGCCAGGCCAGACGGGCTGTCTACAGACTTGCCGTGAACACGTGTGCCACCGGACGCCTGCTGTGAGTTTTTAATCTTTGATTTCCTAGTACAGGGGTTGGAAATGCGGACTAATGTGTGTTGGGGGACAGTGCAGGAAGTGTGGTGGCGAGTTCGAGAGGTGTCCTGAGGTGAGCCGGTATCATAATTAGGCATGATGATTGCTGGCGGGGGTGATGTGGAGAGGTGTTTGGGGAGATGGGGGACTTGATCGATTCATGAAATCGGGATGATGGGTCTAAGGATGTGGGTACTGCTGGGGGACGGAGATTTTGAGTAGATGTGAAGGATGCAACGACCTCTCGTCCTGCGCAAGGCCACTGCCTGGCTTGGGCTAAGCATACTTATATACCTACGGAGTGACTAGTCGGGGAGTGCAAAGGCTAAGCATCCAACGTCTTCAGCATCTCCTGCACGCTCGCAAACTTCTCCCTCTCCTTTCCTTTGCTCTTCCCCCTTGCTCTCTCGGCTTCGTCTATTGTCTTCCAGTCTGCCCAGCTAAGGGGCCTGACACCCTTACCCATTACTTCGTCCTTGATGCCGTCCCACCCCAGTCCTGTACTCTTACTCACTCCAGACTCGTCATTCAGGAACGGAACGTTGTTAGTCCAGTCCTGCGTAATGATGTCCGCGGACATGAAGGCGTCTTGCATTGTGCTAGCAATGACTCCCGTGGGTCCGCGCTTGACCCATCCCGCGCAGTAAAGACCGTGAAGATGGCCGGCGGTAAGCTCGCCAGGACCTGCGGATGGTGTGATGACACGGCCATGGACGTCGTTGGGAATGATGCCAAGCTTCTTGTCGAAAGGTACGCCGAGATCTGAGAGCCCGGGGAGAGCAGTGGATTTATAGCCTACAGAGCGAAAGGCTAGGGATGCTTTGACGGTGGTTTCCTCGTCGGTAGGTACTACACGTGCGGCCTTGTCGAAGGGGTCGGCGTTTGATGCGAACTGCTGAGTAGTGAGGGTTATGGATGAGAGATGGCTCGATTCAGCGTTCAAGGCCTTTGGTGCTCTGAGGAAGTCTAGGGCCCATGATCTTGGTGCCTCGTGTACGGTAGCCTTCGATCCTTTCAGCAGAACGTCTGCTATCCGTTTCTGTACTCGCGGGAGCTTCTTAACGTCCGATGGGTAGAAAGACTGATTAATGGGTTCGAATGCGACGGAAGGTATGTTCATGAGTTCGCGAGCTTCTTTGACTGTGAATGCAGCCTAGCATGCTATCAGCGAGCCAATCTGTATTTGCTAGTAACGGGTGTCCTACCTGCAGCGGCCCACGCCTACCCACCACCCTCACGGACCTGACTCTACTCTCAGACAAGGTTTGTATAGCTTGTTCGGTTATGTCGGTAGACCGCAGCGTATCCACAGGCGTGAGAAGTATCCTTGCAACATCCAAAGCAACGTTCCCTTGCCCAATGACAACCGCGTGGTCTCCAGCCAGCAAATCCGGCTTCAAGTTCTGGAACTGTGGCAGCCCATTATACCAGCCCACAAACTCCCTCGCAGAAAACACGCCTGGTAAATCCTCTCCTGGAATTCCCAGCTTCCTATCCTCACTCGCACCATACGAGAACAGTATCGCATCATAATGCGGCTTCAGCTTGGAGAGCCCGATGTCGGTCCCAACACGCACGTTGCCGATGTAGTTGAATCGCGGAGATTGCGCGACTTCCTCGAACGTGTCCTGGCAGTTCTTGACCTCGGGGTGGTCGGGCGCTACACCAAAGCGGACGAGGCCGTAGGGCACGGGGAGCTGTTCATACATATCGACGATGACATCTTGGATCTTGTTTATGAGGCGGTGTGCTGTGTAGAAGCCCGCAGGACCGGAGCCAATAATGGCGATGCGGAGACGCTGTCGAGACGTCGTTGCCGTGCTGTAGGCATGGCGTATAGACGGTGATGCATGAGACCTCGTGGATGTGTGAGGCGTTATCAAGGGTCGCCATCGTGCAGTGCTAAAGCTTCGGACGAAAGGCAATGGGCCATCGGCATTATTAAACAGGGTCGCAGGGTTTACTACGCGCCTGGTACAGCTGGCGCAGATGTAAGGCACCTCGTATAGATGTCGAGAGAGACGCATCTTGCACAAGGTTCAACCATACACGTGAAGATGGTAATGAAGAACTTCAGATGACTAATACCCTTTTTTTGAACTCCACCTAATTCAAGCAATGGGCCGCAGCGTCCCGTCAAATGCAATTCTTTAATCTGCATTTGATCTCAATCAACATCCGTGCTTTTTTTTCTTTCTTACTTTGACTCGTCAATCCGATCGAGACTGGCCTTCTCGCAATGCACTGGCCACCAAATCAAAAGCAAACTCCTCTCCCCCTTGCAACCTAGCCCTGTACAATCCGGGAACCAACGATCCAACCCCACACGTTCAGCAGGTTTCCAAGGTTGCACCCGAATGCGGCTAATGTAGTCAAGGATGAGGCTCTACGGGTTAACCGCAATTCACGTCATTGGCGTTCACAAGCTACCGTAGCCAATATTGGCTGTAACCACAGCAACCGGTGTTTACTACATCAGCTCCCCAGATCCTCATCCACCCCATGGATCCCATCACCACCAGCATCCTTTTGCTAAGCGAAAGCACTTCACGTTGGATCCTGGTGGCCGCCTAAGGAAGGTCTTCATTCATTCTTTGCATTCTTGATCAGCAACCATGGGCCGCTGGCAGCCCTACCTCTACGAGCCTCAAAGGGACATGGACGACTTCAACCCCAGGGCCGCCACCATGGCAAGTCGCATACCGCCTCCAGAGCCGAAGAAGCAGGAAGGACCTTTGATCAACTTCAACCGGCATCCGGATAGCTACTTGATCATGCCGTACGGGAAGACAGATATCCAGCCCATGAACCCCAAGACCAAGCTCTTCGTCGATATTGCGCGATGGATTCAGTTCTCTTTGCGCATATGCACACTCTTGGGCGCGATTGGAATCTTTGTTTGCAGCATCTTTATCAAAGGCATGCGCGAGACAGAGGGGTACATTTTGAGAATATCAGTACGTGCGCTGCGACTATGTGTCCGATAGGAAAATAACTAACAAATTTAGCCTGCCGTTGACATTGTGATCTGTCTGTACGCCATATACCATCTCGTCCGCAACGCCAAATCGCGACCACCTGGAAGCGCCGCTAGCTACCACTTCTTCGCGCTCGTGCTCGACGTCGGCTTTCTGCCCTTCTACGTTTTCACCGTGCTGATATCATGGCGCAACTACAACATGAACGTTGGCACAGTGGGACGCTGGCGAACAATGTTCCCTACAAATGATGACGCGAATAAGGTCCTGTTGACAACATGGATAACTGCCATCGCCGTTGGAGGCATACACCTGATCTCTACATTCGTGGACATGTACCTCATTGTTATCTTCCGCAAGATCTCCAATATGCCGCCCGACATGAACCCACTTGAGGACAACTTGACATCGCGCAGGAAGTCTAAGCACAAGTACAAGAACTCCTCTGTCTCGACTATCACTCTGACTGGGGAGGATGAAAAACGCTTCAGCGCTCAATCAACGATCGCAGGAGATAGGAATTCGCAAGCTGATCCTCTACTCTCGAAGGATGTACCGAGTCCTACTAAGACGCAAATTGCGTTCTTGAATACTCGAACGAACTCGGAAGCGACCTACTCTCCGCATACGCCGAACTCCGCTCGTCAGTCAAGGGAGAGGTTTTCTATGTACTCGCAGCCGCAGTCAATTCACCACTCACAAAGTGTTATCGACCATCGAGACGACCTTCACAGCCAGCGCGAAGATGACGACAATCAGACTCTAGCACAGCGACAGTCTTTTCTTGCAGAACAAGCGAACATTAAGAGGCACTCCAGGACTGACTCTTTTGTTCCGCCATTGACATCCCCAGTCAGGCAAAATTTCTCTAGGCCCGTCGTCTCCCCCCGCAGTGACAAGCACAACACATCTGGTGACCTTTCTCTCCAGAACAACATCCAAGAGAATTTGCATACCGACAACTGGGTTGTGCACGCTGAGCAAGACGATGACGCTGAGCATGGGTCACAATATCTTGCACCAAAACATTCGATGTTCCCCTCGAGGAAGGGCTACAATACGGTATCTACTTACGAGGATGTTTCAGATCGTGAGGACGGGCTTGAACAGACAATGGTTCCTCAACCACTGCGCATGAACCCGCCTACACCACCGCCACCAACATCACCATATGAGGAGGCAAGGAGCTCTCGTTCTCCCGCTTCTGGCCTCAAGAGAACTCATACAACTACCTCAATCTCCACAGAGGCTACGTTCAATCGTTCATATTCGCAGTCGCGTTCTGGGACACCCAAGTCCCGGTACTATGGCGACTTGAAAGCTGCAACCGATGGCGTCAGGTCCGGGCATTCTCCAGCGAACACACCAGGCTCATCGCCAACAAAGCGATCCTACAAGAACGAGCAGAACAACCTTCCTAGCGCAACGAAACAGTACATGGCGAACTCATCGAATGCACCAAAAGACTTTGTCAACAATTCGCCTTTCACGTTGGAGAAGAAGAGCTACACCAGCGTTCGACGCACTGGCGACGCCGGCTACACTGCCACAAAAGGCCAATCGCCGCGCGTGGTGAGCAGATCAGGAGTCGATTACATGAACCCTTACGAGTTCGACGATTCAGACCTTGGCATGCCGGGGCGGAGACGCGATGTCAGTGGAAAGGTCGCGGAAGAAGGACGCGGCGGGGCATGGGCGGGCAGGAGCGATCACGGTTTGACGTACCGCAAGGCTAGCGGTGTTATATGATTTATTGTTTGATGTTGTTATGGATATCCCCTCGAGTTGCAACCGGCGTTATATTGGATAGGTTTTAGGATAATCATGAGGGACTGAATGAGGCCGCATATCAGAATATGTGTGCGGCGCGTTTGTAGGGCACATACGAGTCGAAATATGGATGGAATCTTCTGCACGATCACCTGACTCACGCACTGATCGATGTCTTGTTCTTAGTGAAGGTTGTTTGTAATTCCCTCGGGGAAGTGTGTGTCGACGAACGCATCACCAGGCCACCCGCAGCCAACGAGCAGGTGCTTCTTCCCGCGCGTCTGACGCACGTTGTCATGCTTATAACTGCGAACGAGATCACGCACTAGAAAAGCCGTCTTGGGCTGTCAGCACACCTGCATTGCATGAAGCTATTAGAAAGAATTTTGACAGGCCGCTTGGGAAGTGTGTTGGGAATTACCGGTTGCCACCCGCTTAAGCCACGCGCGGTAGTCACGATCACGAGGGAACGCGGAGACCCTCAGGCATATCTCGAATCCACAGCGTCTTTGCCTCTTCACCTCTCCACGCGACGCGCCATTCACGTATCCCCACTGTCTTGCGCGTATACCGAGGAAACATACCCAATCATCTCTTCAGAATCTGTGTGCTCGGGTAGAACGCGGTCGCTGTCATTCGCGTTTGTCCACACACGCGAAACACGTTGACGGATCATCCTTCCATATCATTGACCCCCACCATCAGGGTGCCTGAACTCGTCCATTCCTGCCGCTCAGTCACAGTACATTCCACCTTTTTTGGATCTTGAGTTTGGCTGTCCTTGAACGACAAAGGTTGTAATCGACTCTTACCCCGCCACTATGCGTAAGTCGCGTCTGCCCAGACCTCGATCGCGACCTGTATGGACACTTACCAATTGCGCAATCAGAGGACGCCAACGCCACAACGACTATTGCTACAGTTCACCGTCCCGACATGCCAGATTCACAGGAGTCAGTTTTGTCCTCCGTGTCCAGCAACTTCTCTGTGCCAGCATTGCCGTCGTCGTCGAGCAACATATCGACGTCAACAGTAACCGACACGGACCTCACATCTCCGGCTTCCACCCATGTCTACTCGGGCCTCAGCAGGCCCACAGAGAAACCAACCGAGATCTCGTCGAGTCAAAGTTACGGCGCGAACGCGAGGTTCAATGCAGCGCGGATTGATACAGTTGCCGCGAACGCGCAGCGAACTGGTGACACAGCAGCGAGCCCCATGTCGATATGCTCTCCAGCCTTCCAGGGGACCAAGAGAACAGCAGACGGGTCGCTGAAGGCTGTTGGACCAGCAACAGTGACGCCAGCTGGACGTGTATTTGCACATAAGAGAAACAAGAGCATGGACACACACTCGGGTACTCGAATTGGAGAGGTGTGTGAATGTCTGCTCCGACACGGTTTGCAGGTGGCTGACGCATATGCAGCTTTCCGCACAGCTCAAGACGCGTCTTTCCTACGCCATGGTCAAGGTGCAGAATGGCTGGGAGAAACAGTCGCTTGACGAACTGGAAGAAGCCCATTCGCAGCATGGTTCACCAAACTCTGCTTCTGGAGGATCTCGTCCAACTTTTGGCTCTCCTTCGAGCACGAATTATCAACGCAGACCAAGCGGCGTGTCTGAAAATTCCGATCAAATATTGATGTCGCCGGGATCAGATCCCTCACGGTCTCATGCAACCACTCCATTTTGTGAGTATTCCACATCAAATAAGACAAACATCTCTGACACCGTTGTAGCATACTGGCATCCAGGCACAAAGCCCGCAATGAACGCGGCCGTAAACCTCATCAATGTTACCTCTACTTATCCTGGACGCGGGCTTGCCCCCGCTCCAGACTTTGATACTGGAAGAAGACGCAGAGCCAACACCACGAACACGATGCCATCTCTTCCAGGAACAGGCCATAGGAAATACTTCAGCGACTTAGGAGCAGTATCACGCGCGCCAGTGACACCCAGAGCAGGCATTCTCCGAATGCCTAGTCAACAAGCAGAGAAGGATGCTGTCGACACCCTGTTGTTCATGAGTAGCCCCAACAACTCTCAACGCTTCCCAAATACCAGTTCAGCGGCGCCCAGCCCGCTCAGAGCCGAAGCACCTCAACGACGCGTTATGTTTGAAGCTTATCCTTCACAAGAGAAACGCATTGTTTACCAATCATCTATGCCGGCACCTAGCCAGTATCAACATCAACCCTATGCTGCGAACCCAGCGCGGTAACATTAATATTATGTCACTCGCTTCTGTCAATATTTTTCAACAATACTATTCTAAGGCTCGACGAATGCATTGCACGATTGGCGTTGGGCGGAGATACCCCAATCTTTTAGTTGCTTCACCAGCTTATTATTATATGAACCTTTCATGGGGCATATCCAAGCATTGTCAGATCACTGTTTGAAGTTCAGGTTAGGCGGTGTAATGATGGCCAACGTGCCTTTGTTGTCACACTTACTGTCGATCATTGCTCAAACAACTCAGCTTGCCGCCGAGTCGCGTTCGAGGATGTTTGTCTCGATGTTGAGAAACACGATATTCACGGCGACATGAAGTTACATCTGACTGGGCATGTTTGACGGCTCGGGAGGGCAGTATGTGGCTGTACAGTTGTGACGTTAGCTCTAGCATTGAAATGAAACAAATCACTCCGAAGCTCCTATGCACATCACATCGCGTCCATATCAACGCGCTATCATCCGTGGACCTATGAGCTAAAAACCACTCAATCTCTTACATCTTTTGTCTATAGTATGCAACTGGGTTGATCTCCAACACGCGCTTTATGTAGGTGGAGGCTCTTGATGGACCCTGTTCTGTATGTCCGCTCGACCGGGATCGTGCGGGCATGCAGCAACGCGACAGACGTCATGCAGTCATCAGCCCACGGATCACTACTTTGGGGAGTGGATAAAGGAGCCTGACTCAATCATGATGCTCTGCGGGTTTAAATAGCTCTGGGTCCCCTTGATTTGACGGGTTACGTGTTTCCACCCTTTGCGGTACCTCTCCACTCCACCATACGACTGTTTGCTCCTTGTGCCCGGCTTTGAGCGAGCACTAATTATCAACAAACGTCTCTGGGAAGCAATTGGTCAAGATGTCGGTTTCTGCAGCGCTCAAGGCGAGGGTTAGGAGGCCGAGTTACCTCAAGAAGATTGCTAAGGCGGAGGATTTGCTGCATCACTTTCCAAACGGTGCGTATGTAGGCTGGAGTGGATTTACCGGAGTTGGATACCCCAAGTAAGTTTGATTCCTCGAATCGTCTCCTGTCTTGCGTTGGAGGAGCTCAATGCCTCCACTGGGAGCTTTGGGGAGCTCGGTTGAGCTCATGAGACTGATGTGGGGATGGCCGAATTATCTCCGACCCCACAATTGAAGCTGTGCTTGGATGTCTTAGCCCGTACCAAATACAGGCTTCGCCTAAGCTATTTGTGTCATGGGCGAGATTTGATATTCGTCCGTATTGTACGCTGTAAGCACAGGCTAATTGTGTTCCCAGGAAGATACCGACAGCCCTCGCCGACCATGTTGAGAAGAACAATCTCCAGGGACAGCTCAAATACAACCTCTTCGTCGGTGCTTCATCTGGCGCCGAAACCGAGAACAGATGGGCACGCCTGAACATGATCGAGCGCCGGTCGCCGCATCAGGTTGGCAAGGAAATTGCAAAGGGCATCAATAATGGCAATATCAAGTTCTTCGATAAACATTTGAGCATGTTTCCCGTGGATTTGATGTATGGGTATGTATGCTCTAGATCCTGTGTTTTGCACGAGAGGGTGACGAGTATTGACAAAACTCAGCTTCTACACGCTCAACAAGCCGCAAAACAAACTCGACGTCACAATCGTAGAAGCGTCTGCAATCACCGAAGATGGTGGAATCATCCCCGGAGCAAGTGTTGGCGCATCACCAGAACTCATCCAAATGGCGGACAAAATCATCATCGAAGTCAACACGGCAGCCCCATCCTTTGAAGGCCTCCACGACATCACCATGACCGATCTCCCTCCAAACCGCAAGCCATACCTTATCATGCGACCTGAGGACCGTATTGGAACCCCGCACATTCCAGTGGACCCGGAAAAGGTTGTTGCGATCGTGGAGAGTGACTATCCGGATCAGACGCAGCCCAATACGCCTGCGGATGAGACATCGAAGGCTATTGCGGGCAACTTGATCCAGTTCCTCGAACACGAGGTCAGCCGTGGAAGGCTTCCAAAGAACTTGCTCCCCATCCAGTCTGGAATCGGAAATATCGCCAACGCTGTTGTTGGAGGACTTGCCGTATGTTCCCTTATTCATGTCTGGAAGGCTCGACAAACTGACATATGCAGACTGGAGGTGCGAATTTCAAGGGCTTAAAAGTCTGGACAGAGGTGATTATGCCGCCAAAGTGAAAGATGTTACTTATACTAAATCATTGCAGGTTCTTCAAGACTCCTTCTTGGATCTTTTTGACTCCGGCAATCTGGACTTTGCAACCGCAACTTCAATCCGCTTCTCGCCAGACGGCTTCGAACGCTTCTACGAGAGGTACGACGAGTACGCTCCCAAGCTGCTCCTCCGCTCGCAGCAAGTCTCAAACTCGCCCGAGATCATCCGTCGTCTGGGCGTTATCGGCATGAACACCCCCGTCGAAGTCGACATCTACGCCCATGCGAACTCAACCTGCGTGATGGGCAGCAGGATGCTCAACGGTCTCGGTGGATCAGCCGACTTCCTCCGCTCAGCCAAATACAGGTAATTATACACATCCATTGTTATCCCATGTTCAATCTCTAACTCGCGCAGCATCATGCACACACCCAGCACAAGACCATCGAAAACCGACCCTACAGGCGTATCCTGCATTGTGCCCATGTGCACGCACATCGACCAAACAGAGCACGACCTCGACGTCATCGTCACCGAGCAGGGTCTCGCAGACGTGCGTGGTCTGTCGCCCCGCGAGCGTGCCCGCGTCATCATCAACAAGTGCGCGCATCCCGATTACAAGCCGATCCTGCAGGACTACTTCGACAAGGCCGAGTTTGAGTGCTTGAGGAAGGGATGGGGACACGAGCCGCATCTGCTGTGGAACAGCTTCGATATGCACAAGCATTTGAACGAGAAGGGGACGATGAAGTTGCCCAAGTGGGATTACACGAGCGCGGAGAAGACCATGTAAAGAACGAGAATAGAAGTGGGGTACAGATGGGTTAAAGAGGATGGAAAAGAGGAGCGGTAAAGCTCCATCCTGTCTATATTATCACAAACAATCGAACAAATCTCCAAAAATCTACTCATATCCCTATTTCTGAGAAGGGCTTGTCTATTAGGTCCGCATCGGGTAACCCTGTTCTCCCCGGTCTGGTCATTGTGCAAAAAACATACACAAAAACATACAACAGCGGGAATTCGCTAGTTGTCACCAACCCAGCTACTAATCCGCCGGTACACTGCTTGAGTACAGCTGAGCGAACGGGAAGCTCTATTTTCAGTGTCCTATGGTCGTATGTGAAAGTTAGGACATTTTTGCCGTATATATACCGCGATGTTTGATGAATACATGGTGAAACGCATCGAGCTGGAAGAACGCTTAGGATTTGTCTTATATGAGATTGCTTACTTACAAGCCGTACTCGCAACTAGTCAGTAGAACATTGAGCAAGGATGTTGCAGATGATTCGGGTGCTTGCTATGTCTTCTGGTGAGACGCTGTTGACGTTTTTTGTACAAACTGTAGTCCTCTTCTTTGGTGGTGGTAGCGGCGGCGGCGGGCGGATGGTGGCGAGACCGACGCGTCGCGCTCGCGTTTGGCGTTGACGACTTGGCCTGTCGCGTTCCTACTGCTTGATGGGTTTTATAAAGGTGACAGATAGATAACTTGAGTCATCATGCAGTCAGCTTTCACGCTTTCGCGATTTGTGGATTGAGCGCCATAAGTTGAGTTGAAGGAAAGACAAACAGAACAAGGGAAAATGAATGGTAGAGCGTCAAATTTGTATGATGAACGTCTCTTTTCCGAGTACTTGGGCAAATCCAGGTTCTTTCTGTTCATATATGGGAGGTGGTCGCGGACGCGATCTGCGAAAGAGAGTGAATGGAGCTATGACTATGCTGCGCCACATTCTGTAACGCCCTCCATCCATCCCAGTCGCATCTCCAACCCTCCTCACACCTCGCAAACACACCACCCCACCGCCCAAAATGCTCCACACCCTCTCCCTCTCAACACTGCTCCTCCTTCCCAGCGTCCTCGCCTCTCCCCTCTCCTCGCCCCAACAACCTCTCCCGCTCCTCATCTGGCATGGCCTAGGCGACAACTACGCCGCAGACGGCCTCCACACCGTCGGCGACCTAGCCAACGAAACAAACCCCGGCACCTACATCTACTACATCCGACTCGACGAAGACGCAGCCTCAGACCGCACCGCGACCTTCCTCGGCAACGTAACCGAGCAAATCGCCCAAGTCTGCACCGACATAACCACGCACCCGATCCTCTCCACAGCCCCAGGCCTCAACGCGCTTGGCTTCTCCCAAGGCGGCCAATTCCTGCGCGGCCTCGTGGAGCGCTGCCCTGCCGCGAAAGTCCGCAATCTAGTCACCTTCGGCAGCCAGCACAACGGCATCGCAAAGTACCAGCTGTGCGGCGCCACCGACTGGTTGTGCAAGGGCTACATCGGCCTGCTCAAGGCGAATACCTGGGGGAACTGGGTCCAGAGCCACCTCGTCCCTGCGCAGTACTATAAAGCGACAAACGACTCCACGGGCGAGCCTACGGATGATTACCTCCAGAATAGCAATTTCCTCGCTGATATCAATAACGAGCGCGTTTTGAAGAATGTGTCGTATGCAAGCAACCTCGCCCTGCTGGATGCGTTTGTCATGTATGTGTTCGAGGAGGATACGACGGTCATCCCCAAGGAAAGCGGGTGGTTCGCGCACACGAATGTTACGAGTGGTGAGGTTACACCGCTGCGCGAGAGGCCGATCTACAAGGAGGATTGGATCGGGCTGAAGGCGTTGGATGTGAAGGGCGGGCTGGAGTTTAAGACTGTCAAGGGCGCGGGGCATATGGAGCTTGATGATGAGGTGTTGACGGATGTTTTCGAGACGTACTTCTCGGCGGAGAAGGCGAGTTGGGAGGGAGTGAGTGAGCAGGAGGTTGTTGAGCTGTGAGATCGTGGGGAGTGTGAGTTGGCAAGGCGTTTTGGGAGTAATGTGTATTGGGTCAAGGTAACTGTAACACGATGTATAGTATGAGTACGACAGGGCGAGGCGTAATGTGAACAAGGCAATATGTCTATGAACTACCAAAGACTCGTACGTGGTATATCACACCAGCTTGAAACCAGTATTTTGAGCGCCCGAACGCCAACACCCATGCGCCGTCTTATGCAAGTGCCACGCGCGAGCCACGCACTCAACCCGCAATCAACGGTGTCTGCACCGACGAGAGTGCCTCCTTCTTCAGCGCCTTCCTCTTCTCCTTGCTGATGGAGCTCTTCTTCTCTGGCGCCTTGTCCTTCTTCGCCTTCTTGGCCTCTCTCTTGGCCTTCCTGACCTCGAGCACATCGTCGTCCAGCAGCTCCTCCTCCCACTCATCCCACTTCCTCTTGCGCTCGGCAGACTTGCCCTTCTCGCCGGCGGTGATGGCGCCCCTCCATGGCTGCTCGAGGACTTGGGCCTCGTCGGCCCAGAGCTCATCAGCGAGCCAGACGGGCAGGGCTTTTGTGGCGGGGCCCTTGATGTGCAGCGAGCGGATGTTCTTCCAGCCTTGCTCAATGTGTTTCGGGATGATGGCGGCAATGACAGCTTCAGTGTTCTCCTTGATCTGGTCGGCGGTCATGGAGAGCCTGCCGATCTTGATTGAGGTGTTGGCTGATGCGCTCATGCTGAGGTATGTCGAGTTGAGTGCGGCCTCGATCTCCTTGGCCACGCCTTGGGGTGTTCCAACCACGTTCTGGGGCTCCTTCTTGTCCTTCTGGGCCGTCTTGTCGACGAAGGCGCCTGCGGTGAGCCTGATGGGGATTGGTCGCTTGGCCTTGCTCTGGTAGAAGGTCTTCCCGAGGAACTCGGCGACAATCTTGATGACACGGTCGTCGACCATGAAGACATCGTAGTCAGTCAGGAGAGCGCGCTTCTGCTCGAAGGACTTGAACTTCTTCTTCAGCTTGTCGATGCCAATCACGCGCCCGACTTTCTCGCGGAGGGTAGCTGGGAAAGCATCAGAGGCGACGAGGTCTTTGTACGCCCGCTGCGGGTCCTTTGTGAAGATGCAAATCTTGGCGTCGCTGGCGATGATTGGGTGAGGAAGAGGGCTGTATGTCCATTAGCACATGTACTTTGCGCATCCAGATTTTCGCGGACTAACAGTTTGGCAGGCTTCAGACGGTTGGTATTGCTGACGTGCTGCTTGGTGGAGACGCTGAGGAAGATGGGCTGGTCGTTGTCCTCGGCCTCGTCCTCGTCGGCAGCCAAGTTCTTCTTCCCGTCCTTGCTCTCCTTCTCCTGCGCGTGCTTCTTCATATGCGCAACGAGGGCCTTTGCCGCCCGCTCGACCTGCGCCGGGTCCAGCTGGTAGGGTGTGCTGCTCACATCCTTGGTGGCAACGGGCGCCTCGGCCTTCTTCGTCTCTTTCTTTGCTACTGCCTTGGATCGTGCCATTGTTGCGGTGTTGATTGCGGAAATGTCGATTCTCGTCGCTCGAAATTTTGGCGGATCCTAGCTCCAACTGGGAACTTTCGAACTTTTTCCGAGTTATGTAAGCATTTGCGGGGCTGGTAGTGCCTGCCGTTTGTGGAAAGAAACTGATCTGTACAGCCTATCAGCGCGTCGATCCACTAGCGCGAAAAGCGCGAAAGGAAAGCACGACACGCTGCGTCGCCGACCAAGTTTCAGTGCCATGCAGTGATGCAGCACACAAATCACATGCATCTCTGTCTGGTCAGCCCAACTCAACTCAACTCAAGGGGCTGAAGGCTATCTGCGACTGCCAGATTTTGTGAACCCGTCCCTCTACTGCTGCACATATTGCAATTGTATTTTATAGCAATTGAGCATTTTTTTTTAGCAATATCGAGATGTTTTTGCGCAGTATGCAGTCTCGAGAACCTTACATCGTGCACGTAACATGTTCACGGTCACGATTCCATCACCAAATTCCATCCGATCGTCGACGAGCCGAAACGCACCGTGCACCCGCCTTATCAAAGTTTCTCGACGCGTTCATACCGCCCTGTCGCGTCTGCCTCGTTGCTCCACTTCCTGCCACGGCATTGTGTGATTTAGTCTTAGTCTCGTGGGCTGTCTGCACGAAGATTTTATCTGCACTTCGTGACGTCTGTGTGCATTCAAAGTTACGCCTAGCCTGCTTGACTGTATGTATTGCTGGAAGTGTCCTGACCAATTTGTTTAAGCATCTAATACGACTTTATCTCGATGTCCTATTTGGTTTTATTAACCAATGGTCGAACAATAGATTGCTTACTGTCCTCGAGTTAGGAGTGGGAAATATTGCCATTGTGTGAATTGTTTGCTGCATGGCAGTCGGCAGAGGATGGGCAGAGCTGCCAATGATGCACGATTAAATCTCCTGTTCAAGGACTGCCCCGTGGAGGGATAAAACACCGAAAAGCCATAATCTCGATATGCTCTTGCATAGCCTTCCGGTCGATATATAACAGTCGAAGAATACCGAGACGTACGCAAAACCAAATACATAGTAGAGAGTAGTCAAACAGGAGGCGTCGCGGAACGTCATATATGACAGCCCAACACGTTGTGGAATTACGCGGGGGCAGGTAATGCTGGGTGAATTCCGCTCGGGCTGGGTAAGGATCAGAGCTCTGTCGCGCTACCGATTTCGTGACCTCCGCTCTCCATTCCACGCCCGCGTACGCGACAAACTGGCCGCGTCGACGTGATCTTAATTCTGAACTGACCTCATGGCTTCTTCTCTCTGACCTCTTCGCCTGTCTTTTAACCAGCCCCTCGTTATCCTGCCCCTCTGGACTCTTGGTCTGCAATCAGCGGCCAGCACGCCTACAGCCTGCCTACCACCACTACCACCACCACAGCACGCGTTTCGTGTCGACACGCCGCTGTGCCCCCCCTCGTCGGCCCCAGCACGCACCATGGACTCTTCGCCGCAGAAATTTGGCTCGCAGCTGTTCACCGAGTCGATTGAACAGCAGGCTGAGCGGACGCCGAGGCCATCGCTTCTGCCCGCATTTGAGGAATCGTCACCGTTTCCCCGACCCAACCTTTCGAAGCGCAAATTCGAAGACGACTCCCCCCCGTTCCCCAAGCAGCAGCTCAAGTACTACCCCACCCCCGTGCCCACTTCATCGACGGGCATCCTGCACTCGTCGTCGCCCCAGAACGCCCGCTCGGGCATCCTGCATCGCACCGTGTCGGCTCTTTCCGAGCGGACTCCACTAGGAGCCGTGCCCACCGTGAACCTCCCAGCAGACGGCGAAATCGTGCGCATGGGCAGGTCCTCTAACTCTGCCGATTACCAGCTGTCCACCAACCGTCTCATCTCCCGCGTCCATGTCCAAGCCGCCTATCACGCCCCCACGGCACATTACCCGAGCGGGAACATCGAGGTCGAGTGTCTGGGATGGAACGGCGCCAAGATCCACTGCAGAGGCTGCGTTTTCGAGCTGAACAAGGGGGACACGTACATGTCGGAGAATCCAGAGATTGAGATTTTGTTAGATGTTCAGGACACCCGCGTCATAATCGCTTGGCCATCCGTCGCTGCCCGGAAGCTGTCGTGGGACTCGGAAGAGGAGGGTATGCCCACGCCTACTCGTCGCACTTACCAGGAAGCCTTTAACTCGAGCCCTCCCGCCATCCCTCGATCGCCCGTGTCCCAGAGCCCCATCCGTCAGCCCCTCTTTAGTCAGCCTGTCTTTACCGGGCATGGGCTAACTGCCCCGTCCGTGCCCGTTCAAGTCTTCGAGGACGTTGATGTTCAGGAAGAGGCCCCAATCAAGAGCAGCCCAGACTCTGCTGAGAGAACCTTTATCCGACCTGACATCCCGTATTCTGCGATCAGTCCCGAGTCACCCGCCATTGAAACCAAGGCCAGCATCCTGTCGTCCTTTACTAATGATGACTACTCCGACGGCGACGAAGAGAACGACCCTGTTGTCCACTCCTTTGGTCCCTTTGGTCAGAACCTTGTCAATGGGCTGGCTTCCTTCTCTACAGCTCTGCCTGGCCTGTCTAATAGCCCGCGGCCTCCTCGTGTCCCATTGATGTCGCCGTCTCCAAAACGTCCGTGCACCGAGGGTTTGAGTTTCAAAGAATCCCCAATCAAGAACCACGTCATCAACCAGCTGGCCTTTTCCCGTATTCATGCCCAGCCTTTGTCAGCTATTCACAGCAACCTCCCATCCGAGCTCAAGATCTCCGTCATCAAGAGCAGCAAAGGGAAGGATACAGGAGATGGCGAAACCTCAACTGCTCAGCTTACGCACCAGGACCTCAAGAAGATTCTGGACGATACTCCCTGCGTTGGTGAGATTCCTCGTGCTGGCAAAGACGCCGCGGGCAAGCCTCTCGAGAACGAGTTTTACTACGTTCCGGAGATGGACAGCAACCAGATGAGGCGAGAGACAATCACTGCTGGCATGCGTAGCACAGGCCTCCGCACTGTGAGGAGGACACATAAGGTATGTCACTTTCTGTTACGGTCGAGTTGTTGGAGCTTATATTGTACATCACATGCTGTGTTTCCTTGAATCAAGATGTTGATGGTGAAGATGATCGTCGCTAACCATACACAGCAATATTACTGGAAGAAGCCGCGTGTGTGAGTAGTTAACAGACTCTGCCCTCGCTCATAACATCGCCGAACCCTTTACTATCCCCACAACATCGACAAACCTTTCCGCTTCAACCCAAAATGAGAGACCCTAAGGCCTGTACACTTCGACGCCCCCACGTTACCTCCACTCGCCTCCGTCGTATTTCCCACCCATCCCGAACTTCTGCATAGCATAGCGAGGCGTTCACGATCCCATCTTTCCGCACCCGTCTCATTTCGCACTCCCCGCACCTTGGACCTCACCCTCTTTTTTTCTTATACCACATGTACCACCATATCTCCCAAGTTGCATAGCTGCGCGAGACCTGTTTCCCATTTCCTTGGATTCAAGGGCCACCAACCACGTTGGGCCGTTTGGACTTTTTCACGTATATCCCCACGCTGGGAGTTTTGGTACGTGTCCCACATCCCTCTCCCCCCGCGCTTGCAAAGTCGTCATACTGACTCGGATAGGATTCTTCAATGTTTCGCTTACGATGTTTTTTCTTTCTCTTTCATGGCTAGGCTTTTGTCGCGAGGCTTTTTTTACCCTTTCTACGTTGGGGAAGGGACTGTGTATATGATTATCTATTCCCTTGGGATGTGGATGTGGATGACGGAGTGATGGTTTGGGTTGGACGAGGGTTAGAAAAGTATTCTTTTCGTTTTGGTTCATGTTACGCACTCAGACGTTGCTTACCTATGGTTGGCCTTATGAGACAATGCAAGTCGTGTTTTTTGTAAACTTTGTCCTGTGCCATTTGACCTTGATTATGGTGTTTTCTCGTGCATCTCGCTGTATGCTAAATAACTGGTATTCTTACAGTCCATCATACCACTATGCTGTGACTATTCTGCTTGTTTTTGGCTCCGAGTGCATATTGGGTGATGTCCACTGTGCTTTTTGGGACAAACTGCATGACGTAATGTCGACGCGATTGTGATGCATCTTCACGTTACGGTTCATGCACGGCTGGAGTTGGATTTCGAAGCTTGTGTATTCTGGTTACGGTACCTTCCCATGCTACAAGTCCAAGACTGCTCTGTGCAAGATAGGAAAAGGTTGAATGGATTCACTCTACATGCCCGATACCCGTCATGATATCCCGAAACCGAGTAATAAGCACAGAAAAGATGCCATGTGCCGAAGAGACCTTGCCTTCATGTCCGTCGCATGCATTCGTCGCATTCGTTCCACCCACCCTGACTCGCCAGACGCCGATGATGCGAATTGCTCACTTGAGCTTCTTCTTGGGTCGGAGCTGGTTGGTGTGACCGCACTTCTTCTTGCGCTGTGTGTTTGTTAGCATGCCGTCTTCACATATTTCCAGCATAGTGGTGGTGGTGATGACGTACGCAGTTGACAGCCCTTGGTGGTAGGCGAGCGTAGCACTTGCGGCAGATCATCTTGTCGCAGTTGTACTTGGAGGCCAAGGCCTTAAGCGAAGGCTCAATGATACCGCCACGGAGACGGAGGACCAAGTGCAGAGTCGACTCCTTCTGGATGTTGTAGTCGGACAGAGTGCGGCCATCCTCGAGTTGCTTGCCGGCGAAGATCAAACGCTGCTGGTCCGGGGGAATTCCCTCCTTGTCCTGGATCTTGGACTTGACATTGTCTGTCCTTGCAGTCAGCCTCCATGTCCCATAATTCCGACATTGCGTCCACTGTGTGTCTCGAGCATTGCGCAGCGTATCCTTGCGGTGGTGTGGCGTGCAGAGTGGGTGAGCGTACCGATGGTGTCAGAGGACTCCACCTCGAGGGTGATAGTCTTGCCCGTCACTGCGAGGAACAGTCAGTACAACTTCGGCAGGCGCATGCTTCGGGTTCGCAACGTACGGGTCTTCACGAAGATCTGCATGTTGACGGTGTTGCTGGATCCTGTACTGTCGTAAGTTGTCCGGCTTGAAGGTCAGGAATTCGAGCGTGCGAGTGCTTACCTAATTGCCTTCGCTTAGCGAGGTGGGGTCTCACGTGCCTAGACCTACCTCCGGCACTCATCGCACGATCAATTATGGGAGCTTTTATGGGAAATGTATGTTAAATGTTTGAATTGTGTCATGTACGTTGTCGAATTTGCATTCCACGGATATCGCGACTAAGCACACGTACCTTAACTTTCAACTCTTCTACTTGCTTTACTGCCACAGGACTGTTACCAAATATTGTCGAACGGATCACTCCATTCATAGAGGCTCATTCGTCGGTCGGATTGTCCACCGCCTTTCGTGCTACGCGCCTCCGCCATTGTTCTATCCTAGCCTCAGTGAATAACACTGCCATGATTAGCATATCCATTGACAACCCCACCATCCTCGCAACCTCCTCGTAGAATATCTTGGCTTGACCTGGCAGGTCGTGCTCTTTCTTGTACAATCGGTACGCCTCGCCCGGTCGTAGAACATCCTCCTGGGCATCATCATCATCGCCCACAGCTGCCCTTGATCTCATGCTGCTATGCACTGCCTTGACTACATCTAGTCTTTCCTGGATTGACACCTCTTCGACAGCCGTAGTCGAAGACCCATGACTCTTTCCATCGGTTGGGAACATTTCGTATAGCGCATTCCGGAAATCATCATTCTCTCTCGTCCTCTGGATCTCTGCATCATCGAGGAACGTATCGGCATAGAATCCCAAGTACTGATCGACTTGATCACCCAACATTGAAAAGACATCCTTCTCCTCCAACTTTGTCATCTCCTCAGTCGTGAAGCGAGTGTCACCACCTCGCTGCTTGGCCTTTACAGTTTCCATCTGTCGACACCATGCATCCCAGTCCAACACAGTCGCTGTAGGCTCTGATGAGGACTTCGGGTACCGCTCTTCACCGTCGAGTGGGTAAAGGAGCTTAACGCACACGACGAGACAACCAGCGAGTTGTGCTTCAGGCAGATGTCGAATGCCAAGTCTCTTATTTCCATCTTGTCGCAATACAAAACTGTATCCAAGGAGATCGCTCAGTCGGATTGTTGCGTCGTAGAGTTCAAGAGGTAAGGCCAGTTCTTTCAGGTAGCGGAACAGGAGCAACTGGACGTTGAGAGCAGGCCAGGAGATTGCATAATCTTTCTCAAAACTTATTTGTAGATCGGTGATCGTGGCGTATAGACGTTTGTGTTTGAGCAACGTGCTCGGATCCAGAACCGAGTGATATGAAGGTGGCAGGCGATCTCTCATCGCGAGCGGTAGCAGTTTGATAGCCCTTCTATACGCCATCTTACCATCTGTGATCCAAACGTAGATGTCGCCCGGCGTGACAGGAAGTCGTAGCGTGATCATCCCCAGATAGCACAACGCCAGACAGTCGATCAGGTTTGGCACGCTTCCGAGCTTCTTGTCTCTGCCCTTGGGCGTTCTGAGAGTGCCTTTCTCGCCGTCCGTATCGCTGTCGTCGGTTTCTAGAGTGTTGTATACCTGAGATTGTGACTCTGACTCCTGGTCTTGCCTTGCGATCTTGTCGCCGAACTGAGCTATACGTAAAGACCATAGGTCGAATATCACAGTCTCGAGCTCTGCTGGCAAACCTTTCTCTTTTACCAAGAACCAGATCTGGTGCCGTAGGATTAGTTGTAGGCATTTGAGATGTAAATCTAAAGCTTGTCGACCACTGAAATCTGGCAGCGTGTGTCAGTCGTGGCTTGTACTTATTTCTATGCAAATCGCAAGACAAGGGGTCGTTTGAAGGATTTCGTTTTGGCTCCGTCCACACCACGTGCATGACAAGATGGTAACAATGAAGACTTACGTCTTGCTATTTTCTTCTGCTCCTCCTCGTCTTTGTTTATGTGCGTAACTGTTCTCCTTCCCGTGGCAAAGTCATCATCATCTTCCTCAGTACGAAGCAGCACCTGTTGACCGTCAGCATATATCTGACGCATGTAATCAGTTTACTCACGCCTTGACGATGTCCATTTTCACAATACTGAAAACCATCTTCACCTTCGTCGTACCTTCTTGATCGACAGTTTTCAACGCCGCAAACGGGACCTCGAGCCATGACCGTAGCGCACTATGCAGAGCCAAATCAGCGTGAATCTCCCACTTGAGCTCCGTGCTCTTTCTCAAGTATAAGTCGCGTGGATTGAGACGAATGTGTGGAGTTACACCTGCGTGAAAGCAATACTGAACTATAAGGAAATGACGAGATTTGTGTTATTAGTAGTCATCTGTCGAGCGATTGAAAAGCAATTAGTTGCGCTGCGCAGTGCAAGTGTCAAATGATGGAGATGTTCAGTGTTGCACTACATGAGATTGGCCGTTCACTAGCGCGAAAACTACAATCCCACATTCACCCGGTTTTTCGCCAATGAGAAGCGCAATATATGCCGTAACATCATCACCTTTTATTTCATTGCCGTAAGGGATATATCTAGGAAAGGGAAACAGATTCGTTAACGTTTCCCACACATGGCAATGCAATAACCCAAAACCCGTCCGAAGAACCAAAACTCTTGGTCGCCATCAGCGCAGCACTAAGGAATGCTGAAGTTGACGCAAAAGATGCGACTTGGCATAGAAATATGCGAAGCCTCTGGCGACCCGTTCCCTGACTGGAGCTCGTCAGCACGCCGCGGCTTGCTTCCTGCTGACAGCCTTTCCGTTCGACGAAGCAAATTTATTTGGGGGCCTCCTTGGCGTCGATGGCGCACTCCTCGCCCATAGCAGTAAGGACAATGACGTCTGGTGATTTGTTAGGGATAGTCTAACCCACGATGGCTTGTGTGACTTACTGGTCTCCTTCTCGGAGTCATCGAAGAGCTTCTGGATCTTGTCGCCAATCTCGCCGTCGGGAAGCTTGACGTCGTCCTTGGTGGTGCCATCGTCGGACATGAGGGAGAGGAAACCGTCATCCTGGATGTCGACCTGGAGTGCGCTGTCAGCCAAAGCCTTGCCACCAAAATCCCGTTTGCACTTACGAGGAGGTACTCCTGGCGACGAACGTTGGGGACGTTCATGTTGTGGGTGGAAGGGCACAACTCTTCGAGCTTCTTGGAGGTGAAGATGTCGATGGCAACCAAATGGACCTTAGCGTGTCCGTGCTTGCCGGTCTTCGAGGTGGTCATTTCGACAATCTTGCAGGGACGGTTCTTGATGACAACGAAGCCGTTCTTCCTCAGAGCAGAGCACTGCATGGGGTACGTCTGCGAGGCACCGGCATCGGCGCTCTCGAAGGTGTGCTCATGCTGGAAAAGACCGTGTTAGTGCTTGCTATACAAAAGGAGCGCAAAATGGCTGGGTCGACGGCAGCGCCTGGGCGCAATGGGTGACGGGGACTCGAGAAGGTGGGGTAAAAGAGCACACGCGGAGGCGAGGCCGCGGGGGACGTACCTGCGCGTCGTCGGCCATGGTGAGAATGAGTGTAGGATGCGACGTGGAGGAAGAGGCTGGTGATGGTTCGGTGGTCTGGGGGGCGCGAGTGAGAAAGACCTGGAATAGAAGAGGAGGAGAAGTCTGCTTGTCTGGATTTTGATTTTGGGGCCCAGGGAGGGGCGAAGCGTAGATGATCCCTGCTTAGCGCGCCTCGCTTAGTGTAGCAGTCGCGACCCAGATGTCGCTGCTTCGATGCTCTGCTGTCTTGTTTACTTCCAGAAATGCTGCTCTGAACATCTGACCACCCCACCAAAGACATAATGTGGGGCCTAGACAGGCTCTCATCCTACTCCACGTATCCCGGCACGCCGCCATCGCGAGCTGATTCATACTCGCCAGCACCGCGAAGGGGCTATCCAGCGCCAGGGCCGGGTCCTTTGCCCATAAGACCGGACCTGAATCCACGATCATCGTCGCTATCGCTCATATCGCCTTCAGCTTCGAATACAAACCTGTCTGCGACGACACGGATACCTCATGGCGGGCCTCGTAGGCGGCCGACAGGGGGGGTTCTTCCCAACGTCCCGGATCCCGTGCAAGTGCTGGCATCCATAATGGGGGGAGTGCCTAGAAGATCGAGTACTGTAAATGGGGGTAATGTTGGGAGTCTGCGCCAGAAGCCTGAAGAGGTGGTCGTGGACATCGATTTCGAGGGTCTCAGCCTGCACGACTTTGTAGCGCAAGAAGCTCATGAGCAACGGCACACTACTTCTGTACATACATATAGCGCACAGTCAGTTGAAGAATGTACGTGTCTAAATCCTGTGTTGGGGCTGTTTGCTCATATGTGCTTGCAGATGACGTCGAGAAAGATAAGTTCGAAGATCTGCACAAGTCGATATTAGCTTGCGACGAGGTACTCAAGTCGGTGGAAACATACCTCACAAACTTCCAAGCAGATCTCGGGGCAGTGTCGGCCGAGATAGAGTCGCTTCAGAACCGCTCAGTAGCGCTGAACACCAAACTGGAGAATCGAAAAGTTGTGGAAAAGCTCCTGGGACCCGCAGTGGAAGACATCAGCATATCTCCAGCAGTCATACGCAAGATTGCAGAAGGCCCAGTCGACGAGAGTTTCGTGCGCGCCTTAGCAGACGTCGATAAACGATCCAAGACCGTCAATGCAAAAGCCAAAGAAAACCCTGACCTCAAAGCTGTCGCAGACCTCAAGCCTGTCATAGATAATCTTGTCAACCGTGCTGTCGAACGAATACGAGACTACATAGTCGCCCAAATCAAAGCCATTCGTTCACCCTCTATTAACGCACAGATAATCCAACAACAAGCATTTCTCAAGCACAAAGAATTGTACGCTTTCCTATCGAAGCATCAGCCCGAACTTGCACAGCAAATTGGTCAGGCGTATGTCCACACAATGCGGTGGTACTATCTTAACCACTTCACTCGATATCGAACCGCCCTCGAAAAGATTAAGGTGCATGCACTAGACAAGTATGATGTCCTTGGCGAAGATCCCAACACAAAAAGAGGCGGTGGAATACTTGGACAAGCACGGAGCGCACCAGTTGCCTATGATGCGTTCTCGCTTGGTCGACGTCGAGATGCACTCAAGAACTCTTCGCTCAACGCTCTGACAGCCTACATCGCTGAAGAAGAGAAATCTGCGCACTACCTCGAAGTCATCTTCCGCAGCTTCAACCTCGCCCTGATTGACAACGCGTCTTTCGAGTACACTTTCATATCTACCTACTTCGCACCCTCGCAAAATTACCATGTCATATCACGCACATTCTCGGCCATCTTTGAGCCCACATTCGCCCTTGGTCAAGCATTGACGAAACAACTCGTCGAAAATACCACAGACACACTTGGTGTTCTCCTCTGCGTGCGACTGAACCAACACTTCGCGTTCGAGCTGCAACGCAAAAAGGTCCCAACGGTGGAAGGCTACGTTAACGCCACGAACATGCTTCTCTGGCCGCGATTCCAACAGATCCTTGACATGCACTGTACATCTCTCCAGAAACTAACATCGTCTCTCTCTGGCCGACCGTCCGCTGGCTCTGCCCTACTTCTAACGAGCTCTCAGAACTCGATTTCGACCGCGCCAACACCACTCACACAAAAGTTTGCCAATCTTCTCCACGGGATTCTAGCTCTGTCGTCGGAAGCAGGGGATGATGAGCCTGTCTCAGTGAGTGTAGCCAGGCTGAGAAGCGAGTATGAAGCCTACCTCACAAAACTGAGCAAAGGGACTGGTGATGCACGGAAGAGGGACAGATTCCTGTGTAATAATTACAGTCTTACGTGTACCATATTTGCAGATGTTGATGGGAGACTAGGAGAGGAGGTCAGAGCACATTTTGAGAAGTTAAGAGATACTTTTGACAAATGATTCGGAAGTGGAAAAACGATTCTCCCAAAGCTGAAACAGCAGATTGTAGGCAGTAGTTGCTCAAATACAGTGGTTCAGGTCTCAGGAGACTGTTATATAATCTCGAAACATCTTTGCACAAGAATGTGTGCAGCTCCGTACTTGCCTGCCTCGTCGCAGTTGCCTGTGTTATCTTGAAGATTGCCATTTGATTGGATGAGCGCAGTCATTCTAGGCAACAATACACTCTAGCGAGTTCAGACACCAGCATCTGACATCTCGCAAATCACGATAATCTTTCTAGGTCTCACATCGACAACGAGTGTTTCTTCGTGGTGATTCGAATTTCTTTGTCAACCTCAAATCCAGATACTCCGGTCGTCGAGTTTTGAGTATTCTACCGAGAGCACGGCCTGATTCCTGGATAGTCATACTTTACAGGAAGTCATGCTCTGTAAATTCTGCACCGAGCTTGATTTCGAAAGTCCATGTTCTTTGTCCACCGACGTCGATATATTACTGGAATCTGCCAACAAAGGATGCGAGGGTTGTAATGTTTTCTTGGATGCATATAAACGCTTCTTTGAGAACTGGTCGCAGCATAATAACATCTCCCCTCCACTCAACGCTCTCGACTTTCTCGCCAAAGTCCCTCTGCATACTCCAGTCGAAGTTGTGCAACAAAGTAGTTGTTACGTGCACATAAGCCTCCCGGAACCCTTGATCCAGTATAATCCCAATATGCCACCGGTCACTTTGTTGTCAAGATTGTGCAGTGTATCTGGTAAAGTATTTCATTTTAGATGTCGCTTCTTGGCTAATCCTATCAGGCGCTGAATCAACTCGATCGATCACCGCTGACGGCAGAAGCGTTAAATTCCCACTCTCAAGAATCATATCACCAAACTCTGGAGACGAGGCCTGTTTTAATTCGGCGCAGGAATGGTTCAAACAATGTATACACCAACATGGTGGATCATGCACCTTGCCAGTTGATGCTGCGTTACCGTCAAGACTGATACACATTCCAACAGCGTCATCTGAGCTATTGCGTCTCTGTAACACTAAAGATAAGAGAGGTCAATATGTTGCACTAAGCTACTGTTGGGGGAAAGGTAACACCTTCCACACTACAATGTCAACGCTCCAGGACAGACTTATAGGATTCTCTATTGACTCGTTACCAAAAACTCTGAGAGACGCAGTTTACATCGCTCGGCGTATGGGCTTTGAGTGGATATGGGTCGATGCACTGTGTATTCTTCAGGGAGATATAGAGGACTGGAATCGGGAGTCTGCTCTCATGGCGAGTGTCTACGGAAACGCGGCGTTCACTATTTCCGCTGATCTCGCCACTGACACGGATCACGGCATTCTTGGACCTCGCGACATTCTACTCTCTCACAGGTTCGGCAAACAACATGACTTTTGTCTTCAGTTTGACGACACTGAATTTGGGAAGGAGATAGTTCCCAGAACACCACTTAGTACCCGTGGTTGGGCATATCAGGAACGACTTCTGTCTCCACGTATCTTGCATTACTTTAGTCGTGAGATCGTGTGGGAGTGTAATACAGGTCGTTTTTCTGAAACCCACGTCAAGTCGGACTACCATTGGATGACGGGCAGCGTTTTGGACAAAGCCGTGTACGCGCGGGGTCTAAACAGTGTCCCGGTGAACTGCGATAATTCGGAGGCCAATGCCCGAATCGAAATCTGGAACCAGATTGCAGAAGATGTCGCTCAACGAGATTTCACTGTTGAGACTGACAAGTTGCCTGGTGTCTCTAGTCTTGCCACAGCACATGCAATTCCTGCGCTAGGCCGTTATATAGCTGGCACCTGGGAGTACAATCCATTCCTGTCCATGCTCTGGAGTCCGGGAAAGCCACAACCGTTGTCAAATCGTATCCACCAAGCGCCGTCTTGGAGCTGGGCCTGGGTCAAGGGGCCGTTACACTGGTTCAAGAAAAACGTATTCTACCTGATAAAAGTAGAAGATGAGTACCACGAATGGTACACAAAATTCAAACCCAAACTTTTGAGTTGGCATATCGTTCCTCAAGGATCGGACCCAAAAGGACGAGTCATGGAAGGCGGCTACCTTGTCATGAGCGGATGGTGCAGGGAAGTATATGTAGCAGAGAACGAGGAAATGATGTTTTACTACAGCCATAGGCATGGTTGCGTTCAGATGGATCACCGAGGCTCAGACTTTGTACGGAAGATATTTTTCGATGAAGATCTTGTCAATGCATCCGACTCCTTTGACAAAAAAGCGGCGGAAAAATATTTGTGTGTCCAGATATCAGAGCCTGGGTGGACATTGTATGGTTTCTGTGTACATGCATTGGTACTACAGCGTGTCGATGGCGAGGAAGAAGCATTCACAAGAGTTGGAATACATCATTTCCATCCTAAGGGACACGAAAGTGGATGGGAAAGAAGATTGTTGAAGTTGTATTAAATAAACACAGTCGAGCGAGATGTCGCCTCGACTGCCACTCTCATATTCTTCAACATCTCTCTCTGCCTCGGCTGTCGCATCCCCACTCTTCCTATCCTTTCTCGTCTCGCCACCTTTCAGATCAGCTACACTACCACTTCATATACAATGCATCACCAGCTCTTCCAACTAGCGCTGTTTCCTGGTCTCAGCACAAGAAGAGAAAAGCAGTACAACGGGAGCTAAACAGGTGGCTCGACACAGAACTACCAACCACCGGGATTCAAACTTATGACTGATCTGCGGATGGAAGTCTTTTGTACCGGGGCTTAGTATTCGCACCAAAAACGGCCTGATATGGTTGGGGAGTAGCAATCTCGTCCTCTTTCACAGTAGTGACCCGAGAACTGGTATAAGCCGGCTCCAACTCTCGATCAACAGCCAAACAAGGATGGTCCGCGTCTTTGATGTCGAGCGCTGCCAATAGCTCCCCTCGTTGGGTGACTGGCACCGACTCCGCGCCTCTCGACCACGTCCCCAGCCCGATTCCTTCGTGAGCCAGCCGCTGGAGTTGGAGCGTCGAGTTTACCTGCCACTCCGCACGGGCATATGTGAGTTTGCGATCTCGGGAGAGCCGCGGGATTTTGGATGCTAGGTCTATTATTGCTTCGATAAAGGTACCGACGAGGACGATCAAAGTGCCAATGATGAGGACAAGGGATAAGCTCAGAACGCTGAAGGAGTAATAACCGGGACTTTTTATCTTCTGTGCAACCTGTTAGCTCCTTGTATGTAGACTACGTAGTTCTTTGAAAATTCGGTTGAGGTACTTACTTGACTATGACATAGTCTCGTGCACTCGGTTCCATTCCCACAATACGTCACCACCGATTCTAAAGTCTTGGATTGCTTACCATTCGCATACTCAACTACACGCGCCTGGGCAGCAGCAAGGTTGGTTTGGAATATAAATTCGGTTTCCTCTTGCCATCTGTTTGACGGGATTGTGGCGGGCTGCATGGGACCGTTCAGCGTGAAGCGCGTTAAAAGCGATGGTAGGCCCCGGATATCATAATAGCCGTTTGGCGTGTAGATAGTATTGCCATATAGAAACCCAAAGTAGTTGAGTAATCCGTTTACAAAGGCTCGATCATCTGCGTTTGGCCAGACCTCGTTCCAGAATCCGTGGTCGTAGCCATGGTTGAAGCATCGCCTCCCAGATGGTAGGTTGGGATTGCAATATTCCGTAGTGCTAGCACAAGCTAGCACTCCGGCTGATCTGTTCGTAGCGAAGTATGTGTTATTTGCTAATTCCAATTTCAAGTCAAGCCATGCGGGTACCTGCTTAGGAGAATCTGCTAAAAACCACGGGTCGGTTACTTCCGCATAATACTTGACGTCTGTAGACTCCAAGAACATCAACTGCACTACAGTGTTTGTTTTGTTGAGCTGAGAAATTGGACTAAAGCTGTTGGGGCTTCTGCAAGGCTATACGTAAGTCAACTAGCGGAGGAATGGGTTGCGAATGTGCTACAATCGCGCAGGAGAAGATGTTTTACTTACGTGATCTTATAATCTGCTTCGGAAAATAGAGCGTCCACATCTATTGTAGGTTCAGTCACATTTGTACGTATGCGATACGTGTATGGCTGAAGTCCTCCCAACGATGTGCCATAGTAGTATCGCATCCACTGGAGTGGTGGGTCGGATTGGTCTGTAAAGGCCTCAGAGTAGCCATCTGTCTCCAATGGAGCACAGTGTCGTTTCAAACGGAAGAGAAACTGCGGGCCACTGTTCAGGCCGAAGTCCTTGTAGCTGTCGAGATAACCGCTATCGAGGATGAGGTTTCCTTGAGGCAAGGTACACATCTCCGCATCGAAAGGGCAGCCAGCACTAGCATCTTTAGTGTAGGGAAGACTTGCTTTGACGTATATTCCACAATCTTTGGACACTGATCCTGTTTGGTTTTGATAACATTTATGTGCATACGTCAGGTATTCGGAAGCTTTCTGATTGAGAGATGAGAAATATTCGGTCCATATGTTGGCTGCTGCTCCAGTATCGGAGACTTGTGTATGTGTCATATTACCACAGTTACTACCGGAAAGGAGGACTTCGTTGGCCGCATTAGCCACGACTTTTGATGAGAAAATACCTGAAGTGTGTCAGCGTTCGCACTTTTTCCGGCTGTGTTAAATTATAAATGCATCTAGACACAAGACACAGCTCGCGCGGTGCGCAAGACTTTATCAGCAAAGGCAGAAAGAGTGCACCGGCACGTACCAGCGAGCGAAAAGGCACCCGACACCACAAAAGCTGCAAGAGCGACAGGCAAGAGCTTTCGACCGGCGTGTTCTACCCTACTACGCCAGACGAGATGGGCGAGGAAGAAATTTATCGCAGCATCCTGGGCCAATTGCGAATTCCGCAGCAGAGCCTGTCGCTGATGATAGACGCCGTCCGATCTGGCTTCTGTAGAAACAGCAACATGGATCCAATATCGCACGATCTTCCAGAAACTGCGTCCTGTCGCGCCCACGAAGAGAGCAAGAAAGGCGATCAAAATTGAACCTCTCTGTCGATCCAGCGTCAGCGTTGAGCCTTGTAGTGTGCCGTAAGATCGGTTGATCCACACTCCTGTGTAGATATCCTCATCAAAAGAAGTCGTCTCGCTCATTTTGGATTGCCTCGACTCCGGTGGCTGACAACGGGAGAAACGGGGCGCGCAGCACCTCAGCCTTATATTGCATCCATCATTCCCTGGAGGAGGTAGGCAGTGCTAAAGATCATGCATGATACCCTGTGGGTTATCCGGCGAGAGTCGTGTAAACGACCTGATTGGGTTCTTCTCGAGGCCCTGCTTGGACGCCTTACAGCCCGGCGTCTGCACGAGGTTTAGCGTTTATAGTAACAGGCATTGTCGGCGGCTTAGCAGCAAGCTGCATTGAAATTGATAGTAGTGAAGTTGCTAGCTAGGGATCGCCAGAGCCAAATCCATATCGCAACAGCATATCTACTGCGCCACAAAGTTGATATAGGTAGCGGTGGATATGTTGCGCAGAACCACACGGTGACCACGGATATCATTACAGCAGTCTTTTTGGAGTATTTCAGGTACACAGGCAAAAACACAAGGTGTTATTTGTGTGTTACGAAACATGACACCAAGGACAAAGAACAACATGTCAACATCACAAGACACCACATACGACAGAAGTGTAGATATCTACCTCAAACAGTCACACACAAAGAGCAAAAATACTCGTGTTCAGTTTAACGTTGTGTGTATTCGTTCAGTCTTATGCCAAATGGGTATAACGCAACCAACCAACCAACCAATCAAGCCACCTTTATCCCATGCCGTGCCAACAAACTCCCTTCCCTTCTGTTTCTTTCCCACCCTAACTAAACTGATCCCCATGCTCGCTCTCGCCCACGCGTCTCCCCGCCGTACGCCCCTGACTCAACTTCCACTTCCACCTCCTGTCCCTGGCGTTCTTCTCCTTCAGCTCGCGTTGCGTCTTCTTCCGCTCATAGACCGCCTTGACAGTACGCTTTGTGCGCTCAGCACCTTCCTGGAAATTTGTCCTCGCGAGATCCACACATGAGTCGATCTGCTCAGGCGTGTACACAAAGTTCCACGTCGACATGAAGTCGCTAGTCTTGGGATCCACACCAGGGACCTTTGGATTGGCGAGGAATGGGAAGTAGATGACTGTGATGCCGGAGTCGGCGTGCATGAGCTCCCAGTCCTCCTCGACGAGTTTAGACTCCGGGGGCTGGTCCGAATTCTCCGAGATGCGCTCTTCGGTTGTGCCGACCCAGATGTTGCAGTATCCTAGGTCCTTCTTCTTGCTCTTTTTCTTGTCCTTGAGGTCCTGGTCTTTCGCTGCTTGCATTTTGTCTTGTGCCTGCTGTTCGGTTCTGGCCTGCGCTTCGTCGAGTCCATGCTGGATTTCCTCTGGCGACTCATCTTCGGAGGGCCAACCTGCACCAACGGGCCAGCCTTTTATGCCACGCTGGCGTGCGTACCCGTCTGCGACTTTGAGCCAGTTGTCTGTACGGACATCGGCTGAGGCATCGAAAGAAACAAGGATGTCGACATTGCGGCCAGGACGGAGGAGCGGGTAGATGGGAAGATTGTTGCTCATGCCCGCATCCATGAATTGGAAGTTCTTGATTGTGTTGATGCTCTCTGGGCACGAGGATGGGAGGAACTCGCGCATGCCTATGGCGAAGTTAGGTATCGAGGCAGGCTCGATAGGGTGCACTTTGACGAGGTCGTCGTCGCGCTCTGCAACCATGGCGTCGATACTGCCAAAGCCCGCGAGAATGCTCATGGCGGGGCGAATCTCTTTGTAGTAGTGCGAGAGAGTTGCACAGAAAGCGGAGCCCCAGATACCCATGAGGAGCGGGACGCGCAACTCTGGCAGAGCTAGGCCGTTCTCTCTCCACACGGTCCTGCCGTTTTTGAACTGGCGACCCATGGCCCAAGTGGGAATACCGGCTGAGAGCTCCTCACACCACATTTCGTATGGCGTGAACTCGAACCACTGGAACCAAGCTTCCCTCCTCGCCTTTGCCTCCGCAGCGATAGGATCTTTGGTGTCAGCCTGTTCAGCGAGTGGGATCTCGTGTCGTACTGCAGTGTAGATGGGCATGGGATTGGAACCGTCGTCAATGTATCGTCGCTGGTTTGAAATTTTGAAGTCTTCGCCGCTTACAGAGAGTTCGCCCTTGGGTACAAGTAACCGAGCTGCTAGGAGTGTGCCATAGATGTCTACAATGCCGAAATCGGCATCAGGGATGCCTTTGGCCTTCTCTACTAGCCCACTGAGAAGGTATTTGCTTGTAGGTGCGCTTACAAGGAGTTCCAGCGCATCGGGCGGGAAGGCCATGTGCACACCCAGTCTGTTTTTCAAGTGTCGAATGAGGTGAGCATGGCTCTGCTGGCTGACGTCCGAGTAGTAGAGCGTCTGGAGCCAGCAGCTGCCACTCACACCAGCCGTGTACGTGACGCAGTCGAACAGGCCCTGCTCCTTGGCAGATAGGTAGGAAGATGTGCCTGCAACAAGAGCGCGCAGCCCACCGCCAGACCCGCACATGGCAATGACTGGAACATCATCGGGGTGGATCTCTGCTTCTGGGATGTCGAGGTAGCGGGCAAGGGCGCTCTTGGTGAAGAGGGCCCTGTTCTGCAAGAAGGCCTTCTCCTCTTGGCACAGGTCGTCAGAGATGCGCACCGAAGCGTCCCAGGTGATCTCCGGATTGGCCTCGGGGTTGTTTGCTTCGAACCAGATTTCCTCTGCCAGCGACCCAGGGGCCATGGACAGCTCATTCTGCAGTTTGCGGATGAAACCGGGTATCACCTTGACCCAGTTCGGGATGATGTAGTCGGCGATGGTGTCTCCAATGACGGTGACATGCTTGGGCGTGTTCGTGAGGCTGCTCGAGATAGTCTGCCATGCTGACAAGGCCGTCTCTGTGCCAATCTCGCTGTAGCCTTTTGCGATGCGTGTTTGCGGGGGAGCGTCTTGCTCTCCGGGTTTGGGCGAGTCCTGTTCGTTGCTGCTCTTGCTACGCTTCTTGGCACTGGTGGAAGCGTCTCTTGTTTGCGTGGCTGGGTTGCCTGACGACCACGCAGCGGGCGCGTCGAGAAGGGTGGGGCGCAGGAGGGGCCATGGCGAGTACTGCGAAGAGAGATAGCCGGCAGAAGCTGCTGCGAGGAGGACTGGAGGGCCGTAGCGCAAGCCAAATGTTGCTGCGGGGTGCCTGGGCGTGGTTGTTGTGCGGTCTGTATGCAGTCTGCGACGTCAGTTCCACCTCTCGGCCTTATTGTCGACACGGGCTCACCTTCGACGCGTCCCGCGCAGCCAGAGCTGGCCGAGATTGCCCCGTCTCCCCAAGCCGGCCATGAGAAAGGTCGAAACGAAGAAAAAAAAGTGAGTGCGAATGTTTACGCAGAAACAATCGCAAAGTGCCCAATCGGGCTTACATGTATGCGTTCAGCATGACGCTGCCTGTCAACGGTTGGTGGGCCGTCTTTTTCCGCATGTCATGTTGGCGATTCAAGTTTCAAGGTGCATAGCGTCTGCCAAGCCCATGCAGGAACAGGTTCGAGGCTCTTCCACACAATCTGGTGGCGCTCTCACATGTCATTTTCGACGTCTGACATCAACGCCATCCTGGATTCTTCCTTTTTTGTTCCATACACTCTGAGGAAGTGTTTTGAGAATCGAGAGCTAGCTCTTGCTATGCCTGCCATTGTAGGACAAATACCTACCATGTACTCCTTTCTGCTAGAGCTACACGCAACGAGGTCGGTTGAAGCATCTGTGAGCATGCAGATACACGGTAAAGCTCAAAAGGTTACAGTATTCTCTCTCGTTGTCTTTCGTTCCCTCCATTTCTCGCCGAATCTCTGCATCAATATCCAGTGCCTTACCGTGACGTCTCATCGGTGAAATTCGAATGGCTTTCTATTCATGGGCCGTCGAGCGAGGTGTCCCTCTGAAGCCGTCATGTGCTTCCCTCACCTTGCAACTATGCAGATCTGCTTCGAGGCGGGCTTCTCAAAGGTAAATTGCCTACCTGCTCAACTCACTTGTATGCGCACTCATAAGTGCTCTCTCACCTTGAGGTGCCTACTTGAACTCCACCTCTTGCTCTACTTAACCCTCAACCCTCGCTACAACTTTCTTCCCGCCAACTTTTCTCTCTTTCTATACTCACCATATCTTCTTCAACGGCTCGCGCGCCTCCTTCGACCTTACGGCTTCACGCGATGTCACCGAAGTGAACTCTTCAATAACTCGATCTTCTTCCGCTTGCGAGCTTTTAGAAGTAAGCCCCCACTTTCTCTTGGACGTCTCAGCGAATTCCATTCTTTTGTAAGCCTGCGTCGACGTCCTCTGTTCTTGGGGTATACCTAATAAGTTCTATAGATAAGATGACGGACAGCTCAAGTACGCCACTCAATCTTGGAGACAAGCCGCTATATGCAGAATGGAAGGCCAGTCACGTTCCAACCTCATCCAGGAAGCGGAAACGCCAATGGATATACCAGCCCAGCGCACAGGAGTTCTATCCTGCCTTGCCATGGTACGCATTGCATCACGAGGAGATCAACCTCCGTATTGCAAAAATGTGCGATGAGCTTGTTATGCCTCTCCGATATCTATCTACAGATGATCCAGCAATTGTTGGTCTCTGTAGCGCTGCAGACGCCGCAAAGAAGATTCCGGATCTGACGCAGGTCAAGTTAGCTGTACCTGGAGAACAAGGTATCGGCAAGAGCTCACTACTCAATGCCATTCTCCATCGTAAACTTCTTGATACGTCTGGATCCTCAACTGCATGTACCTCGTTTGCCACGATTATCGTCTACAAACCAGGCGCCCAAGACGACGCCCAATCGAGCGACATCATTATCGAGGTTTTCAACGAAAACGAGATCATCGGACGTATCCGAGAGCAGATCGAGCTCTGGGCTAACGTACATCCTGGTACCGTTATCAAGAACCAGGACGTCAATGACGAGGATGAGGATAGTTCCTCAGATGAAGAAGAAGACACGGTCAGGATTGGATTGAAGGATGGCAAGAATCAGAAGAAGGTATCCGCGAGCTTGAGACGTGGTGCATCGACTGCAAAAGAATTCTTTTGCGTAATTTTCAACACTTCAAATGACAAAAACGCTCAGAGCAAGTTGGATGAACTCTTGCACGACACAGACATTCGAACCGGAAACTTTTTCCAGCTTTGTGTCGAGAAGACCAAAGAACGCCTCGAACAGGTTGACAAGCAGATCGGACTGCAAAACGAAGTCTCCAAGCATTCGAACATCTCTGACAGGGATCTTGTAAAGACGCGCAACATAGCGAAGGAACTATGGCCATTCATCAAAGTTGTCACTATTTCAACCGGCCATGTTCTCTTACGGAATGGGCTGTGTTTCATTGATCTGCCTGGTAAGCTCACAATTTTTCACCGACCCAACATAGTACTTATCGAAACAGGTTATGGAGACTCGAGTCAGCTTCGGGACACGGTGATCAACGATTACCGATGGAAGGCTGACTTCGAGATGGTTGTAACACCGATTTCTCGAATTAGATCTAGTTTGGTACATGAACGATACCTTGCTCGATCCATACACATAAAAGGCGCAGAGAAGACAATCCTCGTCATGAACAAGAGCGATGTTAGTAACTAAATACTCTAGGCTCTACGTATTTCATACTGACCATATGCTATAGCTACTTCTCTGCAACGAGGATGAGATGAGGATGCAGATTGACTCGATCAACGAAGCCCCTTTCCCAGCTCTGAGCAGGTGTTTGGCCGATGCAGATGCGATTGAGGAAGACATCGATGAAGATTTCGAGGATCCTGAGCTTAAGAACTACGTCGAGGAGGTTCTCAGAGACGCGAGCGCAGCCTACGTCAAACGCGAAACAGAGATTGTCAAAGACCAGATGGACGAAAAAGGTGTCAAGATCCTCACCGCGTCGGCATTTTCCTACGAACCCTGGAACAACCCTCGTCGTCGTCAAGATCCGAGACTTGACCCCGAAGCATCTGGCATCCCAGCTATACGACGCTTGTTGTTTAGCTTGCCGGCAGAATCAAACCTTCTGATCTACCGAAACCTCGTCTTTGTGGTGCTGCCAGCTCTACGGGATCAAGCTGGACGTGTCCTTGAAAAACATATCGAGGACAAGAGCTACGCAGATATGCGCAAGGCCCTAAAGGAGCAGATCCCGATACTTAAAAGAGACTTGGAGCGCTTTGTGGCAACTCAGTTGCGCGATTGTATAGTTCAGCCCTGGACCTGGGTCGAAAAGGAAGATATCGACGGTGGTATTCAGAATCTGGCCCGACAGGAATGGGTAAGCCCTGTCATATACTATGGAGGGTTCACCAAGATACTGAGAGAGAACGGCATCCCTATCAACGGGAAATATCTAGGACGAAATCTGAATCAAGACCTCCTTCGCCCCTTGGAGAAATACATCAACCAATGGCACAAGACGATGTTGGCACGCGCTGAGCAGCTGGGAGAAGGTCTCGACAAGCTTGTGGGTCGTCTCGGAAAAGAGGTCAAATCATGTATTGACAAATCTTCCGCGGCCCCGGCTCTGAAGCAGAGGGCGATGGAAGCCCTGACCAATATGTCTGAACGCATCGATGTTGCCTACCGCCACCTGCTGGAAGCTCTCAACACCAGTCTTCGGAATACTCATCTACGCTTCACAACCGAGATCGACATCCATTGTCCAATCGCCCGAGAGATGAAGCAAGTCTATGAAGCCGCTTTGCGTGTTCGGGCTGGGAAGGGCGTATATGACCGGCTACGCGAAGCAATCCTAGGATGGATTGTCACTCCCGTCTCACGTAAGCCTGGCGTACTGGAGGTGGACATCTCACTTGCCAAGATGATTGGAGAGAAGATCATGGTCCAGCAGACCGAAGTCTGGAAGACTGACTGCGACACTTTCATCACGGATGCCATAACTCATCTCAACGAGTTCTTGCGGATCACGGAAGAACTCCTCATGAACTCCGCGTACGAGACGGCAGAGCATAAGAAGATGCGTGAGGAACTGAGGGGTCGGCTTGCTGTTTTCAGTAGGCGTCTTGAAGAGATCCAAGTCCAGTTCACTGGTACGGATCCTCAGCCACCGAACAAGAGGTTGAAGTTTGAGCATGCCGGAAACTAAGCTTCGCCTGGAGTTGGCCTATGAACAGTCGCCAGAGAGAAAAGTCAAGATCATGCGCGACGACGAGAACGACGCGTACGCCTCGACTTTGTTCAGACAACCTCCGACCAGGTTTCGACCTGCCTTGAGGAGCAGAGGCAATTGAAAACGAATTTGAAGACGGCTAGCTTTCCTTGAGTACTATCGGTAATCTTCCGATCGATTTTGTCACTAAAACCCTTCCCCATCGTTTCCAGTCCCCAATCCTTTCTTTCTTTCGACATGGCTTATCAGACATATTATTCAGGCCCAGATCCCTATCTATCAACACTTTCCACTTCCTGTCCCACCATTTCTTGGTTTCTTGCACGACCACATGGTGCAGTTCGTCACTTCTCTCTATCCTTCCTCAGCCTATCTTTTTGTACGAGCTTACATTGACTTATCGTGCGCTCCTTTCCTTATGCTTGGGATTTTACGATCATTTTATAATTTTCTACTGGATACAGGGCTTAGGATCTAAAGTATGCATTGGGAACATCTATGACAGGATCATATATAGGACAATGAACTCAATTTCATGACTATGCTTGTGATTACAGCTCCGTGAATGCGGTGATCAAGATGCCCATTTTATGTGAAGTGAGTTACTTTGAATGTTCTAAAACTTTTTAGTCAAAAAATTTGAAGCTCGGCGTCGTTGTTTCTAGGCTTGTGAGTGTCTGAGAGGACTCAGTCGCAAGGACAGCGGCTGAGGTGTGGAAAACTGACATATTGCCACTTTCACAGCGGGACAGTGTCACCAGCATTTGTGCGTCCTCAGCCGTTTCCAGTCCTCCCCTTGACCTTTCACAAAAAAACTCGTGGTTAAGCATTGGACAGTGGATTGCAACAAAGAAACTCGACGTCTCGTATTGGACCATGGTTGCAATCCCTGTTCTGTCATAGCTCAAGTTCCGTCCCGCGGCATCCCCACACCATCTCTCTAAACGTAAGCCTTACCCGCGACCTGATCGTGTTGCGTACATACCTTAATATCTTGCTTTTTTGCGATAATATCCTAATCACCTATATCCTTCCTTTTGTGCATCGCTGCAGCGCGCCACCACTCATATTGCAAGAGCTCCCGGAGCTCCCCCGGAAGTCAGCCCTCGAGGCCGTTGAGCTCCCACGACAGGCGCAATGGTCGGCGTGCGCAAGGGCGCAGCCCTCCAGGAGGAGAGCGCCGAAGTCGAAGTGCTCTTCTCCAACATGGAGAAAATGAAGGCCTTGACCAAGAAGATCCAGGGCTCGGTGACGCGCCTGGATGCGAGTGGGAAGGCGGTGCAGGACGCCATCAGCCCGATATACGGGAACACGCAGAAACTGCAGATTGCGAACAACAGTAAGTCTTGCTGCAGGGAGCCGAGGGAAAAGTGCTGACAGATTGTGATTAGACATTGATAGCATTCTCGAAGCCATTGAACGCTTGCGCGCCCCGCGAGACTCGACCGACCGCGAGGAGAGCATCATTCGCGCCGGACCGGGACGAGGCGACCTCAGAGACTACATCGCCTCCCTCGACCGCACTGCCGGCGCACTCGCAGACCTCAAACGCACGAACCTGCGCTCGAACGAGAAGGCTGTCGCGCAGCTCGGCGGGCTGCTCAAGCTTGGAAACAAGCAGCTGGAGGATGTCTTCAGGAGCACATTGCAGGACTGCTCGCGCGAGAAGGTCCAATCTTTGGAGTTCGCAGTGAAGAGTGGGTTGACCGTACACTTGCGCGCGAAGTATGCTAACGCGACACAGAGAACCCGTTTCCCGTCATTGCACCCGAGCAGATCTCGACGCTGCGTGCGATCAACAGCCACATGTCGAAATCGCTTTCTCAGCCCGATGGGGCCCAGACTCCGGCACAGAAAATCTACGCAGATGTTCGAGGCGAGTATCTTGAGAGGTCGCTGAGCAGTCTTGCGCAGGCGTCCATCAGCACGGCCAAGAAGATTCAGCCTGACGCGCTGTACAAGCCAGGACAGAACGGTATTGGGACATACGTGCTGGCCATCGAGGGCATATTCGTCGCGGAATACAACAACTTGACCAACATCTTTGCGCGAGAGGAATGGACCATAGTCTGCGAAGCCACCTGTCAAGTCCCGCTGGGAGACTTCAACAAGACACTACGCGAGTTGAACGGACACATTCAGAAGAATTTACTGACAGACTGCTTTCTTGGTTATGAGATCAGTGGCCTGGTCAGGACTCTTTCTATGCGTGTACAAGAATTGACGGGAGCGCTCAAAGGCCCAATCTACGACAGCGTCAAGCCGATTCGCGAAACATCCAAGATGTCTCTCAGCAAGTTGATAGATGACACACGATCTCGGACACAGACACTTGTCGCTCTTCCTATCGACGGGAGCGCTGTACAGGTCACGTCCGACACGATGCGTCGCCTGCAGGAGATGACAAACTACCTGGAACCACTGTCCTCAATCTTGGCGTCCCTGGGCGACGGTGGCTGGGCTCCAGGCGCGACGAACAAGTCCTCCACTACCCTGGATGTCAGTCCCGACTCGCTGGTGCTGTTCGCGAAATATGCAGCCGACACAATAGACATCTTGTTGCAAAGTCTAATCGCCAAAGCAAAGATACTGTTGAAGGGTAAAAACCTGCAGGGCATCTTCATAGCAAACAACATTGCCGTCGTTGCGCGCATGAAACGCACGTCGGACCTCGAGCCTCTGTTGGGAAGTTATGACAAGAACCTCTTGGAATACCAAAAACAGGCCAGGGCCATGTATCTGGAGGCCTGGCGAGAACCATCGGGACATCTGCTCGACGTGCAGTACACGAACCGCAGCAAAGACCGGCCTCGTTCTGGTGGCGGCGTGACAGACTCTGCAGCCATCGTCAAAGCCCTCGGCTCGAAAGACAAGGACGCAATCAAGGAGAAGTTCAAGAACTTCAACACGAGCTTCGACGAGCTGGTTGTACGCCACAAGACGTACGCGTTCGACAGCGACCTGCGTAGTCAGTACGGCAAGGAAGTGCAGAACATCATCGAGCCTCTCTACAACAGGTTCTACGACAGGTATCGGGAGATTGACAAGGGGAAGGGCAAGTATGTCAAGTACGACAAGAGCGAGTTGAACAGGGCGTTGATGAGCTTTGCATGATGCATTTGACTATGGCGTTGGGATGGGTTCGGTGTTCTCCGCAAAATACCCTTGGAGCGATATGCGTTTGATGGATTTGGATACTCGCACCGCATTTGTGTTTTGTACGCGACGCGACTGAATAGGATGGTTGTACTGCATACCGTGCAGTGCTTCCTTGGTAACACATTACTGTAGTATCACGTCGTTATAGACACCAAAGACTTGCAGATGATACATAAGGGCTTGGCCGTGAGGTCGGATCCCTGTCTGGCCGTGTCGATCGCTCTTGCCAGGGGGTGTGGAGGCGTAATTAACCTTGTGCACGTGACGGCTTCCCCCAACGGCCAGTACGCGACTGGCTGCCCAGTTGGGAAAGCAGCACAACAACAGAAAAACAAAGTGCTGCACTCGTACTGCAAGCTTCCAATTGTATCCTGCACGTTTTCAACGGCTTCTCGAGCGCGTCCTGTACTGTTTCCAAGCTCATCCATCACCATCGCAGGAGCTGTTCGCGACGCGGGGGTTTTTGGTCTAGCGTCACTTTCTTCGACGTCGCTCTCCAATCCCTGTGCGGACCCCTTTCCTCCAGCAGAGCAAACGCAGCACACGCTTTCCACCACGTCCACGTCGCCGCCTCCGTCGACACCACGCTCTCGCCGCTCGCACTCGACTGCACGCCTCTTCCTCATCCATTGCTTGCAGTGCATCGCATCACACGAGAGCATACCTTCCACTGACTGGTACGCCGCATGCCCCTACGCCGTGTTGCACTATATTTCTCCAGGTTTTGGCCGGCGTCGCGTCCCTGGAGCGCCGCCGTTCACCACCATCACCTTCATGCATTGGACGCATTAGCTGACACGACGTCACCTCACAGGACACTCACTTGACGACATATTGTCTGCATTCGCGGCCCTTCATTCACCATGGGTAAGCACCCTCCCCAAGCTCCATGTCCTGCGACGTCAGCCGTTGTCCCAAGCTGCGAGCCCGATGGGCATCTCAGGCACACATGCCGCAGTGGAAGGAGCGTGCCGTGGGCTCAATGCATCTCTTCAATGCATCTCTGCCACCGGTTGATGTTCCCGCTTCCAACGGCCACATCAACCTACCTACCGCTACCAGGGGCTGACTAGCCATATAGATTTCAACGGCGCATCTCCCGCTCCCCCTTCGCGTGCGTCCCCCTCGCCCCCGGCGACCTTGAATGGATCGCTCGGTATGGACCACACCCTATCAATGTCTGACAGACAATCACCAGCCATCCCCCAGACCGTCACAGCAAAGGACCCAAAGGCTGCTGCCGCAATGGCAAACGATATGAACATTGTGCGCAGGAAGCTCACAGGCTACGTTGGTTTCGCGAACTTGCCCAACCAATGGCACCGCAAGAGTGTGCGCAAGGGCTTCAACTTCAACGTCATGGTTGTTGGTACGTATGCACAGATGGAGTAAGCTGGCGATGGTGTGCTAACATCCCACGTCAGGCGAGTCTGGACTCGGAAAGTCGACCCTGGTCAACACGCTCTTTAACACGTCGCTGTACCCCCCCAAGGAGCGCCAGCCCCCGAGTCTCGACATTTCCAAGACTGTCTCGATCCAGTCCATCAGCGCCGACATTGAGGAGAACGGCGTCCGTCTGAGATTGACTGTCGTTGATACACCCGGCTTCGGCGATTTCATCAACAACGATGAGTCGTGGGATCCCATCGTTAAAAACATTGAGCAGCGGTTCGACGCCTACTTGGACGCCGAGAACAAGGTCAACCGTGTGAATATTGTCGACAACCGCATCCACGCTGTCGTCTACTTCATCCAGCCTACTGGCCACTCGCTCAAGCCTCTGGACATCGAAGTCATGAAGAAGCTGCACACCAAGGTCAACCTCATCCCCGTCATCGCCAAGGCCGACCTCGTCACAGACGAGGAGATTGACAACTACAAGAAGAGGGTGAGTAAGGTCCTCTTGATGCTCTTGGTAACGGCTAACAATGTGTAGATTCTCGCCGACATCAACCACCACAACATCCGCATCTTCGAAGGGCCACGATACGAGCTCGACGACGAGGAGACCATCGCGGAGAACCAGGAGATCATGGCCAAGGTGCCTTTTGCCGTTGTTGGATCTAACTCGGAGGTCACTACACCCGACGGACGCAAGGTCCGAGGCCGCCAATACCCCTGGGGTGTCGTTGAGGTTGACAACGAGGAGCACTGCGATTTTGTTAAGCTGAGACAGATGCTCATCCGCACACACATGGAGGAGCTCAAGGAGAACACCAACAACGTTCTCTACGAGAACTACCGATCCGACAAGCTCACAGCAATGGGCGTTCAGCAAGATTCCAGCGTGTTCAAGGAGATCAACCCGGCTGTCAAGCAGGAGGAGGAACGTTCGCTGCACGAGCAGAAGCTCCAGAAGATGGAGATGGAAATGAAGATGGTGTTCCAGCAGAAGGTGCAAGAGAAGGAAAGCAAGCTGCGCCAGAGCGAAGAGGAGCTGTACGCACGACACAAAGAGATGAAGGACCAGCTGGACAGACAACGACAGGAGCTCGAAGACAAAAAGTCTCGCGTCGAATCCGGCCGGCCAATAGAAAAGGAGGGCAAGAGAAAGGGTTTCTCCCTCCGCTAAGCCTGGGCCGACAATTCCTTTTCTCCCATTTTGGACGACCCGCACAGCTCAAACGCCTGTACTCCCTTCTCTGCTCCCTCTTATCAGACCTTGTTTAATATGATGCCGCTTGACGATACCACTGGGTGTTATCGGCAACGGGTAATACAGGAGGTGCGAATTTTGGGGGATGAATGGACAACGGTGTCATCCTTTTGTGCAGTTGTCCGGTTTGTTGATTGATACCAACATCATTTGCGCTCCTTCCGGTTCCCTTGTGTCTCTTTGACTTTTTATTATTTAGTATGTGGGCAGTCGTAGTTATTGAGCGAGGTGGAGGTGGACAGGTTCTTTCTCATGTATTCTACACATCATCGTAGCAGCAAATTTCGTTTGTGGGCACTACGCTTCTTCACACAAAAGCATGGCAGTTGGCATGTGAACAATGACGTGAGCATGTCGTCCAGGTCGAGCAATGAGCAATAAGCAATTCGGTCATTGTTGCCGGTGCCATGCATGCGCCGAGAGTGAACATGTTTGTCGCGGCTCATGCTGATCGTCAGGGTGCCGTAGTTGGCGGGCCAGCATGAGGCTTGTGCGCCGAGTCAAAGGCCATTTCGTCACTACCCAAACGCCCAAATTCTTGGATACTGTGCCCGCTTTCGACGCTACAAAGACGCAACCGTACCGCCGTTGTGCTTCCCTTCCCCTCACTCTGTTCTTCACAAGATTTGTTGAACATCAACTTCCAGTCGTGCTTTGCTCTCTCACCGGTAAGTCATTTCCCTCGGGTTACGCACTGTTAGCATCATAAGCCCGAAAGCGGGACAGAACGACCTAGCCACTGTTCCTGCCAGATTGCAGGTTTACCCCTCCAAGAGGCAGTGAGCAAGCGCCGGCAGCTTCAACACTTCTTTACCCGCACACACTGGGCGCTGATTCTGTCTTCGTCGCATCCCTCGAGCCTCGCTGACAGTCAAAGCTACCACTATTACGTAGCCGCACACGACAGCTTTCGAACTTCACAAATCCCCCTCACCATGGCCCCTCCACCGCCATCCAACCTCCCTCTGGGCCAGCGTCTTGCGACCCTCGCGCAGACTCTGCAGTTTGCCTGGTTCGCTGGACACGTTACTCTGCTTCTTTCTACGCTCCGATATGGCTTGTCATACATTACTTTCAACTACAACTCCAAATGGGCAACCTTCTCCTACCGCACCGCCTTCCTCTCAGCGTGCGTCACATACGGTATCGTGGTCTACAAGGCGTACCGCGCCCGCATGAGGGCCGGAAAGCAGGGCGGCCCTGTTGCTCTGGCTACAGATGAGAATGTGCAGTACCTGAGTAAGTTCTTCTGGCAGCTATGGCTTCCTCCCCCGCAGCACGAACTGACATGATCCCAGTCATGGCGCTTGTCTGGCTCTTCTCGCGCCAAATCCCTCTCGCGGTCACTCCCTTTGCTGTCTACTCGGTGTTCCACGTCGCGACTTATGTGCGCTCCAACCTGCTCCCCACCATCCAGCCTGCCCCTCCCTCAGCAAACGGCGCCAAGCCGCAAGCCTCCGGTGCCTCCGAGACCATTGGCAAGTTTGTCAAGGAGTACTATGACAGCAGCATGACACTTGTCGCCATGCTCGAAATCGGTCTCTGGTTCCGCATTCTCGGCTCTGCGTTCCTCTTCCAGAAGGGTTCGTGGATTCTGCTTATGATTTACACCGTTTTCTTCCGTGCCCGCGTTGCTCAGAGCAGCTTCGTTCAGGAGGCTATCAACCAGGTTACCTCGCGCGTCGATGCTCAGCTCGCTAACCAGAGCACCCCGCCTGCTGCCCGCCAGGGTTGGGCGACGGCCAAGAACGTCATCCGCCAGGCTGCTGATGCGACTGATATCCGCAAGTATGTTGGCCCTCAGCAAGGTGCTGTGCCCAAGAAGGCACAGTAAGCGTGTGTATATTGAGATAAAGACCTATCTACCTCCAACAGACGGCGGCAATGTACACGTTGGAGGTGATCGGATACGATGCTTATGAAGATACGGACGTCTCATGGTAAAAGTACAGTCCTCAAGGATGTACGGGCGAGCGAACAATATCAGCGTGTCGCGGAATGGTTTATCGGACACCCTGAATACAAGGAGATACGATCCCGAGTGGGATGAGAATGGAAAAGTGAGAGTTTGTAGCTGTATACCTTTGAGTATTTTTATAGGCTTTTGGGGAGCGTTTTCGATTATTGTCAATTCACACTTTAGTTTCATCATGCTTGCCGTTCGAAGTCATTGATGTCGTCTTCTGTGAGCAAGTAATTTCAAGTGCATGAACTGGTGGGCTTTCTGCGGAGATGCTGGATGGGCATGTCTAGCTCAACCGTTCTAGCCTTCCACCACCACCATCGTCATTGTCACCGCATATTTGTCTGGTGTACCATTGTTTTTCCCACCGTTTCCCATGCGCTAGAAGGTGTTCTGTTTCCATCTAGAAGGCTCGCATCTCGATGAAAGTTCTTGGGTCGACGTGTCGACTACGTGGACTAGCTCCCACAATCTGTCAAAGTCGATGCCTTGGTCTCGCCGCTGGGGAAGTTTGGATAGGATCGTTTCATGTCTGTTCTCGACTGTGGGCTGTGATGTCTGCCCAGGCTACGTTTTACTGCCTCGATGCTTTGCAATTGCGTACCTGTTCCAGTGTTTGAATGTGGTATTTCAATTTCTTCCCTCGTCTTCACGCTTGCTGGTAGGTAGTGCAGCGCTGATACCACGACGCAGAGTCTGTGTGCGGGTTTACCTTACCTGTCTGTGCAGAGCGAGGGAGCTCGGATTCCCGCTGCTGCTGCTATTATTGTTGACATTGGCATTGGCATTGACATTAACATGTGCATCACCGTATCACTCGACTCGCGACCATACCACTCGCCTACCTACGTGTCTGTTTGCCCTCGCCAGTGCTCTGTGCTGTGCGACTCGGAGCGCGCATCCGAGCGAGAGTACTATCGAAATCGGCCAGGGCCCCACCGCAGTCCCCATAGAAAGCAGGGGGGTAGGGGGGAGGGGGGAGGGAAGAGACCACAACCGGACCATAGCCACGGAACGCCCATGCCGCAAACGAATAGAGCTGTTTTGATAAAATAAAAAAAGTCGCTAGGTTCATGGCTCACGGTAGATTTTTCGTGGGTTTATTCCTGCACCCTGTCTGTGTGTCGAAGGGAAGAACCCGCGCCGCGCGCCCTGTTCCCGACTTTATCGTAGGGCCAGATGGCTGAGTCGAGGGCTGCACTGGGTTCCCGCTCCACCCCGATGATGTGGGGGGCGTGTGAAACTCGTATTCGGCGCTTGGGTTGCATGCGACCGCACCGCACCGCTGCGTGGTGGTATGGTCGCTGGATGAATGGGATGGATGGATGCAAGTCTGCTTTGGGATTGGGGGCGGTCGGGAGTGAGCGGTGAGCGAAGCGAGCGAGAAGTGGTTCGTGGCGTGATTGGAATGCAAATGGGCAGTGGGAGAAAATGCAGGTGCGAACGACGGAGATGCAAGGCGAGATTCTGATGGCGACATCGCGCATTAGGGATTGGGTAGTCGTAATGCAGTTGCGTTAGGTCTTAGGTCAGCGGTATGTACCTAGCTGGTGAATTTATGCTTTTGGTAGTTTCACAAATTATGTTCAGCTAGGTGGTAGGTAGGAGGGATGGCAATGTTGGCCATGGTTCATCGTAAATTGCGTACAATGTGGTTTGAGTTGCGGAATCGATGTGCACGCAGGGTCGATAACTATACATAGACGTGCGTGCGGGGGTGTCGCTCTTTTCCCTTGTCGGGTTGTGCTGTCCGTCTGCTTGCATGGTGTTGCCCTTCTTCGCTGGACGGAATAGTCTGACCGCGCTGTCGCCTGTCACTTGTCACAACACCTACTTCTTGGCGGATTGAGAGACCGGGAGAGAGAGATGGAATTTGACAACAACTAGCCTAACCAAACAAGCCCACTACAAAGCAGAGACTGCAGCAGAAAATGATTAGTGGATGCTTGACCACGCCAAGGCTGTTCTTGCTCTTCAACGGAAAATAGCCACCCTGAGCCCTCGATTTTAGGGCGTATTGAGTGTTTTATTTCCCGGTTTCCCGATCTGTGGAGAGCTTGCATGGGTACAGACGCCAAGTTGATGCTGATGCTAGCGAAGAGGTCAGTGTCACCGGCAGGGGCTTGCACTCACGAGGACTAGTTAGGCGAGCTCAGATCAGGCCCCTTCACCGTTTCGGCGAGCGACAACTTCCTGCGCGATGGGTATATAGGCATGTGGATTCCCGCTGGCCTGGGGTTGTTCTACTCCCCTTGGAAATCATTCTTTCTGGCGCTGCTCGGTATTCAACTTGAATCAAGAACGAATTGACGAGACTGTTCGACACGACGACTATTCATTCGCTTTACCCTTCCTTCGCTGTAAACAAAACAACAAACACCGCGAGTGTTGAGCTCAAAGGGACACTTTTTAAGGACGGACTACGGAATACGATTCGAAATGGATTACTCTCCTGCATTCTCGGTTACCAGCGACATGACGGATGAAGAGCTGGACCAGTACTTTGCGAGCTACGTTCCGCTCTCGAACCTTCCGACTCCACCGCCAGCAAAAGAGCACACCGTCGCTTCCCTACCAACACCATCATCACCATCTCAAAATCTCGATCTCTCTTCCGAGCTGCAAGGTTAGTGCTTGTGTCTTGTGTCCCCTTCGATGTCACGTGGTCGGCTACTATTTCGAGTATCCCGTTATGGGAGTCGTACTGCCCCTGCATTGACGTGCTTGTCTCACGTCATCGGGGTTAATCTCCTTCTTCTTTCACTCCCACATCTCCTCGTGTTCCTGTCGATCTATATATGTTGTCGTTGATGGTTGCCACCTAATATGTTGAACATATTGCTAATTACTTTGAATAACAGCACATGCAACGCATCTTGCCAATCTTGTCCCGCGCAACGTCTCCACCGCCCAGCCATGTGTGTCCGTCATCCGCGGGTTTCTTGAAAGAGCTTGCTTGCCAGATGAAATCATCGCGTTTGCAGCATGCATCCTGGACGCACTATCCGACCGCTTTGCCTCCACATGGAGAGACTCGCTCCTTCCGTCAAACTATGCCCGCAACCTCAAAATCTTCCTGCAAACAGACACAAGGCTCAACACATCCGTCACCCCCGATGTCATCGTCCTCGCAGCTCTAGCCCTTGCCCATGATTTTCTAGTCGACTGGCTGCGCTCATCCAAGCACTGGGCAGTGCGAGAAGGCAGCGCGCAATTCACAGTCCAGGAGATCGAGGCCACAAAGAGAGCAATTCTGCAAGACATGAATTACGGCCTTTTCCGCATCTCGAACGACATGGTACAGCGAATGCTGCAGGACATGCAACGTGGGTCGTCCACAATAGTGTTGAGGAAAGAAGAAATGAAGGTGGACCGGAGACGTAATCTTTCGCTTAGTTTTGCCGGCACGGCGAAGTGGAGTTTTGGTCTCCAGACTCCGGAGCTGAGTCCGTGATGCACGTCTCGCCCCTCAACTCTTTTGCACTTCTCGACATGGCGCGCGCATTGGTCTTGGCGATGTCGTCTGCATAACGTTTTCTTTACGATACCCTTGTTTTTCTTCGTCGTCAGGTTATGCATGGTTTTTCTACGTGTAATGGAGTTATCGGCACGGCGTGGCATGGCATGGCGCTTTTCGGGAGGCGAATTTTGAGCTACAGCGGGCTTGCTGGGAAGCATAGATGTTTATCTGTTGTAATGTGTCCGTCCGACATTTCGATTCTTTCTTAGCTTTTTCACGATACCCTGTTAGGATATGGAGAGATTCGACGTCGAATGTATTGTCACGAATGTGGTGTAGAAGAAAGTTCTGATCTGGTACATACTTCCACCAAAATAAGAAAGTTGATAATAATATCTCATCACCACAAGTCGTGCATAAGTGATCTGCCTCTCGCCAGCGAGTATTCGAGCTTTCTGTGCTATATGATCTGATACTATGAGCATTTCATGTGTTCAATCTCGCAATGGGAGTAAGTACCTTGCCAAGAATAGGGAGCACTAGATAATCTTCAGGGTGGACGTCGGCTCCTCGAGCTACACCAGGTTTCGAACGATGAATGTCAATTTTTGCATCGGAGGAGTCTAAGCACACATGTTGGGCTTCGAAGAAATGCTCTGCTTGGCTCACACGACTTTCTAAACAACGTGGTCCGAATCGTTGTGGCGTTGGTCGGTGATTTGATCGAAGGAGCGATAATGTGTCATATGTCTACGCGCGGTTGATGTCTCGGTAACAACAACGAGAAAGTGGGAGGTTTGCGATGCGCGGCTTTATTTAGGCGTTACTACCGCGATTGTGTCTGAAATTAGTGCTGCAAGCAATCTTTGAGCCGTGTGAGATGAATAGTCCCGAAAGGGGGACAAACTACATTAGATCATTTCTATTTCTAACAGAGCTAGGTAACAGTGCCCAGGGATTATCGAGCTCGTCCAAAAGCTTCTCACACCTGAAGCTTGCTCGACCATCGGCATATCCAGGTTGCTCCCCTAAATAACGCGAAATCGCCGGAATGCTCGACCATTCGGCCCTTGCCCAGAACGAACTACTTTCTATACCACATCCGCGTCGTCTTAGTCCGTCTCATCTTCTTCTGTAGTTGGAAGATGCCGTACAACAACGCCTCAGCAGTTGGCGGACAACCCGGTACATATATATCCACAGGAATGATACGATCCACGCCTCTCACAACACTGTAACTATAGTGATAGTATCCGCCACCATTTGCACAACTCCCCATGCTGATGACCCACTTCGGATCCGGCATCTGGTCGTAGCATTGACGAACTGCGGAAGCGATTTTGTTCGTGACGGTGCCGGCAACGATCATGACATCGGCTTGCCGTGGTGAGGCGCGAAAGATGATGCCCAAGCGATCTTGGTCGTAGCGAGGCATGGAGAGGTGCATCATCTCGATTGCGCAGCAGGCGAGGCCGAAGCTGAGAGGCCATAACGAGCCTTGACGCGCCCAGTTGACGAGTTGGTCTGAGGTTGTACTAGTGGTGTGTTAGAACTGCTCGTTCGCTTCTCGATTACTTTGAAGGCGTACAGGACATGCTCAATGACACTGGTGCTTTTGCGAATAGTCGTTGGTACACTGGATTTTGGCTCGATTCGAGATGAGTAGCCTCGCTGCTGGCGGCGCGAAGAAGTTGCCAGCGGATACGTGTGCCGGAAAGAAGGAGATGTAAGTGGGATCAAGAATCTCTGCAGTGTAGCATCTTGTTGCGTGTTAGTGTTTTCTATCAGCGAGTAGCAGTTGGTAAACTTACACTGCTGTATGCTGCGCGGTAAAGCACTTCTCATGACTGATATACTTCTCAGCTATGTTCAATCCCCAAGGAATGTTGAACGAGCAATCTCAATGAAAGATACTCAAAGAATGGAAGTATGAAGCATCTTGTTACTAGTCCCGTTCGGTCGATGGCGTGGACTTAAAGCTCGGGAAATGCCCACACTCGGGAAATGCCCACACGCCGCGACTCCGACACACGCTCCTGTCATGTGGCAACCATGTCGGAACGTGATGGGACATCTACTGCATCTGCGCAGCACCGATGCTCTGAGTGCCTGAAAGTATTCAGGAATCTCAATCATCTGCGACGGCATGAAGTCAGTCGTGCGTCGTCTCGGTCATCCCAACGTACCAGCAATTTGACGACGACCAGATACGAAAGACTCATCATACCAATGCCAATTCTGCTCTCGAAACTTCGCCAGGAAGTAAGTTCTTCTTTCCGCCTTGTCGGTGCTACAAGAAAGCCCTGATTGACGATGTAGCGACGCTCTCCGACGCCACTTCAAGACATGTTCAAAGGTAGAGCAGCAGGATGCCATCCCAGTGGCGAAACGGGGCAGAAGGTCTCGCGCGTGCGAGCGCTGCCGGTCCAAGAAGCTTCAATGTGACGGTGCTCAGCCTTGCAAGCGATGCTCGTCCGCTCAGGTCGGATGCTCTTTCTCGTAAGTGACGATACTTCGTTCAGATGACTGTCGATGCTCCGTTACGATAACTGTCGATGCTCGAGCCTCAACGACTAATCGTGCTGAAGGAACACGAATGAGAAGGACAATGGCGTCTCTCAAGTCCCCATGACCTTCATGCTCAATTACACAAATCCAGTACTCGAGTCGGTGTCAGACGCATTTGCGATCTCAGAAGCACATGCTGAACCATCGGTGAAGTATTCCGCGAGCATTGATCAGCGTGCTGGCTTTCTACAGGATGAGTTCATGGCAGATCTATTCTCGGGGATATTCTCAGATGTTGATGAGGACCGGCAAATGGAGTGTATTGGCCGGACACAATCAGTGATCATGATGCCTTCGGCTCCGGTAGTCGAACAACGCGCAGCAGCACTTGTCGCGCTACTCAGAGCTCAACACAACTCAACGCCCGTCGCATCTTCGTTCCCTGCGGACAATTTCCCCATGGATCTAGCCAAAGCGGTCTTCCTTGGTAACAATCTGGTGGAGTATGTTTCGGCTTTCTTCCATTTCTTCCATCCTCATACACCGTTCATCCATCAGCCATCATTTGACGTGAGCAAAGTGTCTCTGCACTTGTTGCTTGCAGTTGTTCTCGTTGGCTCCATCTTCTGCACGCCTCAAGATGACGCCTTGTCTGCTCGGTACTTCTTTGGTCTCGCGGAGGAGTACGTTTTTGAACGCCTGCGTGAAGTTATCGTCCACGGCAAGAGTTCGATCGAAGGAGATACTATCGACATCGTACAAGCTGCCGTGCTCGTCCATGCACTGCAGGTCAACTCCAATCACGGAGGCGTTCGGTTACGAGTTCGCGTGAACCGGTTTCCTGAGATTGTTGCTGCAATGAGACGGCTTAGCTTGTTCAGTGCTGTTCGTACGAAGAGCTCAGATGGTCGGACTTGGGAGCAACTCATTTTCGATGAAGTGAGGATCAGGTAAGAGAGACAACCTCTTGTCTCGTCCAAAAGGCTGACGTCCAGCAGACTGGCTCATAGGGTCTTCACCACTGACTGCATGAATACGTTGTTCTTCAAAAGCTCACCCCAAATTACTGTTGCAGAAATGTGCGGAGATCTCCCTAGTACTGATGCGATGTTCGAAGCTGCAAACTCGACCGAGTACGAGCGATTGGTAGCTACACCAGCTGACCTTGAAACACAAAGTGGGAGTCTGAAGGACTTGGTGTCATTATTTCTCGGCGAAAATTGGCCCAGGCCTGATTCTCTGGATCTGATTGTCGTCGAAACGGAGCATCTGATGAGTCTCATATTCGGTGGGGTGCTCCCATTCTCCGTACATGTTTCAGCTCTTACTAATTACCAATAGTCCTTCATTCCATCATCTTCGTGTCGCGCACCGGACTCCTCCTGCCATCGACGCGGCAAGTCCTGGAGCGCGCCACAAGTCGTTGGAAAGAGCTTTGGCAAGTCATAGATTCCAGAAACGATAGTGAATGGCCACTTGTCGGTTTCGCAAAGTACGCGCTTGAGCTATGGTGGCTCGCGCAGAAGATTCTCGAAGTTGCGCAAAGCGGCTGTGTGCGAAGTCTGTATATGACCAGCACTCCGACGGACTCGCTAAAGGAGCTTCACGAATTCATTCGAGAACACCAGACGCCGTCGTGAGTTGTGTTGAGGATCTAAAAACCAGGCGACCAGCGGCATGCGTATTAGTAGAAGTTGATAACTTGAATATAAAAATATTAAGTTTTTAATATACATACACGCTACTTAGTAAAGAGCATCAACTTTAGTGTTTATGAGATGCTGTGATATGATACCATTTTATTAGCTAATTCTTCGTTACTTCGCCGCGGATCATGGGATAGTGTTGAGGTCTGGAATTTGGAAGGATTGCTCACTCCACCGTGGTGATGGAGGGGCAAGTCGAGTGACGTTAACAAGCCCCGACTCCACCTCCACAGCTCAAAGTCACGCTATGGCGCGTTATTTCTTCTCCAACGCGCACTTCCCATGCTAAGCATGCACGAGGATATCAAATAATTGGACAATGCCGCTCTCGCGCGTCTTGGCTACCGCGATTTGGAAGTAGCGGCTGCCCCGCTCTGGAGCAGTTCTCATGCGGGCGGTACATGGAGCTTGCATAACCAGTCTCAACAGCTTTGGGAGCTGCCAGCCAGCTCGGTCCTTTCCCCGCGCTGGGCTGATCTGGGGGTGTATTTACTGCGTCACGCTCTCCTGATGTTTGTAATTGTGTAGAGCGGAACGTTATCTCCTCGCTTATCTTCATTGTGCGTTCCTGCAGTGTACACAGGACCGTGAGCTTGCCAGCACTGTGTATACGGGCTTCTCGAGCTTGACACGCCTCTCATCTATTGTTCGACCACTCGATTGTGATCCCTCCTTTTCCCTCCCCACCTCCGCTCGTCTCTCATCTACCCCGCCATCCCCATACACTGCACTCTCAAAATGTCTGCCACTACACCACCCGCCCGCGAGCGCAGGCCGTCAACGAGCGCACCGATCACTGACTTCCAGGGCCCTGTTGGACCTTCTAACTTCACCCGCCCCAAGCACAAGCGCACGGTGACAGGGTTTGGCCCTGGTGAGATCAAGAGCGTTGAGGCGAGCATTCCGGAGCCCCAGCGTGAGGCCTGGAAGAAGTTTGTACGTCAATCGACTTCCTCTGAGAACCTTGGATTGCAGGGTAGATACAGCGTGGAGTAGATGTACTGACAGCAAGGTAGATGCCCAAGCCGTTCACTACAACCGAAGACTTCGAGAAGGAAGCTGTCCGTCATATCGAGACTACTCTCGCCCGCTCGCTGTTCAACTGCGATGAGTCTGCGGCGTATGCGGGAACGGCGCTGGCGTTCAGGGACCGCTTGGTTCTAGACTGGAACAAGACACAGCAGTCACAGACCTTTGCTGACCAGAAGCGTATATACTGTGAGGAATATCTGACTTTTGGCTGGGGAAGGATTTAGCTGACGAGAACAGACCTCTCTCTCGAGTTCCTCATGGGCCGAGCTTTGGACAATGCTATGCTCAACGTTGATCAAAAGGACATCGCCGTCAGTAAGTTGAGAATCCTTTCCTGCGTCCACTGCACCCGCTAACGTAATCCAAGAGGGTGTCTCCGATCTCGGATTCCGCATGGAGGACCTCATCTCCCAAGAGCATGACGCTGCTCTCGGAAACGGCGGTCTCGGACGTCTTGCCGCGTGCTTCCTCGATTCCATGGCATCCTTGAACTACCCTGCCTGGGGATACGGTCTGCGTTACCGATATGGTATCTTTAAGCAGGAGATCATCGATGGATATCAGGTCGAAGTTCCCGACTATTGGCTCGACTTCAACCCATGGGAATTCCACAGGCACGACATTGTCGTCGATGTGCAGTTCTACGGCCACGTCAACCGCTGGCAGGACGATGAGGGCAAGACACAGTGTTCGTGGGAGGGCGGTGAGATTGTCACGGCTTCCGCTTTCGATGTGCCTAGTGAGTGCTTCAGATCGATAGATTGGGGAGTGTGGGATACTAATGTGCGTAGTTCCCGGATACAAGACCGGTACTTGCAACAACCTTCGTCTCTGGGGCAGCAAGGCCGCTAGCGGAGAGTTTGACTTCCAGAAGTTCAACTCTGGAGAGTACGAGAGCTCCGTAGCTGACCAGCAGCGTGCTGAGACCATCTCTGCTGTGCTCTACCCGAACGACAAGTAAGGCGAATCTGGAGTTAAATGAAATCAACGGCTGACCTTTTGCAGCCTCGAGCGTGGTAAGGAGCTTCGATTGAAGCAGCAGTACTTCTGGTGTGCTGCTTCGCTGTACGATATCGTCCGTCGTTTCAAGAAGAGCAAGCGTGCCTGGAAGGAGTTCCCAAGCCAGGTCGCTATCCAGCTCAATGACACCCACCCTACGCTTGCCATTCCCGAGCTTTTGAGAATCTTGATCGATCTCGAGGGTCTTGACTGGGACGAGGCGTGGAGCAGTAAGTAACTTAGAAAACCCAGATACAGGCAGAACCTAACGGTGTGCAGTTGTCCAAAAGACCTTCGGCTACACCAACCACACCGTGCTTCCCGAAGCTCTCGAGAAGTGGTCTGTTCCTTTGATGCAGCATCTCCTCCCCCGTCACCTCCAGATTATCTTCGACATCAACATGCATTTCCTGCAGTTCGTGGAGCGCAACTTCCCGAAGGATCGCGAGATGCTTGGTCGCGTCTCGATCATTGAGGAGTCGCAGCCCAAGATGGTCCGCATGGCTTACTTGGCTTTGATCGGCTCGCACAAGGTCAACGGTGTAGCTGAACTGCACTCTGACCTGATCAAGACCACGATCTTCAAGGACTTTGTCAAGATCTTCGGACCTGACAAGTTCACCAATGTGACTAACGGTATTACGCCCCGACGATGGCTACACCAAGCCAACCCCAGGCTTTCGGAGCTAATTGCCTCGAAACTTGGCGGACATGAGTTCTTGAAGGACTTGACGCTGCTCCACAAGCTGGAGGCTTACGTCGACGACAAGGACTTCAGGAAGGAGTTCCGCGAGATCAAGTACGCCAACAAGGTCCGACTCGCTAAGCACATCAAGGAACACAATGGTGTTACAGTCAACCCAGCCGCCCTCTTCGACGTTCAGGTCAAGCGCATACACGAGTACAAGCGCCAGCAGATGAACATCTTTGGCGTTATCCACCGCTACCTCCAAATCAAGGCACTTTCCGCTGAAGAGAGGAAGAAGCTTGCTCCCCGGGTGTCCATCTTTGGTGGCAAGGCTGCGCCAGGATACTGGATGGCAAAGACGGTCATCCACCTTATTTGCAAGGTTGGCGAAGTAGTGAACAACGACAAGGATGTCGGTGACCTGCTCAAGGTCATCTTCTTGGAGGATTACAACGTCAGCAAGGCAGAAATCATCTGCCCTGCTAGCGACATCAGCGAGCACATTTCGACAGCTGGCACAGAAGCCAGTGGTACGAGCAACATGAAGTTCTGCTTGAACGGAGGGTTGATTATTGGAACTTGTGATGGTGCCAACGTAAGAAATTCCCTCTTCTCAAGCTACAGCGGATGGAAGCTAACCTACCATCAGATTGAGATCACTCGTGAGATTGGCGAGAACAACATCTTCCTTTTCGGCAACCTCTCGGAAGACGTCGAGGACCTCCGTCACGCACACGTGTACTCGAAGTACCAGCTCGACCCCCAGCTTTCCAAGGTGTTCGACTCCATTCATGGCGGCACCTTTGGCGATGCTGAGCGCTTCTCTGCTCTGTTGAACGGCATTGTAGAGCATGGCGACTACTACCTCGTCTCTGACGACTTTGCGTCGTACGTCCAAACACAGGAACTCATCGACGAGAGCTACAAGAACACAGAGGAATGGACAACGAAAACCATTCTGACGGTTGCGCGTATGGGCTTCTTCTCAAGTGATAGGTGTATCGATGAGTACGCGGAAAGCATCTGGAATGTGGAGCCGTTGGTGCCAAAGGACGATGCTGCGCCATGAGCTGGCTTTAGATAGACATAAAGGCGATAGATGATTTCAAGCACACTCAGAGACTGGCAAATGGGCCTTTCAATTCTATATTCTCATTCGATGAAATTGATGTCAGGTAAATAATGAATGATGAAGTGCTGTTTCCAGCCAATCATGGCATAGACCCTGAAACTGTCTGGGGTAGCACGGACGCGAGACGCGACGTCAACCGCAACCTGGCCGCATAGCCCAAGCAAACCTACCACATCGCCAGCTTCACATCCAACAAATATGGCAAACAGAGGCTACGATGTCGTGGTAGATGTTGATCAGGAGGTGTGTAACCCCTCTAATCGCTTCTAAGCTCCCAAGTCGCGCGACCGCAAGCTTACACGTGCCAGGGCGACCTAGGCCACACCGACCTCCAAGAAGACCTCGAATTCCACAGCTCTGGTATGTCCACGCCCCCCTCTTAGCTACCAAGACACTCACCAACACCCCGCCAGACTTCGACACGCAGCCCAACTTGCGCGCCGCCAAGATCCAACCCGACAGCGCGTCCTTCCTCCCAGGCCCCGCAACCGCGTCCTCATCCACAGGTCGCAAGCACTACCTCTGGAGCCTCTCCTTCTACGCGCAAGCCTTCGACGTCGACACAAACGAGGTCCTGCGCCGCTGCACCGCAACCATCTACCCGCGCGCAAACTTCCTCGACGTGCTCGAGGGCAACCCCGATTTATACGGCCCCGTGTGGATCGCGACGACCGTCGTCGTCATCTTGTTCCTCACGGGCACTATCAACCAGTACCTTGCGACGAAGGGGCAAGACCACTTTGCGTATGACTTCAAGCTGCTGAGTGGGGCTGCGGGGCTGGTGTATGGGTATACTGCGTTTGTGCCCGTAGCGCTGTGGGGCGTGCTGAAGTGGTATGGGAGTGAGAGTGCGAATCTGCTCGAGTGTGGGTGTTTGTATGGGTATGCGAATTTGGTGTGGATTGTGGTTGCGCTCGTTAGTTGGAGTCCGATATCGAGTAAGTCTTTTCTACCCCTTCAAATATGTGTTTTGCGATGCTGATGGGAACAGTCCTTAATTACGTCTTTGCTGCCCTGGGCCTCGCTTTCTCCGCCGCTTTCCTCCTCCGCAACTTGTACCCTGTGCTTAGCACCACCGAGGCGAAGACAAGCAAAATACTGCTCATCGTTGTGCTGGCGCTGCATGCGGGCTTTGCGATTGCTATCAAGGTCCTCTTCTTTGCCGCTACGAGCCCTGTCGGGCCAAAGGATAATGGCAATGGAGGGAAGGTTGATGGAGGGAGCATGATGATGGGGTTATAGAGTGCGACATCAGGACGACAGGACAAGGAGTTCGGGGTTATGAGGCTTGTACTATCATGCCTTTGAAAAGTGAAGTCATAGAGTTTTATCTTGATATGTTTATGGTCCAGACATACCCTCTAGAGTTTGCAGTCTTCTCTCGTTTGGAATCGTAATCACCTCCCAGCTCAATTGTGCTATGCTAGTTATGTAGAAAATGCGTTACTATTAACACGTTATGTCAGACCTTGAGGTAGACACACTAATCAAAACTCAACTTATCATCACTCTGCTATCAACTCAGGTCCTACTAATCAGACATGAAGCAAATGAGATGTGGCTTGCGTCAGCGAGGCTCTAAATAATACAAGGGTAAGTAGTGCATTGGAGTGAATGTACTTTTCTCTATCATGGTCGACTGTCTGAAATGCTGAGGTGTCGTGACATCTAACGAGATCTACTGGTGCTCCCTGCCGCCTATGGCTAGAGTGAGTTCCGTCGTGCAACTCCTGCATCAATCGGATGTATATTCCTGATAAGTGACTCGCTTCTTTTACATCATGAGCATCTCTTGCCAAGAGGTTCTTCGTGCAAACCAGGTATTGCTTTGCGAACGATGTCTTATCAACATGGAATGTGGTATGTTATGTTGATATTTGGCCCTAAGCTCATTGCATCACTCCAGCGCCTCATGCATACAGTTTCCCCTGTTCCGGATAGTCTACCGCATACATAGAAAACCCACAATGCCCTATACCCTTATCGTCTGAACCCATAACTCCCCACTGTACTTCAGCATCCGCCGCGTTCTCCTCTATAGCCTCGGACGACTTTTGGAAAGGCTCGGGTACGGCATGACACGCAGCAGCAATCGCGATGCTACAACTCCCTGCAACCGGCATGGAAGATGGCAGCCGTCTAAATCCGACGACCGCTAAGATAACAATCAAGACAACAATGACGATTATGGTGGCCAGAATCGCGGGTGGCGAGTATCCGCACGTTATGAGCGAGCCGATCGAGGCGCCGGCTTTATATGCATCAACGCTGACTAGGAATATACTTTGAGATATCAGCCAGTGTAGCGTTCCAGTGATGACGATGATTGGAAGCCCAAATCGATACGGTAGTTGCAAGAAGTATGTGCTCCTTTGCGCGCCCTTCCTCGTCATTGATACTCTTAGGCCCTGCCGTCGCACGCCGTATCTCGCCCATTCTCGGGATAGAGACATGACCGTCATGAGCCCATTGTAGTTGAGGTAGAGGAAAGAAAGAAGGAGCTGCGGAATGTTGGCAACGATAACATTCGCAATTAGCCCCGCAGTTCCTTCTTGCGGAAGCTCCCATGTGATGAATGATCGCGCGTCGATGGCCCCAAGACCTTGGCCGTATGCTTCGGATTGGTCGCCTTTGAACCAGACCACGCCATAAATAAGCAGGAAAATTGTGACGCCGATGAGTATCCCATACGTGATGATGAACAGAGACAGCCGTCGTCCGCTTGCGGCACTAATGTGAAGCCGCTTCTTGTGATCAAAGGTTTGAGGTGGTGCGCTCCAACCGATGCTGCTGTATCCACCTGTCGCAGAAGTCCCATGCGCTGGACTCGCAGGAATTCGGAAATCTTTCAAAGACGACTTGTTGAGCAGACATATGCCTTTTGTCGTTGCGTCCGGTCTGATCAGGAAGGAAGAAACTGCGTCGCCGATGGTCATCATAGGAGTGTCGCTAATTCGAAAAGAGATGAACAGCATCGCCACAGTCTTCAAAAGTCCGATAATGATGACTACGATCACCAGATGCACGCTGTACTGTAGACGACAGTGTTGGTCGATCTTCTCACTCATGCAATATTCGATCGTCTTGCCAAAAGGTTTCCATTCCGCGACTTGACTTTGGATCCCTGAGATCTTGCTTTGACAGCTGGAACCAAGGCAATCGTCGGAATTGAGTATCCCAGTGCATATCCATTGAAACGGTTGAGGGCAGCTGTCATTCGGGTCGGTGATGGGATACTCATTCGTTTCAAAATCCAGGGTCGCCCCGCTAGTAAAGCCTTTAGTCGAGTCGGATACGACAAGTAAGACGTTTCTGCGCGCAGTCTGGTAATTTTGCGCGTACGCGCCGACACAATCGCTGGTGTTGAGGCGTTCGAGGCTGTCCGATCTGTAGAGCTTCAACATCGCATTGGTATAACTGTCGGGTTTGCTTGCATTCGCGCCAATCTCTGTATAGTTCGTTGCCAACGGATCAAGGAAGGCCTCATTGACGGTAAAGACATTGTATACGCTTGCCGAAACGGACGCGTACACGGTAGAGTTATAACTTACTACTCGTTAGACTTTCTCTCGTAGCAGTATAGGCATAATTTAGACTTACAATAGATGTAATGGTAAAGATGACACGCCCATGATCAGCCATAGGAATGCACGTAGCTTACGCACTTTCCCCAAGTTGCGTATACTAGGTACCCCAATATCAACCCACTCGGACTTTTTGTGCGCTCTGTCCACTTCAGCCCTCGTGGGCGCACTCATACACTGCACTATTGCGAGAATTAGAAAGCGATCTTGTACTCATTTCTCAATCTGCTTACTGCAGTAATTACTGGCGCCTAGCAAGATGGTGCTGAGTACGTTGATGAGCATATGGACAACGATGTTGATCCTTTTCGTGGTGTCGCAGTCCCCATCGTAAACAACACGCTTGCCGCCATTGCTATTGATGGGAAGAAATCCAGAGCGGTTCTCGCCCACGAGGAGAAATATCAGGTTGAACAAGAAGACAACACCTGCAGCTAAAGCGCAGTACCTAATGCCAATTTTCCATCGCGGATGTCTTGAATGTGATGCTCTCTTTTCCGAACCGAGTACAGAGGAATCAGGAGCATGCGCGCTGTACTCTTCGGGGCGTAGGGCGTCATGATGAACGAAGGATCGTAGTTCGACGTCGGATCCTGCAGGACTCTTCTTCGTGTTCCACATCGAGATTTGCGCGACAAAGTCAGACGTTACCAGAATGCCGGATACCCTCCTTTAAGTTGAGCGATTTGACTAGATAGCTGTGAAAGTCTCTTGGAGTGCATCTTAAGGCATGCTGTGTGTGAATACATGTGGCTGGTTATGAGGCAAGTTCGTTAGGTTAGGCGCGCCACAAGATCCTTGCAAGCTGGAAATGTAGCAGCCTGCGATGACCGACGTTACAATCTCAACATATGCTAATCTTCTCAGCGCTATGTAAAATATTCGCTGTCATGGTGATTCGTCACACTTCGGAGGCTGAGTTCGATATGCAAACACGTTCTCGGACGTTGTGGTAGAATGCGAAGCACTCTCAAATCTATTTTTAGTATATAGATAGGAGGGCTGAGTTGATGCTATATGATCGTCATGACGCTAGTACATCACCTACTTCTTAGGCCCTGACTACGGTTTAGCTTGTTGTATACATATTCGCATCGAAACAACTTTCTCGAGTCGAAGTTTGAACAAATACCGCAATCACGCTTGTTTGAGGTGCATTTCACAACTCCTCGAACAGCAAAATCTGGAATCAAACAAGTCACACACAACCTGGAATCAGTACATAATTTGCCGAGAGCAAAATCGGAAAGCAGAGGCTTGAAAGTTTGCTCAGCCAACAGTCTCAATATCTCGTCATTGAAGCTGTTCCAAGCTCTTTGGTTGCCGAAGCGGAACTGAGTCTGCAATATTAGTGATCATTTGAACTCATTTGACCATGAGGTACCAATAATTAGGAATAGACAACTCGAGCTAGTTGCGAACGTCAAGAACTGAAGTACAGGGCTCGGAAACTCCTAAGCGCCCATGAAGTAGTTGTTGGTGTTCCCCGCTTCGCAGCCGCCATGTGTCTTGCATGAGCCAATGACAAGTGATTACAACTGATACCGTCGACTGACGTGTCTCATAAAAAGATGCGGCCCCCACTCCCTCAAGGCTGGAAGTCTTACATCCTATCTCTTTGCCTACGAAGTTAAGTAATAAGACTTCACGCCAGGCATTGCTACTCGTGGGTTACATTTCATCAGTATTCAGTTGGGATTGCTGACGGATGAAGGCGCATAAAACAATCTGCTTGCCCATATGACAGCCATGTCGCTGAAGGAAATCGACACCACATCTGTTCCTGATACCGAGAACTGGACAGCATATACGCCGCCAAGTAGTATCGCCGCCACTTCAAAGGAATGCAGTGCTTTCGAACCACCGTGGCCTGGCTCGACATACATAATTCGCTCCGTATCAACAGGAAAGGTGGTGGCATTCCGGAAAGGGCAAATAGTTTTGAGCAAAGGAGACGGGAATGCCGGCATCTGCTGGGAGTGCGTCGACGATAATGGCTGGTTGGGTTTTCGGGATCCTGCATCGTACAGGTTGTTGGGATACGGCGAAAATCATGAAATTCGTTGCGAAGCAACGGAACACAAGATATGGGAGCATTTTTGTGTAAGACAGAAGCCAGGAGGTGGATATCTCTTGATGATGACAGAATATGACGACTGGAAAAATGCCGCATGGCAGGGCCTTCGTCCATTGGGAATAAAGATAGATGATGGACTTGAGAAGCTGGTGAAGGTTACGGGCTGGGAAGACAAATCGGCCGTGTGGGAGTTTATCAAGGTGTGAACAACTAAAGTTTGACCCTGTAGACAAATTGTTGTTATTGTGCACCAGCGGAAACTTCTTATCAGCCCTCATCATGGTTGAGTATGTGTTATTTGCTTTTATTCTTGCTTTGTCTCCTGGTCTGAATGCTTCGTTAGCTTGCTTGTCGAGTCGCACAAGTTTGAAACAATTGCTATAGATTTTAAGCACAAATGCTACGTTGCGGCTGCACCATCAACCCTGCATCGCATCCTCAACAAACTATCTACAAGAACCCTGTGACCCACCACCCATACAGTTCCTATCACAGCGCTTCAGAACGCTAGGGTCTGTCCAGCCTCCTTGGTGACGGCCGCCTTGACATTCGCAGAACCCAAAGGCGTGTAAGCGTAAGTGAAACTGCTCGCGCTGAGCGTGCCGACAGGCGCCGTATTCGCACTCTGTCCACCGAATAGCGTGTCTATCACAACCGCGTACCTAAAGCCCTGAAATCAGCAAACTATTGGTACAAAACTTCGTGAGATCTTTCCACTCACCCTTCCTCAGCGCTAGATTCTGTGTAAACCATCTTCTTGCCGCTGTTCTCGAAGACAGTGCTCTGCACAAGAGCCTGGGCACCCATACGTGTGTTCACACCAGTGTTTTGCTCCTCGTAGTAATTGTTGAGGATATGAGCTGTGCCGAAGCGGAGCAGCGGTCCGCGACTGGCGACCTTGTAGAAGTGGTTGTTGGCGTATGTTACACGCAGATGGCCGGTATCTTCAGCGGCATTTTTGTCTGTGTGGCCGACAAGTGTGCCCTTGGACTGCGGGTAATCGTTAGCAACCAATTCTTTCACTCCGATGTGCACGTCTGAGACTTTGGGGGCAGGGACTGTGAGACTTACGTGGTTATGAAAGTACGAGTGCGAGATGGTCACGAAGTCAGCGGCGTGCGATAGATCTACCAGTCCGTCGTAGGTGTCCTTGCCCACGGTCTCGTCGCCAGAGAAGTCGCAGTGGTCGACCCATACGTTAAGGGATTTTTGAATTGTGACACCGTCGCCGTATGCGGCAAGTACTTTTGCGATCTTCATGTTCCGGACGATCACATTCTTCTGGCCCAGAATTGTGAATCCGATACCGGTCAGTGCTAGATGGTGTCAGTAGATGCTTATGACGCGCAGAAGAGAAGAGTGAGATGTGTATTGGATGTAGACGTACAGCTACCAGTTTTGCCAACGATGGTCTTGTCTGATGCAACAACCACCTTTGCTGCACCGCTGATGGAACCTTGCACGACGATGACAAGGGGTCCCGTAGAGTTGGCTGCGGCAGACAGCTGAGGGAGAGTGCTGACGGTCGTAGTAGGTCCACCAGCGCCTCCTTTGGTTCTGAAAAGATGTGTAAGTACACAAGAAGTGGTGATGCAGATATTATTATGCTTACCCGCCATTCTGCGTCGCGAAGCCGATATTGGCAGCATCTGTAATGCTCGCTCTTTTCGCTAGTACTTTTGCTACACCTTCTTTCAACGTTGGAGTTGGCGATGCAGAGACGACTGATGCCGCCAGGAGAAGCAGGGAAGTAGAGAGCTTCATGTTGTATTAGATGCAAAGTCTGACTTTGAGAATCTGATGCAGCTCTTGAATCATGCTGAAAGACAGATGGTTTGCCTTATATATCACGTCGGCCGTATAACCGCCCAGAATATATTACTTGACGCATTTGTAAGTCTGGCGTGCTTGCATGACGAGCTCAGTCTGCGTCTGATTCATTTCGATGATAGAGTCTCTTGAGCGGAACTCGGATATGAATCTCACTCCAAGCGTATTGACATATGCTTGAAACCCATTGTGGGGAATGGGCCGGTTGCCTCGAGGTACAAGATAATATAGAATGGCTTGGCTGTCGCATGTTATATAGTGATCGCCCGGAGGAATTTCTCGTTGGAGGAAAATCGCCAACTTCTCAACCCCAGAGTTTGGCTCGTCGACTTGCTCGAGAGCACATCTGGGTATTTCGAAAAGTTTGGTGGGGATTATGCGGGGAGAGCACGCAATCACCCGTCCCGGTTGTGGCTTCAACCTGTGCAAGTATCCTGGTCGACAAAGATAAGGCGACTCAAGCAAAAACAACTTATGCAGGTGCTCGAAAAGGACATTCAAGATGTGCCAATATTCCGAATCTATGGTCACAAAAATCTCGTCACCCTTGTCGGCAAGTTGTTTCACTCTCTGATACTTCGCGGGAGATGTTGATCTAGACCTCTGCAAAGGGGTAACCCCTGATATTGAGGTATATCGATGAGATCGCCGTCGTATATACTGACGCATACGCTTTTGCACCTTCTCTTTCCAGCTTGAGCCTATCCTCTTTATTGTAGCTATCGCAACGGTCACATCATATCAGCTGAGATGTGTCATCCACCCACCTTTTCCGTTATTTCCATCTCCCCTGCGAGGTCCTGAAGAAACGTCAAAGCCACGTTGTTGATGTTGTTCTTCTCAACAACGTATGTCGCAGACCGAGGCGCATACTCCACAGAACGGACTTCAGGTCGCAGGACCAGCCAGCAAGCCAGTAAGAAGCCCTCCACGTCCCATACGATGCGATCATCTCTATCGGGAAAAACTTCAGCACTACTACCCAGGTGGCATTCCTGCTTCTCAAACTCAGTCTCGTACACCTGGCGCCATGTTTCGTAGTAGGGCGATAGGGATGGATAACGTTCTTTGATCACGTCCAAGTCTACATCGGGGCCTTCGTCGTCATCAGGCATTGTGTTTTGTGACGAATCGTACCAGAGATAAGATGTCTGCCAGTCTGGAAATAGTCGATAGTGAAGGCCGGCCGGTCTATCGTCGTTTGAGTCTGACGATCGATCTTCTTTGCACACCGATGTTAGCCGTGCGTTGGGTGACCTCTATTCGGGATACACTTTATGCTTACCTAAATGTTGTGCAGTGGCTTCCAAGACCCTCATCCGCAGTTGTCCTTCGTCGGGTATTTCTAGTCGAAGCCCATACGTTGTCTCGATAAATATGGGTTCCGCTACCTTCTGGCTCAGTGTACTTTTTGTGAAGTCTTGAGCGTCTGCCGAAGACTCGTTTCTGTTGACTTGAGACTCATCTCCAGATGTTTGGGGTCTCAGACTTTCTTCAACTTCATCGCCTGTATTCAGATGCTGCTCAATGCCGTCATGTCGCGTCGCTGGTAACAGTATCGGCGAAGCTGATAAAATCAAGGACTGACGTTGATGTGCTAACAACCTAAGCGGCCGCAGCACTTTGTTCATGTTGGCTTGCAAATATAATTATCTCGATCTCAACGTGGTAAAATGTGAAGTCTCGAAGAATGGGGAGTAATATGGGAAGGGCACACAGCCCGCGCTAATGCACTTAAGTGGGGTGAGACCCTTTCCTCGGATCTGCCATTTTTATTCATACAAGGCAATACTCTGTCAGCCTGCTATACTGGCAAGGCAATGAGTCTGGCCTTGGAGCGAAAGCTGGATCGAAACGGAAAATGTTGATAAGTATACTGTCATTGTCACAAGCAAACTTTGATCCACTTGCCTGCCCCAATCACAAAACTCCCAAGAAAATACGTAAGTAGACCCTGCCTCAGCTGAATTTAGGCCGTTGCTTATGCTGCTCAGCTGAACATCTCGAATCTTCAGCCTCGAGAACGTGTATCGAATCATAAATGCCGCGCGGTCCTCCACCGCCATATTGAAGAGGCTGAAGGTTGCCTCACTGCTTTATAACGCGATTATAACACACTTGGGATGGTTGCAGATTTGTAGCCAATATTATATGCGTCAGCACACCCAATAATGTATGCATCAACACACCGCTAGGGTGCTGCAGTGTTCGCGATGCCTCGTTTGCCTCGTTTGCCCCCCTGTACAATCTGCCTGGTTAACTATAAGTTTTTCCCTCGTAGTATATGCCTCAATAGGAGTCTATCCCATCGTCTGAATCCTTCCTCCTGTGCGCCTCGTTCATTCCACACCTGCAAGCGTCCCGTGTCAGGTGAGAGAACTAGTTCACATAGTCATAATTGTAAGAACAAACTGTATGCGATGATAACCCCTAAACGAAAACTGGAACCTTCTGACGAGATGATAGAAAGCCACCATGTCTCAAGAGCAAGAGGAGTTACAAGTAGTCGCCGCAGAAGCGCAATCACGCCTAGGCGGCGCCAATCCCGACTTCAACGACCTGATTGCAAAAGCCCTCAAGAACAATGTCAAAATCACCACCGAGGAAGTAATGCGCATCTGGCAGATTTCCACCAGCCGCAACATCCCGGGCCTAACACACGAAATTCTCTGGATCGAGCAAGGTACCGACAGGGCCGGCTACAAGCACATGTTGAAGCACAAAGCGGATTTCGAAAAAGTCGGCGTCTCCGAGGACAAACTGGCAGAAGTTGCAGAGGCCGCAACTACGGTTGGCAAACCGGGAGGAATGCAGGGAAACAAGTCCCCGGGACGACCGATTCTAGGGCTCTTTTTTCATAAGAAGCCGCTTGCTGTGGCTATATCTGTGGGGTCCAATGGGTTCGTTGTCGGGATGAATCCTAGCAACTTCGATAACTTCCTCGAAAAAGCTGGGATCGATCAGAATGAGGTGGAAGAACTGCATTCTTGGCCCATTCCGTCGGTTTGAGCGCGTGGAGTCAGGCGGAAGTGTTTGGGAGCACAACGGGTGTAAATATCGTTTGACTTCAACGCTTTCGGGGATACTGTGATAGCTAGCGCATTGTCTATGAAATGAGAGCGCAGTATGCATGAACATGATGGCTGAAGGGTGGATATAAGGTGACATGAAAGTGTAAGACTCAGGATCATGAACACTAACTCTAGAAATTCAATTGCGTGACTCATAAAGATGAATGTTCTTACTCACAACAGCCGGGATCCCAAATGCCTTCATAATTTACTGTCCGCTTTCTTCGCATTTTCCCTGACCTCCTGTGCCATCCTCACAAGCGCATACAAGCTCTGCAACCTGGGCATCTCGAACCCTCGCTCCCTTGCAATGCGAATCGGGTTCCCCAGTATAACCTCAATCTCCATCCGCTTTCCCGACTCCCAGTCCATTGCCATACTCGGCTTACTCCCACTAGTGTTCTTCAGCGTACTCGCAATAATGCGGTCTGGCGTTGCGAACTCCTTGGGCATTGGTTGGCCAAGTATCTTAGGCGCGGTTTCCAAAATCTCCGTCATGACGCCTTTGATGTGGATGTTTAGCTCAGGGTCTGACGACATGAGCTGGTTCGTGGAGCCCAGTGTAAGCACGGAAGACGGGTTGTATGAGGCATTTATGGCGATTTTGTGCCAGCGGACGAGTTGAAGTTTCGCGTGGGAGTAGGCTTCTGCGTCTTTGATGCCGCCTTCTTGAAGGAGGGCGATGAACGCGTTGTTGAGATCCGTATCCCGTGTGTCTGTGTCTTTGGAGCCACCGGTGTCGAGGTGGGGTAGATAGGGACCGCTGTTGATACGCGTCCAGCGGTTGTGCTTGATTACCCCATGCTCAGGCTGTGCACATGTCGCTATCGTGACGGCAGACAATATCGCCGCTTGGGGGAAGCGCTTCACGTATGGGCTTTCTACGCCCAAGCCATTCTGGATCAACACTATACCCGTCTTATCTCCGACGAGTCCTTCGAGTATCGCCGAATCGTCGCTGACATCTGGAAGCGCTTTCGTGCTCACGACGATAAAATCCCATTGCACCCCACTTTTACGCGCCTCGTCCGGGTTCGCAAATGTATGCGTTGGTGTGAAGGTGTAGTCGCCGTATTGAGGGGACGTGACGCGGAAGCCATGCGCTTTCACGGCGCTATAATTCGAGCGGCAGATCACGGAGACTTGGATATCGGGGACAACCGCGAGCCGCGAAGCGTAGAAAGCGCCAATGGCACCAGCGCCGACTATGAGAATTGAGGTTGGCATGTTGGAGGCTGTAGAGGAAAAGAAGAACGAAGTGGACGATGTTGTGACGATGTCGTGATTTGGGAGGAAGCTTATCGGTAGTTGGTTAGCCTCGGTTCATCTAAACAACTGCACGATAGACCTTGCAGATGGTCATCCTTTTGCAACTTAGTGCCGTTTGTGTAGTCTGCAATAGCATGACATGTCTTGTGTCTTTCAGAATTGAAGTCTTGTTCAAGTTACGCGGTTCGTGTTCGAATCGCGCTTTATCAATCCGGACTAGCGTGGACCGCTGTTGCCTTCGACGCGTCGACGTCACCCTTTCACCACCCTTCACATACCTCGACTTTGTGGTAGAGTGTTTGCTGGCGAACGTGTCGAAGCTCAATCGTTCGCCGACTGAACATGTAAACGATAAGCGTGAACAAATCACGCAGATGTAAGCAACCACTCATTAATTTGGGAGGTGAGTAGGAGAGTAGTAGGAAGGCCGATCTCTGTGTCAAGTTGTGCTGCAAACCCTTCTATACTCAGAACAACTTCGCACCAAAAACTCAGCCATCAAACGACTTCACTCCCCTGTCGTTAGTCGTGTTTCAATATGTGTTTGTATGAGGCCAATCGCTGCTTCCTACATTTATTCAGAGCTAGCTTGCAGATATCTGACCTAAGCGGTGACTGTTTGTTGCTTTAACTGCAGCTCCCCCTTCTTTGATGTCACCAAGGATGTTCTTGCTGTCCTTTTCTCTTCACGTGTCTCACTGTTGTGACCTTCTCCCGTTCTTCACCCCTCAGCGGAGTCATGGCAGCCGTTCCTCAAATCATTCAATTCTCCAACACGGCACACGTTATCTTCTGGCTTCGAAAGCGCAAGACATGCATTCGATAGAGCCACATCGAACACCGGCTCAGGTGTCTGATTTCCAAACTGTCATTGTCAATGCTATAGCTACCCAGCAACACCGGGCAGTACTGCGTGGAATCATCGTCAGCGCCAACTACTGGAAAAGTATTCACTTTCACCTCAGCACTTCCCTCGTTAGTGTCGTCTCACCGCGCACAGACCGGAATGGGATACCAGTCGTGTAGAAAGTCTTTCTAGGCAAAACTTTCATCCCACAGTCACCACACAAGGTTGCGCGCAAAGTCATGCCAGACCCGGTGATCAAAAAGGAAGAGAGCCCAGAGACTTCGGTCATGGCCATGGCGCCCACAATGCCATCTGCCATGTCTACAAGCAATGCCCTCATTCATGCTCCAAGGCCGGCGAGCGATGCAGAAGATTTCAAGCCACTGCGATCGACGCCGCCACCAAAGGGTATCGCCAGACACATGCCTCTTGCCCGATCTCCATATCACGGTAGTTCGCCGCGCAGATATAAGATTACAGGACAATATAGCGTGGGGATCACGTCGCCTAGATTTTTGGCGCGCCTTCCGTCTCGACTGACTTCCGCCACGGCAACGGGGCATGTCAACAAAGCGACGGCAACAACAACAACAGTCAAAACATCGACCGCGCAGAACATCAGCCACATAAGCGAACTCCTTCAGCGCAGTGATCGTCTAGGGCAACACAAAAGCGGAATCATGGACAGTGTCGAATTCGGTGATGACGAGGTTGGCGGCGGAGACTTGGGCTTTCCGGTTTTGCCGTCGATGATGGACATAGGCATGCATACGGACAGCGAAGGTACGTGTTCTCAACCTCTTCGACACTATCAAGCCAGCGAACTGGTACTGGACTTCGTATGATTGATGTAGAGTTTATGCTGACCGCAAGCAGAGTCCGAGGACAACACAGTATCATCGTCCCAGTTCGAACTCGAACAGCTCCAGGGCACCGTAGGCGCCCTTCAGGTGGAGTGTGAGATTGCTTTTCTTCTTACTGTACATGATACTGACATCCTTGTAGCGAGCAGACAGCGACGTGCCATCGCGGCGCTCGCAAACGTCAACCATTGCATGTTCCACGAGATCAAGGCCATGCGCGACCGCTTGGCCGACCTCGAGCATGTCAGCAGGCGTTTTGATACCACGGTGGTCAATAATATCGAGCAGCGCTTCGTCGAGCAGCTTTCCACGACAGCATCCCGTGCCAATGTATCGCATCGACCTACCACGGATGATCGCTCACGCAGTCCATCACCCAGTCGGCCCCAGTACCGTCAGCGGGACTTGCAGACGAATCGTGAGGACCTGCAGCGCGGTGATGTAGCAGGCAGAAACAAGAACGAAAAGACGAAGTTTCGCAAAGAATTGCATGTCACCATTCCTGGGAAGCCTACGGGTTTGCCGGCCGCTGGTTTACCCACCCCGACGACTGCGGTATGTAACTCTTTCCGACACTTCAGTATCTCCACTCACATTGATACATAGGCCAGTCTCCGGACCGGTACCTCCATGACCTTTCCTGTTACCCCCAAGACCCCCTTTACGCCCGGCCGTATCGGGCCTGGAAACGCGTACAAGAAGACAACAACGTCAGTCAACAAGCGTCACAGCCACAATCTGGACAAAACAATCCCTCCTACCTACGTGCAATTCCCTCAGTTGCCACTTACGGATACCGAGCTGATCGTCTACTTCTACAATTCGCTGGCACGTCCGATCGTCGCTTTGCGTCTGTACGCAAGAAATTGGGGACCGGCTTCCATCGTTCAGGCCTTGAATGATCATCGCGTGATTGACCCCCCTTATCTGCGCAACACCTGCTCTGTCAAGTGTACGACGGCCATCAAGACTGGTAAGAGACGGTTTGGCGATGATTGGGAAGAAGCCAACCGTGTTGTGTTCGTGGAAGCGTCCGACGACAGGGCAACAGACCTTGTTCGTCTCAGCGGTGCGGACTTGGACAACGCTGTGGACTACGATGTTCGCGCATTGAGTGTCAATCTAAAGAAGCACCCGCAAGGTGATGACGCTGGTATCTTCACGCGCTGTGTCGAGTATTGTCAAGAACACAATGCACCGTATACATTGTCGAACGTGTCGCACTTGGCCATGGCCATCGAAGCGGGGACGACACCTGTACATCCACCATCGCCTATTCCGACACCCTCTTCGTACCGTACTCCTCGCTTCACAAAGTTGCCGCCCCGTCAGCAGAAGCAGGCGGCAAAATCTGATGGCGAGCTCGCTGCGACGTTGAGTCCTACCGTCAACAAGAATGTCCCGTCAATCAGGTTTGGTCACGCAGATGCCTCGTCTTCCTTCGAGGCAGGCGTGGAGAGTGCCGCGGCTCATCCGGCGCACGACGCTACCTAGTGCGTCCCATAGAACACGATAGAGAGAAGATTTTGGATATGTTCGATACGCACGGGTCCAGGTCACGGCTCTTGGATAATGTTGGAAACATATGGATAGGGATGACAAGAGCGTAAAACTCTGTTTTGCGTATATAAGAAGGATAACACTGGTGGAGAACGACAATGATCACGATGGACTATGCCTTTTTGCATACCGCCTGGATGTGTCCACAAGTAGATAGATGATCAACCAATGAAAGCAATCATGATGAGCTTATAAATGGACTTTTGTTTTGGTTTGAATTCACACTACTTGTTCAGGATTATTAGCCTTTGTCTACCACAGTTTATTGTGGATCAGTTCGATTACCCCCAGGCATCAACATCAATAGGGCAGTAGGGATTGGTTCCAGTATATCCGTCGACGCTAGCGATGCAGCAAAACCAGCTTTCGGTGGGTCTTGGCATTTCATCTACGGTAGTCATGTTAATCCTGTAGTAGCCTTGTCTTGAAGAACCGTTGTTTTAGGAATGGGCAAACCTCAGCCCGTCCAACTCAACGGCTATCGTGAAGACTAAGCAGGTCGATGTGGCTGGTCTTGAAATATGAGCCATGGTTGAATTTGTTGTGAACCACATCGCGCTGGAGAAGAATCGTATATAAACCTCCACACACCCTGACTGTAAACTGCACTCATCAGATCTCTCGAGTCCATACCATACCATACCATACCTATATCACCCCATCCAGCCAACCACCTTCAAACCACGTACCAAACATCAGCAAAGGCATGATCACCCAGACCCAACCATGTCTCCAATACTAACTCCCATTCAGATGGTACACGGACTCTGCCACCCTGCATCCCCTGGTTGCCAGTGCATGGATGTTCTAGACGTTTGGGAGAGGGATGAGAACGGGCGCCGCAATTTCCTCGGCCACATGGTCGCGGAAAGAGACGAGCGCGGCCAGATCGTCCCGCCGTCTGTCCCAGACAACTGGGAAGTCTTCACGGGCGAGCCGAGCCGCTACGAGCTGCACATGCAAGCCCAATGGGCTCAGGAAAGGGAGCAGCAGCAGCAGCAGGCCGCCATGGCCGCCATGGTTCAGTCTGGCGGATACAATAGCGGCGTGCACCAGGCCTTCGTGCCTACTGTGGCTCAGCCTGGCGGCTTCAATAGGGACTTTATCTTATTGGATGGGCCGGCCGCGGAGCAGCAGGGCGGCCATGACATGATCGCCAGACCATCTGACGCCCCCTCCGAAGGTCTGTTGGCACAAAATCCCAATACGCTGTTTGACGGCCACCAGGAGGCTCTCGAACTAGCCGGTGTCGACGTACTGATTGATAGCTCAGACCCCATTCTTGGGGATGTTCAACTGTGGGCGGATCTTTTCGGGCACTCGCCTCCTGAGAACCTGGCTTGCTTTGACTATGCTCTGGAGACCTTGAACAACAGTTGGGAGGAAATTGGGGGCCGGACTTGAGTTTTGTCTTTGCTTTTGTCTTGCATTGTTTTCTTCGGCGTTGGAGATTGGGTTCTGGATGTTGTGTGTTGCTGTTTTCGCGTTTTTGCACGATATGTAGTCCCCTTGTTCGTTTTACGCATGCTGTTTTCTATTGACAATGAACGCTCTCCCTATGAGCCTCTGTGCTGTGATGCTTGAAGGCGGTTCAGGATGACATAAACAAAGGGCACGGTCACGTGAATTGGACTTCACTGAGCGTGTACAATGAAGAACAAACTTGATTCGTTATGCAATATGAAGCATTTAGTAAAGTGAATGCCAGTCATACTATGTTCAGTGTAGATTATACTTGGATTCGATTCATCTCCATAGTCTTGGATCACTGTCTTGGTTTCCGGTCGCAACTCATTCGAACTTGTCACCACACCAAATATTGCTCCATCAGAGCCAGCGCGGACAGCCGCATCCGAGACAGTTGAATGCAACTTTTCTGTGAAGAACACTGCTCATCAATGTGATCTTTCGAAAGGAGATACCACCGATACTATCCTCAGCACCTCGGATGTTCACAAAAACATGACCGTTTCGGATGGCACAAGTGTCACTCAAACCTTGCATCCTGTGAACCCAACTCAGTAGGTTCATTTGAAAATGTCGTAGCTCATCAACATCACGATAACAGAGCCTACATTGATGCACCGAACCTCTCCCATATTTTCAGCATCCCTAGCGCACCTTCCTTAGGAATCGAAAGCCTCCAACCGCAACTGACTACCACAAGATGCGCCGCGTCTGAAATACCACTACTTCAGGAAGGCGAGCTCTCAGACGTTGACATAATAATTTGTCCTGCCCAATCTGCTGTTGTCGAGAATCCGAGCTACACTTGGGCCGACGCCAGCGTGATTCGAACTTGGCTGGTGGAGAACTCAACATCGAGGCTCAATGAACTACTCACTGCCGAAGCGCTGAGTGTCCAATCGTTACCTGACTTGCTCCGCAAGATCAAGCCCACTCCGAGGGATGCGGCGGGTGTGGTGCGGTGGTGCAAATAGGGTCGCAAACGCAATGCCAAATATGGGCCTTCGTGGGGTATATGAATCAGCTCTGCGCTTTTGCTTCAGAGCGCGATATCTCGATCCACTAGATCATGATGCTGGGGAAGTGAGGAGTCGAGTGGATGTGTCAGCGGTTGGTGTGATGCAGGCACCTTCTAATCTTCCACCGCGGCTGGCACTTACGATCGAGGCCTCAAGCGTGACCAAGCAACACATAGCTACTGCCACACACGAGCCAGCAATGGGCGCACCTTCCGAGTCTCGATCTGGACGTACGCGCTCGCCTGCGGATATAGCCGCGCAGTCGCGACGCCTCCTAGACCTTCGCAGCGAAAACCAGATTCTGCTTTAGAGTTGTGTTCATATGTTTGATCAAGATGTCTCACAACAGACGGCGAATTGCAAGTCAGCTTGTCGCCCCGCGCCTATCGCGTCTTGGTCTCATGAGCAGCAAATGCCGGGCCATCTTCGAGTCATACTGGGTTCGATTTCGTCGGGATCTTTCTGCAAGAGAAAGAGTGCTTCCAGTTTGATGAATAATCGAACACTGCGTTCAAAGTCATCATGGATTCTCAACCGATGCCATGGTTGGCAGACTGCGGTCTGTAGTTCGAGGCACTTGAGCTTTTGGTCCGCAATGGTACTGAGGTGAATCCGACCTTCTCGAAGTTTGGTTACTAGAACTGTGGTGTTTATGTCCATGTCAGTATCCGTGCAGGGGAGAGGTGGAGGGTTATGGATAAGTGCAATTTCAGTAGCTAATCGCGCGGTCTCATCAGGGTAGGTTATATACATCCAATTGATGTGTTGCAGTATTCGATGGTCGTAGTGCATGTTTAAACAGTTGGTGGAGAAAGCTCGGCGGTAGGTCAGTTGTGGTCGCTTATCGAGGAAGCTGTATAAGTTTATTGACATCTACTACACCGTTTGTTAGTCCCTTCAACCACCACTACTTTTCGATAATCAACTCTCAACTCCCAACTGGAGAGAGGGCCCTTTGTTTACAAACTCAACCACGGTACGTTATTCTGCAAGATGTAGAAAGATAAGGTATTCCTTCCTCAAGTCTCACACACATCTATATAGCATCAAACAAGAGTCAGTTGCCAAGTACTGTCACAAGGTTTCAACCTTTCCGCACATCATCGCACAACATGAACCCAACGACGCCAGTGCTCAACGGAAGGTCAGGTCCCTTTCGAAAGATTCTGCCCAAGCCCCCGCAAACCGGGACGACGTCGCCAGCGCTCAAGAAGAAGCCCGGTCGTCCTAAGAAAGAAAAACCCTCTCACCCCATGGCGGATCCGACTCTGCCATCAGGTAGCAAGAGGAAGCGGGGTCGCCCCAGCACGGCAGATGCTGAGCCACCGGCCCCGAAGAAAGCTCGAGGTCGCCCACCAAAAGCAGTCGCCGGTCCGTCTCAGGACAGCTCTCAAGACACCTCCGCCTTCCAAGTGCTGCAAGGTAACAGCACTCTACCTTCCCCGCCTGAATCCGCGCCAGCGCCGCAGCCATTGCCATCTGAAGGCTCTCGCGACTATGTCAGGCTCTGCGATCTTGAAAACGGGTTGGCTCTCCAACCAGCAAAGTCTCGAGCGCGTTCCGTAGTCAAGTCCAACAGCGTGGACAGCGATACTGGTCGCGCAAGTTCAACCAAGAGCACGTGGGAGATCGCGATGAAAGAGCGTGAAGACCATCTTCGCTCGCTGCCGGAGGGCATTTTCGAGTGCGCCCCGCTTTCGCCACAACTTGCTGGATCATGGGAGGTGCAGAGTGTGGGAGATCCTGCTGAGGAGGAAGAGACTAGTCGGTACTTTCCGCCAGGCTATATGATTGCTACGGATTTGTCTGTCGACGAAGTGCCAGATTCGTTCACCGCAATCTTCGAAGACATATTCGAAGACTACAAGGTCTAGATCACGAACCAGCCTGGCCAGGCCGACGTTTATATTGTGACTTATCGAGAACTCAAGTGGATATAGGATGCGGTTTGAACGGACCATGAGCAGTTCTCTGATCATCGTTGGGGATGGATTGGCGTCAAGCAGAAATGCGCAGAATAGGTAGCTCAAGAGGATGGCATCGCGTTAGTATTGTGGCTTTCATTTCCAAGTATTGGCCATGAAGCCGTTCGAAAATGAATTATGATATATAATGAACAAGTTTGAAAACTTCGAGCAAGAGCAACGTATTGTGATTCATCGTGATTGGATGTGCCGTCAACTCCAACGTCGTTTCCTCGAGCATCCTAAACTTAACCAGCAACTGATGGAGAGCTTGTAGCATGAGAACGCTCAGATCATGATAAAGTGTTGTGAAATAACAACGAGCTGCCGGAGTCACAATGGAGCACTTGCCCATAATGTCAACCCTGAAGTGCTGGCACGCTGGAAAGATAAATATGTGTCGATGAGCACCTGTTCGCAATCAATCAGTCACGAAGCGCAGACAACTGTGTTATTGCACATGTCACATGTCACTCGATATTCAGACAGGGTATCGTGTCATTGACAAGCAAAGGTTGGGCTCCATGTGCGGGACCAGCTGCTGGAGCAAGCGGCACCAAAACCGATAGAAGGACCAGAGAGGCAGTTTTGAACCAATTTCGACACCACTCTCATATGTCTCTTCATGTTCCAATCTATAGCTATATAACTCGTTTACCACATCACTCAAACCTTCCAAGTCTGACTTCGGTATGGCTTCTTCAAGTTTGTTCACAATGGTGTTTATGTTCTCCACGGCACCACGATGTTTTCTCACAACGTTTGTCTGGTCATTCGAGATCACTAGTACCGTTGTGTCATCTCTTACATATGTATTTCGCTCTCCACATGTTGCGTCAGTAATCATGTCTATATTGTGGACGTCGAACAAGCCATCGTGTTATTTAGCTATTCGGCATAAGCCTCATCATACTATAGACAATCACGATCTATACTTTGCATTCGCGCCAGCTTGTTTCCACTTTTCGAGTCTGAAACTCAAGATCGGCGCAAACCTGCGCAGTGAAGGTGCGTGGATCTATTTCGCCTCGGATATCCCGCAAACCCCGCTACGAATCATGAAATCTATGCGACCATCGTCAGCCAAGCAGTCTTATTGATTCACATCAAAATTGTCACGTTTTTTACTCGAGCGTCGTTCCTTTCTTGGCGTATAGTCCGTGAAGCCTTTCCAAACCACTATATCTAAACCCAACTAGGCTACCACAGTCAGCCATCGAGGGCCGCTCTGATACCGACTTTCAGCGACAATTCGTCCAGTGTCAATATTGGCCTCTAGCTGTATCATAAAGTTGGTCTTCCAAGCCCAGATCGGCATTTTATTCGTCCTTGGTGCATAGCTGCTGACCAGATTGAACAGTAACCAAAGCCAAAATCACTCGATCGAAGTACACAGTCATGGCAACCTATAAAATTGCCCTGCCAGAGAAGGCCACTGTTTCGGGCCGAGTTACGAAGTCCAATAAACCCGCAAAAGCGGCATTAGAGAAATTTGTAAGGAACAGTGCAGAACAAAATGCGCGCAAGTCAGCAGAGGCTATGTTTGGGCGCGATGCCCCATCCCGCCGTCTTCGAATGCCGGAGAGTTATAGCATCACAGCTGTGGAACAGCTTACATTCTTCCCCAATACTCTGCGGTCGCATGACTTCCTCGATCGCCTGTTGGGGCACGGTATTGATACCCAGACTGTAGCCAACATCATCAACCACCATAGAAAAGTTCCCAAGTATCCTGTCCAGAACGATAGCATCTGCAAAACGATTCAAAAGTGCATGCAACAACATCATCCCTCAGTCTGGGTGCGTGAGAAGATAGTGCATTGGACCATGAATAATCGGAAGGCTGGCATCTTCTCCGGAGTCAGGCGTGACAACAACGATCTTACGTTCACGGGTATGCAGCTAGATTTTGAGGACTTCCCAAGGCATCCTAGCAACAAGAAAGGTGTTGTCTTGAACATACCGTTTGCCAACCTTGCCAAGAACGTTAGGACCTTTCCATCAATTCAAGGTGGCGACGCATTAACCCTAATGCCGTGTATTGTTCACGCTGCTGAACATCCCGAAGAGGGCTGGCTTTTCCCTCGTGACATTGTGACGCTTACACAACTGACCGGCGGCCCTCGCATGACTGAAGCCAAACACAAGGATAGCGCAGTCTTTTCGCGATGGATAAACTCTTACAAAATTGGCAGCATCTAGAAGGAAGAGCAAGGGGTTATCACCTAAGACCCACCCATCCTGGGTGCGCATAGAGAAGCTGATGCCATGAAAGTTATGCCTAGCCACTTAGCTGTGCAGAACTCTGTTGGAACCGACGTTCACCAAGCTCTCGATAGTCGTACATGTTCGCCGATGAACTCCCGCTCGTCGGGCCAACCGCAGATTTCGAAATCGCCAACGGCTCATTCTCACCAATGCGCGTCTTCTTCGCAACATGCAGCGTCAGAGATAGACGTTGTACATGTTCTCAGTTATAACGACGTTGTTCCCACACACTCTCGATCAGTGGACTCCGGCTTGACACATCGTCTCGAGTCACCCGCCAACCCAAACTTTGGTTATCTACATCAAGATGATGAGCGAAATGATGTCCCTACGGAGGATTTTGGGGCATACGACTACCTCCAATATGCCTCATCGTATCAGCCCAACAACTACGCAACAGAAGTTGAGGACTTCAACTATCATGGCGTGACGTTTGGTCATCGCGCTGAGTCCTATCCCGAGGAAATATCAGTTTACCATCCGTCTTGCTTTCCCGTATTCATGAATCCGGAAGCATTTGTTGCCGAAGTGGCTTCCGACCCCATCCTCCGAGGTGTTCTTGAAGCACTTTCCACATCTCTCAACATGCACCGTAGTCCTCAAGGTTGATTCAAGACCAACCTACAACAACTCCATACTCACCAGATCGAATATGGTTCCTCACTCTTCCAGAATAACGGCTCTAAGATTTGGGTGCACTACTAAAGTCCTGTGATCCAGAACGTCCCAACGGTCTGGGAGTATTCGTTGGTCTGACTGTTAGTTTGATGTGAAACTGACCGCGCAGGTCAAGCTGCCCGATTGCTGTGCTCAACCTTCCGCACTATTTGTCAATCTCTAATATCGTAGTTGGCATGGGTTTGAGAATGCTATCTATCCGTGGGACCCTGATGCGGATATGGCATTGATCCCAACAGATTGCGTCAGTACAGGTTTGCTGCATCATTATAAGAGTTTGTGTTCTAGTGTCTTGACTTGTCTTTACTTTCTAACAACCGTGTTCCTCACATCTTCCGCAATTATGCTTTTCTGTGGTTCCACAAGATTTCTGATATCTTAAATATGGTGACTACATACTTCTTCTCACAATTCTAATAGCATGTTTTTCCATGAATGAACCATTATATACACTTCTCGTATCCTGTATAGAATAGCGCTCGAGGTCCTTGCTTTGGTTTGTTCTTGTCCATAAATATCTCGAAACCTCGTATCCTCACTTCCGTCAACGTCCACGGGCCAGAGTATGTCGCGCATACTCCAACGTGGTGATCTTCCGTCACGGACAACATAACCAAATCTTTCCAATAACGAGGCTCGAAGGCAGCATCGTGGTATTGACACTATATTCACAATGCAACGGTCAACTCTGAGTGTAGTAACGAAACCGAGCAGCGGGAAGTGAAGGTGAACATCCCTGCCAGGCTCCTGATTGAGCCTTGACTTACCGCGTGGCCTGGGAAGCACACGTTTGTCCACCTCAAAACGCGACTTTCGTGGCTCGAATACCGCTGAAATCCGCCGTTCTTCTCCGCACCTGACCGAAGGCCGGCTGCTTGTTTCAGATAACAAAATATTGTGACCTCACAGTGACTTGCCAAGAGCTAGGTATATATCCTTAGATGTGTATCATACTTTGATCTCACGCGTTGATTACACACAACCCGCCACTCAGCTTATGGTACATCAGTCTTCAATACTCAACTCTCGCTACACAACGCACTGCCTTGTGAGTATTACCCAACAATGTCAATGTTGGCTTGTTTTGCTGACTAGAAAGACAACATGACGAGCAGGTCCGCAGTACGAGGGTCGAGCATCCCTTCAGCCACCATGAACGCAAGGCGGGACAATACATGGGTCTTTGGGAAAGAGGCCCCATCGGCCAATGTCAAGTTGCCTGCCAGTGGTCATGTCACCGCTGTGGAGATTTGCACATTTATACCCAACTGTCTTCGAAGCAGGGATGTGATAAGGCGAGTTGCAAACAACGGACTGAGCCCACAGATCATCTCAAACATGGTGAACTATCATCGAATGTGGCCCAAGTGGCCACTTCTACCGAACAGCCTTCGCATCACAACCCATAACATCATGCGCGAAGCATTCCAAGGATGGACCTTTCGGACACAGCAAGCTGCTTTGGATCCGACCTGGGACGCAGCTAGCACAACACTCGCCGGCTTCCGGACACGGTGTGAAGATCGTGGCGAGGATGATCTGCTCATTGAAAATATTCCTTTCCACCACCTTGCCACTTATGTATACAAAATGCCACAAGATGACGACGCTCGCGACTTAACTCGCTGCGTTGAGTACGCAATCCAGAACCCCCATGCAGGCTACCTCTGGCCGCAGGACTTCACTTCACTCACGCAACTCCTTGGAGGCCCACTGCCAATTCAACCCGAACATACAGATGCGGCTGCTGCTACGCGGTGGAGGCATGCACACGTTGACGGCACAATGCAAGATTTGAACGATCTGGACGGCTCTGACCACAAGCAGTCCGAGAATTTGTCGGATTCGGAAGACATTTGGGACTCGACCGAAGAGTGGGACGCAGAAGATGAGATCACCGGCGAGCAAGATCATGCGGAAATGAACAACTACGCCTCCGAAGATGGTACTGCTCACAATGCAGGTCACTCGCATTCTCATGACGAGGTTGAGGGGAAGCAAATGCCCAGCGACGACAACGCGCAATTCACCTCAGAGTGGCCTTCTCAGCAGCGTGGGGGTTCTGTTCGCACTCGCCCAGACTGCTCAAGTAAAGAAGTTATCAGTGCAAGTGGACTCTTCGATCCTCGGATGGAAGAGTTCACTGACCAGCCAAACAACTTCGAACACAATCCAGAACCAGACGTAGTCACTTCAGCGTATTATCTCGACATGGAATTTGACGACCATGGCATAATCTCGCAAGAACTGGATGGTGATTCCAACACTTCCGGAAGAGACTGCGATACGTGGGTGGGAACAAGCGACGATGAGTTCGATTCTTTTGATAGCCAATTAGACTTATCTCTCGACATTCCTCAGTCGTATATACCGATGTCACGCTTTCCAACAGAAGGTTGTTCCAGCTCTCCTCATTCTCCATTTGACTCCGACGATTTAAGGTCCTCGGGGCAAGCGACGCCCCTCACCCAATCTCCGCTGGAAATCGGTCTCGACGAGATCTTTGAAGAGGTTTTTAACTACGACCTCTACCAAAGCTCTATCTTCGGCCATAATTAGGCGACTACTCGGTATATGTTTCCTGTAGAACACATACGAAACAACTATCGCAAGATTCACTTGCAAGCGGGTCGACTTTGTGATACATCAACGACCTCCACAGCTTTCCATGTTGGAAGTATCCTTCTCTGCAATTTACGCAACATCCTCCTCGCTGTACAATTGCCATCAGAATCGGCGTATGTTATGGCTACGTATTCTCCCAAAGACCTCGTAGCCACTATATTTGAGACCACTAGAGAGCGTGGTACATATCTTTGGTGAAGGTTAATAACGTCTTCTAACCAAAGACTCACGATGCCCCATATCTCGGACAACATCACTATCTTGTCTCCCGCATCTCTAATGATCTGTCGCTAGTGCTTTGCTACAACCTTGGCGTTTTGCGTTACCGATACCCTTTTCTGGCCGAGAACTTGATTGGTTCCGCCTTTCTATCCACGCAATTAACGTAGTGACTCTATTGCGATTGATAGATACTCACAAAATCCAATATACAATCTACTTGATGTATCACCCCAAATCAACCATGTGGCAAGCTTGAACCATAGTTACTTTTGATCTGTGAGAACGTGGTATTTTGCCTTTTGTACCTACATGGTAGTTGTATTGCAGGCGGCAGTGATATAACATTTAGCTATTGACCAATCCGCCAATTGCAAGATTTGAGGGTCGCGGATTATGAGTAAAATTAACGCCATGGTTACAACCTTGAACTCCAAACTAGCCAAAATACTCATACAAATCGTTCATCTTATTTATACCCATACATTATACTACAACATCCCGAATACAAGTCCAACACCCGCTCCCAAACTCACGACGATCATTCCAATACCCGCCATCCCATTCCTCACGCCTGGAATATCCACTCTACCCGCCGAGCTCATGTTCATACCCGCCATACCTGCAAGCGCGGTGCCTGTTGTTGTGCTACTCATCGACATATCTGTACCCGTCATGACCGAGCCGTCGCTCATTGTCATGCCAGCTTCCGTAGAGCCGGATGTTGCGGGTGCAGTGTTTGGTGTAGTATCGGTTGGCGAGTTGTTCCACATCATGGTTACGACGGCAGCGCTTGAGGTTGCTGAAGCTACGGAGCCCACACTTGTGCCGGACGTGTTCACCGAAGTCTTAGTGGTCTCGGATGAAGAAGATTGCGCGATGGCGAAGGGCGCGAGAACCACTAGAGTGAGAGTATTCATCGTGGCGAGGGCTTTGAGGTGCATGGTTGTGGTATATTTCTTTTGGATCTTGGAGGGGTTGGGATTGGTGGGCGTAGAAGTGTTTGTGACTTATACGAAAATAAGGTATCTTTAGTGAGGCAGGCTCGAGATGTGATATTTGTGACAAATGATATTAATGAGAAGTCAGTCGTCCCATCCAAACGCAAAGGGCTATACTGCTGTTTATAAGCAGGATGCTCAACACTGCGTTGCGCTAGATGTCTAGGATGGCATTTGTTCCAGATGAGCATTCGCGACACGAACGAATCCGGATCGGAACCTTCCTATTGACTATGACTTCGCTCTTCAGCAACATGACCTAACAATTGTTGTTGTAGGCTCAACAAAGCATGAGATTTGCAGGCTGATCCCAGAATCGATGTAACTAATTGTTGGAGGATCGTCGGAGATTGGTTTCGGACGTTTTGGAAGAAGACGGCGGGTAGTGCACAGGCTAATGCTCAAAACAGGAAGGCGCAAAGTTGAGTCAGCATCATCTCATCGTCCTTTGTTTCATCATTAACCACACTCAAATCATCACTTCTTGATTCGGCCCTGGCGCGAATGTGGTGGTTTCCATCAGAAATCTTGTGAATTCTTTCTATACATAATTACAGGATTAGGTTGCCGTCGGTGTTGGTTCAAAACGCCTTTGCGCCGCCAGCCAAGACGTCACTCGCCTTGCGTTTCCATCAGGTGATCAAGCAGCTCGTCTGACGCCCACATCTGCTCTTTTCGAATTTGTGCAATCATTTCCATGTGTTCAGAACTCTCGTTCCACCCAACTGTCCGATAGGTGTGCAGGAAGCAAGCTTTTTGTTCAAACATCCACCTTAGGTTCTCCGCCCAACCACTAACATCTCCCGAATCAGGTAGTCTCATGCGGTGCAACATTCGGTACGGCGGCAAGGTGCGATGGCTCCCAAAAGCGTATGCGCTGAACAGGTCGGTCTCCCCCACCCAGCCTTCTGTAAGGAAGATCGATTCGATCGCTACGTCGGGTGGTTCTGGGGTATCATGTGGCGGTTCCACGTGCAGGGGTGGTTGGCGTATGTATATCTTGCTGCCCACGGCCTCATCTTCGATATTCATCGTATCTGAATCACCCGATCCGTATGCTGTGGCTCTCAATTTTCCTGTCCTTCTCGTTTTGATTTGCCTCACTAGCCTCGGTGTACTTCCTCTCGCTGGTGTGTCTTCTGTCATGCCCGTGTTTCCTCTTACACTGCCCGCTCTCTTTCTCTTCTGCTCCGTCTTTGCATCTGTCACTACCGCGATCGTATCTACGGATGCGCTTGCAGCTTTCGGGCGTGGAGGCGGTGGTGTTATTCTTTCCCATCGTCCGAAAGCCGCTCGATCGGTGTGTCCATTGTGTGTTTGCGCCGGGCCACCTATCAGGTCTAACAACTCGACGTAGTCCTTTGGGTACCTCCATTTTTCGTTAGGATTTTGTATGCAATAGCGTACCATACGTGTGAGATCTAGCGCATCCTCGCCTTCCGGCATTCTCCTCACTCCCAACGCTAGGTCCCCGAAAGACACGTCATTTGCTGGTCGATGTCCTCTATTAAGCTGATCCGGCGCTTGCAAGCCAGACACATCCAAGTTTTGCTCATCCCACGTCGCTCTCTTCGCAGCGTGCCACTTGTCATGAATCTTTATCGTCCAGTCCTCATAACCTGCACCCCTCATCGCTTTGTATATCTGTACCCCGCAGCTGTTCGCATTCCATTCTACTTCCAGGTCGCGTTGCGTGTTGACAATGGCCCAGAAAACGTGTCTCGTCCCGCCGTTGGACACGAACCGGTATATGACGTCGGAGCATTTGATGCAGTTGGGGAGGAACGTGAGGAGCTCGATAGCAGTGAGATTCGCATACGCTGGCGGGAAGGGTAGGTTTTTGGGAGGTGCATTGAGTCCAAAGCTACGAGTGTTGATAGGTCTGCGCTCTTTGGGTTTTGACGTCGCATCCGTCATGTTCAGGAGAGGTGAAGAGCATGGATCTGGTGCCATGCTGGGTGCATGCGTGGGGTGGATATATGAAGTCACTGGATCGAAGGAGAAGAACGACATCTTATGGAACCTTTAGGAAACCTTGACTTGGAAAACATATGAGATCCGCATTCACCCCGTCGAAGTCGCTAGTGTGTCCACAATGCTCGCAGAATAAGCATGTGTGATCTGGTGGGTGCCTTGCGATTCTACGCACTGTTTGGGTTTCCCGCAATAACAACAAAGCCGCCGCAACGCTTGGTCCGGGCGCGTCTTTCCCACTTGCACACACTTTCGCTTTCGCTGTCACATCAACATTCGACGTCAAAGCTGATTTTGGGTTCTGGCACTGCGGCGTTGGAAACGAGGCTTTTTGGAATTCGGGTCTCATTTCACGGGGAACATTGCAAGCTGCGTTTCATTCACTGTGAAGGTCAGTCGCTCCATATGCCTTGACTGCCCTTGAATGTCCTGCTTATTGATAACATCGTGCCGTTTCATGTACTGACGGGCGAAGACGTCAATCATGGCACCACTTCCTAGGAACAACGCTTTTGGTGCGGGTAGTCCTAGTTGGAACCTCTCGTTCCCATCTGGTAATATGACGGCGGCAGAGATTTTAGCCTACCTCCCTCACTGGCTTAAGTCTGTCGACATCATTGATCGTTTCGTCACCAACGGTGGTGCCTCTCGTACTATTGCTGCCATGATCAATGAGTTTCGGCATCAGCCCACTGGCCCAGATGCTGTGTTTCTCCCGAACTCGGCGCAGATCATGATGTCCTATGCTATGCGCCGGGCAGGCTACGACGAGTGGACGGTGGGTACGCACGGAAACTGGGATCGCGAGAGTGAAAATGACCCAGAGGATTTAAGTGTGACAAACTTTAGGCCTCAGCGTCTCACTCACCCAAAGAAGGTGTCGAACAAGAACCCAAAGGACATTCTACGCAACAAAGAGGCGGATCCAATTCCATTCAAGGACCTGGCCCATCATGTTAAGCAGCACCCTTCAGGTCCCGACGCACTTGACCTTACTCGCTGCGTACGTTACGCTCTCGCTTACCCGCACGAACAATTGTTCTTTCCTACGGACTTCGAGCGCCTGGTGAATGAGCTTGGCGGCCCGCAAACGCCCACTCACTCTCACCTAGACAGACAGGTGTTCGCTCGTCGCAGTGACTGCCAGTTCCCGTCTCCAGTCAAGTCAACAACACGAAAGCTCAACAGAACCTCCCAAGGCAAGAAGACACCTCTCAGTAAAGTTATGAGTTTGGCTCGAGGTGGTACGACGGCTGATCCAGCAACGCCTGGTACCGTCACTCCGAGTAAACACGCTCTCGATGTTGCGGATCAGACTCAAAATGGCAATAAGAGAAGGAGCGGCAGACTCGTGGGTAAGGTGTTCAACATGCGCGAGGGATCAGATGATCCAGATGCCACGGTACGCCTCTATGTTGGCCCAGATATGACGCTTCAACGTACTGATAATAGATACTTTAGGACAAAGACAACTGGGACTCCCCATACTCAACCCATGCATCTTCCATAAAGAAAAGAAAAGTTTCACGTGTTCCACCTACGCCTGGCTCGCCTGCCAATGACAGTGACTTTGTCCTGCACGAGGCGTCCGAATCTGAGGACGAAGTTGCAGAAGCTGAAGCTGTCATGGACGACGTTGCAAACTCGCCGATACCCGCTCGTGGTCGCATCGCTGCTCGCAAGGCCCGCCAGAAAATCCATACGCTCGCAACTACCCCAAGAGTCCCAACCCCAGTGAATCCTAAGTCTCATTTCAAGACTGCTACTGAGCCCAGCGCAGAGATGATGCATGAAGCCCGTCAGTTCGCCTACAGACAGCCGATCTTCCTCAAGCCCCCCATCCTTTCTGAGAACCGTCTCAAAGTTGACGCATCAAGCATCTGGCTCTACGCCGCAGATGGCTGCACCACTTTCGAAGAACTTTGGGCCTCCGCTCTATCGTCGACTCGCTTTGGTGGTCCGCGCCGTCACGCCCCGTTCCGCGAGCTTCATCGTCTTACAGACCCGCATCCACACGATGTGAGTGATTGGGCAGAGAACATCCGCTGGGCAAAGGAGCAGTACAAGTGCTTTGGCAGCGTGACGTGGACTGAGTATGACTATCACCTGGAGTGTATCAAGGAACATCGTCGGGCCGTGATGTGGGTCAGCGAGAATGTCATCAGGTTTGGCATGTAAGTTGGGACAAAGTTTAGAGGATGGAAGAGACATGAAGCCCTCGGCGGTTTAGTTTGCTGCCCTGGATCCTCCCATCGTGCCATTGAATAGCACGGCTCTGGGGGTATTGGTCACTACAACATCAGTCTGCACCTTTTCTCATGGCGTTGTTTCTCGAGAGACCGCCGAACTACCTATGGCATCTAATAGTGAGCATGAGAAAGCAATATCTAAATATGACCGTGCTCTTCCGAACTAAAATCCGATCATCATTGTATTCCATATTTGGGCCGTTTATGTCGTTGTTCTACAGCTTCCAAATTTCGAGCTTTGGCAAGTTGTGATATGAGATAGGTCAAGTCGTTTCTGGAGCATGAATCACGTGACTCTGCAGTGAATGGCCAGGGTTGATGTCAAGATTACCCACATACCTTCTGGTTTACATTTTATTCGGAAAAGAAAAACGTGTTTTAACAACTAATGCATTATACGCTGACGTTTCTCATCACGCGTGACGTCATAGTCCAACGATCTTGGACGCGGCGTGCAGATCAGCAAGACGCGACATGGTCTCCCACGACCTCTACCTTCATCGCTGACTTTCACCACCACATTTCACCTACAAGAGTACAAAAATGTACGGAACACCCATATTTGCGACCGACCTCAGCGAACTCGAAGAGACGACGCCACATCTGCCGGTGGGCTTTGATATTCGATCTTCTCTGCGTTCGGCTATTGCCCAGGTACATGTGCCCAGTACACCAGATGTGGTGCATACCACACATCCTGACGTTCAGGGGTTGATTTCTGTACTCCAAAAATGGAAGCGCGAGTTGAAAAAACCTAAGCCAACACCCACGTACCTCGCCTTTGTGTTAGACGAGTCATACGGCGATGAGCCACGCCTTACAGTGGATGATCCCGGTACCGGCGAGGATTTTCGATTATGCGACCTCAGGGGCTTGGCATCGTACCAGACGCGTGCTTTGCAAGAAGCTTGTGATGCAACGGGTAGCACGTTGTATCTCTCAGAACTGGTTCGCACCATCGAGGAAGAGGAGGAATATGAGGGAGATGACATGGATTATTGTGATGAGTATGCGTTCGAGGAGCGTGATGTATATCACGTTCGTGTTCCTGCCTATGAATTGACTGGTACGCGCGATCTAGAGGGTGCGGAAGTCACCCCGTTGTTATCTATCACTGTCGAAGATCTGGTACAAAACGACTACTTCAGTGAAGAGTATTACGGACCGGAAGATGACGGAACAGTAGATGTTATTATCATAGCTCCTGACCGACCGGCTCTCATGGAAACGTTCCTTGGCACGGGCATGAACCACAATAAAGAAGTGTTGTCTTATTTGCATCAAAAAATGCAGGATAAGCCTTCCGATCCAGCCTATCGTGTTGACTTAGTCACACTGTGCGAAAAGGTGATCGAAAAACAGGAAATGAGCATGCGCAGCAACCAGAGCAAGTCCAGCACTTACATCTCACTCTACGGGCCCATCCGCTCTGTTATCAAGCTATGTGCCGAGTTGGGAGAGATAGAGCTGCTCCAAAGAGCTCTGTTGTGCTTCGAAGCAGGTGCTCCCAAGGATCTATTCACGGAACTAGGGCAAATGCTGGGGATTGTACCGTTCGACGTAATGGTCGAGGGGTAGGTGGTCATTATGTACGTTGGATTATGACATTAACGGCTACAGTCTACAAACTTGCATCGATCCCATAAAGTCTTTCGAAGGTAGATTCGAAGCCATGAGACAACTTTTTGGGACGGACTTCGAGAGTAAAGAAGCTATGGAGAAGAGAATGAATACTAGTCTCGGCCAATGGTTCGTCTCGAAGATGGAAGAGTTGCTTACACCCAAGAAGATTCTGGTGAAGTCTGCGCGTATGCCCTTGATGCGTTTCGCCGAACTCCACGATGTTGACACATACATACTAGAAAGGTGAGCATCGCTTGTTGGATCATTGTGTGCTCTTCTCACAATGACAGGATCTGCCCTCTACTCGAGAAGTCGTCCGACATGTCACCCTTTGTCATCTCGTTCTTGAACTTCATTGGAAAGGCCAATCTGATTCGAGATTCGACTGTCGCCACCGTCTTCAGGAGAGTAGTGCCAATCCTGACGGAACATTTCAATTTAGCACTCTGGATGAGAAATGCATTCTACGACTACGGAGACAAATCGATACATCTGTACACCTTGAAGTCGTACGCCTCCCAAAGACAATTAGCTCCAATTGATGGGAGGGATCTTGGAGAGTTTCTAGACGCTTGTTTCACCTTCGGGTTGCACGCTGAAGTAGGGTTGATTCTCGAAAAACTTGTAACCGAGAGTCAATCTTTTGATCGTCCAATGCTCGAGGCGGTCACCCTTGCCTGTCTGGCACGTCTCATATTCGCACTCGTGCAACACCATATATTCCTTGGATCTTCGGAATACTCACACCTCTATCAGCATATACTGGGCGACTATGTCGATGCACATGTGGGCGTGGAGCCAGCAAAGCCCAGTAAGAGTTGGATACGCCGCCCAGTAACATGCAGCTACCCACAACAATGCAGCGACTGCAATGAACTCAATCAGTTTCTCCGAAACCCAAATGAGTCTGTGTGGGAGTGGCAACTATTCAAGACGCGACATAGGCATATCGAACAAGGTTTAAGATATGGAAAATCCGACTGCAATGTCCGAACTGCACGGAAGGGAGTGAACGGCCCATATGTTGTTGTTCTCACAAAATCAACCGACTCTTACGATTCTGCTTTTAGTGCTTGGGACAGGAAAAGAAAACATGCTCGGAGTGTTCTAGCGACATTCGACAAAGACGCATTGAAATCCTTGCTGGGAGAACGCTTTGAAGAGATAGTACAATTGAAAGCACGGGAGCCCTTGAATGATCACGGACCTGCTCCACGAATATCCTCGAGACCTGCCGGACTGATGAACCTCCAAAACCAGCCTCATCCGGTGCCGCCACTACACTCGATCCGTGGCAATGTCATTTGGCCAAGTGCATCACCTACATCCAGTTCCCAAGTACAATCGCTGAAACGGAATCAATCAGTTTCAAACATCGTTGATCTTACAGAAGATGATCCACCATCCCCGAAGAGGATTCGCGGGGAGAACGAGCGATACTAATTGAGACGGTCGTTCTTATATCCATTTTTCTAATCTCGCTTCCAACTCAATATGATCAGGTACTAGCAATAGTAATCGTTTGTTAGATTTGTACTGCTAGAGCTCTTCTGCTACCTAGGCCTGTACGCACTGTTGATATTGTTATTCGCGCTACCTATATCGAGGCGAAGACAACACAGCCAATTTCTCGACATGGGGACCGCAACCAACCGTCTTATGATGAAGACACCTACTACACCTACTCTCCTTTAACAAAGTGCTAAAACACTTACGTAGTTTCGAGTCTCTAATCGATGTATTCGGAATGTTCGGAGTCGCTTGAGTAGCCTGATTTGGGCTCATCTAATCCGTCCATCTCGACGTCTGAATAAATGTTATCATCGTCGGTCCTGTCCGTGTTTGAGCCGTCATTTAAATATTCTAAGTCAGTGCCACTGGTGTCACTAGTTTCCTCGGATTCTGATCCGTCATCCACGAAGCCTTCCTCGATCTCTGCGTCAGAATTTTGTTGTGTATCGTCATCAGATTCCTCTCCAGATGGAACCCCCGTTTTGTAATCAGACTTACTTGTAGTCTCGGGGTCAGTCCCGGTCTCCTCGTCAACCACCTCCTCTTGAAGATGTCTGTCATCGTTGGCTAACCAACGCTCGTCAAGGCTGATGCCATGAACTCGGTTATAAATACGATAAATGCTCGGTCGTGTGAAGCTTCTAGCCGATACGACTTCATCACTGGCCGGACCGAAACCAATATAACGCACATGGTACCACAACTCGCCGTCGTCTTCATCAATCTGGTGACCTACCACACACTTGATAGGCCAGTCGTCAACCCAGTGACCGTCGGCGTTCTTGAACTTCTCCGGGGTACGCAGGTGCTTTGGACGAAACTCGCCGTGTGTCCAGCTGTTTGTCACGAAACCATCCTCTTCGTCCCATTGCCGACAGACCTTACGGATAACGGTCGTGAGCCATGGTTCGTCGCTCCAACATGGCACAAGTACTCCCGTCCCATGATACTCCTCTTCAACTTCTGCAGTATCGATATCACTACCACGGAGGGGATCGAGTAGCTCTGCCAAATCATTGTGCCTGTGGTACTGGCCGTCATAATCTGAGCAGGCCTTTCGCATGTACGCCAGGATCTTGCGCTTGATGACGCCTGGAATCCTGAACGCTCTGCTCTCGTCTTCAAGCTCAGCAAGTTCTTGCTTGATATCGCGCCACATGTCTCGACATACGACCACCACTCGCTTATCGGGCCCGACAGGAAGTTGCAGATCTGGCGGTGGAGGCCGATGAGTGCCTTCCCATTCACGGCATGCCAAACAGTTTTTAATGTTGAGTGCAAGAGTAGGACAGCGATACATACACATAAGAGAGGTCTTACGCCATGCTTCAAAGCAGTCTGAACAGATAGCATGCCCGCAGGCCTGAATCAGCGGCATGACGCGTCTTTTGGTACTCTCATGCTTACTGAACCACTTCTGCGAGCAAATCGGACATGTCGGATCGGCGGCTGGAGGCAGCATGCTCGCTTTTTTCACCTCTGTGACGGTATGTTGACAGTCCACCTGTCCTGGGATATACCTACGGCCTAGCAATTTAGATGGCTTCGTCATGGAGTTGGTATGAGGTCTCGGGTGCGGTAGGTATGCGACTGGACTTTGTCCACGGGTGGTTCGAAATCGTTTGAAGTCGTTCGGGATGGGATATCGGTGTTGCTTGACGACGAACCGATTCCAGCCGAGCTGGGAATTCTTTATGACAGTGAGGGTGCGACCATCCCGTGAATGGAGCAGGCCGCTTGGCGTGTGCTCCAGTGGCAGATCTGGGGCGGACTCTCAGTGACGTGCCTATCGCCCCTCTAAGTACTTACAATGCTGATATAAGTCTACACAGAGCAACTCACAATGCAAGCGAAGGATTACACGTGGTTTTATAGCATGTGAATCACGTCTTGTCACGTGTCGGGGGCGAATCGATGGTATTCAAAGCATCGATCCTCAGACCATGATGCCGTTTCGTTTCATTTCACTACATCTTACATAGACATAATCAGGTTCACCTCGTTGGTCTCGTTGCGAGCATTCTCATTTTTAGAAAGTCTCAACTTCACGGGTTTGTTGCAGGAGTCAATTGTGTCTACTGCAAATATTGTCAACTCAACTTCGACACAAAATTTGATTGAAATTTCATCTAAGTTTACATGATGCTGTTGCTCCTCATGCAACATCGTTGGACGCATCGCTTTCATTCAAGAATAGCGCACAAAACCCTGCCCACTTGTACAAGATGTCTGCGACCCACGCTAAACATTGAAACAATTTGCAGATAAGGAAGATACCCGCCAACTTGTATAACGCTACATGTCGCCTGCTCACCTTCACCCTTCAGTCATGCATCGGAAGTCCCTGCTCTTGCCGACGTAAGCCTTCTTCCAGCTTTCTTAGTGCTTGGTTCACGTGGCTGTTGCTTTTCTTCAGACTCTTGGCCTGGCGCTTAGCCTTTTCCCGCAGGTAGGATTGGGCCCTGCTAACTTCTCCGACTTCCGCATCGGGACCTGCACGAATCTGCGCATCTTCTTGATTTACCCACCATTGGGGTTCAGCAATGACAGCGTAAGGGTAACCGGTAGGTACTGGCAGGGGTTGTACCCCGAGAGTATAGCACTCTTCAGATGGTGCACTCCAGACGAGGCGCGCGACACCTTCTTCGGCTGCACTTCGAAGTGACTGACAGACTTCAGAAGGAGGGTCAGTGATTGGGACGTAGAAGTTTGAGGTTATAGCCGGTAGGTCTCCTTTCTGAAGACAAGCACGGCTGTACTCAATGCAATACTGGATTCTCTCGGTGACATCCGCGTGCGTATACTTTTCGACTGAGTTTTGTCTCTTAAAGGACTTGAAACCCTTTTGAACGTCTTCAAGGGCACTCGGTTCACTCCCGTTGCTTGATGAACCAGAATCATACACTTCCATGTTATCATCTCGAAGCAGAACACTGTTGGATGTTTCGTGTTGGCCATCTAAGAAATTCTGAGAGGGATCATCGACATCGTTCACACCAACCATGTCGCTAGTCCTTATATCTGACATCTCTGAGTCGCTCATATCGTTCTCATCAGGCACAGGGGCGAGAGAAGATCTTGATTTGATCGGAAGAGTCGGGGCTTGGAGAGGGGCTGGGCGTACTTCTTCATCTACCGCGTTGAGATTTGATAGAAAGAGCGGACTGCTCACCCCAGTACTTTCGTGGAGGGCTTTATGCGCTTCGTGCCTGGACCGAGACCGGATATGGATCGGGAGAGTTGGAGCAGGGAGTAATTTGGCAGGTCGATTCATTGTTGATGATAAGTTGTGACCAGAAATCTGAGATTGACGATGTTGAGTTCGATGATCGTGGAGTTGAGAGTAGAAAATTACAAAGGGTTACTGAACATAGAGCATACAATGGACGAAAACTGATTTATACTTTCCCAGCATAACCAGCCATAGAGTGAGAGGGCGGAGGTCAAAGCCACAGAGATGACCCAGTGAACAGGACGTCCCATAGTCCAAACTGTCATTTCACTGTAGCAAGGACATCAAGATGTACTTAGCAGGCTCATCGTGCGGAGTTGTTGTCAGATTGCGAGCGGGCCTAAGCAACACTAGAGCTACACAGGTTCCAGGTAAGCACCATCGTGACCGATTATGCATACTGAATATTCCTGGTCTCAAGTATCTTGAACTTTATGACATTCTTCTCCCTGGCAAGACAGTTACTTACTTATTTCTCTTTTGACCTTGCACTGCGTTGTTTGGTTGCAAGTCATCACAGGCTTTATTTGCAAGATCTTGTTGACAGCTTAAAGGTGATTCACTTGCGTTGTTTCATATCTCGTCTTTGTTTGTAGACTACAAATGTACTCCGTGACCCGACGTCAAGATTCTGAGAAGTATCCTACTCGTAAAAACCCCAAAACTTTAAACTGTAAGATATTCGGTGTATTAGTGCCTGTCAACAACTCACTTGATACGAATCCTCCATTCTCTCAATCATGTCGATCAACACTCACGTGACATATCTCCTGGTCAAAGATGAGAGCGCTACCCCATCCTTCGGTAGAGACTTCACCACTCCAGCGACTCTAGCCCCCCTGACATTAACGATTGCTGCGACCATATCACCTCGCTTGATGACAGGCTCAGACATACAGTCTACCCTGATCACTATGCCTTCTTCGGCAATTTCAACCATCACAACTGATGTTACATCAACTCCCACTTCAGCTGTGGACGTAGAGAAAGGTTCTGTCGACTTTGGCAAGATTGCTGGGATAACAGCAGGTGGAATTTTCGGGGCGATCTGTCTGTGTCTGGTGTTCTACTGGCTCTATGCTCAAAGTCGTGGAATCAAAGTTTGCAACTGCTTCAGCTCGTTCACCTGCTTTGGTCGCTGGAGTCAAACGGAGGAGGCGGAGAAGCCCAAAGTCGATAATAGCAGTCACTGAAAGTTAGGGCTGATAGACTTCAAGCCTGAGGTTGAGTGGATTGCCAGCACAACGCAGATCGCGACTCTAGCAAGAAAAGAAGGCCGCAAGGGTTAGATAGGCAAAGAAAAGGTGGCTCTCCGAGTTTTCATAGGCATAGTGGAAAGATATGAAGTCCATACTTTTGTCGCCATGTCCGTTCTTCGGAATCATCCTGGAGCAACTGGTCTCTGCTGCTTCTAATGCAGATAACTTATTCTCAAATTTCACAGAAAGATATTTACTGGTATTTCAGCTCCTCGAGATCGAGCCACGAGTCCTTGACAAAAGCCCTAATATTCCGTCTTCACTGTTTTTTCTGCATTGTATTTGCGTTATTCAAAAGTCACTGTGAAACAGCAATGTATTGCAGCGTATGAAGACAGCACACCATGTCTGTTGATTGTATATGATTACCATGACACGCCTTTGATATCATCTAAAGTATAGCTTGCAACTCTATCGTCGGATTTTCTCACTCGTGTTTGGTGTTATCAACAATGTCTCAGGTTGATGTCTCACATTTCAATTGGCCGACAAATCTACACGATGTATCCCTTGAGTCAAGTCGGCCGACCTCACACGTTTGCATCCGTCACTCATCCATCCCAACACCTGGTTCCTCATCTTCTTCATTTATACCACCCTTCTTGCATGGATCCATTACTGATACTCACCGAACAAATCCCACAGAAACGACTTCGGAACAGCAAAGTACTTCAAGCCAGTACCTCACTCGACCACCAACTTCAACTATAACTAGCGTGTCCTCTAAACCTTCACGCTCAAAAACCTGGACGATTCCAGATATCACTGTGTCGCTGGTCCTGCTACCTCAACCGTCCTCGCAACGGCCTCCAGGACGAGTCGTCCCCGGGGATACATCCGATGCAACGTTTTCCATGTCTCAGGGCCAATTTGTTGCACTGACTACTCTAGGCCCGATCCTTGGTGTCCTGATCATTGCTCTCTTCTTCTGCCTTTGTGTATTTCTACAGCGCAGGCGTCGCAAAAAGCGCACAGACGCAGAGAAGGGCGGTACGGATGACGTCTTAAAGCGCGTTCAACGACGTAGACTTCAGCGGAACCGCGAAAGTCTGGCTGCTCAAGCCGCCTCGTTAGAACAACCTCTCGATGGGACACCCCCGACAAGGACTTTCCCCAACATTGACTCCAGTAAAAGATTTGATCGAAACGATGACGAGTCTTCGGCAGGGAGTAGTACTCTTCGTGAAAACCCGGTCGTTCGACCTAACAGCCCTACGATCGATGTGGATGAAGTTCAGAGTCCATCAGATCTAAGACATCCACTATGTGAAAAGAAAAATCAGCCATATGTCTCGGAAGAGAACGAAGAGAAGCGACACAGTAGTAAGACACACTCAACCTCATCATCAAGTAGTTTTGCTCACCCCACACCTCATGCCATCACAACGGATTATGCTCAAACTTCACCGCCAGACAGTCTGTAGGCAGATCCTCCACCAGCACGAAGGCCACAAAGGTAGACTATCATTTCAAACCACTTCGTGCCTTCTTTTGGTCGTGATGTATTGCTCCATTCTGTTCGCTGGCCAAACTCTGAGACACGCCATATATACTCTCTTGTCCTACTTTGCATTGTAATTGCCATCCCGAAAAAATCTAAGACTCATCGTTATCACCTATACAACCGTTCTCACGTAAAAGTTTCACATTAAAATTGAATCATTTAAATCCTTTCTACTTCTTTGTTTCAACACATATATAACTATAACTATTCTCTATACAGACTCCCAACACTGCGCCAAAATCCAATTTCCAACCTCTACACCCTGCAAGATGCCACCTCTCTCTCTACCACCCCGCTCCGATAGTCCCGAGACCACCTCAGGAGCGGTCCGAATCGGCCGACTGCCTCTAGTATGGTTCATCGGCATCGTTTTCTTCGGGCCCTCAATCCTCGAATTGTGTCTTTATGTGTACCAGAATTGTCGAAGAATTGTAGCGGCATGGAAAGCTTGATGCGAGAAAGCCCCATCTACGTATGCCCAGATGCGGCCGGATGGTAGAGGGAAGATGGGGAAATAGAAGGTGGGTGACTGGTCAATATAAGTTAGGCGGCTTTCTTGGGTAGTGGTGGAAAAAGATGTAGAATTCGGGATAAGAGCGGTGAAGGAGTGGAAGCGTTGCTGTATGGCGGAAATTCTTTGATAGAGAGGTCGAGGACGGAACGCATTGACGTAGTGAGGTTGTTACAATAATATCCTCATAAAACATCCTATCCCGTGGCTTAGTGAACTCACAATGTCTTACAGTATATTACAATACTACGCCGAGTACATATACGCCATCCTACTTACCCTCAGTCTCCAAATCCCCACCAACGCTCTCTACCAAGATGCTATCCTTCAACCCCTCCATCCTATCCACGCCGTCCTTCCCGCCACCTTCCCCATCCTCCCTACCCCTTCAACCCTCGACCCACAAAGTCCCTAACCCAACAGTCCCAGCAACTACTACATCACCATCCTCAGAAACGTTGTATACCCTACCCAACAAGTCCAACCATAAGCCAAGTTCCATCTCAGACTCAAGCTCTCCCACCATCTCCCCCCAAACCCCTATATCTCTCATCACACTAATAACCACACCACCCCTCCCTGCCCTGCAAATCTTACAAACCCCGCACCCCGCCCAAGCAGGAACGTCTCTCTCCCCTATTACAATTTTTGGTATTGTAGCTGGTGTGATGTTTCTGTTCTGCGGATTAGGGGGGTTTGTTGTGTATGCGCTTGTTGTGCTGCCTAGAAGGAGGAAGGAAAAGGTTAGAAAGAAGAGGGGAGAAAGAGCTAATAGGTAGGAGGAGGTTAGAGAAGTGTAGAAAGGATTAGTAAGAGAAAGTAGCTTTAGAGGAAGAATTACGGAAACTTTTATTACACTAGTAGAAAGAAAGAAGAGAAGTAAGTTAGCAAGCTTGCTTAGAAAGAAACTAAAAAAGAAAAAAAGAAAAACAAATATTTTAGCTAGTAAAATACCTTCCTTCTCTGCTATCTTCTTATGTGCAGGCTAGAAGACAAAGACCTAGAGATACTATTAGTAGGATATCTAGAAAGAGGTATATCTAATATACTAGAACTTAGACTTACGCTATAGTAGACTTCTAGAACTTTTCTTTTCCTACGCTTATAGTAGTCTGTGCCTATAAGAGAGGTAGAAGGCGTAGCATACTAGAGCACGTAAGTAGATTTCCTTCTGTCTTATATAGTAGAGTAAAAGACTTAACATACATATTTCTAGTCCTCTCTGTCTGAAGGTGATGGCGCGTCTAAGCGCCGGGAGCGCGACTGCGATCGCACACGCTTGATATTTCGCCCTCTCTTGCGCGGTTCTGTCGTGATAACTGGAGGTTGGAGTTGATCCTGCGATGATCTGACATGGTATTGATTCCTAATCTCCTGCATTGCAGCGGTCCATTCTTGTAGTTCTGCATCAGGCTTGTCAAGAATTTCTTCCTGTGTATCCTCTTGTTCATTGTGGGCGACAGGAGGAGCTATTCTGTGTTGCTGTTCTTTCAAGCCACGTATCTTGATCTCCAAGTTCTTAGTCTTTTCACTGAGCCTGGCCATGTAAGCGACGATTTCGCTTACTTTCACCTGTCCTGCTTGTCTGGCACTAAGAGTTTCACTACGTCTTCTAGAACCTATGCCTTGTGTTAGTATGCGTATACTTCCTTGCTCCTTACGTAGAGTAGACTTACGTAAGCGTAGAGGGAGAGAGTCTATTATAATTAGCTACACTTCTGTACAGAGATAGATAGTAGGTGCATACCATCTTCTTCTTCTTCCTCTGAAGCAAGGATAACTCGCTGTCGCTTGCGTGGCTTCTGGTCAGCCTTGTGGGCATGTTGACGGCGTGTCTTTGGCTTTGCTGCTACTTTCTGTTGAGGTGTGGTGTTTGCATTGTTGCCATTGTTCTGGATATCCTCTTCGTTATCTGAGGATACAACAATATACTCTACAGTGTGAGGTTCGGTGGCAGTTTTGTTCAGCATGTCTGCATGCCTGGCTGCCGCAGTGAGAGTATCAGGCGGAGGAAGACGTGCTCTTGTCTTGGGTGTTTGTTTCTTGGGCTTCGGGCCGGTGGTAGGATGGCTGGGAGTCTTTGGAGCCATCGTGATAATGTAGTGTAGACGATTGAGAGAAGTGATGTGCGTTCAGACAAGGTTGTGTCAGAGGATAAGGAGGATAATAGGATAGAAGGGTGGATGATCAAGAAGGTAGAGAGGTTGGAGACAGGTAGTGAGCTTGTAAGCAGCAGCTCCCACCCCCTCTCTACCAAGGTAAGAGAAAGAGAAAAGGCGGTGTCAAACACTGCTACCTTTACCCAACCAACCCCGCAGTCTCAGCAGCAAACGGGCAAGTAAGGGAGATCCCCGGGCCAAGTAGCGGTGACGACGGTGATAAGGTGTTCGAGAGGATGTTGGTATACATCTACCTATGTGTCCCTGGCATATCTTTCCAGAACATACTCCCGGAGCGTACTACCTGAACATACTCCTTGAACATACTCTGTGAACACACTCCTAAAGCATACTACTTGAACATACTCCGTGAACATCCTCCGTGAACATACTCCCCACAACCTCCATTCCCACGCACCCACCCACCCCCACAGAGCGAACAACGCAACCTCACGCACAAACGCCGCAGACACACTTGAACGCAACCCGCACAAACGCTGCAGACGCATCAAAACAAACCACGGGACTATGCGCAGAATGTCCGAACGAGTTACTATCTATCCGTATCAGCGTTTATCACAGCAACCATATTAAAACCACCAAGAGCATCCAATTCAGAAAAAACATCCTTATAACTCTATCCACCTCCAATCAAGAACCCTTTTACATCTCCTATCTACCCCCATACCGCCACACAACCCCTCATATCTACATCCCGCACACTACCCTACCCCCTCGCCCTAGCCCTCGCCCTCCCCTTCCTCCCCCCCAAAACCTCAGTCCCAGTACCAGCATCAAACCCACACCGCGACCGCATCCCAACCCCCAAACCCTCCCCATCCTCCCCATCACAACCCCCCATCTCCACATCCCCATCGCTCCCCCCTCCACCAACATAGAACTCCCCATCCGGATCCCGAAAAACAACCTCATCACCCACCACGAACTCCCTATCACTGCTCGTTTCGCGCAAGTACGTATCGGCTTGCGTAGCTCGCTTGACGCGGATATTCGCGCATGCGCGTGCGACGTGTGGAGGGAGTCGGGTCTTGAACGAAGACAAAGAGCGTTTATTTACTTTCTTGGTGGACTTGGGCGTCCGGCCGACTATTTTTGTTCTGGGTTTCTTTTTCGACTTTCGCGTTTCTGGGGGCGGGGTGAGTGGCGCATCGTCTGCGTCGTGGAAGAAATCTGGGTCTGAGAAGTCGATTTTTATCATTGGTTCGTCGGCGTCGTCGGCGTCTAGCGCGGGATATCTGTTGGTAGAAGGTTTTGGGGTGTGGGTAGTAGAGGGTGTTGGTGTTGGGATAGGTGGGCCGAGGCTTGCGCGAGATGTGAGTTCTTGCAGTGTTTGTTGGAAGTTTTCGTTCTTTTCGAGGAGGAGGTGGTATATGTCGCATATGGGTATGGAGGGTGCTACGGCTGTGAGTCGGGAGATCTTGTTGCGGAGAGTGGGGTCTTGGATGTCTGATAGGACGAGGTCTTGTTGGGATTGTGTGGCAGGGTCGTGTGCGTGTGTGCTCTGCTCAGTAGTGTCTGGACTTCCATCGTTCGGCACGATGTCGTGCGAGTTTGGAGTAGTGTTCGTTTTTCCCAACGTTTGCTCCGCACTGTGTCGACGGCTACTGCCTCTACGTGTGATAGTCGTGGAAGAGATCGAAGGAGGGCTGGGTGTAGTCTGCACCGGGTGTTTTCTTCGGTCACTACGAGACTTGTGACGTCTGTGTGAGTCGGGAAAGTAGGGCGTCTCTCTAATGCCATATTTAGTCTTCGTACTCTGATATGGTGTCGTATCTCTGAACCTGTGTTAGCCATGATCAAAATATTCAACGGGATACGTACACTGTGGCCACACTTTCGTTACTTTCGCGTCGCTCTTTTCCCCTCTTCTCAACTGATGGCTGTACGATAGGCGTGGATGGACCTGACGCAACGTCCCGCACAGGGGTCCAATAGATACTACCCAAACGTTCATACGGAGGCAACGTAGTGTTCCTGGAGCGCGACGAACTGGAGGCTGCGTGGGTAGACCCATCCTTCTTAGGCACACTGGACATGTTAGCGACCGCGATCTGCATCTGCGATGCAAAAGCAGAATATGCCTGTGAAGAAACACCACCCCATCATCCGACTCATCACCAGCTTCAGTGTCTTCGTCAACGTCGCTGTCGATGGTAATAGGAGTGCTCTGCAAAGCCCCTGGTCGAGCAGTAGCACCACAGGACTCCTGCTGTGACCGCTTGACCCTCTGCGTTCTCAAGCCGTCATGTCTGGTCTTCACATGCAGCCGCTGTGACTTCTCCCCACGTCTCCGCCGCTCCTTCGCCGTACCCCCAATATCTCTCAAGCGACTGCTCCTCGAGCTCGAGACCCCCATATCAATCTTTCGAAGCTTTTTTAACCGGTGTGTGCGCGCTTTCGAACTGGAGCGTGACGTCGCGTGCTCAGAAGAAGTGGTGGTCGAAGGCAACGGAGCAGTTGCTGCACTTGCGATACAAGCATTTTGGTGAAAGAGGCTCAGGCCGTAAGGCTGGCGCACCGGCCACAAGGCCTCCATCGCAGCTCACGCCGGATACACTCTGGGCATTGAGAGCGGGATATGGGGGGGAGGTGAAGGTAAATTGGTGGGAAGACAGATGTGTGGTCGGGGATAGCTCGGCCCGTCGCGCATATGTTGTGGTACCGTCGATTGCATGGCAAGACAAGGAGTGTTTACAGTGATGAGATGGGAAATGAGAGTACAACTACACAGAGTGATTGGAAGAGTTTCATGATGAGAAGATGCGATGGAAATGAGATTCAAAGGTATTATTGGCGATACTGCCACTACAAGCTTCCAGCACGATAGTCATCTCTCTGAGCGACGTTCTGTCTCACATTCTCCTGCTCTTTTCGTTTGACATATGAAAGACTGCGGGAACATGCATGAGGAGTCATGGCTGGCGGTGAAGAGAGATGCTGGATACATAAGCACTGGAAACGGTAGAGAGACACCCCAACGCGCCTGAAGATCATCTACTTTGATCCTGGAAATCTAAACGCGATGGAGAAGAAGTCAAAAGAAGCATTTACGGTAGAAGACGGTCCTTAGCTTTACCTCTGGTCACGTTTGAGCTATGGCGCAGTGACTTAGTCATAGGAAGCTCAAATCCCTACCAGTGTCTAGACTATTCACCTGACTTTTACGAAATGATCGTTGTTCGAGTCCACAAATCCACGTATGAAATGGATACGGTTGTAAAGACGTGTCAATTATTGGGCGCATAGACGCGAAGCTGACTGGCACACAGGCGAAGGCGCCACGTACCCATGCCAATCCAGCACCACGTCATCAGAACAGCAGCCAAATGAACCAGGTCGAGGGTGCTTTTGGCACGGGAACGAGATGAGGTTGGAGACGAGATACCCCTGTGGCGCGTGATGTCAGATTGACCAGCCACACGCCCGACGTGTACCTGTTCCTGCGTGCTGTCAGGCCGTATTCGTAAAAGGGCAGCTCAAGTCCGCTTCCAGTTCCAACTCATCTCGCTCTCCATTGCACTCGCTGCACCCTATGACAAGAATCATCACCGCGCCGCATGGGATGGTACGACCAGCTCGTCTACTATCGTGATTTTGCCTATAACGCCCAGCGACTTCGAATGGCGAACGGGAGCATCGGCCATGTGCCCGCCGCGACCTATGCTGAGTATGTAGACGCTTCCTTAGTCACTTCCCCAGTCGAACCTTGGGCGAGCACAGACGCATCGCCGCGCGCGTCGCAACTGGCATCGCAGATGGCATCAGCGCGCGAGAGTGAGGAAAGCGATGGTCGCGATGCATGCCAGTTGACGGCGGCGCAAGACGAGTCGCCGTCGTCGCGATGCCTCGCTGTGCGCCCAGCCCTCGCGCATCGCCTCTACTCCCACCGTCTACACGTACGCGCAAAAGCTAAGCTGCATCGCGACAGATTGCTCTCCGGCCCTATGATCGATATTTACGTGGGCGCGGCCAAGCGCCGCTGGACCCTCCATCGCAACCTGCTATGCCACCACTCGGAGCTGCTCGAGGCCGAGCTCGAGGGCGACGACGACACGCTCGACCTGCCCGACCACGACCCGGCGGGCTTCGAGCTGCTGGTCAAGTGGCTGTACCAGGGCACGCTCGACGACGTGTCTGACATGCCCGACGCCAACCAGAAGTACGAGTACGCCGTGAGCTGCCACAAGCTGTATCTCCTGTGCGACCGCTTCGACATGTCGCAGCTGAAGAACGCGGCCATGGACCAGTACCGCAAGGGCCTGCACGAGGCCGAGCTGGTCCCCGACGCCGACGAGATCGACGACATCTACCGCAAGAGCCCGGCCGGCTCGCCCTTCCGTCAGCTGATGACGCGCATCGCGGCGCGACAGATCATGGACCCTGCCAGCCACCGCGACGTGGAGACGTACCGCCAGTGCCTCGAGAACAACCCCGACTTCGCCCTCGACCTCGTCAAGGCCATCCGCCTCGGGACGGGCGGCGTGCTGTTCGACGACCCGACCGAGGCCGGCAACAAGTGCGAGTACCACGACCACGAGGCGGGCCCCAACTGCCCCGTCAAGGGGAAGAAAAAGGCCAAGCAAGGTGAATAGCCCTGTCTTTACCCTCTCCCCCCCCGCACCCGCCCGTCTCCCTTGTCTTCGCGCGAGACCGATAGTAACCCGCATTAACCAGCCCAGCCCGACCCGCAGTCCGCCAAACCAGCTCCCTCCACAAGCTCCGTCCGACTTCTCCCCCCTCCCCCCCCTCGTCGCCCAAAGACGCCGCCTCGCCCGCTTCCTCCCCGCCCAGCTCGCCGACCTCCCGGCCTAAGCGCCGGACCCCTCCGCCGACGCATAACAAGCCCAGCCATCTCCACGGTCTTAACATCCATGGAATCAGTAATGGCCACGCCGAGCCCGGAAGCACCGCGCGACAGGGCGAAGGACATGGAGAGACTGAGAAGGGTAACCCCGCCGGACAGACGGACTCGCCCGCCAAGCCAGAACGGGACAGCAGCGTCCCCCTCAGCCCCCGACGCGCACCCCCCAAGCTCCGGCGCCGCGTCTCACCGTAGCCTCGCCGTGTCGCACGAGGAGGGGGAAGAAGAAGAAGACACGCGCAACGTCCTCGAGCCAACCCCCACGCGGCGCGGCCTCTGGAACTGGGCCCGATCCGGAACCGGCACCTTCAACATGATGGGGCGCGTCGCGCACCCGGACTGGAACGACACGCCGCCCTTTACCCTCGGCGCCACGCAGGACGACTTCAGCCTGCCCTCCACCACCGCCACACACCCCGACACCCAGCTCCCCGACACCCAGCCCCCCTACAACAATACCCCCGCCACCCTCCCCGCAACACCCCTCTCCTTCGCCCAAACAAAACGCTCCTCAGACGAACTCCTCGCCACAGCATCCAGCACCGCCACATCCGCGCAGTGGACAAACGGCACCGCGCCAGAGACCCCCACGCCCCCGCAGCGCAGACCAGATTCTCCGCTCGAATCAGATTCCGAACCCACACCTACTAAGGATAGCTTCTCACATGCGAAGGATAGCTTCTCACATGCGAAATCAGACTCGGATACGACGCTTTATGATGACCCGCCTACGCCGGCGGTGAAGAGTGGGAAGCGCGGGTTGGAGGGTGCGAATGGGAATGGGAAGGTGACGCCGAGGAGGGTGGCGACGTATAAGATTGCGCTTGCGTCGAGGCTGATGTCGCCTGGTGCTGGTGCTGTTAGTGGAGGGGGGACGTGATGGGGGTTTTTATGAATGATGTTGTTGCTTTGGATGAATTTGTTTATTCACTATACCCTGTTGTTATATACATATATCATGATTTGGGAGTTTTGGGTTGGAGAATGGGAAAATATACACGAATATATACACATATCTACTTCCTTAAATTCAATCAAACCGACTCACAACAACCCCTACACACCTACCTACCGTCTCCCACCCCCCTCCTCCCTCCTCCTCTCCCGTCTAAAACACGCAAACTGCACCCTCGTCCCCTCCCTCAACCCCTTAAGCGTCCGCCTCAACCCCCCAAGTTCATCCTGCAGCCTCACCCTAGCTTTATTATCCGTCTTCCGATCCAACACCTGATAAATATCACTTTGAATCTGACTCGCCTTCTCCGTCGTATACGCCGCGAGCGTCTGAGCCATAAACTCCACATCCAGGGTCGCCTGCATGAGCTGCTGCAGACTAATAGCCGGAAGGCGCGCAGACTCAAACGTCGCGATGAGGGAAAGCGTGCAGGATTCCGTCAAAGCGCGGAGGATGCGCGGTGTGAGGGGCGCGGCGGTGGTGCTGGCTTCTGTGTGGACGATTACGAGGGCGAGGAGGACTGTGGAGACGAAGGGGGAGGGGGAGGCGGGGTGGGGGGTGGCGGCCCAGGTTGGGGCGAAGATGCCGGCTTCGATTGTGGTGTTGTTTTGGGTGGCGTGGGGCGTGGTGTAGGAGGCGAAGAGTTGGGTGTCGAGTTGGCTGAGGACGGAGTGGATGCGGGTGCTTTCGTCGGTTAGTTGGATGGAGAAGAGGGTTTCGAAGAGGGAGATTAGGGTTGGGGTGGTGGTTGTGGCGAAGTGGGACATGTTTGAGAGGGTGAGGAGGAGGCGCGTTGACTGGTGGGAGGTTAGTTGGTGAGGCGGGTTTGTGGATGGGGAGGGGAGGGCTTACTTGTTTGTCGGCGTTGACGCGGCCCCATTCGCTGCCGTCTTCGGTGTCCTCTTCGTTCATGGTTAGGTCGTCGCCTTTTGTGTCGAAGTCGGCGCCGAGTGCTAGACGCCCCTTTTCGGCACACTCGACCATCCCGCTTAGCGTGCGGTACAAGCTGGTTACAAACTGGCTCCTGACCATCTGCAAGAGCTTGTTGCTTGGCGGGACCACGACATCAACCGCCGTCTTGCTCGACGCCTCGACATACATGATCTTCTGCAGGTTGTTCAGCAGGAAACTCTGCACAGCGAGGAAGCGCTGGGGCAGGTTCGTTGTGTCTCTATGTTCTTCATTGCGCGTCCAGTCCTCGAGCACCTTGAGTTTCTCCGCGTCCGTGTTCCACGCTGCACACACGGCTTGCACGCTGCGTTCGCGAACGCCGCCGACAAGCAGGCGTAAGCCTTCGTCTATGCGGTGTGTATCAGGGAGGCGGAGAGAGGCAAACTCGTTTGCTGCTGTGCCAATCAACACAAGCGTCTTGGAGAGGTAGTGCGAGCCTGAAAGTGCGTTGGAGTGCGGAGGCCAAAAGGCGTATTTCTCCCATGTCTCCCCACGGCTCGGAGACGGCGGGGGGACGTTGTTGGGATCGAAGCGGAATCTCGAGTTGGGGTTGGGAGTTAGAAGTGCGCTCATGGGTGTCTTTGGTGTCGAGGGTTCTGGAGATGTTGGGTATGGGGAGAGGAGGAGCGACACGTCTTCGATGGGCGGATCGGAGAAGAAAGAGTACAGGTGTTCTCGGACGATGGTGATGAGCTCTGCCATTCCGTTGTGCAGGTCTGTTACGTTAGTAGGCGACAGCTTGTGGTGTACTGCAGACTGATTGCGATGGCCGGTGGGCAGGTTTCTCTGCGCACGGCCAGCGATGAAGGATTGTGTGATTTCCCAGTACTCAACCAATTCACCGAGAAGACCACCCTTCATAGATAGAAGCGTGTTCATAGAGGCGTGCACGTGTTCCCAAAACTCAATCACTTTGGGCGAGTCCAGCTTGGATGGCTCAGGGGTGATGTTGTTGCTGGTCGGCACCGATCGCAGGTGCTTCTGCAGGAGTCGCAAACTAGGCTTCTCTCCATTCGAAAGATGACGACGGAGGATTTCAGTCTCGACTCTCGAACGCTCACAGGTGTGGTTGAGGCGGGACTTGAAGTACTCGTAACGCGAAAGCAGCCAGATCCAGATGGGGCTGTCTTCAGTGCCCAGCTCCAGCAAGACGGATATGATGCTCAGGTACTCGCCCGACTTGGTGTTCTCACTGCCGAGCTGGTGCTTTGTAAAGTGCGTGGATGCGAGCCTCTTCCAGGACTCCCTCTTGAACTGCTCGATCTGGCGCTCCACGTCCATCCACATCCTGGCCGTGACGATGATCTGGTGTATCTGGGAGTCGGTAAGGGGGGTGCGGGTAGAGTTTGCCTGCTCAGCAACGAAGCGAGCCTCCTCGGCGTACTTGCGCGCGCGTCTGTACTCGTCCACGATCATGTCGTAGTCCCTGCGCCGTATCGCATCCTGTATCGCGGAACCGACCTCGAACAGGCCGCGGTGCTGCTCGACCGAGTCCAGTATGGCCTTGAGGTTCTGCTCCTTGTCGCGTCCGCCCAGCGCAGGCCCCCACACCTCCTCTGCCTTGATAGCGACTTCAGTCAACGGGACCTTGATGCCGTGCACGCCGTACTCGCTCTCCTTGACCAGGGCGTTCTTCCTCCGCTCGGCCGGGACCGTGGCCGAGGGCACTGTGTCGCTGGGCTTTCTGCCCGAGAAGCTCGCGCGGCTGGCACCTCTCACGTGGGAGGGGCGCCTGGGCGGGTCTGGCTCGCTCTCCTTTGCACGCATCTCGTTATAGACGCGATCGATGGTGGCCTTGGCGCCGACGAAGCGGTCGAAGTTGGTCTCGACGAGCACCTTGAGCGAGGCCGATTTCTGCTCGATGGAGCGAGAGAGGAAGTCAAGGCCCTCGAGCAGCGAGTCGGTCGAGGCATCGCTGTGCACCTGGGCGAGGAAGAGGGCGGGCGAGAAGGTCGTCGAGCTGAGCAGGAAGCGGTTCCCTATGCGGCGCCCTATCAGCACGGCTTGGCGCAGCCTCCACGGCACAATGCCCACTCACGCAGCTTGATGTCGTCCTCGACGGCCAGGTGGTTCGCCCGCAGCACCTGCACCACGCTCGGGTACATGCCCAGCGGGTCCTGCTCGTCCTTCTGCACCAGGTTCTCCACGCCATCTTTGGACCGCTCGGCCCCGGGGATTGGCCGCGAGAGCCGTGACCTGTCTTCCAGCACGGAGTATCGTGACTTCCGGCGGTTAAGCTTAGATGTTGTCGTAGTCACCGCCGGGGCCTCGTCCTCCGAGTCCTCCGCCTCGTCTGCTTGGTCCTTCTCTTCCGGCCATTGTGCGGGGTACAGTGTCGTGAGATTGTATTTGTTCAGAATCTCCGTTTCTATAGACGAAGTCATCTTGGTTGTAGCAAAAGGATGTCAATTGTGTGAATGCTGCGTGTCGCAAGTGACAGCTCTCGGGAACGCGGTCGCGCCTGCCAATCAGAATGGCGCACTGCTTGGCGGTGGGGTGCTTGTTCAAGACAGCTTCAACCACGCTTCACCCAACATCATCCTTCGAAACATCGATTTCGTCACGTTTCTCGTAGGTGACACATTCGCCTCCGTTGATGAGAGTGGTATAGCGCACATGTCTCTCCAATCACATATCCCATTAATCAGACTCACTCTCACATCTTGCATCTCTCACTCGTCTACCTTCTTCATGACCATTTTGATTTCACGTTCGCTGTGAAGAACATGATGCTACCTACACATATCACAAGCCGTCAATCACACATGATGTGGGAGTACTCTCACCTTCGTGTCAAGGCTGAGATGTTAACACACCAACTGCAAGCACAAAAGCCGGTCATTTTCTCCCACTCTTACCGCCATGTAACTCACTGCATGTGATGAGAGACATCCATCTCGCCGACCATGACCTTTACCTTGCCATCAACTCCTGCGTTGGCGGCTCTCTTACCGCCCATCTCCATCCCGCCGTCTCCTATGGGTATATAACGAGCTTCTCCTACTACTACAGTTGACTCTCTTTCCTACACCAACCTTTTCTTATCATTTCTCTTCCGCAGTCAAGCCTCTCGTCTAGAGACACTTCCTCCAAACACTTCAGCCTTCGTCATCATCCCTCACATCTCATTCATGGATTCGCGTACGTCAATCGAGTCTCTACTCCAGAGGTTGAAGTCTGGATCGTCGAGTGAGGCAGTGCGTCGGAAAAGCTCAACGAAACATCAACTCGCCACGCCTCCTGCAGATCCATCTTCGCCTTCTGAACCTCCAGGACCAGGCCCAAGTTCTGGACATGGGAAGATAGGTGTCAAGGATTCTGACTTGAAAGAGAATCAAAGAAGAGAAGTCACTTCTAAACTCCTAGACGCTGAAGTGTACGTTGTCATTACGGGTTATGCTATCAACAAGCTAATGTGACAGATGCTTCGAGAGGAGATCACGAGTCGGACTTCCACCCAGGTTCTATCGCACACACCACGAAGTCGCTGCAACTTTGAGTAGCAATGTGACCAAGGACACTCATGTCAGACACCGTGCAGAACCTCGGCTCCGAATCAGAAAGCGCAACGCTTTCCAGTCCATCAGCAAGTTCATCGGAAAGATGGATTTGACCGTGGGACGTATCGAACGCCATCTGAAATGGAATATGAAGCGCGACCCTTCATCCATGATTTCCGCGTTCAATTCACTTGGTAAGTGAGCATATAACTACCCCACAGATAAAATGCTGACTATGAACAGCCCGTGCTGAAGCAAGAGCTAAATTTCACTACGAAGAGAGCCAACGTATCGGTCAACGAGTGTTCGTCGCCGAGATCCTTACCAAAGGGCTTCGACCGGCAACTGTGAAAGCTCGTTACGAAACCACGGAAACGATTTTCACAAAGCATGGGCCACTTCGAATCAATGAGACTTCCGAGCCCATCAAAACTACTTGTGATGTAAATATTCCAGTTTGGATTCGGGACACAGCGATACCCATCGACGACTCCAATATCACACTCGAGCAGCTGGAAAATTCGGGAGCCGACATGTGGCTGTCGATCACAGAGATACGTAAATCTGATCTGCAGGGGTGCAAATCTCAATACGGCGAGAGGGGCCCTATCTGCATGAAGGGTCACGACTATGAGTGGCTCGCATGTGGTTTCATCCTGAAATCACACATTGCGAACATAATGCCTTACGATGGAAAGCAACTTCACAAACAGATGACCTTGAAAGTCATACGAAGCCTTCGTAGCACGGACCGGTGGATCTTCAACTGGCATCGAAGGATGTGGCTTCTCAACCCGAACATGGCGAATATGGCCCATTACCGCATTGAATTTACTAGTGAAAAGCGTCGACGAGATGACGATGACAATGACGAGAAAGGAGACGTCCGGCAGCGACCACGTCTTAGTTATAGTCCGATCACGACTTCCTTCTGCATCAGTCCGGCAGCCTAAAGAAGAGGGTTGATGGATTTTCCAACTTGGACATTCCCACTCACTTTGTCCCATTTCTCAGCATTGGGAACGAGCCTATCAACGACATGACGTGGAACATCATTCCTCACAGGAGAGCAAAAGTATCCATTCGACTTTTATCACGACATTGCTCATTATCCTTGTCCAGCGACATCCCCCCTTTTCTTTCATTAGCTTTGCGCTTTCCAGCATCATTCCAAACCCAAAAGTGTATCCTTGACATTACCATCAGCTCCCAGTTTTTCCCCATCACAATCATTCATCGCCCATGAGGCAGCACAAAGGCCAAGCGTGTATTTCCAAGTGGTGCGACATCATACTTCCAGCTACCAATCTCTTTTTCACATATACGTTTGCAGCAGTACAGGTACAGGCATACAACTTTCATCAACAGGTGGTCAGCAAGTTTTTCCTTCGTCGGCCAAAGATCATGGATACTTTCCGGCGATTTCTTTCCCCACTCATCTTTAGTGTTTCATATAGTCATCCCAGAATCTCATCTCATTCATCATCTCATTTGACAGTTTGTGATATGGATTTCGTGCGCGTCTCAGGCGTTCTATCACATTAGTCCATCTCAGCACTGCGCAAAGCTTCTCTTGAATCGATCATCATCATGGAGTATAGAGATGGGCAAGTCGCTCTCACCGAACCGGTATTCAAGCTCTCATACCAATGCTAGCGACACAAAACACATAAAATCAGCAAAGAGCCAACACCCAAAAATTTATGGTTTCTTTCTACATATGCAAAGGAACTTCGTGAAGCATGGCCAAACAATCGCACATAGCTACCACAAGCGTCAAGTATCCTGAAACATATTAACCCCACACCACGATCCCAAGTATCCCCTCGCTTCATACCCCTCAAAAGCCTCTCATCGACACCCCTCCTCTGTTTCCTACCCACAGCCGGTACTAGCCAAGCTTCTTTCACACATATATGCACGATATGACTGAACAAAGCTTAACCATCAACACATCGAACCAAACCAAACGCACCCCTAGTCCACTCATTCACACCACATTTCCCTACCTTCTGTCTTGTCCTCATCCAACTCAAACATCGCCCTTAACCCGATCTCCAGCCCATCCCATCACATCCCATCACATCACATCAGCTGCATTCCACCATACCACCGAGGCACCATTTTTCAACCGACTCCTAATCAGGGCTGCTCACCAGTTGGATATCGTATCCACTAGATAGCCCTTCCCACCCCGCAAAATCTTTCTACACAACTAGACCGCGGTCCGTACCGTGGCGTTCGCACTCGTTCTGCGGGAGATGGGGAGAGTATATGGGTTTGTGTCTTTGGAACTGGTTAGTAGGTTGGTGGTAGCTGTCAATCTATCATCAGAGGTGCATAGTCACAGTTTATCAAAAACATTAGCTGGCTTGTGTGGGAGTCGTCGTTGGGTTCGTGCTGTCCTTGATGTTGGGGGTCAGCGATGATGGGCTGCCGAACGGCGTGTCAGATGGTAGTGCTGGAAAGGCTCATGGAAGTGTGCTGGGAGACGATCGAGACGGGATGGCGGGGGACGTGTTGAGAAGAATCTCGAAAAGTTGACTGTGGATGATGGAACGTTTCGGGAGGCGGTTGGGAAGATGCTTTGGTAGGGGGTAGAAATGTTTTGTACATGATAGGGTTGACTGTTTTTCGTATTTGACCGATGAAGGTAGGATGCAATTGTAAGTCGGTGGGCAGGGAGGAGGTTGAGCGCTTGGGTAGGTGAAAAAGTGGGATATAGTTCTTGATTGATGGGCTTCACATGTCAAATTTGCAAATACTGAGTAGATGTTTCTATTCGGAGCTGATGATCTAATCGCGCTTAGGCTCCAGTAGCTGCTAAGCCTTCCTCAGTCCAAAGATCCACCCAGCATAAGCTCCCATGTTTCGAACGTTTGACCTGGTTCGTGTGTTCTGGTATTCGCTGTAGTATAGGGAAACGAGAAAAGGAGGGGCGCGGCGGGGCGAGATATAATTGTGTTCTGTCGCCTTGCAGTTCGTCTCACAGCCATGCCTCCCTTAGCCCCTTTACCCACCCCTCTACATGGATCCGTAAAATCCATTTCTTCCTTCACCCTGTAGACTGTGCCACCTTGCATAGAACCTCGGAGTGTTGTCAGACGCGGGCTTCGTAGTCGGGACTGTAGCGTCGACGGGTCCAGGGGGTGGTGTGGGTACACGAGCGTGCAACGAGACCGGCGTGTCTTGAGATACCGGGCCTGAGATATCAGGCGAAGACGTCTGCGAATCCTCAAGGGTCTCAGGTTCCTTCGCGAGACACACTGTGAGCCAGGAACCTTCGTGCTCAATCATATCCATGAAATGCGGCTCTGGCTCTGGCGCTGGTTCCTGCTCTGGCTCTAGCTCTCGTTCCGGAGCAGAGAGCATTGCGCGCCTTATCTCGCTCCGTTGCAGGTAGCGTGCGTAATTGTCGATCCACGTGTCTTCCTCTGCGGCCTTGGGACCCCACTGCGGTCCCTTCTCCAGTTTGACGCGACGAGATATGTGCGTGGGGTGTGTGTTCTCGGTGATTTTCTGCCTGTGATGCGGCTTCAAAATCCGGCGCGGGCGTTTTGGGGGTTTGGCACCCATCATGCGTGTTGACGGGGACATTGGCTTGTTCACATGGCCCTTGGGGCTTCCTCGTTGGTTGGAAGCTTCTGTCGCAATGGACAATTGTTTTGGATCTCAAAGAGACGTTGATATAGGAATTCCATGAGCGTTTTTTATGCCGCCTGCCCCGATTGGAACGGGGATTGGTAGCGCCAACCACTGTTGCGATGTTGCGACAATCCAGTTTGCGACGTTTTATTGGTACGGGGGCCTCAAACTAGGGATAAGTCTGGAAGCAATGTGTAAAGATGAATCGATAATCGGATCTACCTAACGTTTGAGTCGATGGAGACTCCTTGGGCTGGACGAAAAGGCAGAGGCAAGGTCTCACCTAACCGAATGAAGCCTTGGGCAGGAGTTCTGCGATGGGCGACAGCGTTAGTCATACCTTCCTGAGTGGCTTCAGAAAGTTGTCCCACAATCTTCGTGATGGATTTAAGCCTATTCGCTCATCGACTTGGAAATCCGAAACATTATTGGAATGTTGACCAGTGTCTGATACGTCGAGGCTGGCGAAGCACACCGACTGGTCACCTCACTGTGACTCGCGATTGGTGACCCGGCGATCGTGGGTTCTTCCTGCACTTGTAGTGATTGCACATGCAGATTGAGCCAGAGTAGAAGCTCGAGGAAAGACGAAACAAAAAGAACAAAATTAAATCGGATACAATCTTGGCAAGAAGGGTCTGGCAGTACAGAAAAATGATTCAGTGTTGTTTGCTATGGGCGCGGACGTAACAAGCAGGGGCGACCAATTAATCCATACCCACCGACTAGTCATAGCCAAACAGGATGCAAAGCAGCCTTTATAAAACGCCGTAACTATGCAGGGTATCATGAGAAGTAAGAGAGTGTTCCAAACGCACGCAACAAGGAAATCGACCGCCTACGACATATCCTGGAAAGGAGTCACATCACGCCCGCTAAAGCGGAGAGCGTCTGAAGAGTCCATGCCGTCGCCCATGTCCATATCCTCGTCGTCGCAGGTGGTCTCGATAGATCGCTTGCGACTGAGAGACTGGGAAGGTTGGAGGTGTGAGGCATTACCGTTCAGCGTACTGCTAGTTTGTAGTGATTGTGCGTTCGAAGTAGCAACCGAACGCTTCGCCTGAATGATGTCCCAGTGTGAGCGCAGGATGTTCTTGAGGGTGTCATCGAAGTTGACGCAGAAGCGCTGAGCTTGGCAGACCTGCATGGCCTTGACGTGGTTGAAGTTGCTCAGCGTGTCCATGAGATATGCCGCGACGACAGCTGCAGACTTCTCGTTGCCGGATTCGCAGAACACCAACACCTTTCCTAGTGTTGGCTGGCCAGTCTTCTCTATGGAATACTGTCGGGCCCGTGCGACATGTGAGTTGATCATCCTGGTAGTTTCTGCGAACCGCCCGACGAGGGCGTGGAAGGTGGATGATTCGATGGTCCTCACCTCGGCACACACCTCGTTCGCTGCCAGCAAGGCGCCCTTCAAAGTGTTTTCTTGGGCGCGAATAGCCAGGGCCATTGTGATGCCCTCCCGCGCCAGGAACGCCTTGTCTTTCACAGACACCATGGGACCCAGATATAGCCAGGGTAAGATCATCTGCGCCTGCCTGCGACGTTCATATGCCCAATCAAGCAGCGTGTTGGTCTGCACAATGTTCTCGAGGTTCATATCCTTCAAGAAGCTCATGTCCACCTCCTCTGCAGATGCATTGCCGAGTGCGAGCCCAGGCATCTCGGTGGTGAGGGTAGGTGGGGGCACGACGATTCGCGGCGGCGTTGGCAGTCGATAGCTATACTCGTTGTGGTTGCGCCGATGCACAGTGTCGGGAGAGTCGGACATAGCCGACTCCTTGTGAGGTGAAGCTATGAAGTTCATAACGGGCGAGTTGTAATGTATGGTGATGTGAGCTTGTGGTGGATACAGTGGCGGAGAAGATGTTGAGTAAGTTCTGGTGGAGCGCGAGCAGCCGAGTGGGGATATATAACGTGAGGTGTCGGACGTGCGCTGGATCGCAGTGAGGTGAGGCACTTTGGCGGCGTGTCGTTGAGTGGGAGGGTCTCGAAAGCTGAGGCAGGCGGCAACGAGCTAGTGGATCCGATACAAGGCGGGGTCTTGATGTCTTGATACGCTATGACAGCTGCCTGGCAGACAACATCATGATCGATGTGTAAGATGCAGCATACACTATAATCATAAGACAGAAGCATGGAACGTTAGAAGGTTATTGTGGTGTACGAAGGGATGTCTGGAACCGAGAGCAGGCGTTGAATATCGCTGACGTAATGCGTCAACTATGACTGGTCTTCTACCTCCCTCACAACCTCCCACTTGTTAATTGATCACTAGATACATATAGTATGTAGATTTACTACTACTGTTTGCGCGTAAATACGCGTAAATACGCGTGAAAACACGTGAACAACTAAACTTTTCCCTTCATGTTGCCAATTCTCGTTTCGATCCTTTACGATTGCGCAAGACATCTCCGTGCACGCGCTGCAGATCCCATTTCCTAACATGCACACCCATGCAAGTAATACTTGCCCACAAGAACCCTAGGTCTAAAACTAACCTATCAAAGATTGAGGTGATAAACCTATTCCTGTGCAGGTAATACCCTTTACAGGCTAGGGCACAAGAAGTAGACGGACAGATCGAGCGTACCAGTGGTTCATTGCCTCATTATGCTGTTGTCTACTCAATATTGGATGTCAAACCCTCGTAGACTACTTGTATCCCTATCTCTAAAAAACCCTAGCTGGCTGTGTTGGCTGCATATCCCACTCAGCTGGCTCTTCACCGAACCGCCTGCTAGAACTGCTCTCATCCTCTACCAAACGCTGCTCCTCTCTATCCACCCTGCGCTTTTCCTGTTCTTCCAGCAAAACGACCTTGATCTTCTTCATTTTCATGAAGATCCACACGCCTAATGCAACCGTGATCAAAAATATAATACCGAAGATGATGGTCTGTGTATTGTCATCCTCGCCCTCTTTTTCTACCATCAGTACGCCCAAATACACAAGGAAGATCTGCTTCGGCATCGAGAGCAGTGTTGCTATGGCGAAGTGCCAAAATTTGACATCGCAGGTACTGAAAACGGCCGTGCTGAAATGCGCAGGAGCGGCGGAAAGGCGGATGATGACGACAATGAAGAAGCCCCCATCGCGCGTCATGCGAGCCATTGCGCCATAATTCAGGTTCGTGCGTTCGAGCTTCGCAGCCTTGTTACGGAACAGGTGTTTGAATGCGAACCAGGTACCAACTGTACTTGCAGTTAGTATGTGTGACTCGAGTACATAAACGATACGGGACAAGCTTACTCTCGCCGATGAAAGTCCCGGCTGCTACAATAGCGAACCCAACCCATAGCCCGTAGACGATACCGCACAGGAAGGCAATAATCTCATGGCCAAAGAGAGGAGGAAACGATATGATTATTAGTATGAAAATGGGTATGAGAAACCCAGCTGGCAGGTCTCGCACGTCCTCCGAAAATGGGCGTAATTTCTGGAACGAGCGTCAATAAGCCGCCTTTCCCGAACAGACTTGGCAGGGGTTGAAGCTTCCACTTACTTTCACGACCTCATCATGATGCAACGTTAGAACAGCAGTAGCTATGCCAACCGCTATGAAAAGAAGATGAATTGCTGTGTTGTGTTAGGCGTTTGCGTTGATCTGGGTCGTGAAGGCTACCATACGTATATATTTTGGCGTGAACAACAACTTCTTCCAGTTGACTGGCCGGTACTGCGTCTCCTCTGTGTCCTCGTAGGTTCTTTGCTGTTTTATCTCTGACATCTCAATGTCCTTCTCCCGCTTTTTGAACAACATCGCGTTCGTAGGTTTGGGGTAATTCGAAAGGCCGAGCGAACTGAGAATAACGTTCTGTCCAGATGGCGATTACGGGGGCGTTGACAATATGCGGGCGCGGGAATACCCTGAACCAAATAGATATCAGTCGCAGGGCTGTGTCGGGGCGTTATTGCCGCCGTGATTTGAAGTCTATTTGAAACCAGCACGGTTATGATTGGCATCCCGCATAGTCGACCAATCAGGTGGCTCGATGATCCTGAGAATGAGACGTTAGCGCGGGGATGAACGCTGGCCCTCAGATTCATAAAACCCACCACACGTCTACGCATTGAATTGGAACATCTGAAGCGCAGTTGGAACCTGTGTGTGGTACTTGTTTTCATTATACGTTACTGCGACTGTTTTGTCTCCCATATTCGAGCTTGACAGAAGGTGAAGTGAAGGATCCATTGACCCAAATTATCGCCTGATTTGACTCCGTATATCTCGTATGACGTTGAGATAAGTCGTCCACTCTTAGTCAGATTTGAGGTGGTGATCACCGTTTACAGTAATCTTAGCTATCATGTGTAACGGAGTCAAAAGTCAGATATTACCAGCCTCAGAGGTTCGAATAGGTCTGACATGGCCTCGATACGACATAGACGAGAAAAAAGCCAGAACGCATTTACCACATATACTTCTATACGACAAGTTTGTACGCCCAAGCCTTCAGGCTGATCAGCCAATACCAAGATACTCTTCAGACTCAACATGCAATCCTAGGTTTGTTTTCGAGTTTGTTTTGGCTTATCATTGAGCCGGGGCTGGTAAAGAGAAGAAAGTTCGAGATGTCCTCACAAATAACTTGCTTGCCTTATTTAGGGGTGTTTGGGAGATCATACCGGGATACATTATCGGAAACTAGCATAGGTGATTCTGAATGGTGAACTTTGAGTTCAAGTTATCGTCGATGCTGGGTGGAACTGTTGACGTTATCTGCCTTAGTAGTGTGTTGACAAGGTTCGCCAAACCTATCACTAGTTCTGCGCAGGACGATCTCAGAGAGCCGAATCCTATGTGTCGAGGATCGGATAGCCAATTTCGCAGTCGATGCCGTACAATGCTGGGCAGTGTCGCTACGCCGCTGGCTTCTGCGCAGTTTCTGCCGAGAGACCCAAAAAAGCAACGGCACAGGTAGTGCAACCATGAGCAGTACATTTGTGTCGATGGTTAAATAAAGTCAGAAGACCAAAAGTAAAGGAGGGATGCTGAGCGGATCATTTAAATGATGTCATGTGCTTAGTCATCCCGTGTGGAGTGGAGGCTGCACTCTTGTGTCGCTCTCGTCTGTCCTCATCGACCGCCAGCTCATGCCATCGCACTCGGCCGCACGTTTTCTCTCTGCAGGACAGTTGCTGCGGTTGCCCTGCGCCACGACTCTCCGGTGAGGCTGACGTCTCGTACAAGCTATTTTTAGCTCCAAGAAGAAAAGGACAATTGATCAATCTATACACAGGTTGAGGATTTAACCGCCTCCAAGTAACTGACACCCATCCTGTTTTCAGTTCAGCCTAGTCCTTCAATGTGTCTCGTTGGCCTATTTAAGCTACGACAGCCCGGCAGTTCACACATGGTATTGGTTTGCGTTTGTCACGTCGTCCTCAGTCAATATGACTGCTTCGCGCTTGCGCATGACTACGAGCGATAGCTTTGTCTTCAGCAGTCCTTCCGTGGATAGCTTTGTGTCACCTCGATCACTAGTGCGTAGTTTCCAAACATTCGCTTCTGAAATATTAGGGACTGGGATGTCAGTTGCGAGTTCATTGAAGTTGAAGGTGTAGTGTGACCTGACTTGTCCAGATCTTACACTTGATGCGTCTCACAACTCCGGCCCGTCCCAACAAGGCTATGCAATTAGTCATGATCATCTCCGCGGAAAAGAGTATCACCTAGTATCAACATCGCTGGGCTGCAAGCACCAGCCTTCGTTATGCAGCGTTCAACCGTTGCATACTAACACTACCTAGATTCCTTGGTTGAGGTGAACAGTCCGTCTTACAAAAAGGCTTCCGAATTCAATCGGCTTTACACGAGTCATCTGGGAACTTCAAACGACTTAGTTCTTAGACTCTTACCTTCACTCAACAACATATAGAATGCTGAACATTTGCAACAATCGCAACAAAATATGGCTTTTGGCTTAGAACTAGCTGCTACGCCAACGATTTTTGGCGAGAAATCTTTGCTTAACCTGAGTACAACCAGTTCCCCGCATCCGAATTTGCAAACTAGACGATATGAAGAACTAATAACAATCAGGAGAAGCGAATCCTACATCTCGAATTTGGACTTTCCCCCACAGGAGACAAGTTTACCGAATTGTCAACGAAAAGTCTGTGTATGGACACCTCGCGAACAGACCCTCGAACATCCCATGCATCCGAACAGATGAGGTATCACGCTAATGGTTTGTGTCAATTGGAGGTTTTTCACAACAGCACGAAGGAACTCAGATTGTTCCAGAAAAGATTGTTGTGCTCGTCATGGTCGACATCTCCTCATAAGTCTCACGCTTCTTAGGGGGGATGTGAGCGACCTTGGCTTCCATCTAATAACTGTGATGAGGAGAAGCACGATCGTTGGGTTGCGACGCCGAGATGATCTAGAACCTCTGCTGTCAGTCTTACTTTGTTGATTCAAACGAAACAAGTGGCCGGAGACAAATTCAAGGGTTTCGAAAAGAATCAATAGATCATGCTGGCCCCCTTTTTCTCTCAAGGCAAGCATAGTGAGGTGAGACACTATCCCCTTCGCAACTAGCAGGCCCTACCATTTTCTTGTTCTCATCAAGCAGTCGGCAGAGACACTAAGTATCATGGTAGATTCGCGAAAGGCTTAATAGTCCATATCAACAAGAAACATCATAACTTTCGCAACAAGGTATCTTGCAACCACAGCTTTGCTATCAAACAGTTAGGTATCCAGGAACAGCAACAAGGCTCCCAAGCGTGACTTAGACATCCTAAAGAAAGTGAGTGGAGGGCAAAGCCACAAACATGTAGTGTATCTCCAGCAACTGAAAATTCATTTCATATTCTACTGCGCTGGTAGCAATCTGTTCAAGTACTGGATAGAGATACATTGTTTTCCCCCTTTTGCTTACCTAAACATTAGTTAAATGACTAGTCATTGTGCTAGTATCGCCGGTGGACTTCTCAAACTTCACAAGCACATGACTTTGCATATACGCCACGATGTCGATATGGATTAGGGACCCGTTCAGATATCTACCGATGAGTAATGTGTCAGAATCAGGGAGCCCATAATGAGAGGACCGTGAGGCCTTACGCATTGCTATTGCTATAATATACAACAGTTTCCCTGAACTGTAGATACATATTGCCTTATGATAACGTAGACTGAAATACATTCAGACAATACTGTTCTCACAGTTACAGACCGCTGCTTTTTACAGGAGGAAAGAGCTTAGAAGAATTGCAGATGCATCTATTTGCTTATTGCTTTGCGCCAATCAGGCGTCCAGAAATCATCTACGTGTGATTAGTAACTAAGTGGAGCGGCTTCGCTAACTCTCAACATATACATATCATCCCATCCTCCGCTGGAGCGACACTAACAGTACAAAACTCATGCGGTTCTAGGAGACTATATCTTAACAAATTGATCACATCCATGAAGTAGCCCGACTACACAGACTTCGACTCCCCTACTTACTCACTTGATATTTGGGAGTAATCGGCACTCTGACGCAATGGTCCAAGAATCTACCTCAGCACAATTTGCGCCACAACGCACAACGAAACTTGAGCGGCTCAAGGCTAAAATCAATAGTGCTAAGCAGAATTCTTTGGCAGATCAAATCCCTGATCTGTATGCCGTCAGTCTATTCGACGCTCAGCCCCAAGACTATCTGCCAGAATCCAGTATTGGAAAGCTTACGCAGCAAATTGCGATTGACAAAGAGTTTCAAAAGGAGCCATTATATCTGGAGTGCGAAGATGAAGAGCGACGCCAACTGACAATCTGGATCCATGAACACGCAAGCAAAGTATTTGCAATCACACTCCAATGCGGTCATGAGCCTCGTCTCCTGTTGGCCTCAATGATGTTATTTCAGGAGTCGGGTTTTGACGACACGAGCCTTCCTATTTCCAATCCAAGATGTGATGCTTCTACCCCTTTGCTCCCTAGGTCAAATGCGTTTGATCGTTCGTTCTGGTCTGATCTCAAATACTACAACTTTTACAAAAAGCAGTGGACATGCCTTGTGCCTGTGTTCAGTCCGCTCCAATATGCGTACGACGAATCTCCCGAGTGCATATTTCCTTTCGCATCCTATAGCTTGAGGCCCAAGGTTGGAGCTTTTAGTTCTGTATACAAAGTCCGCATACACGATGACTATAACAAGCATTCGGATATCACAGATGTACATACACCCTCTTCATACTTGGATACTTGAACAACTGACTGAGACTGCGAGGTTGCCATCAAAGAAATGAGGGTCACCCAAGACAACGATAAAGGCGAAACTGAAGACGCCTGGGATCGTGAAGCAAGAGCATTAGTGGACATAAATAAGCTCAACCATCCTCACATAACGAAGTGCATAGCTGCTATACGGAGAGGCGACAGTTGCTACTTCATGTTTCCATGGGCAGACAGAGATAGCCTCCGAGATTACTGGGATGGTACCGCAACGCAAGGCCCTCGCAGAGAAACCATCTACTGGGCCATTCGACAACTGAGAGGGCTTGCGGATGCCCTCGACTGTCTCCATCAATGCCGCTCTGGGCAATCCACGCAAAACGAAAAAGAGATTCCTCGAATGCGACATCAGAACAGCAATGTCAAGGAGACAAATCGCATGGGGACCTCGAAAGCAGACAACATCAGACATGGTGACCTGAAGCCGGAAAATATTCTCAGATTCATGGACGAGGAAGATGGCCTCGGGAGACTCAAAATCACCGACATGGGGCTCGCAAAGCGACACATGATCGCAACTGTTGATAGAACACAGCCCACCACCACAAGATACGGTACAGTCCGTTATGAAGCTCCGGAGGCTCTGACCGATATTCATGGAGTACGATCGCGCCTCTACGACGTTTGGTCAATGGGATGCATCACCTTCGAGTTTGTCATCTGGTTGTTGTATGGTAACGACGCACTGAACGAATTCTACAACCAGCTGAAGGGAAATATGGATCAGACAGGACAGTTCTTCGAGATCTCCAACACAGACGGGTTGAAGCATGCTGAAGTTCACCGAGTCGTGCTCCACTGGATCAATCACATTCAGGAGACAGATCCGGAATGCTCACAAGACTCGGCAATTCACGATCTCTTGAGAGTTGTCCAAGGAAATCTGCTTGTCGTTCATCTGCCGCCGAACCGCGGAAGCTCTACTGCTGATGATCGATTATGTACACCGCCGGTCATCGGAGAAACGGCGACTCGATATCGTGCCACTGCCGATCAATTTCGCGCAGTTCTTGACGAGATATTGCTCAAAAAGGACCAGCCAGGCTATTTAGCCACGGGAAAGGAAAGACGCAACGTCACGCTGCCTGCTCTAAATTCTGATATACATAATTCGGTATCAGCTGGTCTTGCGCATGATGGTAAATGACGAATGTAATTGGAGCCTCGAGTCAATCTTCCAGAGAAGCCGACTTTACCTTTCCTCTTCTCAAGGGCTAGGAATCTTATGACGATCATTCAATCGCCTACGAGCTCTGGGGCGTGTAAGATTGAATATTTGTGTAGCCAAGTTGACTAGACTCGAAATATCATACACTCTCCCTACGAATTTAGGGCTCTGGGAAGATAGTTTCTACTTTGAACACAGTCTATTGGATTTGTAGCAGCGTGCCGAGGCCTGCAACTCCAGCAGACTGCTGGACGAGGTTTCCAGAACGACAAATTCTACAAGAAGTGAGCAAGACAAACGGAGTAGCAAAGTTTCAAGATATAGGGATATGATAGACATGACAATAAGATTACGTATCATGGTTAGGAACTTCATTCTCAAGTTTAAAACCTTCTCTCTTCGTCTCCTTCGTTGAATTACATCTTCGTCGATCCAAATTTCCTCCTTTCCACCCTCGCGTTTACATTCTCTCCATATTCTCTCCTCTTCTTATACCCGAAAACTGCTCTGTAATCACCATCCTTGCTCTACATGACAGAACCCTTCGAGGCATACGTGCACCAGAAACACCCCCCTACAGCTCAAGCCAGGAGGACGCGAAGACACGTTGTAAACAAAGAGGACGTGGATAAGTGGTATGAGGACCGAACAGTTCAGGGGGAGCATACGAGATGGATAAAATCTGCGGAGCAGCAAAGAAAGGCTTAAAAACTCAGAATGTCGATTTTGCTGCATGTTTGGATGGGAAGGGGATGCAGTTTTACTAGACATCGCCGTGGTATGGATTGACGCCGACTACCCTGAAAGTGGTTACTTGAATGGAGTGGGATTTAGTCACATCGGTGAAAGTCACATGCATTCCCAACATGAGCGTGGAATTTGCGATACGTGACAGTTTGGACTGAGGAGAAATATGCATACTCTTCATTACAACCTGATACGGACACCGCAGTTTTATAGATGCGCGACAAACGAGATTAAGAGAATGATCTACTCTGAACGTGAACACGAATGTGAAGTGCGATGAAAAAGTAGTTCGCCACCCGCTATTTTCAGAAAGAAAAAGGACATAGATTCCTGAGATGACATCCAACTACCACATCATCTGACTAGTACCGGAAGCGCGAAGCATAAGGTCTGTACTGCCTTGTAGCAGGCGGATAATCAAACTCATCGTCGTCATCATCGAAATCGTCATCATAGTCTTCGTCTCCTTCGTAGTCATCATCTGAGTCGTAGTAGCGGGGCATGAAGAACCTTGCAGGACTGGGGCGATGTCGGTACCCGCCCATCGGGTATCTGGGGAACCTGTAGTCGGTGTCGTCGTCATCGTCGTCGTCGAATGGACTGTATGGCGACATGGGATTGAAGCGTGTTTGTGGGCTACCGCCAAAGCGATGAGGTGTCTGCCGGCTGTGGGTGGCGAGGCCGGGATAGAGTCTGCGAGGTTGGTTGTGATGTGGATAGTGGGGATGGCTCATGGGTGGACGGCCAAGGAAAGCGTTGTGATGTCCCCATCCCCTTCCTGTCCCTCTGCCCATTCCCATCCCCATAGGCCCAAACCCTCCTAGCATAGGTCCCATCCCGTGGCCCATAAACATGCCTATACCCCCCATGTGCGCTGTTGGTGACCGATGGCCGCCGAACATGCGTTCGTATGGGTGCCGTTGGTTTTGCTGGAGCTCTGCAAAGAGCCTGTTGCGGTTCTGACGGCGGTTCTCATTTCCGCTAGCATATGGGTCTTCGTAGGGCTTCGCACGTCGATACATGTAGCCGCGATCAGGGAAACCAAGCGCCGCACACATGTGTGGTGTTGGGAGCTTGGGTGCGCGACACTGAAGAAGTGTCTGTGATGGAAGAAAATCGCCGTTACATGCAAGTTTGGTCGTACGCGATTGATTTCAAGGACTAAGAATTTCGTAGAGGGAGCATGAACGGAGCGACAAGGTAGAGGTTACAAGTGGTTGCTGAGCGTCGAAGGGAGGTAAGTGCTCACGGCCAGCATGCAAGAAAGTGCAAACGGATAAATGCTAGTTGAGTTCGGAGCAAGTTTTATAATAAGTGAATCGTTGTGCAGAGAGCAAAAGAGAGTTCGCAGCAAAGACAGACCCTGGGGACTGCTTTATAGAGGTTGCAAGTCGATGGCTAGAAAAGGTCAAATGCTGCTGCGCATCAGACCGTCACTGGAGACACCAGACGAGATGATCTGAGTGGAAGGATGGTCAGGGAAGGTCAAGGGGATAGAGAGACCAAGTCGATACGGGAGTAGTTCAGACGCTGAACGGTCTTGTTCAACCTGAGATGATGAATGATTGGTGCCGGCGATCTTGCACTGCGAGCACGAGAGGGGTGTAGCAAACTTGAAGTACGACGGACGCCATAGCAAACGGTGGCGATGCTTTGCAAGCGCTGTAAATGAACGGGATCAAACGACTGGTTGGGTCGGGCAGGAAGCTAAGGAATATTCTAGAAAATTCGCGAGAATGAAACGACGATGGCGAAAAGAACCGGACCGGGCAAGGAGTGGCAAGACAAGAGTGCTCTTGCTGGTGTTGTGAAGCACAGAAATGGAATGGAAGGCGCAGGCCACAATGTTCATCCCACGTCACACAAGCGGGGAAGGCGCGAGTGAGCTCCCGCAGGAAGGAACGATTGTTGTTGATTAGGTAGGTGCATGTTGACAAAGCCTCGCGCAAAGTTTCGAGCCAGGCTGACTCACTACGCGTTCACGGTGGACGCGTTGTGGTGAGATGGCTGGGGCGTCATGGCAAAAATGAGGACGCACGTGACGTGACGCTCGGCGGCACCACTTGAAATGTTTCGCTTGGGGCAAGCCTTCTTCTTCCTGTCGCCATATACCACGACTGTCGCTCTGCCTCTTCGCCTGTACCACTACCCTTTGTCTCACCACCGTACCTCGCTGTCGTCGTAGTTGCAATCAGCTGCAAGCCTGACATCATCTCGACCAGTCGCACCTGCATTAACTGAAAACTTCGGGCCTCGACTGCTACTCGAGCCACTTCCTCACCCCACCACAACCACAACAACGATGGCGCCTACTTCTTTTGCATCGGCAGCTGCAGGCAGTAATGCTAGCCCGGCACGTGCAGACTCGGGCGGAGACTGGTGAGTGGGCCGCTTTCCTGCAAATATATTTCCACCCTGCACCTGTATACGCGCACATTCTCGCCGTGAAGCCGCTCAGCATTGTTTGAAAGCACCACGAATTACGCAATATAAATTCCCCCGCTAGCTACCACCTCCCTCGTTACTACTATGGCGGACTCTGCCTATGATTTGGAGGATGCTCATGCCGGCAGGCCTCGACGTACCAACGGTGCCACGCAAACATTTCGGCGGACCTCACACGCAACCAGTCTCTCCGGCTCAACGACGCATTCCGCCACGCGAGACGCGCCCGCGCCCCCGAACTCACATGCAGGCGTCTACGTCCCACCGCACGCACAGCCGGGGCGCAATGGCAGTGCGGCAGAGGGCCGCTACTCACGGGACCAGGTCACGCAGCTGTTCAGGACGAAGCGCGACGCGGATGACGTCAACGATGGGTTGTCGAGTCTGTACGTGGGCGCGTGGGAACCTCACATCACTAACGGCACCGCTGGCGCTTCGTGGGGCCGCAAGGACGACCACGGACGGGAGGCGCAGGGCGGGGTCGGGGCCGATCAGTGCTGGGACCGCGACGGCGAGACGCTGCCCCTCAGTCTGTCGGATATGAACGACGAGGAGAGGGAGGTATGTTGCCCCCGCCGCGCACGCGTAGTGCATGTTCCTGACGTTGGCGTTCTCGCTTAGGTATTTCTCTCGTCTGTGAACTCGCCGCTGAAACCACCCGTCCAAAATACGAACAAGGACGGCACGCCCAAGGAAGACCTCTCCCTACGCAAAACTTCCATATCACAGGGCCCGGGCACCCCCTACGGCCTATCGTCGCCAACCAGCGCACGGCCGGGCAACCGTCGCCGCGAGACCAGTGACGCCTACCCCTTCCCCGCCTCGCCTGCCACTTCCCGATTCGCCCGCGAGGAGTCTGGCGCAATGACACCGCCACCTGCTCTGACACGTCGTCGGACGGATTACAAAGAGCAGGCGCCGGGCGCGACTGGTGCGACCGGCGAGGAGCGTGACAAGGACAAAAATGGAGGTGAGAATGGCAACCAGTTCGGAACATTGAAGCGCACCACGACCGCCCCCTTCAGTGCCGGCGCTGCAGCCTCGCCGTGGTCTGCATCTCCGTCGGGTGGGTTCTCTCCCATGGGCGCGTTTGGCAGCTTCGCCAACCCGCAGTCTGAAAAGAAGCCCGGGTTTGGCAGTGTGCGTGGCGAGAGCAGGTTCAAGGGACTGATGGGAAAGACCAGCACTGAGGACCTGGACAAGGCAGCGAGGGAGAAGCCGTCGATGGGCAATCTGGGCAAGCTCAGTGAAGCAGAACCCACCAAGCAAAGTATCTCGTGGATGGAAGCTCGCTCGAACCGACCAATGAGCAACGACACAGATCCGTTCCCCGACGACCACTTCCAGACGGGCAGTGCAGCTCTCCATGGCGAAGATGTCAGTCCTCCACGATCCCATGGCCTGGGCGCTTTCGGCACGCCACATCGCCCAGATGCGCGCGATGAGAACGGTTTCTCTGCATTTGGCATGACCGCCGATAACACTGGCCTTCGCGACGCCTTCCAGAGCCGGGATCACTTTGCGCACCATACGCCCCACCGCGGAGGTGAAGGAGGACACGAGCCTATGAGCCCTACAGACACTAATCCGTACCGCAGCCCAGATCAGACCCGAGACGGACACGGCGACAATGATTCGGAGGGATCGGACATTCAAAATAACCATTACCCCGGCATGGGTAGTTTCCAGGTCGACACTTCTGTCCCAAACCTCCACAATGCCTTTGGTGGACTTGGAGGACTGGGCAGGATTCCTGCAGCATTCGAAGTTGCTGCAAGCGATCGCAGTCAAACATCCAGCGTCGGACCTTCGCGAGCATTTCCCACTCTTCCAGGACTCGGCGGTCTACCTGGCCTAGGGGGTGCCGCGGCTTGGTCATTGGGTCCGCAGACGTTGGGTACCCCGGTGCGCGAGCGCGGTCTGGGAGGCTTCGACAGTGCTTTTGGAAATGTTGGCGAGGCTCAGTCGCCCTCACTAGCCGGCTTGGGTGGCGGCTCCATGTTCGGACACGGCTCGATGGGTCGTTCCAGCAAACTTGGTTCCTTGTTCCCCACGGCCATGCAGGAGCAGATGCGATCGAATGAGCAACACCGAATCTCAGACGAAAATTCGTCGCATGGTGATCGTCAACAGAGCATGACTGGCACCTTCGGCAGAGGCGCCTTTGGTGGCCATGGCCCCGGCAGCGCAATTCCTGCCCGTGACACCGATAGCCCCTTCCGTGCGAACCGCAATTTGTTCGACGACTTCTCCAGTGCGTCGGCGCAAGACCATGGCGATTCCGCGTTTGGACAGGCGTCTGGACCGGCTACTACTTCGCTCTCCATGGCTGCCCTCAACCAAACCAGGACTGCTCGCCCGACGACGCCTGGTGTAAGCAGCCCAGCTTCAAGTCAGCCCCCGCCAGCTCAACAACGTACTATGGTCATGCCTGATAGAATGAGGTGGATTTACCGTGATCCCTCGGGTAACACTCAGGGTCCATTTTCTGGTCTGGAGATGCACGATTGGTACAAGGCTGGCTTCTTCTCCCCCGAGCTTCTGGTCAAGAAGATGGAAGAGCCCGACTATGAGCCGCTCGCTCAGCTCATTCGTCGCATCGGCAACTCACGCGAACCTTTCCTCGTACCCCAGATTGGCATCCCGCACGGACCGGTTACCGCAGCGCCAGGCAACGTATGGGCAGGCGCGGGTGCTCCCACAACAGGTGCTCAACCTCCTTTTGCTAATAGCTTCCCGAGCTTTGGCACCACTTTGACCGCCGAACAACAAAACGCCCTCGAACGTAGAAAGCAAGAGGAGCAATATTTGATGGCCCGTCAGAAGGAACACCTCGCAGCTCAGCAGCAAGCGCTCGCTAGACATCAGATGGGTGGTATCATCCCAAACCAGCTTCAACACCACTCCAGTGCCCATAGTCTCCACAGCCAACCAAGCTACGGAAGCATTACCTCGCCTGGTGGCTATCAAGCATCTCCTACGCAAGGACCTGTGCCAGGAGCACCTGTTCCTGGTCTTATGGACAATGCGTTTAGGTCAGGCCCCGTTCCCGGACTGGGCCCCATTGGACCAGGTCTGGACATGCTGGGTAATCTGAGGGAGGACGAGGTTCCAGGTATGATGGACCGTCTTTCTCTCGGACGCTCTGGCCAGCAGCCCTCGTTTGGAACTACTCCCTTGACTTTTGGACAACAGCATCCAGAGTCCAACTCGCACGCACAGCAGATAGTTGCTATGCTTAGCGACCGTGCCCGCTTGCAGCGTGAGCAAGCTGAGCACGACGTACAGCAGCGCTTTGGTCCTAACGAGCAGCAAGCTGCACAGGCTTCTGCCGATCGTCTGCAGCAGTTCCAAGATCTAAGAGTCAATACGGATCTAGAGCAGACGTCCAGGGCTGCTCCGCCACCGGAAGGAGTCATCGGAAAGCCTTCCGTGCCGGCAGAGGAGCATCACCCTGAGTCCGACTCGCCTGAGCTTGCAAACCTGCAAGACCAAGCCTCCGAGCCAAAATCAGAAGCCCCTCTTGCCAACAATGAGACCCTGTCGCTTACTGAGCAGGTCCAAAAGGCAGCTTCAGCTAAACAAACACCTCAACCTCTGTCGGCGTGGAACAAAGTAGAGCCTGCCATTTTTCCATTTCCTCCACCTGCCCCCTCTCAGTCTCCCCTTCCCGCTCCTGCTGCGCAGAGGAAGCCAATCGTTGCCGAATCGCTTACGACTGAGACCCGGTCAGGTGCTGTATCTCCTTCTGCTGACACGCCCGCTTCGATTGCACCCTGGGCTAAGGAACCTGCCGAGGCTTCCCGAGGACCCTCTCTACGGGAGATTCAGGAAGCAGAAGCAAAGAAGGCTGCCGAACGTGAGGCTGTTGCAGCGGCTGCCCGTCGTGAGGCTTTCGAGAAGGAACTACTTGCTCAGACTCACTCTCCTGCCGTGCAGCCTGGCCTACCATCAAGTTCGACCTGGGCAAGCGGTGCTTCCCCTGCTACTCCGGTCTCAGCTAGTGCATCGGTCTGGGCCAAACCTGCTCCTGGGAAAACCCCTGCACAGCAAGCCGCCAACTCGAAGAAGACGCTCCAGCAGATTCAGAAGGAAGAAGAGGCACGGAAACAACGTGTTGTCGCTCAGGCCACCGCCGCAGCTAGTGCCCTCGGTGCTGCCGTTCAAGCCGCATCTGGCGGTAAGCGATACGCTGATCTGGCTAGCAAGACTGGTCCCATTCAAGCCATCATCCCCGGTAGTAGCGCCTGGACTACTGTTGGTGCCAGTGGAAAGTCGAAGGCCCCTGTCACCGCGACCCCTACGCCAGTCGCGGTTCGTTCACCCAGCACAACTATCGTTCCACCTGTAGTGAAGAAACCTACTGTAACTCGCAGTACAACTCTGGGAGGACAGCCCGGCAAGGTGAATGCCGAGGAAGAGTTCCGCAAATGGGCTATCAACGAACTCCGATCGGATCTCAACAAAAGCATCAACGGTATGTAATTCGTTAATTTCGACAAAAGGTCCATCCCACTAACAGCTCACAATAGCCGAAGACTTTGTCTCTTCCCTCCTCAGCTTCCCCGCCGACGCCGAACTCATCACCGAATCTGTACACTCGGCATCCAACACGCTCGACTCGCGCCACTTTGCCGAAGAATTCCTCCGTCGCCGCAAACTAGCCGATAAGGGCATCTTCGACGAGCGCAACACGTCCAGCCCCGCTGAGAACAAGTCCGGCGCCAGCGGCTGGTCTGAAGTCGCTAAGAAGGGCAACCCGAGCACTCAGGTCCAACAGCAGCAGCAGCAACAGCAGCAGAATACGCTCGACTCGAGTAACTTCAAGGTCGTGGCTGCGAAGAAGAAGAGTAAGCGGTAGATGAGGATGGATAGGAGATGGATGTAGTGTCATTGGCATATCGATGGCTGTGTTTGGGTGCAATGTCACGCGTTGTTATACGTGTGTGTCTGCTCGTCAAGTTCCTTGTGGGTAGGTGGGTCGCGAGAATCTGAGGGATTTGTACGATGCTAGTGTAGATCAGACGGACGGAGACGATGATTATGACGAAGACGATGATGACATGGTGTACAACGACGATATGGAATGAGACTCGGAATGACGTGTTTGTGTTTTGCTTTTGCGCTTGCGCTTGCTTTGGTGGGGTTGTGAGGGGCTTATGCGTGGTATGCGGTATGAAGGATTGAAGAAGGGGGTGGTTGTGAATGGGGGGCAAGACATTCGATTGAGCAAGACACGTACTGTGTAGTAGTAGCCATGTAGTAGCGAAATGCGAGTGGAATGCCATTGTTGAAACGAAATACACTGCTTTGTATGATTTTGTGCAGTGGACCAAAGTGTGACCCCGATAGAGGGTTTTATATTCACACACAGATTGATGCATACACGGAAGGTATCGCATAGAACGAGTATATTTTGATTCGCGACAACGCCCGAGAAAGAGAAAGGTATCTTCGCCGATCTACTAAAAAACAAAGGTATATGGAACGCCGTGTCATGTGTCTCGTCGAGCTCATGCGTGTGGAATCCATAACGCGCCAGCTCACATCGTCCGCCAAAAGTAATTCGTATAAAAGTGGCGCGAGAACTTGGGATCGATGTTGACAACATGCACATCGCCCTTTGACGCATTGCGAATAACGGCCTTGTTGTACGTGCCCGTCGTCGGATCAGCCTCGACATCGATACCAAGCGTGCGGTAGAGTCTGAGTTTAAGTCTATTTGTACGTGTTAGCCCGCCACAATCATCAATATCCAACTCGTTGGAGTGACAAGACAGAAGAAGAGACTTACACAGTAGCATCCTCGCCCTCCGCCCTCTCCCTCCCCCCCTCAACCCCCTCCCCCTCCAACTCCGCCGCCACTCCCCCCAGCCGCCCCATCTCCTGCGCCAACCTCTCCCCCTCAATATCCAAGTCGCTCGCCTGCTTCGCAATCTTGAACTTCTCCGTATCGAGGCGCAGGATCTCGGCCGCGTGATTCGTTGGGTTGTGCTGCGAGAGGGTGTGGTTGTGGTTTGCGGCGAGGGTTTGGTGGGTGCGCTGCGTGGATTGGAGCGAGGATTTTAGGGTGCCGAGGTGCTGCGAGCGGAAGGTGGAGAGCGTGGAGAGGGAGTCGGAGATTCGGGATAGGGAGGCGGTGTCGTTGGCGATTTTGAAGTGCGAGGTGCATTGCGCGATTAGCTGGTGGGGGGTTAGTTTGGGGGAGGTGTTTTATTGGGGGGGGGGGGGGGGGGGGGGGGGGGGGGGGGGGGGGGGGGGGGGCGGGGCGTACGGCGGCGGGGTCTTCGTCGAGAAGCATTTTTGTGGTGGGGGTGCGGTCGCGTGGATTTTCGGGGTTGGGTTTGTATGTGAATGGTGTGAGGATTCTGGTGATGTCGCGTTTGTTGGTGTTGATGTGTTTGTGTGGCCTGTGCGCGGCGGGCAGGCATGGCAACGACCGCGGTCGCGGCTTCCGCCACAATTCTCGGCTGGGCAGCGCAAAGCCACGAGCAGCGTGTACGTCACCGACCGTTTTCACGAGACAGCTCGGGAAGTCTGCCTACCTACATACCTAGCACCCATCTTGCCGCCCGCCGCTCGCCACCTACAACGATATTTCTCTCTGCACAGAACAAACCCGCACAACTGACCATGTCGCCCTCGTTACCATGTGAGCGCAAATATGCAGTGAGGGGTACCCGGGCAAAAGCTAACGTGCGACACAGACGCCGCAGACGTGGAGTCGCCGCTGAAAGAAGACGAGCTGCAAGTGCTGCGCGCGCAATACGAGAAGGAAGGAGAATATGTCGGCCTGCAGACAAAATTCAACTACGCCTGGGTCCGTCCCCTTTTTACCCCTCCTTTTCTTCCCCTCCCGCGTGTCTGACCGCATTCTTAGGGCCTCATAAAATCCCTCTCCCGCCAAGACCAGCAGGAAGGCGTGCGCTTACTTTCCGACATCTTTCGCTCGTCGCGCGAACGCCGCCGCGAATGCCTCTACTACCTCGCGCTGGGCAACTACAAGCTCGGCAACTATGCCGAGGCAAGACGGTATAACGAGTTGTTGCTCGAGCTGGAGCCGGCGAACCTGCAAGCGGGGAGCTTGAAGGGACTCATCGACGAGAAGGTTGCGAAGGATGGGCTGGTGGGCGCGGCGATCGTGGGGGGAATTGCGGTCGCCGCGGGGTTGGTGGGGACGCTTTTGTTGAAGGGGAGTAGGAGGCGCTGAACGACGCTGGGGGGTTACGAAGGATTTGGGTTGAATGAGCATGGGGTCTTTTTGTGAGAGTTACGTGTGGCGATGTAGGTACATGCGCGGGCGTTTCTGGGCTGTATACCTTTGGTTGAGATTGTACGATGTCTGATTAACATCTCATTTGTTGCACATATGATAACTTTTTGCACGGAACACGGTGTTGATCTGGTCAGTGATTCTCACTATGTCTCTTCCCTCTGCTGGCAACGAGATGGAAACTCCTGGAATGTCGAGGAATACTGGATGGGTGGTCGAACAAACGCAGAGTCAGCACCAGGACATAACAATCGCCTGCCTGTCTGTTTCATAAGACCAATAAAGCAGCTCTTCCAAGCACTACTTCTACGTTACCCACTTTTCTCCAGCACGCAACAAATCGAGCGGGTTGAAGCCACAAGCTTGCTTGAGTTGCCAGCAAGCCGGAACGAATCGCGTTGGACCCTGTCTCCGACGTAGCGATCTTCCCGCCCAACGTCACCGACCGACCTGACAGCTCTCCAAGAACCAAACCTTGCCGCAGCCTCGCCATAGCCTCTCCTTCACGCCCCCTACTCCTATTCTACGCAATCTTCCTACCTGCACCTCGACCTCTCGCATCTACTTGCTGCTGTCAGTCCGCCGCCACACTCTCGCCGCTCATTGTAGCACGGCGCATGCCGGAATTGGTAGCCAGCTCACCTCTGCGCCGAAGCCGCCACCTTGACACTCTCTGGTGAGACTTGCTTCTACATCTAGTCATGTCTTCCTTGCTGACATACTCCAGATCCTCCTCCTACCCACCTTTCCTTCCAACCTATACCCCACTATACATCCGCGACTATGTCGACAAATCAGACGACGCCGGGCCACCGCGACATGATGTTTTGCCACGAATGTGCCGACGAATGGTATCGAGACCAGCACGGCCTGTCGTGTCCCGAGTGCGGCTCAGACTTTACAGAAATCGTGAGTTGGTGTCGCAGACTGTCAATCCGATCTTGACTACAGAGCGCGAATGGCAAATGCGCACCACATCCCGCTAACCCACAGCAGATTGAAGATGACCACGACCCCCGAGACGCGGCGAGACAAGGCGACGACAACGACTTAATGCCCGACATGGAGGAGCCCCCGCTGCACATACTTGAGAACCTCCCCCAAAACCTTAGCCACAACCCATGGCAGAACGACGACCCAGAAGAGGGAGACATTAGCAACTTCCGCTTCTCGCAGACTGCACCCGGCAGGTACAACGTCCAGGCCACACTCACACGCTCAGTCTCGCCGCAGCAGATGATTACTGGAACGGCGCCTGGGCCGATAGGCGGCTTCATGCAGATGCTGACCAACCTGGCGCGGGTCTCGGGTCAGCCACCAAGTCAACAGCGGGCCCAAGGGCAGGGTCGGGGCGAGGGGCTGTCGGGTCAAACAGATGGACAGAGTCACTCTGCGTACGAAGAGGCACGATCACAGAATGAGGGAGGCGATTCATCACTGCCCCGATCGGGGAGGTTCACATATCATGGTGGCGCGCGGTTGTATCCTCGCGATGCGAACAACCCTGAACCGCGGATGGAACCTGTGGATGACATCTCAAAGTAAGTTTAAAAAACGTTATTAGCAATACGTGGATGCTAACGCGCAACAGCGTCATGGCCGGCTTCTTCGCAGCATTTGGTGCACCACCTGGGAGCATGAACGACCATCTACAAGGTGGCCTGCGGGGTGCTCAACGCGGACAGCCCAATCTCGATCAAAATCCACACATGGTTGGCAACCCGCTACTGCAAATGCTCTCCACCGTAGGCCTGATACCCGGCGGCGGCCAGATGGGCGACTTTGTCTACTCGCAAGAAGGCCTCGACCGCATCGTCTCCCAGCTCATGGAACAGACAGCCACAAGCAACGCCCCCGGACCCGCCCCCCAAGACGAAATCGACTCCCTAACTCGTAAACGCGTCACAGAAGATATGCTCGGTGACGAACACCGCGCTGAGTGCAGTATTTGCATGGACGAAGTCAATATTGGTGAGGAGGTTACGGTGCTCCCTTGCAAGCACTGGTTCCACCACCCATGTGTGTCGGCCTGGTTAAAAGAACACGATACATGCCCGCACTGCCGAAAGGGCATTTCGAAACACGAGGGCGAGTCAAACGACTCCACGTCGTCGTCGAGCGGGCAGGCAGCATCAGCATCGCAGTCGCGGCAGATGCCCGGCGCATTCGACGCATCCGACACTACCCCTAGCGGTTCACCAGCAAACGCCAACTCGTCGTCTGAAGGCGGGGGCGTTGGGGATCGGATACGCAGGGGTTGGTTTGGTCCTACGTCGTGAGCCTGTGTCGTTACTATGTAATTGAGCTGATATCCCCTCTTTTTCACCCACAGGACGTCAACGCCTCAGAGAAAGCAGGGACAGATTGAGGGAGGCGAGACGCTTCAGTCGATCCCTCTCGGCTGCTCTCGATGCTCAGCAGTCCCCTGAGATCTTGGTCGTTGGTATGCCGGATGGGAGGGCCCTCATTCTACATCCTACGCGCAGGACTACACGGCAGTCTGAGGTGATGATGCGTGCTCGGTCTGATATCTGATGGGTTGGCGTTGGGGGTGCTGTGTCCTTTTATTCTTCGAGTTGTGCGTGGGTATTGCGCGACTTCCTTTCCTGAGAATGAGGGTTAGACTGGGCGAGTTTTTTATACGTTTGGCGGCATTTTTGTGGCGTTGGGAGGGGTTGGTTATATGCGTAGTTTTATGCGGAATGCTATGATATGATGGGGGATGGTGGTTGTTCTCTAACATCTCTTCTCCTGCGTCTGCGATAGTCGTCGTAATGGAACATACTCTACTAATACCCAGACCATGCATGGAGTCAATTACGTAACATTCACATTTCCAGTCGGTACTATTTCACAATCACGAATTGACCGCTCACTTAGTGTGATTCGACAACCATGAATTCATTCTCGCCAAGACATGTCAGGTCACGCGTCCAGCTAGCGCCAGCGGCGGGCGCAAAAGTCATGTCAAGGCAAGGCAAGGATCTGCCAGCGCATTGCATGGCATGGCATGGCATGGCATCGTGTACGAGGGATTGGATTGGATTGGATTGGACTAGACTGGACTGGATTGAACTGGAGGGATGGGATGGGATGAGATGGGGCTAGGTGGACTGCGAGATGGCTTGCATGATGTGATGTAGTTTGGTGGGCAATGCGGCGTGGTGAACTGATGGAGATGACGTTGCGGTGAACTGATGGAGTGCCGATGCTGTGTACGCGACATTACGTGCATGGGCGTGATTGGCTGGCAGGCTGGATGTTGTGCGACGGTTATGTGCGGGTGAACAGATAGGATGGGGTGGAGGGAGGAGTGTACTACCTACAAGACCAGGACGAAGAACAGGGCAAGGCAGGATATTGAATTGGAATGACAATGGTAACGCTCATGGTAGCGTAATTGAGGGGTCGGTTGGCCGTCACATGTCACGTCCCACGTCCAAAGCTTATCCCTGCCCCCTCTCGTTGTCGCCTCGCCTCGACTCGACTCGGTGAGGCGGTAAGAAGCAGGTGGAGCCGTGGGGAACTCTGACCGCCACAAAACCAACCACCATCGAGGGCTGGGTTTGGGACGAGTGCGTGCATGTGTGCTCTCTGCGTGCCACCTGCCTGCCTGGCTACCTGAGACGATCTATGTTCCCCCAGAGTTGCGCATCATGCAAACAGGGTCAAGGCGGCATGGACATTTCAGACGGGCTACGTGAGAGGCTGGACAGGCCAGCAATGACTAGCCGGGGGCTACAAGGCGGTTCGTTGGCGCGTAGCGTACATAAAGCGACATAGGGCCCGCCCGCGCAGCAGAAGATGCAGCTGTCAAGCAAGCGGGAAGCAAAACAGAGATTTTTTCTTGTTGAATCTAATCGCAGATCTGCTAGATAGGGCAAGGGGAAAAAAAAAGGGCTGGAGAGAGAGAAAAGTCGGGACGAATCAGGGAAGCACAAGCGGAAGGGAATAGCTTGGTTGTGTGTGTGCAGATATGCCTAGGCTGTCAATGGGACGTAGGCGGGAGAGCTATGATGAGTGAGTTCCTCCGTCATTCTTCGCTTTTTTCCTGCACGAGACTGCCGCCTCTTGCCTGCACTACTACTACCTTGGTTCACGCTCCCCCCTTCGACTTCCACACGCTTTGCTCTGGTAAGATTGCTCCCGTGAGGTTCTCGAGGGCTGCTGCACACGCTGCAGTGCTGTCCTGACGTTGTTGCCCCCCGCCCGTTCGCCGCTGGCTGCTGCACCGCGCTTATCGAGCTTTTCACTGACGACATCTCCCGCAGCGCATCGTCCAGAGAGCAGAAGCAGATCCTCGCGGACATTGAGTCGGGCTCGAACAAATTCGGCCGCCGTCTCCTCGGATCACGCAGCAACAGCAGCAGGCAAGCGCCTCCGCACCCAGTATCCCCCGCTGCAGCCGCCGCGGGTAAAGCAGACGACAGCAGAGGCCGTAAATCTTTCAGTAGTAGCAATCGCCCGGGACTGCCCAAACGCACAAGCAGCATGCGAGGTGCCTACAACTACTTTTTCGGCAGCGGACAGCCCATGCCCGCCCCAGCGACGCCCACCAGCCCAGTCATGACGGCCGATACCGCCAGCAGCGACCAGCACATTGGCCTCGACTCGCCGCCTGATACGCAGGACGCCGATGTCGAGGTCACTGGCCGCCTCAGTGAGGATGAAGCGAGTAGGTGCCCCTCTTTCCTTTGTCGCCCGCCCGCCCAATAACACATTGCCCAGGCCCTGGTCGCCACTACTCCATGTCTCTGCATGCAGGCTCTCTCTACACACCTGCCTCGGCTCTACTGACCCACCGCCTGCCAGCAGCAGACCCGCCGTCGCCCACGCCCAGCGACAATGTCGCCTCCCAGCTCGCCACGCTAAAGAAGCGCCTGGCCCGCGCCGAGGCCGAGCTCGAGGAGGCGCACAAGGTCGCCCAGACCCAGGACGAGAACGTCAAGACGCTCGAGGTCGGCCACAAGGAGCGCCAGAAGGGCTTCGAGGAGCGCGAGGCGACACTCCAGCAGGACAAGAAGGACCTCGAGGAGCACATGGTAAGCGTCGTCGTCCAGCAGGTGCGCGAGGCAAAGGCCAAGGAGCGCAGCACCGTGCGCGACGAGTGCGAGGTCGAGTTCGCCGACAAGATGGCCGCCGTCGCCACCGAAAACAAGGCGCGCGTCGCCGAGCTGCAGCACGAGATTGAGGCGCTCAAGGCTGAGATTGTCACCCTCAAGGAGTCGATAGCTAGCCTGAAGGCTGACAAGGCCGACAAGGGCGGTCTCGTCCCCAAGGCTGACCTCGAAGTGCTGGCTGCCGAAAAGGCCGCCGCCGAGGAGTCTCTTGCCAAGGCTGAGACGGAGCTCGAGTCGCTTGCGGTCGCGAAGAAGCTCGCTGAAGACTCGTTGGTCACTGTCACCGCCGACTACACGACCATGCAGACGGCCAATGCTGAGCTCAACGAGCTGATCAAGGGATCCAAGCAGCATCTGACCGAGACCGCGCGCGCCGACGTTGACGCCCGTGATGAGAGCATCGCCGCCCTCGCCCTCGAGAAAGAGACCGCGCACAAGTCGGTCAAGCAGCTCGAGGCCCAGGTCGAAGAGCTCAAGAGCCAGATCAAGGACGTGCAGGCCAAGTTCGACGAGCAAGCCAGCAAGATCGCCGTCCAGGCTGAGGAGCAGACTAAGTTGGCCCATGACAACGAGGTCCGCGGCACTAAGATCACCGTGCTTGAGGAGGCTGTCGCTGCCAAGGTGATTGCTGCTGACGAGGCTGCTGCCAAGGTTGTGGAGCTCCAGAAGGCCCTCGGCGATGCTGAGGCCGAGCTTGCTAACAAGGCACACAACCTCGACTCCGCAAAGGCTACTATCGTTGCCAAGACGGAGGATGCTGATGCCAAGGTCACTGAACTTGAGAACGCGCTTGCGCAGGCGAAGGAGGACCTTGCCACCAAGACGTCTGAACTCGAGGCTGCCAAGGCTGACGCCATCGCAAAGTCTGAGGAGGCTGCCGCTAAGGTTGCTGAGCTAGAGACTGAGCTCAAGAATGCTCAGGAAGAGCTCGCCACCAGGACGTCTGACCTTGCATCCGCCAAGGTTGACATGGCCACCAAGTCGGAGGAGGCTACTACCAAGGTCACAGAGCTGGAAAACGCGCTCGTCGAGGCCAAGGAGGAGCTCGCTAAGAAGCAGGCTGCCTTCGAGGCTGCTCAGGCTGAAGCTGTTGCAAAGTCTGAGCTGGCCCATACCAACGCCAACCAGCTCACCATGCTCACCGCGTCCTCCACGACTGAGATTGACGCGCTCAAGGCCGAGATCAGCGATTTGCAGAAGAACCTCAAGGCTGCCGAGTCAGGCAAGGACACGGCAGAGGGTGACCTTGAGACTGCACGCGCTAAGATTGCCGAGCTGGACGCTTCTCTCCAGAAGGTTCTGGATGAGTTGGTTACCAAGAAGGCTGAAGTTGATGCCACCTCGACTGCACTTGCTGTTGAGGAGGAGGCCGCTGTCAAGGCCGTCGAGGAAGCAGACAGCCAGGTTGATGTCCTCACTGCCAAGGTTGCGGAGCTTGAGAAAGCCCTGCAAGGCGAGAAGAGCAATGTCGAGGCTCTCAACACCAAGGTTGCGGAGCTCGAGAAGGCGCTTCAAGAGTCCAAGGACAATCTGGCGGCGAAGCAGACCGAGTTGGAGATTGCGAAGACTGATGCTAGCAAGATCTCCGAGGTCTCTGACGCCAGGATTACTGAGCTCGAGGCTGCACTTAACGAGACCAAGGCTGATGCTAGCAAGGCTGCTGCCACCTCGAAAGAGGAGAAGGAAGTACTTGAGAGCACTGTCGCCACTTTGTCGGCTTCGCTCAAGGAGGCCAAGGACAACTTGGCCGCTAAGGAGTCTGAGTTGGAGGCTGCTAAGAGCGAGGTTGGCGAGACCAGCAAGGCTCTTGCATCTTCGAAAGAGGAGGCTGAGGGACTGAGGGCCACCGTTGCGACTCTCGAGGCTTCGCTCAAGGAGGCAAAGGACGTTGTGGCTACGAGAGAGTTGGAGACTGAGGCTGCCAAGTCCGATGCCACCAAGACATTCGAGGTTACGGCTGCAAAGATCGCTGGGCTGGAGATGTCGTTGACGGAGGCGCGGGATGCTTTGGTCGCCAAAGACTCTGTGTTGGAGACTGCCAAGGACGAATCCAGCACCGCTGTTGAGGCTGCTCAATCAGACGCTCAAGCACTTCAGATCAAGATTGGCGATTTGGAATCCGCCTTGAACGAGGCGAAGACCAACCTCGCAGCCAAGGACGCCGAACTCGAGGCAGCCCAGAAGGATGTCGTCGTTGCGAAGGAGGACATTACCAAGGTTACTGAGACCGCCAAGGTTGATGCCGAGGGTCTCCAGAGCAAGATTGCTGAGTTGGAGGCATCAATCAAGGAGCAGGACGCGAAGCTCGCTGAACAGGCCCAGGCTACCTTGTCATCCAAGAGCCAATCCGATGAGCTGGCTGCCAAGGTCGCTGCCCTCGAGGAGTCTCTTATGGAGGCCTCGACCAAGCTGGAAGCCAAGGATGTAGCGCACACTGCAGCTCTCGAGGTTGTTACCTTGTCCAAGGTTGACGCCGAGAAGGCTGTCGAGTCTTCGAAGGTGGACGTTGAGGCTCTTACCGCCAAGGTTGCTGAGTTGGAGTTGGCCAACAAGGCCACCGCTGCTGACAACGAGGCACTCCAGACGGCCAAGAACGTACTTGACAGCGAGTTGACGGCCACTAAGCTAGCCAAGGAGGAAGTCGATACTCAGCTGGAGATCTCGATTGTGAATGACGCCAAGATCGCTGAGCTGCAGGCTCAACTCGAGAAGACGACCGCCGACCATGCTATTGCGCTCAAGACGGCACAGGACCACATGGAAGAGGTCCAGCTGTCTCAAGTCACACTCCAGGAAGAGCTCAAGGTCGCCAAGGTCGCTGAAGCCGCTACCACACCTCTGCAGACCGAGCTCGTGGAAGCAAAGGCTCTGGCAGAGAAGGCGGTCGCCGAAAAGACCGAACTGGAAGCCGACATCAAGGTCCAGGGCGCCAAGATCACCGAACTCGAATCCAGCATCGAAACCGTCGAGAAGGAGAAGACCACCAAAGACGCCGAGATCACTGAACTCCACGCGAAGATTGTCGAGGCCTCGCAAGGATCCGACGCTCTCAAGACGCTCGAAGCCTCAAAGGCCGACGTCGACGCCCAGCTCCTCGAGGCCAAAACTACCCTCGCAACCCACGAGGAGAAGTCGACGACTTTCGAGACCGAACTCACTACCCTCAAGGCCGCGAATGAGACGTCGCACGCTGAACTCGAGGCGCTTAAGGTGTCGCTTGATAAGGCGAAGACGGATCAGGAGCAGCTGAAGAAACTTAACACGGCGGTTATGGAGAAACTCAAGGCGAAGGATGCGCAGATTAAGGAGTTGAGCGCTAAGGCTAATGGGGCTGCGTAGTTTTTTCGCTCATCACGAGTCGAAGCAGATGACCCGCCGAGAGGTTGATGTTCCGCGAAAAGGGGGTAGGAGGAAACGATGATATCGTTCGTTTCGGTCTCTGTGTGTGGAGTGTTTTGAGAAGCGGTAGTAGATTGTAGTAGTGGGCATCTGGCATTATACCCCCCCTCTCCCCTCCCCTTACCCCCCCTGCCTCCTGCCCCCTGCCTTCGTTTGCGAAGCTTTGCGTCGTTGGCGGGATGGATGGATGTGGCCCGCGTGTCTGTCTGTGTGTACGTGTGTACGTGGGAAGGTTAATGCGTGGTCATTTCGTCTTGCTGCATTTTTCTGCACTCTCTCCTCCTGGTTTGTGGGTTCGGGGTTGGTCCCGGGGTGGGTTTCTGGGTCTTTTTTCGGAATGTGTCTCTTTTTCGTGGTGAAGGGAGTGGAGTGGAGTGGAGTGGAGGGTGGGTTAAGGCGAGGGTATATATAGGATAGTGTAGTGTGGGAGGTGATGGGGATGAGTAGAGTGCCTGGGCGGGTGACGATTAATGAGAATTCTTTACTTCTTCTGTTTAGGCTTGAGGTGCTTTGGTGTGGTGTGTTTGATGTAGTGTGTCTCTTTCTGTCTGGATCTTGCAAGTTGCAAATCATGTGAATACCACCCATATGAGGTTGATTGATATTGGTGTCTTGTGCTGTGCATACTATGCTATGCTATACAATGACTGTCTGTCAGTTTCCCTATTAGTGTAGTAGCAAGCAGTATTGCAGTATACATTCACTAATGTTTTGTGCGTTGCTTGGACTTGTGCGGAGGAGACAGGAATGCGTACGACGGCCCTTCCTTCCTTCCTGCCTTTGTCTTGTCATCCGTGTGCTGGGAGTTACTGTGTGGCTATTCGAACTAAAACTTAAACTGGGGGGATGGGAGAATACGTATATGGATAGATGAAAGAATAGATAGATGGATAAATGGATTAACGAAGAAACTGGGAGCTTGATTTTGTGGGTAGGTATAGTATATATGTGCAATGCAATGAGCCGAATACAACGTCTGTAAACTAGTCTGGGTTTTATATAACGACTGAACTAAACCAAACTGAGTTTATTCTACTACTGTAGGATTTGCCAGCGTGGATGGTCTGCATCTGTGGAGAAATGTGCTACGGTAGGTTAGGTTGAGCGTCTTGATTTTGGATTGTAAGGTGGATGCACGTAGGTGTTTGGGTGTTTGGGTGTTTGGGTAAGCATGAGATTGTGATGGGATGGGAAGGGTTGGGTGTTTGATACAGCATGATGAGTGAAATGAGAAGAGAGGATGGAAAATAGGGGGGGTTTTGATAAGCACACCGCATACTCGAATGGTGGAATGGTGGAATGGTGGATTGGTAGAATGGCTCGGTCTACTATCTCCCCCAGGCGGTGCGTGTGTCGAGATGGCATGGACTTGGGGCTGGTGTCGCATCGAGATGTTGTGCGGCGTGGACTGGCGGTTTGGGGTGGGGGTTGGAAATAGAGAGGAGGGCGTTGAGAGTCTACTTTTATAACAAGGTTGTTGATTCTTGGTGTAAATATGGAGTATGTGTAATTTGTGGTGGTTTGAAAAGACAAGTTCACCCATGGAGAGACGTCATGGCAGACAAATCAGTAGAAGAGCCCATAAGCGTTGACCGTCTAGAGGCGTTGCGATGTTTTTACCATCGTTTGACATTTAGTTTTTGCTTACTTAGAGATTTGTCAGAAAAATCATAATTATGGACGATTTCTTCACTGATAAATTTTGTTACTCTCAGCAAGGAATACCAACGCTATCAGAAGATATGTTACACTACTTGGACATCTCAACACTGTCTAACTACGTTCGCCGTCAAGAGATACGCTTTGTCTCTTCGTCTTCGCTTTCACACCGCACCCCTCGTTGAGACGTCGCGTATCTCTGCTACAAAACCCGTTCTCGATGTTCCGGTACACTGAACAGACTGTCAAAATCACGAAGAATTCACAAGGGCATACAAGGTTTCTGGTTGGGCAATGTTTATGTGAAAGGATATGTCGAGGATGATGTGGTGCGTTGTGGTAGCGCTTAGTCTCGAGTTAATATAGGGAAGAATGCATGTTGTCTCGCGGTGAAAGGTTGGAAAAAGTGACGATTGTGTATATAAAATCTCTGGTGAGAGCATGTACGGCGTTAAGGGACGGATACATTGTGTTCTGGAACGGGCTGGAATTACGTCCGCAGCTGGGAATATGTTGGGCTCCCATTTTGGTGGTGGGCTGGTTCTCTTGGGATATCTGGAGTTATCCCAGGGATGGGAAGCTTGCCTCAAAACACAAGAAACCTGGCGCGAAACACTGACACAAAATCAAGTAGGAAACGTGCATACGTGAGCCACATTGGGACAAGATAATCATGGTCTTGATTTAAAGCGTATCAAGAAACTGATTTGAGCATAGAGTCAAGTTTAATCAAGATTTGGGCGTAATTTAATAGGTAGTCTTCTGGACAACATAGAAGCTACTGCATTGCCTTGGAGGAAGGTCACACTTCTGCACTTGTTGGGGTGGGATGTTTTGATGGTAAAGGCTTTGATCGACGATGTTGATAAGCGGAATGTCTTGTAGGCATTGGTCAGTTGGGGATTTGGTCTTGTTGATCTACAATCCAAATTTCGATCTAGGTTCGCAGTTGGATACCAGAAGGTTTGCATAGACGTTGGCCATAAGATGCTCGAAACGGTAATAATCACGGTGGTATGTCGAAAGAGGCAACAAAAGCGAAATTGGTCAGCTGTGCGATGAACTTGTAGAAGAGAGTGCATTCCCCAGTTCTGTTAGCACTTGAGTTAAAGTTTCATATCAACATTAGTGTAGGATTTTTAGATTACCCTTTCCTTGACGAAAGCATGTTCATCCTTCGTTGCGCTCATCAGGTTCATCAGCGATGCAGTGAATTATCAAAATTCTAATCCTTGGTCAGCTCCGAACGCTGCTTATAGGCGTATTTTTCGCCGGACCTACATGCCGGTAGGGATTTTTCGAGTCAGCCGCATCTGCCGTCAACCTGTCAGTTTAGCATTTGCCGGGCATTTTCGCTTACCTGGTCTTTGGGAGAGATGGTGATTTGACGAGCTACATAGCACACTAGCCGAAGATAGTTAAATCCATGCACATCATCAGACCATCCAGTCACGTCACGACCACCTTTATCCTCCTCATCTTCTTCACACCTCTCGATCAGTACCAGTCCAAATACATACACTCCATTGTAGCCCTGCTTATCCCATTAAGGTCGAGGATACGGAGTACGGTGTGATCTTTCCAATGACGGCGCGCCACGAGGTAATAGCCCTAGGGCCTCCGTTGAAGGCCCGAATGCAACCAAGCTTTGCAATATGTTTCGCTCGATACTCCCGCTGTTGATCATCCGACGAAGCAGAAGTTTTTCTAGCACCGTCGGGAGAAATTACTCCAAGATTTAAGTGTCGGTCAACATCTGACGCACGCTGGTGACGCGGTTCGTGATATCCATATGTATGGATGCGAGTCATATCGACAGCGGATTGTGGGTCTTGCGGAAACTACTTCACCTCTTCAAGTCTAAACCGCCGTTGACTTGTTTAGCAGGCTTGCCCAAGAGCCAATCGCACCCCATCGCACCCAACTGCCCTAGATAAATTTCCGATCCGACTTGGATATGCCAGTCAAGGGACGCGGAAGGAACCGCCTTCAGTGCTGGTGGAGTTGCAGCAACATGGTACTTGATAGATCGTCATGCGCGCACTTTCTTCAAATCTAAAGACGTTGCAATTTGATATTCTCGTGCAACCTTTGTTGACCTACTTGTTTTACCAGCACTCAGAAACCACAATCAGTCTGATCAAAAATGGCCGGCATACTCTGTGTGTGGGCGAATCTCCCAGAACCGGCCCTTGATTGGTATGAGGATATGATCACTGGCGAAAGGAATGCGAATCCAGATTTATATCTGGACTCACTGCATTGCGAAGTCACCGCAAGCGGTATGGAAGGCGACCCAATAGGCAAACTCGACTCTCCATGGCGCTGGTTCACTATTCATGAAACGAGCGACTTGGACAAAGCCTCGAGTCGCTCAGACGCCAATCAACAAACGCTCACGGACACCGCCCTCATCGCCGAGTTTAAAGAAGCGCGCTTCGACGTGCGAACATATACAGAACACAAGCGCTGGCAAGCCGAGGACTGGAATGGTGGTGAGACTTGTTATTGTTCAACACAAAATCAACCGTCTAATTGTGTCTATCAGATAATGCCGAGATTGCGAGTGTGGCCGCTATGGAGTGGCATCTGCCAGCTGATATGGAAGACAAGGTTCTGGACTACTACATCAACGACGTTGCACCGGGCATCATGACTTCGCCAGACGTGCTCAGGTTTAGGCTATTCAAAGTAAAGAACGCGACCGTATGGGAAAAGAACACACACACTACCTTGGACAAGACCGCACTAAAAACCTACTTCACGCTTGTCGAGCTCGCAGGTGACGAATGGCCATGGGCCGCCATAGTTGACATGGCTGAGGATGAGAGGTGGAAAGCGTACTTTGAGTCGCAGACAGTAGTGGTAAGTATGCTATGCGTATACTGTTGTAAACGAAGCTAACAACGAGGCAGAAATGGCAGCTCAGCCATTACCTAGTCCAGAAATCTTTTCCCGAACGCGACAGCGCGACAGGCTCTGACACCGGCGACGACGACAGCAGCGACGAATACCACACTCGATGACAAGATCATCTTGCTTGCTGTTCGTATCGAATCACTATTGTGCCCATTTCGAAAGATTTGTATCCATTTTTATTTAGATTGGGCCTTTTTGCACAACTTGACAAAAAAAGCCTCAGGTTCTATACTGTGTGTTGATCGGTCGATACCCTTCCTTACTCTCGGTTGGCGTCAAGGTTTTCAGTCGAGGTTCCGGTATTTCCGATTTCGGGGTTCGTCATGTAGGTCTTCAAGATCTTGACTTGGATGGTGGGGAGTCGGGCCCTTTTCGAGGTTCTGGGTTGCCCCGGTTTTCTTTATATGTCAGTAGCGATCGGCGGGTGGGGGTTCGCACCTGCTTCTTTGCGTTAGGTGCGTTTTCCATCGCTTATGCATGAATGTCAGGAGATTTCTCGGTCTTGCTTGTCTAGGTGGCTAGCTGGCAAAGATCCCTACATACCAGAAATTCTACCAACTTCAGATAATAAGTGAGCAGCAACAAACAAAGATTTTGAAATCCAGTATACGCAGAATGATAGAGTGCCTTCTGCTCTTGAGACCTTGCTACTACAGTTTTATAAATATGTTGTTGCTGTGTAGTAATTAATCCCTTTTCACTAACATTTTCTACTTGTTTTGTGGTATTGGAATATTTATGTAAACTCAGCATTTCTATCAATCCATATCCCTTGCTGGTGTAAATATTCCCTGAACTACATGTCTCGTTTCACAACCTCGCTCTCGCTCCTTATCCATCACTATATCAGTCCACTCTCCTGCAAATATCCGAGTCCAAAAACCATCACACCAAATTCCCTTTTACAACCCATGAACCATACAAGACACCACGCATTGGTAATTCAACCAATCTCAACAAACCAAATGCACTTCGAACACGCCCCACCTACCCAGAAAACATCAAAAATGAAGCGAAAATTCAGTCTACAAATGGGTACCGCAGGCCCAAAATAGAATGGTGTATCTACATTCGTCGCACTACATCCCCCGAAGACTTCAACGTACCCGTGGCAGATGATCGAAGCACTGTATACGAAAAGCCGTTGAAAAAAAGGATGTATTGAATAGCTGTGACGAAAGAGACCTCAAGACGTGAACACGGCTTGACATCAATACTGATAATTGACTAAGAAGAAAAAACTAACAATATTACGTGCAAACCTAGCTTCTATACATACAGGAACACACATGCCAACAAAACCCCCATCTCCCAAGCAAAAACACCAAAAATGCACCCCCAAAACGCCCTAAACCCACAAACAAACCATCTACGAGCTCCCCAAGATCCTCCCATAAGCATCCTCCACCTCCCTCGCAACCTCCAACAGCGTAACAATAACAATCTGATGCGTAACGTTCGGCAACCGGTCACGATGCAGGCCGATCCACTCAAGCGGCGGCGTCGCCTCACCCATATCCCTCAGCTGCGGAGTCTCGATGAGCGGCGGCTCGAGGGGCGTGTATTCGTACTTCGACTGGGGCACATTGACAACGGCTGTGATTTTCTCTCCGTTCTCGCCATACACGGACGCCGCGCGGGGGCGCGCTGTCGACGAGGGAGTCGTAGCAGTGTTGTCCGACGGTAGCGGAGCAGTCTGAGACGTGCTAATCTTGATATTCGACTCCGGGAGGGGTTTTCCCAGGCGGGAGGCCAGGGTGCGCGAGTGGTTCGACCACATGGTGCGGATGTACGAGATGCGGCTGTAGTTCCAGCCGACGTCGACCTTGCCCTCGAGCGAGCTGCGGAACAGGTAGTCGATGTGGTTGTTCTCGGGGATCTGCCAGGTGTGCATTGTGGCGATTACTTTGGGGACGCGCAGGATGGTTCCGCCTTTGGCGGAGCGCGCGCTTTCGGCTACGTCTTCGACGCTGAGCTCGCTGATGGGGCGGCTGTTTTTGGGCGCTGGTACGGAGGATAGCGCGACGGAGAGTTGGCCTAGTGTCATGCCTAGGCTGGAGTGGATCTTCTCTTTCTCGAGCGCGACGGCGAAGCGGGCTTGCATGTCGCCGGCTTCTAGCGTGAGGATTTGGTTGTCTATGAATGATGAGGGGAAGATGCCGAATTTGATGGAGCGCAGCGTCACCACAACGTCTGTGTGCAGGGAGATTGGTGCTTTGAAAGGTTCCTTGTCGGGCTTAGGAAGGATCGTACTCTGGGAAGGTGAGCGATCAAAAGGCATCGACACGGAGGATTTGCGGCGTAGGAACTTCTCAATGTCCCTCAACGACTGCTTGTATGCTTGCTGGTTCTCTTGTACCAGCCGCTCGACAGCTTGGTACAGCGCCAGACCTTGTGCAGCGCTTGTAGCATGGCAGAACACGTGAACCTTGTCGCCATCGAGGATAGCAACCAGACGGTCCTGTGCACCCTGACCTTCTTCGTGAACATTGTACATCAGGAACTCGAAGTTGGCAATGTCCGCCATGACAAATGCTTGATAATCGAACCCGGTCTTGACGCGCAGTTGACGGAAGGCTATCGATGCCTGAATGAGTGGCGTTTGGCGGCTGTTTGACGCTTCCAACGGCCACGCGATAGATGTTCGCACCTTGACGCCGGCAAGCTCGATGAAGCCACTTGTGCGTCCCGTACTTTCGAGGCCGACTTTCTCAACACCCAGGCACAGGTTTTGCTCCCAGTTAGTGCCCTTCTTAGACGAAGCCCACATGTTATGGACGTGGAGCGACGACTTTCCGATGGCTTGACCCAGATCCAAATCGACCACAACGTCCGCGATCGCCACATTAGCATTCCATGGGAAAGCTGTCGCAGCCGTGACTTGTTGGTACCGTTGCATAAGATACTCTTGCGGCTCGGAGTTCGAGCTCACGTTCACAGTCAAAGCCTTGGATGACTGTCTTATCTCCGGTGGTATCCAAATCTCTCTGAACAGCAGGAAATCCTGAAGCTGACGAGCGTTGATCTGGAGCTTGGTCGGATTGATCTTCAGTATAGCCGAAATTCCACTAGTACCGCTGAGATGCTTGCTGTTCATGACAGACAACACAATCGATTCGACATCCAGACCAAACGTAGATTCTCGAGAATACACATGCTGGACTGTAGCTTGGAGTTTTTGGAATGCGGCAGATACAGCAAAGAAATGCCCGTGTTCTTGCGACTTGACACTGTTGACGGTGACGTATATGTCTTCCAGTTTGGCGACGGCTGCAACACGCGCAATAGGCTGACAGCTGAGACTGAACTCTTGTCTGCAAATTCTAAGACCCAGGTTGAGCCTTGTTCGGCCCAAGAGCGCGGTAGGGTCGGCTGTGATGATATTGTTTTCTTCTTCCGAGTTCTTGGTGGCTGGCTTCGTCTGCGAATCTTCCGGCGAGCTAGGTGAACCTGCATCGTCCTTCTCACGGACAACCGCCTTGATGCTTTCAGATATATCGATCATTATCGGTACCACTGTAGGCAGTAGAGTGTTATCTGAACCGTCAACTCGGAGCTCGGCGTTGAGAGCTGGATCATGCCCATCGTCTTGGTATTCCACTCGCAATGCTACACCTGGTGCTCGCAGGGCCAAACTGCTCTTAGAACCATCGCCTACGAACTGGCTGTACCTGCCTTTCCGTTGCGATCGATTTGATGCAGGTTGAGCTGGCGAAGCTTCGCCTCCGCTGACATGTACAACAGCTCCAGCGAAGCTTGCATCGACTGTGAGCGATGCAAGTCGTTTATTACCAAACACACTCTTGCGTTGAGCACCGGTCGTGGTGGGTGTCACGCTCCAATTTGCAGAAGCCGTCCGCAACTTCTTCCCCGCAAGAGCGATCGACCGTTCAATGACATTGGCAGGAAGGATAAAACGCGAGTCGAGTTGAAGATCGAGCGCTTTCCCAGCGGCGTGAAATGCCATCTTTCGGGTGTCCTTTGTAGAAGCATATGCTACGTTGAACACCATTTTGGGGAGTAGAGCTGAATTGGCGGACCGGACCTTCTTGTCGGCCGAAACAGGCACCATTTGTAGTCGCATGTCCTCAATCGTCAAGCGTGCTGCATCATCCTTTTGGGTAGAGAGGTCAATCTTCTTGAAAGACAGTACGAGGTCTTCGGTCTCACTCCTAGCATAGGGCGCGATTGACGTCCCGACGATCCAGTTGATTTGCATATCGAGCAGCTCCAAGGAGTACGTGGACGTGAACAAAGCACCAGAGCTGACACTATCAGTGTCTGTATTCGCATCGCTCTTGATACTCTTGTCGCGATTGGTAGCCATTCTACTCTTCGTGTTCCTAAGCCGCCTGAGATACTTCTTCTCTTTCGAAAGGTCTAAATCTTTGATTTTGTCTTGCATATGGTTCATGACGTCTACAACAGCCGACGCAGTATCTGCAAACATGTTGACCTCAAGCCCTGAACTGCGGACACTGTAGAGTCTTCGAGTAGGCGAAGAGTCTTTCTCAGTTGTAGCTTGGAATACTGCACTGAAGGCGAGATTTCCACAACGGCGAACAGAGTCAGCATCCACTAACGTCATTTCAATCTTGACTTCGTGGATGCGAACAACAGCCTGCGGAAACAGCATGATCTTTTGATCCGAGTCGATATTTGTGGCTTTCAGTTGCACAGATGATAGTCGAACGGCGAGGTTCGCTTTTGGTGAATCTGGTTGTTGGCCTGGGGCATTTGCGGTAATTTGCATTCCTGACATCGTCATTTGCACCCCAAATAGGACGTCCCTCGATGCGTTGGGGTCTGTGACTACAGGAGAGTTCGAACTCGTTGGGAATATCTCCTCAATGTGAGTCTTTAGCACCTCAATATCATCTTGAACCGCTTGGAACATGTTCGACACTTCTGGCTTGCTGATGGTTGTGATGAGAGCTTGTAGTTCTGAGGCTTGAAGCTTAATTGTGTCGATCATGCCGGAGGCCGATACCCTGGTTTCTTGTTCGTTCTGTGTGACATTCAGTCGTCCGTTGACTGGGGGCAACTCGAATGTGCTAATAATGTTGACCCCGTCAGCAGAATTGCTATACATCCGATGGAGACAGGCTTCGATGTCATAGTCAACTTGTAACGTCACATTCTTGCCGAGCGCTGGGAGTACGGCAATGCGCCCGGATGACCCTGTGATTGACCAGCCGAGCGGTTGGAGCAGCGTAAGCTCGACTTGATATGAATCCATGAACAGAGCGAGTGTGATATTTGGCAACTGAGCAGCTTCTGGTTTAGGCTGCTCTTCCTTCTTCTTTTCTGACTTGAGGTCCTGCAAGACCGTAGCCTGTCGATGAAAGTATGCCACCTCGTCTCGTACGACAGAGTCGATCACTTCAATAAGACCGAGAATGTCTTCTTCCACTTTCACAATGATCTTGCGACTTTTGGCTGCGATCTTGATTTCGGTTGGAACAGAGCTGCCGCGTTCATGCTCGATCTGAGCAAAATAGAGGTTCGGTTGTTGAAATTGAGCTCTGGTTAACGTCCTCGATCGCGAAGACAACTCGCTCACAGCTAGCTCAGCATGAACTTGCGCAGTCAATGTCTCACCAAGACCGGAGGCCTTGCTGTCCGCATCGACAAAGGAGAGCCTTAAGCGTTGACCTGTCATTGTGTAGCGGAGGTTGATGGTATCGAGAATGACTTGGGCCTTATCGGTCACCACCACGACGTGCATGACCTGGTCAAAACTTGGCTCTTTCTTCTGCAGAGCCTGCGAGGGCTTTTGTGAGGTCGTTTCAGCCGAACTGAGTTGTTCTTCGCGGAACAGTTCCGACAATGCTTCCACAAGCTCGCAGATTTCCCACTGAACGTGCAAAGAACAATCCTTTGAGCTGACTTGGATGAGAGTTGACTTGTTAGGCACGTCGGTTCCTACCAGCATGAGCCCAGTTGGTTCTGTCGGAGGTAGCGATACAACATTGATCGCCAGCATGCGTAACTCGACCTCGGTCTGTCTTGGTCCTGGGTCAACGATCAACTTCAGGCTTGCTGATTTGACGTCAATGTTCATAGGCGCGGATTGAGGTGTCGGTAGTGTTTCAGGAGTATGACCAAACATCATCTGTACCGCTAAGCTCTTCTTGACATGTGCTAAGTCCCATGCACGCCATTGATCCCACCTTTCGCTGATCTTCTGTTCTACATCATCAGGACATGTGACTACTCGTTGGGAGCAGTGATTAGTAAGCTCAGTTTTTTCATGCTCCGGGAGACATTGCCATGTGTAGCGAATCCGAGAACAAAGTTTCCACGAATCGTGACTACGCAGATGGTCTCTTGCCGCACGAAGCGTATACGATGCTTTCGTCAAAAAGGCGGGGTCTGGGTATTTATCTTGTACGCCTGTGAGGTACCACGCTAGGTATTGTAGTCGAGTTTGCTGATTTCTATCCACCTCGATAAACCTTGTCACCAACTCATCGGCTAGGATAGTCGTCCGGTGGATGAGCGAAGCTAGATACTGAATCTTTTTGCTGGCAGTAGCGACCTCGAAAGATCGGAAGTTTACGTTGACCGATGTAGCCTTGTTTTGCAACGTCCAGATAAGCACATCTTTGATCTCTGCTTGGACTGCGACGTCTTGGTTCAGGCCTTGAGGCGTACGTTCGCTTACAGAAACTCCAAGAGAGCCTAGAGTGGTGTGCAGAGATAACAGATCCTCGCCAGCTCGTTCCCCTGGGAACTTCTTGATTCGAGCAGCTACCTTGAGTTGATTTAGAACAACGTCGTACTGGTCTTTCCCACTTTGGCTGTTCGAATAGGTAGTAAGGCTATGGTGAAAACGAACATGCGCAAAGGGTATGCGGATGCTGAATTCGAGTGAGCTTCCTTTACCCTCAAGACGGGTTCTGTTGTCCAGAATCTTCGTCATGACCTTGACCTGGAACTCATCGATCATATCTTCAGGGCGTCGAGTTTGAATGAGTTCAAGAAGACTTGAGACACACCGGATGAACTCTGGTGTACAATAAAACCGGATACCAGGTTCTGCTTTAATCAGCAGACTTGTGTGAGTAAAGCTTTCATCCAAACTCCCAGTCGATATATCGTTGAAGTCGAGACCATCATTTTTGTCATTGTCAAGCGAAGAAGGGAGAGCAGGAAACGAGGGAACATTGGTCAGATCAGGATCGACTTGATCTAGAGGAAAGTAGGGAGTGGCCAGAGAGCTGGACAGTGCTACAGATGACGGCGGAAAGTTTTGATCGATACGTCCCTCGTCTTTGTGAGACATACTAATGTGACCTCTACTGTTGAGGCGACTTGGTGAGGTTCCAAGCAACGTTCGACTTCTGCTGGACTCTGCAGTGTTGATTATGGCCCTTCGTTTCAAGGTAGACCGGATGCTGCCGGCAAGCGAACTGTTCGACGCGGATCGCGAATCAGTGTGGAGTCTGCGACCTCTGACTGACGAAGCGTCTGAATAAGACGTCGATGCAACGGACGAGTCAGTTTGGGTACTCTGCGGCTTGAACAAGAATACAGGGTGAGGTATCTCGGGATATTGCATGGCTGGTGCCCGCATGTTCTCTGGGCTTTTGCTTTCTTGATGACTGAAATCAGAATCTTTAGAAAGGAATTGAGTACGATATGTTCGCTGATCATGTTCTCGCATGTGCATCTGTTGTTTACTGCGATCATTTGTAAAATCCAAATTGCGCTTCAACATGTTGAGCGAGAGTGATGTTTGCATGAAGGCATATGTTTCGACAGTTTGTCTACTTCCGGGGTGCGTTGCGCGACGTGATGCAGACCTGGCATCGACAGTACCAATTGTGAGATCTGGAATGTAGGCGCTAAGCCGTTGTGAGAATGTGTTGCCTGCTAGGTCATTGAAATCTAATGCGATAGGACCAGTACTAAAGAGCAGAGCTTCCCGGGCGACATGTAGCCAGACTTGGACACTTTGTGTTCTCAGTCTAAAGAAAGTTGCGTCGTGGATCACCGGGATCTCGGTGAGAACAAGTGTGTTCTCGTCGTCATCGAAAGTGAATGCAAAGGAACGTCCAGCTCCAGCAGCCGTTTCAATGAACTCTGGAGTGCATTCTCCTGATATTTTTCCAACTTCAAAGTCCCAGTGGCAAACGTATGTAGGTTCAGTCGGCGGAAGTCCAAAAAGACGGTGCCCAGCTATGACAATAGAGTCAATGAAAAGCTCAGTGCGACCGCTCGAAAACTCGTTAGAAGACTCCGGATCCGCATTGGTACCCCCGAGTGAGAGGCTGATTGGACTGCAATTGAGCAAGAGATCCATGTAGTAATTGGTGAACCTAAGGTCTGCTGATGCGAATGGTAGGTCAGCTCGAATGCTACGTTGTGCAGAATAAAGGTTGGCAGGCAAGAGAATGCTGGACTGGTCTACAGAAACGCATAGCATGACATCCAAGTCGTTTGAGATCTTAGCGGGCTGATCGTTTGGCTCTGCACCGTCTACCGCTAGGTTGACACTTGGAAGACCTTGAAACTCTTCAAGCGTCTTGAAGTGCATGTCATCGCCAAAGTAGTTGTCTTTGATCTTGAGAAATTGGTGGACGAGCCAGCCATATAATCTAAGGTTCAACCTGTGGCCTTTAACATCCATGAAAAGTCTGTCAGTGTTCATCGTAGAGGTTTCGGACATGAAACTGTAACTCCCAGCTAAAGCAAGACCGCCGAGCTCTGCCACATTTGGTGACTGAACAAATGTTTTTAGCGTATTTTTTTCAGGCATGAGAAATTCGAGGCCGAGATCTTGGCCGTGAATATCGAACTTGATTGCATTTTGAAGCGGTCGAAACTTGTCTAGCGGTATGACCACGTCTCCATGTATACGTTGACCGTACACGACAAGAAAGTTATTATCGTCCAGATCCGCCGGATTGTTGACGATGTTGGAGTCGTTTGTGTTGACGTACAACTTGAAATTCTTGAAGTCGATATTGAGAAGATACTGGAAAGGTACAAACAAAAAATAGTCGGGTGGTGGGCCGGATCCCCAATCGGCGACAAGGTCTGTTAGAAGAAACAGATGGTCTCTCAATATGAACAATTCCAGATCTCGGCACTTGATATTGAACATCCATTTCCGCAGTGTATTCCACGCGATGGGTGCAGACAGGTCGCAGTCAAGTGTCAGAGCTCCGGAGCGCCACAGTAAGGCATGATTGACACTGGAAAAGATCTCAGTACTCGCGATATCAACGTCCAGCTTGCTTTTAAACCCGTTACTCGATGCGACCATGTCCATGACATAGTTGATAGAAGAGTTACCGGCAACTTTGACATCAATCCATGCAAACGGCCGAACGTTTTGTGCAGCATTTGTATCACGCTGCTTCCCTCTTCTTCTGCGCGCTTTTGGTTTGCCTTTTGTCTTATCGGTCCCTGAAATTTCGTGTCCTGCCAATGTGTGCGCTTTGCCTTTCCACTTCCAGTCTTTCGATGGTTCACGAATTGGGATTCTAAGCACTGTGTCGTCTTCGAAGCTAAGAAACAGCTTGAAGAGTGAAAGCACGCGAAATTCACCGGCCTTTAACGGTGAGGCGGGAACGGCATCGACAGGCGTTCCAGGGAAGAATATGGATTGAAATACGCCTCTGTGCCGATCCGTCCAAGGTCCATAGTTGACCAACCCTCCAAAGATCTCGACATCCATCCCATATCCAGGTGGAGCACTACCATTGATGTCATGTGGACGGTCAGGGTCGATGTACCTGTTGTTGTCAACCTCGTTAGGTACCGGCCCAGCTGAATCCCAATAAAAAGTAACGCTGACGGATGGACAGTCGGCGATGAGCGATGTCTTTGCGTATTCGACTCCATCCCACTCGCCATGGCCATTGTCCTGGCTGTCATCAAGATATCGCGCCAAACCCTTCCAGCGATCATGTCCCGGGAATTGCCATTGAGGAGTGAAGATCTTGGAGTTTTTGGTGGCACCAGCCCTTGTGTGAGTGTGAACAGAATCCGAAGAGCTGGCAAAGAAGCCCGACAGGTCTGGGAGGGCCTTCGTCCAACGCTTGCGTCTTCTGGGACCCGCCTTCTTCTCGACAATATGCTCTTCTGGAACACCATTCTCGGCCTCGGCTTTGAATTGCGCAGCGGAGTCAAGTTGGGCAGTCTTGTAGTCAGGATTGGGTTTCATGTGCACGACAGGGTGCGTGATATTGAATTTGAAGAGTTGTTGGTAGACATCCAAGGGACCGCATGTCGACGCATCGAGGGTTCCGGTGGCCTTTTCGAATTGAGCGGTCATGACAGCCGGTGTATTTTCGTTGCCAACTACGATAGCTCCCTTGTTGACCTCGACGTAAACCGGTAGCATCCTCAAGAAGGCGGGAAGGTCGGCTTTCCTTGGCTTCGACGCCAGAGAAGCATTGGTGTTGGCTCGCGCAACATTGCTGTCCTTTTCGGGGGGCGTCTTCTTCAGCTTCTCGTGATGATGCTCCTCATGCTGGTGCGCCGCACGAGCATCTGGGCTGCCTGTCTTGCGCTGGACTGCTTCGACAATAGCGTCATATCCGGGGCTGCGATTGTACATGAAAGCCTCGACGCCTGAGATCTTGACGGAAATGCGACATGGAAGCTGCTTCTGCGTCTGTTTGCCTCCCTTCTCAGCCCTGTCTGCATTCCCGCTTCGAGTGCGAGATGATGCGCCTCCGGTACTTGGCGCTTGAGTGCTGTCTGAGTCGGTGTCTGAGTCGGAAGCTGTAGAGGGGTCCGCATCGGCATACACCCCAGCGTCCCTCACTCGGCGCAACCAGTAGTTCCATGTGATGTAGCCGCCGTGCACCAGGATCGTCTCATTGTGGCCGTGGTAGCGTATGTCCTTGAAGAAGACGCGACCGCCGAGCAGCGAGATCTGGAGGGCGGTGATGTCGATGTAAGCGTCGAAAGCGTGCCAGGTGTATGCGCGGATGGCGTACGAGACGAGCGTCGCGAAGAGGCGGTTCGAGTAGAAGAGAAAGAAGATGGTGAGGATGCCGCATATCAGCAGCTCAACCAAAAAGACCCTGCAGCTGTTAGCAGGCAGAGGGGAAGGTCGCGGCCACGTGGGCGCACCAATTGAAGCCGTTGTGCGGGTGCAAGGGCTCGGCGACGATTGATCCAGCCATTGCTGCAGCGCGGTGTGCGAAAAGGAGGGTAGTTCATCGTGGTCCGGCAGGGAAGGCGCGCATTTTGGTGGCGTGGAAGGGAAAGAGCGATGTGCAGCGCACTCGGGGTTGGACTGCTCGACGTGCTGGATGTCGATATGTGCTAGACGTGCTAGACGTGCTAGACGGCCGGTGCGACAGACGCGTTCATGCGCGAATGCAGATCAACGTCATGGGGTTAGCGCGAGAGCTTCATCATCAAGGCCTCGACCTTGGACGCCCGCAACCTTGCACACGACCACACGACGACCAACATGACTCTCCATCACTGAACCGCCGTCCCCACGACTCTCCCACTCGTTCGTCGCCGAACACAGCCCGCCCCGCCACTGGGCATCCACGCATCAACGCCTCTGCCACTGCCACGGCTGCAGAGATGGATGTCCATCCATCCTCCGAGTATGGCCATGGAGGCACTGGCGATAGATTCGCTCGTGGTGTCATCGTCGTCGCCGGCGTGTCTTCCCTAGTCGCTAGCCTGATCACCTTCGTGTGAGTGTCTGTTGTGTAGTCTGTAAAGCGTATCACTGACGTAGTGCAGCGCCGTCTGGTTGCAAACGTGAGCAAATCGTGCCCCAAATGCGGGAGCGCATACTAAGTCTTATCCAGGAAGAACTATCGCAAGCCCATGCTGCAGCGATATGTGGTGCGAATATTGCTCATGTGCGTTTCATCATTCCATTGACTCGATCTTGCGGTTGCTAACATGAGGCAGGGTTCCCATATACGCCATCTCCTCGTGGGGCAGTCTTATGTCACTGACAGCAGCGGCCTGGATCGAGCCACTGCGAGATATCTACGAAGTAAGTAAGTGCTCATAAACGTTGAGGTCAGCGTGCTGATAGGGCCAGGCCTTTACCATCTTCACCTTCCTGCAGTTGTTGATCAACTTCATCGGAGGTGAGCGCGCCCTCATCATCCTCATGACTGGCCGCCCGCCCATCTCTCACCCTTGGCCACTGAGCCATGTCTTCCCCAAAGTCGACATCTCTGATCCCCACACGTTCCTCGCTATCAAGCGCGGCATCCTACAATACACATGGGTCAAGCCATTGCTGTCTGTGGCTACCGTTGTTATGAAAGCCACAGGAGTATATCAAGAAGGTTTCATTGGTGTCACATCGGGCTACATGTGGAGCAGTATTCTCTACAACGTCAGCATCACCCTCTGCCTTTACGCCCTCGCCCTGTTTTGGATCTGCATGACGGAGGACTTGCAGCCGTTCCGACCAATGCCAAAGTTTCTGTGCATCAAAGGCATCATTTTCGCGTCCTACTGGCAAGGCTTCTTTCTCTCCATCCTCGTATGGCTGGGGGCTATTCCGGACGATGTCCCTGGTTACAGTCCCGACAACCTTGCCGCGGCCATTCAGGATGCACTCATCTGTTTCGAAATGCCCCTGTTCTCTTTAGCCCACTGGTATGCCTTTTCATGGCACGATTATGCTGATGAGACCATCTCCGCTGCACGACTTCCCGTCAAATATGCCTTGCGAGATGCCTTTGGCCCTCTTGACCTCATTCAAGACACCAAAGAAACATTCCATGGCAACAAATACGAATACCGTAACTTTGACGCCCGCGACAATGTTCTCGCGCACGAAGATTCGACTTCTCGTGCTGCACGCATAAGGGAAGGCATGAGGTACGAAAGAGGAGGAAAAGGCAAGTATTGGATACCAAAACCCGGTCAATCAGAACATGAGCCTTTGCTATCCAAGGTTTCTTCAGGTCGAGCCAGGGCCATGAGTCCCGGACCACATCGTGCGCTTGAGGGCGGCGAATATGGCGCGGGCGATGATGACTTTGGGGGCTCTGCTCTGAATCCTGAGGATGAGCGGTTATTCAAGAGCGCGCGTTCCCTAGAGTTTGGAGATTGGAATGTGAGTTTTATATGAGATGTTGCGATTTCTGTCCTGACATGTTCTAGTACCCTGTTATCGAGGCTCATCGGGCGACCCGTGAGGACCAGCTGTACGCAAATCCCTCCATCATCACCGCCTCAACGAATCGCAACCTTCTACAGCCGACCAAAGACAACAAGCAACGACGAAAGGATCAGATCAAGGAAATCCAAGAGTCTGTAGACAAAGGCAAGCATCGGAGCGACTCCAGCGACCACGGCGAGTCGTCGCATTCGAAATTACACATTCCTCTGATTGGCAAGCTGCTACGAACAGAATCATCATCGTCTTCCAGTTCAGACAAGTCTGATGCGAGTCAGCTGGTGGACTTAGTCGTCGAGGATCACCAAGCAGAAGTTGTAGAACGGGTCAGGGCGCGCAAGGAGGGTGGTTCTGGCTGGAATGAGGTTCCATCGAAACACTTTGTGTAAGTCGTTCAAACCTCTCACCGCACATTCTTTCTAATTTGGTTCTACAGTCATACCTACCCAGAAGAGGGCGAAGCCGAAGATGTCCGCGAAGGTTTCAATCCCGATGTCCCAGATGATAATGTCCCTGAGGCTGCACACAATCTAGACTACCCCTTCGTTGTCGACGAAGAGGAGAACGCAGAAGAGAAGAAGAAAGACCTCAAGCCGGCCATGTCTGCAGAAGCTAACAAGTGGGAATCGCGCGATTATAGCGAGGATGAAAGTCCAGCCAAGGAAGATCGTCCCAGCCCTTCTTACGGTAGTTTCAGGGATGAGCGGAATGTGTGGAACAATAATGACGAGTGATTGTTTGCGCGAAACAGGCAGGAGTTTGGAGCGGGTTGTCGGAGTTTGTCATCAATTTGCTCTAGTATGGGCCAGGTCGAGAACGTTACAGAGTGTGCGCATTTGTTATATACCCTATTCTTGGTACTCATTCGTGTTTTAACATATGTCAGCGTCGTGAGAAGCTTTGTGATGGCATGAGTAATGCCCAAGTCGGATACTGGACAGTATGCGAGGCACTGTGCAAGAGGCAGGCATTTGCATGACGGATGGTGTGGATTTGGAAGACGCCTCGACCGTCTGCGTTGGCATTGATGAGGCGTTGTTGGGAACCAGAGGTTCACAGACTTTTGACGTTGGGTGAAGTTGTGGTTGGACGGTGGTACGATGCAATCAACGTGAGAATTGTTTCACGAGGCGTGCGACACGCCAATGACGGCTAAAGAGCCGCAAGTATATTGCAATTGACGTAGCAGTCAAGTATCGATTGAATGGGGCGATTAAAGAGGTGGAAAATCCAGAGGGTGGCATGGTGGAACGGGAAGGTCGACTCGAGATGTTACCCAAACAGTACGCATTGTCTCGACACTTCTCGGCGGATTGATGTGTCGCATGCAACCCCAACCAAACGTGCAGCTAAAATTACCCAATCGCACTGCAGATCCCTCTCCCACATCATGCTCTCGTTCAGGGACAGCCCCGTACGCCACACTCACGCATACAGCTGTCGGTTTCGACGCGGAGGCGCGGCCGCCTCGTCACTGGCCGACGACGATGCACGCAAGCGCTGGCCTGTCAACCTCTCACCAATCACAACCCCAATCGCCTGTAAGGCAGGACTCCACGCCAGCCAACGACCACACATCGACGGCCCGCATAGCGGGAAAAGGGTGTAATTGGGCGCGTAGAGGCTGCACGGCGTGGAGCAAATCTATAACATGGACATCTGCTGCCCTGTCGCCTTGCGGTCCTGACGTCCGACGTGATCGGCCGGCAAGACTAGCAAGACTGCCACGCGCAAGTCAACACGAGCAAAGAGAAGGGATTAAGTTCTAGACTGAGGGAGTTTAGGCCTACTCAATCTGCTGTGCATTGAGCAGTTCTCTTTTTCCTGCCTTTCTCTTTCGGAATTCCTCTTTCGTTCTTTTTTTGCGCTTCGCTTTCTTCTTTCTTCTACTGCCTTTTTACTTTTCCCGTTACACACGTGTTGATACCCTGCTTTTTTGCCCTGTTAGGCACGACGTTCTCTATTATTTGCTTTTTGTTCTACTTGACATGGGTTGCTAGCTGCCTGGTTTGCAGTCGAGATATCTATAATATGGCTTTTGAGAAGATGGATGCTGAAAGGAAACCGTGGCTGGCCATGGGTTTTGGATGCTGTGCATCGAGGGATGATGTCGTGGATGAGGAATGTGAAGCATCGAGGATCATAGGTATGTCAAAGTCTTCTTCATCATTACATCTGTCCTGTGTCTTTGGGATGCCTCTTGCTCTTCTCGCTCAAACATACCCTTCTTCTCACATATGGAACGCGTTGTTTGTGTTGTCTTCGCGTCAACTTTAGTACAACGGGACTGTTCGAAGATATCGAACGCATGTTCATACAGTATCTTGAACGTATTGCTAACCAACAACAGGAACACCAGGGATGCAAATCTGCTATGAAGAACCACGCTCTGTTCCACAACCTCGTGCTGAGCCAACGACCTCGCGCCCTACGACAAGCCACTCCATCAAACAGCATGTCTCACAATGGGTAATGGAGAGCCGTGAAACACTCGCACTACCAAGACGCTCGCAGTCGAAACCTCGACCCAGCATCAGCGGGCCAATGGACTTCAAGCACTGCGATGGGCTCGACGGTATTCAATCCATGGTCAACGACGCATCTGCACCGATTCGCCGTCGCCAGAGCTACCGCCCCTTGGAGTTGTCTTTCTACTTTCCCGACGGACGTCTTTCTCCCCTCCCAGACTTTTGCGACAACCGCTGCAGCACTGGTTCAAAGGAGCTGGAAGTCCCTGCAGAGGCACACGTCCACGTGAGGGACTCGCGCACGAACTCCTTGTCATCCAACCCTTCAAACTCGTCGTATCTTATCCAGAGGAAGCCTGTTGGATCAGGTTCGCAAAGGTCGAGCATGCAGAGCCAGAAGAGCTTCTCGACACATGAGAGGAGACTGTCGGGCACCACAATGGCTACCATGGCGACTCCTACTCTGGCTTTTCTGGAAGAGGAGCCAAGGCCTACCGCGGACTCCCTTGTTGAACAGCCTCCCACGCTCCAGCGCTCTCGTACTTCGGGTACCTTGTCACCTCCTCAAGTGCTCTCTCGTCTCTCATCTCCATCGCGTGCACGAGCAAACACTGCGCCTACCCGACCTGGAAGTCTTCGTCGTGCGCGAACAGACGTCGACGAGGCTATCAGAGAGCTCAACACCATCGTCGAAGAGCGTCGCGCGAGCGCATACCGTTCCTACACCAGTTCCCCGGCCCTCATCAACCGACCTCCTCCATCGCCATCCCACCATGTTCCCTTCATCGCGCCAACGATGCGCATGCATGTCCGCTCCGAGACGCTATCCGACATCGGTTCCGCGTTCTCAACACCGCTAGATAACAAGCCTCTCCCAACACCACCACAGGGTATCCCACCTCCCATGCCGAGACGCCTCACACTCTACCCGCCATCCCGCGTCACCCCCGGCGCTCTGACCTCGAACCCCATCACTCCACCCGCACCAACTACACCCCCAGCTCCCGTCACCCCAAACACAGCGACCGCCATAACTCGTCTCGGGGCTTGGATCAAGCGCTCCATCCCCACTAATACCACCTCCCCATCCTTCCCCTCCTCCACCAGTCTCAAATCCCAGCCATCAGTTCCCTTCTACAAGTGCGAGCCCCAGGCTCCTCTTGCATCCCGTCCCTCAACAGCAGGCTCCCGCACACTCTGCCACACTCGCCAAGACTCGCAAGACAGCGAGAAGACCGCAACCGTCACCCTCCGCTCTAGCTCCTCCCGCTCGCCATCCCCGACATCAGACGTCGCAGCTTATGCACGCGCCAACGTGCTGAAAGGCCAGGGCAAGACGAGACGCGTACCCGCTCCTCTCATTCTCATCAAAGACAAGGAAATCCTCGTCGAAGCCGCGCTGGGCAGTGCGCGCAGCACCCGCAGCCTCAAACCGCCTCAGAGCCCGCATTATGGCTTGTTGAGGGGTATGGAGTTGACTGGCAAGGACGTGGGTGTTAATGCGCAGAGGAGCAGCGCATTTGTGCCCAGCCCAAGTGCGGTCGGTGTTGCGTTTTAAAGAAGTTTCTCGTTGGGTGGAGGATTAGGATTTTGGGGGAATTGGAAAGGGTGAATGGGTTATGATGGATGGGCGGATGGACGGAATGGCATGCAAAGACATGCCACGGAATGGAATGGATTGAATCTTTCTGTTTTTTCTTTCTTCACTACAGCTTGCACGCACGCATGCGTTGGACATATACCCTCCGTTCTCTACGCGAGTCTTTGCGCTGAGCGGATGTTCGATCGCAGAGGCGTGCTTGCTTTATCTTTTATACCCAGTGTTTTGGAGATGGAGAGAAGTGGTAGTGTTATCTTAATATTATGCGTTTGATGTCGCGTATGCAATTGCTTCAAAATTTTGATAGATGTAAAGAAGGTGGTCGGGAAGGCTTGCATGTGATGGTTCGACTACGCGTCGGTGGCGCTAGCGAGACGATGTCTGGGGTACATGCGAGTAATACCCGAGCATCCGCCGCTTCAACAAAGGATAGACGCGCCATTGTAGGTAATAGTAAGCGGCGAGTCGAACGTGTTTCCGTAAAGAGTGTATGTGTCTCTCGGCAATATGGCGTTGTTCGGGCTTGGTATGTTCTTCCATCTCGCCAGATCTCAACCAAAACCGAGTCCCGTGACCGGAGTGGAAGTGCCTCGGTTCGGCAGATTCACCAGCCATTGCTTCTCCGCAGGGTCTTAGTTAAAGCCGTACTCCGCATCTTCTCTTTGTTCTTCATCCTCCACGACCCATCACTGCCCCTTTCGTAACCAACTATACCCTTCTACAGCACATTTCAAGATGACGGAACGCCTCAAGAACATCGTCAACCAGCTCACGCCCTCGTCGAGCGGACTGTCGGCCATGTAAGCGCGGCCAGCTATGAATGACCTGCGCGTCGAGGCAAATGCTAATATATCGCAGCACCACCAAGAACCCCGACGATGTAGTCATCACGCTCGCTATCCGCACACCACTCTGCAAGGGGCGCAGGGGCGGCTTCAAGGACACACCGCTCGACGCCATGCTGTTCAAGCTGCTGCAGCAAGTCGTCGCCAAGTCGAATCTCGACCCTGCTCTTGTTGAGGACATCTGCGTCGGCAACGTGTCCGACTCCAAGGCCTCGTACTTCACCCGTGCCGCGTCGCTGGCTGCCGGCTTCCCCAACACAACCTCGGCTGTTGTCGTGAGCCGATTCTGCTCCTCGGGCCTGAAGTCGGTGCAGGACATCGCCCAGTCCATCGCATGCGGCAGCATCGAGATCGGGCTCGCCATGGGCGCCGAAGACATGACAGCCGGCGGCGACGTCCTCGACAGGCCGTACTGCGACGAGATCCTCAAGAACTCCGAGGCAGCCGACTGCATGAAGCCCATGGGCTGGACATCGGAGAACGTCGGCGCCGACTTCAACATCTCGCGCGAGAGGCAGGACAGGTACGCGACCGAGTCGTACCACCGCGCCGAGGTGGCGCAGAAAGCAGGCTGGTTCGCCGACGAGATCGTGCCCATCGAGACGACGATCAAAGACGCCAAGACAGGCGTCGAGACACCCGTCACGCTCACAAAGGACGAAGGCCCCCGCTACGGCACCACATTCGAGAGCCTGCAGAAGATCAAGCCCGCCTTCCTCCCCTGGGGCGACAAGTCCCACGCCGGCAACTCCTCCCAAATCACAGACGGCGCCGCCGCCGTGCTGATGATGAAGCGCTCCATGGCCGAGAAGCTCGGCCAGCCCATCCTCGCGAAATACGTCGGCGCTACCGTCGCCGGCCTGCCCCCTCGCATCATGGGCATCGGGCCCACCGTCGCGATCCCCAAGCTGCTCAACCAGTTCAACCTCACCGTCGACGACATCGATATCATCGAGCTCAACGAGGCGTTTGCCTCCATGGCCGTCTACTGTGTTGAGAATTTGAAACTCGACCATGCTAAGGTTAATCCCAGGGGTGGTGCCATTGCGCTGGGTCATCCCCTTGGCTGCACGGGTACAAGGCAGATTGTCACGGGTTTGAGTGAGGCGAGGAGGCAGAAGAAGAAGATTCTGCTTACTAGTATGTGTATCGGGACGGGCATGGGTATGGCGGGGTTGTTTGTCAATGAGCAGATTTGAGCGTGCTTTGTTGTGTGTGTGTGCTGTCTTCCAATGTGTATTTTAGGTAGCGGGTTTTAGGGGTGAAAATTTAGGATGCTGCTTATCTCTCTGTTTCTCTTTATCTTTCTGCATTATGCTGCGTGGTGCGAGGTGTGGTGTTCTACACTTTCGCGTATGTCTGTGGCTGAGTGCTGATATCCTCTCACTACAGGTTTAACGCTGTGTAACCTGTTGGTGCTACTTCGACCTACTCGCATTCACTATCGCATATATCTGTACGTGACACCTTGTGCTGCGCTGGAGTTTTCGCGCTTTTGGATGGTAGACAAGAGTGACTGATAAATAATAAATCCCTCGTGCCCAGCGTAATTCTTCCCAGACCCGATTCCTCATCGATAAAAGTGGGTAGGATCTGTAAATAACATTAAAGAGTTTGGGCTTTACACTGCGACTTTGGGGAGCTGTCTTGCAAGCATTTCTTTGATGGGCGTAGGGGGTTGGTTACGAGTTGACTGGGGTTGTGTGTGTGTGTGTGTGTGTGTGTGTGTGTGGATGGTTGAATTTGTTGGTTAGTAGCTTAAGTGAAAGCTGGTAAGCTGTGTTGCTTGGGGTTTAAGGGTGTTGGGGGGAGGTTTGGATGAGTGTCTTGCGGGCGATGATGGTTGGTTTAATAAGTGTGGCCCTTGTCTGGTTTTGTGTTTACTGCTCGGGGCTATCTTTGAGAATTTAGTGTCCGATGTGTTGAATGCTGCAACTTGAGGGATGTCGTAAGAACTTTTGAGCAGATTTACTAAGACTTGGTTTGGAAAGGTACGTGAACGACGGCCGATTGAGAGACACACAAATAAAATTCATTACATTCTTTACCTCATAAACTGGGGAACGCCATCACCCTCAATACTTGCACGACAGATTCTATCTTTGTGCTCTTTTCTTTGTTCAAGCTGTGTTCAAGCTTTCGCACGGGTCCGTTGGTGCGTCGTGGATGGGTTGTATTACACTGGTATGCCATGCATGTTTGCTCAAACCACCACCCTCACCGATGAAGTTGAGCGAATTGCAACGTCTGCTGCAGTTCTAGGAACCAATCGCGACCATCTCTTCACCTTGGTATATCAGTGATCATATCCGGGGATACCACGATACGGTCTCTAAGTTCGGACGATTGAAAAATCAAAACTGTTAGGAAGACTAAATTGCATTAATGTGCACTTGAAGGACTCCCTTCCTCGACTTCTATAGTAAAATCCTGATGTATCATAACACCCCCATGCTCATTCCGGTCGAATAAGCTCGAAGTACTGGTGTGCTCGTCTTCCTTGGACCCCATCGAAACTAAGTGTTGCCAATTCGTGTGCGGGGTTGTTGTCTTTGATTTGTTTCCCTTGGACGTTATCGCCACCGAGAATTTGCTGTTTCCGGAGGGCACGAGCCGCGACTCTGTATCCGTCGTTGACAGACGGCTCACTCCTCTCTGTGAGGCGGAGAGTTCTGTCTCGTGGATGCAAGGATACAGAATGCCACTACCACCGATCCCCAGACTTCGCTTGATTCGCGGGATGCTGGCTGTGATGAGGGATAAACTTGTCACGGCGCTGGCTTTGGTTAGAGGATGGTCGAAAGGGGTTCGAACAGCACTTACTGGCTTATGACAGCAACGTCTACAGCATGTTCTGAATATTCGTCAGTCATCCATTGACATGTGCGTCTCAGTAACTCACTGCCTAGGTCGCTGTCCGACCTTCCTTGGGCTACCACCCAAATCTGCAAGCAAGATGCTATTGGAACTCTGCAAAGTCAGTTTGATTCTACTGTCGGCACGTTGCAACTTACAAAGCTCGGCAACCAAATAGCACCGTTGCTGTCCAGTAACTGGTTCTATCAAGCGCTAAAGCTTTGAGTGTTGGGAGGATCCATGCTGTTAAGACCAAGTCAGAGATTATGTTCAACATAACCACCGCCAACAGCATGCCGCTGTCGTTACAGAACACAGATTCGACGTTCCATGCTTTCGGCACGCCGCACTGAAAAGCCGTAGCAAACATAGAGAACATGCTCCATGCTCCTATAATCCCAAACAGCACAGTCTTCGCCTTTTTTGTCTGGGGCACAACGCGTGCGATCAGGAATGCGAAAGAAAGCTTGCCGAACCCCGCCGCAACGACTGACAACAGTTTTGCGATATACAAGGCCTACCCCAGGGTCAGTCAGTGAAGATTCTAGAACGAGCTTCAATCCCTCAAACCTTAAACAACAATACAGCATCCTCACCGTTCACATCCGAAAAGTCTTTCCCTAGACCCCCGTTGACGGCGTACTGTCCGCTAACTACCACTCCCAAATAAAAGATCTGTATATTGCATTAGTAAGATTCGTACGAAACCTGCGCCGAAATCTTACACTTCCTACCAGCGCTGTCGCATCGTCTCTTTGAAATCCAACCCTATGAATGACGACGCCCAACGTTAGGCGCATTATCAGAGCCATCCATGTTATGCACATCCACGAGTATAGCGAGACGAGCATGAACCCGCCCCGCGTAGTTGGAGCATTTCGAAAACCGTCCGGAGTACTGCTCATGGCTTGTCAAGTCAGATATCGATGAGTAGTGAACCGCGGAAGGAGGATCTAGTGCTCCCGACACAAGCATTATTATCATTGTGATCATTGTGTCTACTCGGTCTGCGAGGCTGCCTGAAAATGTAGCTCCCGCCTCCCCGTCAAACGCGCTTTAGGTACTTTCGGCTGCTGTGCCGTGTGATGAAGATTCGAACCACCCAAAGGCCTGTCCTCGAGCACTGGCTCGGTGGGCAAAGCGCCATCGTCCAGGGGAACCACCCCTTCGGTCAAGTGAGACATGCGGACTTGCGTCCGCCACCATGTATAGCCAATCACATCATCAGGCATACAGAACTGACTAACCGATTAGTCAAAGTCTGCGTCGTGCAGAGCATCATAGATCGAAGCACGTAGCACATCCATGAAATGAGATCGCAAAGACATCCGCTACAGGTATAGCAAAGCAGACATATATTTAGAACAAGCGAGGTGTAAAGATTTCAAGACAGCGTTGGCTCGTGTATGCAAAGGTATTGCGAGATTCCGCTGCGAGCCAACTTCCACCTCTCTCGCTTAGTCACAAAGCTACTTGGCGGGGGGCTGCGGATGGACATGCGAGCCGAGCGGGCCATGTCAGAATCTCGTTCCCGCCCACAAATTACGGCAATATCCCCGCCCGCTGAGACTACCTATTGGGGTCGGCTTCGCATCCGGGGCTTAGACTAAACGTTTTCGCTATAGGAAGCATGAGCCATCCTTGGAATTATCCCACTTTGTGAAGCTCAAAAGGTCGTGCGCGTACGTTTCCGCCTTGGAATGGACACGCGTTTTATGACTCTGTGCACGCTTTGAACCACTTCTTATAGGTGGGAAAAATCCTTGCTTCAGCCAGGTATCACACACAGTAGAGCTGGAAGCAGTATTGAACCAAAGATCCTTGAGCGATCATCCCTAACAACAATAGTACCTCGTGTTCATAATTACAAGTCAGTATAACCCCATTAGATGTCCTGCGCGATCTATGTAGAGGTGCGTGATCTATAAACTGTATACTACCCATCCGCGCGTAACGCGCCCAAGGTACCTATCTGGTGTAAGTTCTACTGAGTCTGCATTTCACTGTTGGGCCGTGCTAGCGTGAGTGGCGCTCGGATGATTCATTGGGAAGACTCCCGCCGATCCCCGCATGCCCCCATTAAACTGCCGGGCGGCACGGATGAGATGAGCCTACAGCGAGCTTGTCGACCTAAGGGCTCATTTCCGTCCTCCGAATCCTTCGCAAGCACCTCGTTTCTAGTTATGGAACTTTGTCCGGAGGGTTATAGCTGCTTGGGTAGTTAGTGCGCCCACAGTGCAGCACATACTGTATGCCAAGATACCGTAGACTTCTCTACAGAGGGATTGGAGGGAGGTCCTGAGGCTGAGGCCAGGGTTGCCGTACGTTTCATGGCGAACTGCTGCATGAGTCTAAACTCGATGCGACCCGAAAGTATGGGTACCAATCATTCGGTCTCAGCGCGCTTTTTAGTGTTTCTGCTATCTATTCCAGCTGCACGTTCTGCACATCTTCCTTTCTTTTTACATCTCTTCTAGAGACGCAATTGTTCCTCGTTGGCTGCATTGTCTTCTCAATATGGCTATGGGAAATGACTTCAAGAATGGTGCCGATCTGAATCTCGTCGAGCGCGGTTCTCGTAGCGGAGAAGATGTAGAGTCGCCGACCACAGTTCACTCTGATGAACCAAGCCAAGCCGGGGCGTTCGATGTACGTTTACGATCATTGTATCCCCAGTGTCGGGTTGAACTAATACGTGGACCAGCGGTACATCAACCTTGCATCTGTCGTTAACTTCGGTGTTATCATCCTCGCCTCGTGGGAGTCGTTCGCTGTAACTTTCCAGTTTGCGCTTACCAACGGCGGTCCTGCTTCTATCTTCTATGGTTCCATTCTGGCTGGGTTCGGAGCATGTGCAGTCGGATTCTCGCTTGCCGAATTGGCTTCTATGTGAGACAACACACCCTTGAGTTTGTTGTGACTGGCTGACCATCATACAGTGATCCAACTGTCGGTGCACAGTATCGCTGGTCTGCCAACTTCGCTCCTGCTGCTCCTCGCTTTTGGGGCCTGCTACAAGGTATTTTGTGTATGCGTCGATACTCCTTTCTTTAGCTGACACAATGAATAGGATGGATCACCACAGCCGCCTGGTGCTTCGCCTGCGGTGGGCCTCCGTCAATTTTGGCCAACATAATCACATCCCTCGCCGTATTCAACTATGAGAACTACGCCCCTGAGCGTTGGCACACCAGTCTAATCATGATTGCAATTATGATCATCCCGTTCATGTTCAACCTGTGGTTCCGCAAGCTTCTCGATGCGTTCGAAATGACGGGTGGTATCTTGCATATCACCTTGTTCATCGTTGTCATCGTTATTCTCGTCGTCTTCGGGCCTCGCAACGATGCAGCTTTCGTCTTCAAGACTCTGACTTCCGACGTGTCTGGCTGGAACAACTCCGGCGTATCCTGGGGACTGGGACTACTGAGCATGACATTCTCCGTCACAGGCGCTGATAGCGTATTGCATATGTGTATGTTGAGTGTTTCTAATGCTAAGAATCTCACTAATAGCAAGTATAGGTGATGAGGTCAAGAAGGTTCGCACTCGAGTCCCGCGTAGTATCATCCTGGCTTGCACTGTCAACTCAGCCATGTTGATTGTATTCGCCACCATCCTCCTATTCTACATGGGCCCCCTGACAGACGAGATCGTTGCCACACCCCTACCATTACTCTGGATTATCTACGGTATTACTGGGTCAAAGGTCGCTACAAACGTTTTGATCTCCCTCATCGCCGTCATCTTCTTCTTCGCGCTGTTCAACATCTTCGCTTCTGTCTCACGACTCGTCTGGGTCTTTGCACGCGACAACGGCCTACCGTTTTCCAGCTTCTTCTCATACGTATGTAACCCCATGGCCCCTAGCTTTTCGCTTGCTAATGCCCAAATCACAGGTGCACCCAACGCTCAAACTTCCACTCAACGCCCTCCTCCTAGTTGGCTCCATCGTCACCTGCCTCTCCCTCATCTACATCGCCAGTGCGACCGCTTTCAACGCATTGATCTCGCTCCAAGCTTTCGCCCTCCACATCTCGTACTTTTTCCCCATCCTGTTTTTCCTGCTACGGAAACTGCGTGGTCCTATGCCCCCATACGGCCCGTTCAAGATGGGTGCCATCGGTGTACCCGTCAACATCTTCGCGCTATGCTACATCGTCTACGTAGTGCTGTGGATGCCGTTCCCACAAGTCCTCCCCGTTACTAAGGATAACATGAACTACGCAGGGCCGATCTTTGGAGCAGTGGTGGTGGGTGCGCTTGCGCACTGGTTTATACGTGGAAGAAAGACGTTCAGCTTGCCGATCAAGCGGTATGAGTAGATCCCCATTGTGGAGGTTTCGCCCTATACTGATGGAGGATATGCACCACACGTTGATTGTCCCTAGCATCTGTGCGGACAGTTGTTTCAGCGGATACAGAAACTTGACTCTTAGAAGACTGGATGAAATCATAGTCCAAATTTGAAATGCGAATCGTAGCATACATAGATACGAAAACCTCCTTATGCCTATGTCTTTGTTGAAGATTTTAGGAACTTTGATCGGTCACTCTATGATAGTTTCTCCACTAAGCACAAGACTCTCAGCCACTGCTCTTTATTTGTCTCAAGATTTTACAGCACAAAACGTATATATAGGGTGTCGACAAAACTTTGTCGTACTCACGGAATCTAAGCTAACCCTATTGGAGTCTGTAAGCATCAAGGAGCTGCACAGCTGACTAAATGCAGGTGAGCACTGTGCCACAGCCTTCCCCGCACAATCGCACTTCACATGACATTGAACTTATGGATAAGACCTAATTCTACAATGAGTGAGAGCTTCGACTGGAACCACCAAGGTTTAAACTGGTCTCATTTTCACTCTCTCGCGAATCTCCTCTCACTTCGAAATGGCGGCCAGGCCGAGCCTTCTTCGTTGTCCGATATAGTGCTCGAAGAAGATTGGAATCTCGATGACAATGAAGATGGAGATGCGGCCAGCTTGGATACTAGACTTGCACATAAGATTTCAGATTCGGGACATGGGAGGCTCAAACGAAGGTTTCTTGATTGTCTGGCCGAATTCGCGGCTAACAAGAAGGGCGGGACAGCAGTTGCTTGCTCCGCCATGAAGGAGGCTGAAGACAATGTCGTTATCTGGGTTGCTCGTAATGAAGGCTTCTCGGATGTGGATAAGCCTGTGTTCGATAGATTGGGAAAGCTGCTTGCTTCGTTATCCCGCAGCAATGGTGCGTCCAATATTAACGCTCTATGTCTACATACTAACTAACCTTTTTCATCCAGCTGGTCAATCTGAGGCTCTCCTCTGGGAAGAGATGGTCTTGTATCATCAGGATCGGATTGAACATAGCTATATTCCTGACTTGAGGGCAAGCTTCAAAGCTTACGACCATATCAGTACGAGGAAGGAGACAGACACACCAGAAAACAATTCAGCCTCTGATGCTGCCCTATCCGCCCTGCGCACTCTTCTCTTCGATCGCAACACCAACAATATAAGCACTTTTGAGAAGCATGCGAAGCTTGTCATCGCATCGTACAATCTGCGTCGGACAAGAAATGTCGAGGAGATACTTCACAGCTCTTCAAGAGCGACTTCCAAATCGAAGAGCTTGTGGTTACATATCTGCCTGTTCGCCCGGCTCCGAGTCACATTCCAGAATTGCAAAGACATTGCTCTCACGCTTCCAAGTTTTGAACAAGTTACAATCATACTGGTCCCTCGTCCTCTTGCGCCTGCAAACCCATCTCAGAACTCGCTCAATTTGAATCAGACTTTTGGTGTCCTCCAACTTGATCTGACTCCTGATACAGCTAAGGCTGTCTTGGGCCAAAATTGGACCGTCGCCAAGGCTAAAGGCGAGTTCGCAAAACGACAGAAGCAAAAGCCCAACATACACGCCGAGGTTCAAATGCTCATCTTTCTGACTACCAACGAATCTGCCAAATCAGGCTTGTTACCGTATTTTGGATGCAGCAAGCTCAGCTGCTTCATGTGTAATCGCTTTGTCCAGTCATACGGGCGATTCACCACAAGAGGGTGCCATGGACGCCTCTTCAGACCATGGACCGTGCCAAGTGTAGATCGACTTCTACCTGGTCAGGCCGATCGGATAGCAAAGGCTCTTATGTCAGTGCAAAAGGCGGTCAAGAGGAAATTGAAAGCCTCGGTCGGGGGCCATATTCGGCACGAACGAACTTCGGTTATGGGAGGAAGCAGCGTTTTGGACGGCCGGCAGGAGGAGTGCTCACAGAGACAGTCACAGATTGACCGACTGAGGATGCAAGTAGAACGCGATAGAGTTGCAGAATTTTTTAGAAGGTGAGTCAGTTTCAGATGTCTTCAACTTGTTCCACTTACTCACCGAAACATTTGTACTAAGGGTCAAAAGGCAATCAGACGACACAATCAGGTCAACTGGGCGCGTTCACGAACCCCTAGAAGGAGATGAGTCGGAATGGGAGTGTGATATATGTATGAGACTGACGACGAGAAAGTGCAACATTTGTAACAAAGGCTCCTTCTGCAGCGACGATTGCCAGGAAAAAAGATCCGGGCGCCATTTGTTCACATGCTCTAAACGTCCACTCACTTCCGCTGATTATCTTTGGATGTCATTGACAGAGGATCGTATGCCTCAAGAGGAGGATGTTCTCGAGGATTTCGGGTTTAACAATGTCTCTTCTGTCAGGGATATGAGCTACCTTCTAGGGGTCTACGGAGGGCTCTATCTTTCTGGCAGGTTCTCAGCTGAGGAAATACATGAGTGGCGTGTTGGAGGCATCCTGGTTGATAAAATCAAGGACTTCTATTACAGCATCCCTGAGAGTTCCCGAGGAGGATATTTTCCTTGGTATTTGGAGAATCTCTCCATCTTTGAGCGACCTATGACGAAAGCTGAAGCGCAACAAAAGTTGATAGCGACTTTCTACGACAAATCCAGGCCTTACTTGGACATTGAAGACCGTAATAAGACCGCTAGGGAGCTAAAGCCAGAAGCCAAGGGAGCTAGTTACGACTTGCTGGCGGCAATATTACTCCAGATGAGTCCTCATCCAATTCAATTGGTCTGGTACTCTTTCGGATTTGTAACTTGCCGTGGACAGGGCGAAGAGAGTATGCTTGTAAGTCTCTACAAGCTTCTTCTCACCAAAAGTGATGGAAGTCCCTTTTACGAGATCAACAACCGTCAAAGAGGTAACATTCAACCTGCTACATTCACACAATTCTGGAAAGCATACGAAGCAGGAAGACTTATCCAGCTCATGGATTCGAAGGGGCTGAAGGAAATTCGATCCGAGCTCCCTTTCCTAGAGGGCTTTTTATCCGTGCCGCCGGTCGGATCCCGGCCATCCGTATGGGACCTGAAGCAGTTTCTTGAGATCAGCGATCCTATGGACCATCCACCCGTTCCATCGGTCAACGTTGACTACGGATTCATCAACTGCCGCACTTTCGAGGAAACTTGCACACTGATGGAGATTTACGGAAAGGTTCTGAAGACCGCAAAGCCACTGGAGCTCCACCAGGCGTGTGTGGCTGGTAATTTGTTCGAATTTGCAAGTAGTCATCTTCGTATGGAGGAGCGTTGGAGGCCGTTGATGAGGAATTTCTATACTTTGTAGGAAATGGTGGCTGGGGCCAGGATTGAGGTTAAAAGTAGGGTCAGACGCGGATGCGGATCGGCCGCCACTACTGTCGCGACTTTGGGGGTTCCTTGGTGGATTTCTTTTATCAACAGCGTGCTAGGTAGATGTGTCCGCAGGTGAGCAATGGTCCTGCAGCCAGGTTGGCAGCTACCTCAACTTCTTTCCTCTGGGTCACTGTGCTGGAGTCCAACCTCAGGTAAAAATCGCGAGACCATTTTTGCTCTTGGTTATGGTCCACGTAGTCTTTACAATAGCCGTCAACGCGATCATATGCGAGCCTCAGATGCGTACTTACTAATATGGGAGATGGCTAATGGTAATTGTCACAGGCTTAATCCCACTTTCCTCATCCGCGTCAACGTTTTCCGGGCAGTCGTATCGCCTATGAGGCGTTTCATTACTCCGGAGATGCGATATGGAGCCTTTGTGTGCTCGAGACTCGGGATCGCGAGACAATGTTAGATACAGTGGACCTTGACAAAGAAAATCTAGGAAAATGTGGCTTGACCTTTCATTTAGTCCCTTTCAAGTGACGTTCAATCTGTTCATCCTCCCTCTCATCTACACAATGCCTTTCACATTTTCGAAGCATTCACTATTCTCAAATCGCCATGGCAACCCACCCTCCGGAGTCTCTGTTCAGGTAACCGTTTCACGTGTTTTGCAGAGCACGCTCCAAGCTGTGAGAGACGTCCAGCTCCCGCTTGTCCTAATCAAAGTCAACTATCCCGCCTTGCCAATTTTCGCATAACCCAATCAACCCTGAACGTCATATCGGTTTTGACTCTACTGCAATTGGTTTACACAAATCTACACACCCGTCCCACCGGACAACTCCACGACGAGATAACCGCAGACATGGCATCAATACGTGCTAATCTGATCTGTGAACAGCAGCCATCGATTCAGCCTCGAGTATCAACCCAACACTGCATTCCGTTACCCACACACAAGGACGTCATCGAGATGCTAACAAACGCGAGATCAGAAGTCCAACGTCTATACGCGCACATTCCTCGTCTATGTGCAGTGCTCAGCGACACGCTGATTGACTGCGTGAAAGACAACGGACTTCTTGAATCCAATCCCATTTGTGATCTCGAACAGGTGTTGATGACACAAGTACGAGTTGAGCGTGGAATCATAAGCGCTTACAACAAGCATCGCTTGGGTGGTGCAAAGTGGCACCATGAGCATCATCGTTTGGCAGAAGGCCAGGCGGACTACAGCAAAGATCATAACCTTCTGGACCAGCTTGATACGTTCCCTTTCCACTCCGAGGTTGTGCGTCGAGGCTTCAAATTTACAGCGTTAGACCTTCGTCCGCTTTATCAGGTACCGGAGTATGTTGCAGTCGATACAACGAGTACTCCTGGTACGGGTCACACCCAGACACCTTCGAAAAAGTCGGGTCGACGAGCGGACAGCTACGGCAAACTTGTTGATGCGCCTTCCGCGGGCCTTGCCTTTCCCAATGGCAATATCACTCTTGCAGAGATAGCAGCCTTTTTGCCTGAGTCGATCAAATCATGGGATGTCATCGATCGCATTGTTGGCAACGACGCGACTTCAGCTACTATCGCACAACTGATCAACCATTTCCGCGACATGCCAAGGGGTCACATAATGAGCAACACCATCTATCGATCTATGAAGGGTCCAATGAATTCTCGCGCCAAATTTGATAAGAAGTGGAAGCCATGGAGCGTTGGTGTACACAATGACATTGCGGACCAGGACATCGACGCGACTAGCGTGAGCGTTGCGGGATTCCGACGGGCAGGTATTTCTGCAGCGCCTGCTGTTCCATTCCAGGATCTCGCGAAAGGAGTCAAGATCTTTCCAAGCGGGCACGATGCTCTGGACCTTACGCGGTGCGTGGAATACTGTCAGGAGAACCCCAACGAAAAGTGGCTGTATCCGAATGACTTTGCACGTCTGCTAAATCACCTCCCTTCAGGACCTGCACAAGTCGAAGAAGGCCATCAAGATGCATCGATTGTCGAACGCTGGACTTCTATCAATACAACTCGTGTAACGGCCGACACGCATGAGCCGAAGCTTAATGCACACACTGGCCTGTCCAAGAAGGTCACAGACGACGACGATGATGACAATGACGACAATGACGACAATGAAGATCCGCTAGTTGGTTCTTTTGGTGACATATCGAAAAAGTACATCCCTTGCAAGGAGCTCCGGCCAAAACGCAAACGCAGCGTTGACGACAGTTCAATCTTCGGGCACACATCTCCCCGCCCTGCAAAACGCAGAAATGCTGTACCCAAAGCTCTCTCTCGTCTCGGGGAATTCACACCTCATAACCGCTCTCAGAAAGAGCGCCGTACCATCGATCTGGACTCCGACTCTGACTCCGACTCGTACCAAGGCCCTAAGAGGATGAAAAAGAGAATAGGACCTGTTCGTAGCTCAGGTCGGACGAGGAGCTTCACGGGCTCTTACAGTGTTGAGGAAGCTGTGGGCATTGATGAGGACGATGAGTTGGATGAGGAAGTGACGGACAACACGGAAACAAGCGAAGAGGATGCTGTTAGTGGCGCAGATGCAAAGGAAGAGAGCGACGATGGAGATTCCGATGATATGGATGCATATGAGGGATGATCGATGGCATAGGAGGATGGAAGTCACCCGGAATCGCTTCAGGGTAACTTCAAGATACGTCAGTACTGTGATTATGATCCTAGCGCCACCGTACCTGCTTGATGGAAGAAAGGTTGTCAGTGTTTCAGGCCACAGGTACTACTCAAGTTCTCTACACCACCTTGTACTTTCATATACATTTAACGTATATGAAATTGAACCAATCATGATATCTTACAATCAGATTTGTACTTCAATTCTATACCATAGTAAATTTCACTCCTTTTACCGTCGATACCATCTGACAACTGATGTGCTTATTGAACATTGTTTTCCCCAATCTGAAGAAAGGAGTCAACAGGGCACTATGTCCATCTCTATGCCACTTCGCGGTTTTGAAGCGGTCAAGCCTATAGACTTAATCAATGAAGTAACGTCGTCAAGGTCATCAGTGGAGCAAAATCAACATCATAATCACCAGTAGATCGTTTGATCTCACCTCCATATCTGATACTGAACTAACTCATAAATCCATACCTTATTCTTGTGACCTTTGCACTGTTGTCTTCTCTCACCATGCTCGCCTTCCCAGTGTACGTACATCAAAACCTTCTCTGCGATGGCAGATGACTTGAGCTATGAAGTTTGAATCCATGATAATCCTACCGCGCAACAGCGTCACTTGTGTTCACAACAACGACGACGAAGAGTGCGTTGAGAAAGATGCCATCTTTATGTTGTTAACAAGTCGAACCCAACACCCAGTGACGTAACAAGACCTTCAAAGGCGTACGGCCGAAAAAGGCTCAGAAGAAGGGACTTGTAATTCCCCATATCATCCCATAGTGAGCCATTGCGCTCTCCGTCAGGTTCTTGGGAGTTCGTGTGACGACTGCCATTGAAAAGATTGAGTCGGCCGCGCGGAAACCTTGAATATTGCTCAGTCATCTTCGTTCCAAATGTCTGAACCTCAAAGCGTGCCGTGGCGAAGACACGAATTCACTGTCCGCTTTGAATGTATTTAGAACTTATGTGTATCCACCACCCCACTCTGAACTTACTCGGTTATCTTTGTAATGACTAACATTGTCAAAGCATTGGTAGCCAATGACATTGTATCGATCGTCCGTCATGACCAAGATGCTTCCCAAACCGAACTACGGTTGCCATCTCTCTTAATCGTGATACAGAGCCTCACTCTGGGAAAATATCGTACCGTCGAAAATAGGGGCTTGTGAACGTACTATGGTTTTTCTCAATCTATGGCGCATTCACGCTTCTAATAGAAGCAGATAAGCGCAACACAGTAAAGACTCAGTATTATGGTGCAGTATAGGAGCTACAACCCAACCCCTTAACGAAGTGATAATCAGTCATAGTATACAGTACCAGCAACAGAGAAATAGAGCCGATCAATAGTCTCTTGATGACCGGCTGCTCAATGAATCAATGCGAGAATGCGTGTTCGAGAGCTCAGGCAGCCGCTGATCGAAGTTTGGTTCAGGTCGTGAAAATTTGGGTTGCGAAACCTTGGGTCGTAAAAACTCTTCCATGGACGAGTGATATTGAAACCATATGGAAGTACTATAAGAACAGTAGGATATTGCCAGAGACACCCTGTATCTTCCAAACACATCTTACTCTCACAGCTTATCCACCAACACCTCACAATGCAAGCTAATTTCTCAACATCTCTGTCCTCTCTCCTTGGTCAGCACGCAAGAGATCATGTGTTCCGCTCGAACGCTGAGTCTGGCTCTCCTGCCTTCCATCCTGCACCTCCGATACGTCCGAAAACTGAAGCAAGGTCGAAAATGCGACGTAAGGTTCTTACTCGCTCCGTCAAAACGCAGGAGAAGGTGAGTGTCGCGAGCGAATGGGATGCTGAGTGGAACGACCAGCCCAGTAACTCACTTTCGAGTGGAGTAAGAGAGTTTTCTATGCTCAACAAACCTTTCTTCATCCCCCATAGCGCCCATGTGCGCAAGGCCAACAGCGCATATCTCTCGCATTTTGACCCGGGTATGGAGGCGGAAGGCCGGAAGGCCCAGCGGATGAGAGACGACGAACTGGCTATGCCGCCACCGCCGCCACCAAACAAGAGGATACGAGAGGAGATGGAAGTTGTGGGCGAAGTGGACGAGGAAGAGACAAGGTCGTGGGAGCAGCGAAGAGCAGTCAGAGCAGCAGCTCGAAACGCGCACATCATCGACTCGACACGAGACTTTACCGTCCCTCCTGAGATTTTCCACCCAAACAGCGACCCAGCATTTCGCTTTCCAAAACCTGCGCGATCATGGGCAGGTCCAGTTGGGACTCCAAGGTAGTGAAAGCTTCTGCTCATAGACCACGTGAAGCGAGCATATTCCCTCGCAATCCGGCACTTCACTCCGTCGCGGTCTTTGCGAGGCCTTCTGAAGGTCTTCACCCTCTAAATGTGCGGCCTCAGCAACATAAGAATATGGCCTCCAAATCTCAGCACGGTAATATTTTCTAAACACAACCACAATCAAGGCAACTGGACAAGCCATGGACCAGTTCAACTACTTCACGAATTCGCTCACTCCGCAAGGCATGGATATGATGGACTGTCGAGACTATTCCGAGGGCTCTGCACAGGAGGTTCATGCTGATCCATCTACTCCATCGTTTGATCCGAGTTTGTTCGTTGCCGCCCCTGATCATACAGTCTCGAATTTGCCAGAAGAAACTTCAATTCTGGATCAACCCGGGAACCAACAACGCTCAGAGCTCACCCAAGGTGTCCGTCCCGGGCAGCCACAGCAAAACATTTCCATACCAGCTCCTCGATCAGGATTCTTTCCGACCATCACAACACTCCCACCCCCTTCAAACCCACGACGCGAATCCTTCGTCAGCTTCCTCCGAGACTTCCCATCCCACAACTACATCCTCCCCACCGGCGCCCCCCTGAACTTCACCATGGTAGAAATCATCGCCATCCTCCCCAGCTGGTTCAAGAACACATCCCTAGCCACCCGCTTCCTAAACAACAACATCACTGCCAGTATTCACCTCGCCATCCTACAAGAACACCGGGATCTAGGCATCACAACGGAGCACGAAAGGGCCAGAGCGCGTGAAGGCATCGCAGACGCCTACCGCAAGACGATGCGCAGCGTGGATCCGGAGTGGACGAAAGCGCGGCACAGGATCCCGAAGGAATGGAACAACGGGGTCATGAACGTTAATACCTTCGTCCCTGATGTTGTGCACGAGACGTGGTATCAAGCCCCGCCGCCGATCGCGTTCAAGGCGCTCTGTAACGGTTTGAAGAAGTTGCCGCAGGGTGCTGATGCGGGAGACCTGACGCGTGCGCTGGAGTATGCGCTGTGTAATACCAAGTTCGATCAGTTTCAGCAGCCGCATGAACTCCTGTTTCCTGATGACCTGCAGATGATACTGGGTTATATCGGGCGCACGGATGTTACCATGGAGCATACTGATCGGTGTGTTGTTCGACGGTATGCGGATGTGGTCAGGAAGGCGGTGGGAGATAGGAAGCCTGCGTTGAAGCAGATGAAGTCGCCAGGGATGGGAATGCCTGCAGCACCGTCGGTGAAAAACCAGCGGGCAGAGTCTGAGTTTGCTGTTCCTCAAGCTACGCTACAGATTCCACCCGGGGAGCTCAACGTGGCTCTCCTAAGTGGCGCCGCTCCACCTGTACCCAAAGTGACCATCATCCCCAGCACACCCACCAACACCATAGTTCGCACGAGCACACCACCCCCAGGCTTCGCCTTCTCAGCCGAAGTCCTAGCCCTAATAACGCCACCAGGCTACCCAGCAAACCACTTCGCATCTCCGCCCGAAGTCCACCCTAGCGAAACCGCTATCGACAGAACCCGCAGAGAAGTAGCTTACATGGACTCTCTCATCCAAGAACATGCTTCCTCGAACTTATCATGTCTGCCCACGCCGTCGCCCTCGCCAGAGTCAAAGTTCGACAGAAAACAAGTGCATGAGCAGGTGCAGACCTTCGAGCGCTACTCGCAGACCCACCTCCTGCGTGACTGTCACGAAGGCTGCTCGGAGGAGGAACAGGATGACAGTGATCTTGCATGTGCGGCTCGCTATGCACGGTTGCCGGATCAGATTGGGACGGATTGGCGGGTTCAGGATATGGCGCTTATCGCTGGGCTGTTGGCGTTGCAGGATGGGAATTAGGTGGTGTGGGAGGAGTTTCTTGGAGTTTGAGTTCCGCGTATAGAGTTAGGAGTATGATAGGAAAGGGCAGTGGAAGAGGAAAGGGGTGATGAGACGATGATGGTTGTGGGAGAGGGTGGTACCTTCTACCCTGATTGAGTGTCTGTTGGGAGGGAGGGTGATGGTGATGGTAGCTTAGCTTTGGAGACGAATATATGTTTGAACTTGTGTAGCAACGCAGGTAATGGGCAAACACAAAGTACAATGCAAAGCACGATTTAGACGAAACGCAGATTGATCAATTCTGTATTCATCCTCCCTACAATCCCCTCAACAACTCATCAATAGTGACCGGTTTCCGCACCGCGTTGGAAAATCCCTCGTTGAAGGAAACCCATATCCGGCCGTGATCCCCCTTTTTCTCCTCTGCCTGTCTTGCCTTCTTCTCCTTCTCGCTCTCCGCCTGCCCAACCTCCCACTCCTTGATGACCCTGCCAAAGAAGTCTCTCTTAACAGCTCGCCTACTAGCTTCTATCGCCGCCTTTGCCGGATCGACGTCTTCCTTCGGGTCAACGTCTGCAAGGTCAAACTCCGTTTGCCCGCCCCGACGCTTCCTCGCGTCCATATCCATTCTTGCGCTCTCCTTGCGCCATTCTTGCTCCAAAACGCTGCGCACCGCATACCGTACTTTCTCATCTTTCTTAACTGACAGGGTCTCGAAGGAAGCAAGCGTGTCGAGCGGTGGTTCCATTCTCCACACGAATCCTCCGCTGCGATTCGCAACATCGTCGATTTCGACACGACTCCTCTCGAAGCGCACGCCAGTCGCTGCCATGGCTTCTACAGCTTTTTTCACCAGCGCTTTCTCACTAGCTTTGCGCACCGATGCTGTAGCGAAAGATTTGGAGCCCGAGGGCCCGGTGTTAACGATCACGGGTTTGACGTCTGGCGAGAGCATGCGGAGTACATAGGGTATGAGTTCTTGGGACATTTCCTCCGGACTGCGGAACGAGCGTGTAAGCGGGATGCTTAGACTGCTTTGCAGACCCATAAGTCCTGCTCGCGTACTCTTCAGCTGTTCTACCGCCGCGAAATTGGCACCAGGCCCAGAGAACGCCGAGATCTGCGCATCAGGATCGGTAGGGACTGATGATGCTTGGCGAGGAGAAGCAAAGAGGTCATGGAAGGCGAGAATAGATTGTGAGAGGTAGGGTGCGAGTTCCCATTCCTGGGAGCCGTGAACGGCAGTTGAGAGGGTGTCGTGGAAGTGCAGCCATTCATAGGCAGAGTTGGGTTTGCTGAGGAGGGTGTCGTCTTGGAATGGCTTCTCAGGGTACGCGGTGAAGCAGTCTGTATATTATTAGTAATGATTACAAAGTGAGGATGTATGGTTAGACCTACCCGAGATGATACGGTCGCAATCCCCGCTCGTGTCGACCATCTCTCTCAGTCTCTCCATAGCTCTTCGCTTTGCAGACTCAGCAACACCGATAACTCCATTCTTTGCCCGTGCAACAGCAGTTCGTGGATCCGTGGTCTCAGCTTGCTTTGGAAATCCCGCACCTTCCTTGAAAACGCGCTCGACAGCATCTTTCGCACCTCCTCGTCCTAAGCTGCGGGCCGCTCCTCCGCCATGACGCAGATCGTTGATGAAATTGTCTTCAATCCACCTGCGCGTCAAATGTGGTTTCTCTTTGGACTTCACATCGTGAGAGGAGCGCAACCGTCCTGCGATCCACTCACCCACAACCATGACTCCGCGAATGTCACCTTCTCCTGTGCCGCTGCCTGTACCACCCTCTTTCTTCGTGCTGACACCCCAAGTGGCTTCGCAGAGGCGTCGGACACCGTCAGAGTCGCACTGAAAACCTTCTTTGATGAAGATGTCGTGCATGCGCGTGACAACCATGTTGAGGGCAGGTTTGCGGATGTGAACAACTTCCGCGAGTGAAGACTGGCGGAGAGGTCGTAGGGACGGGTGATATACATCATTGCAGATCAAGATGAGCGGTCGTAGCATGCGGAATCTGTCGCCCTTTTTCTTCTTCTTTGGTCCTGCGTCAGACTGGTGCTGACCGATGGTCTTTGAGTTCTTCTCGTCGAGGTTGATGAGGTCGATGAGGGCCTTGACGAAGCCGCCTTCTCCGCTCGCACCACTGCCACCCACAACGCCATCAACCTCATCCACGATTACGCAAACAGGCTTGCCTGCTTTCCGCACCTTGCCGTTCGCCGTGCTAGTATTCACTCCCCGGACGTTCTCGGTGCCAACCATATCGCGAATACGGCCCTTTACCACGTTACCACTTCGCTCGTCTGAGGCATTGATCTCCTGGACCTCGTATCCCGCTTGTCGAGCGCATACATGGGCTAGGGTGGTCTTGCCGAGTCCAGGCGGTCCAGTCAACAGGAGCACCTTACGATGTCTTTGTTCGTCTTCTTCGAAGTTCTTTTTTGCACCTTTCGACTTGGCTTTGCTGGACCCTGGAAAGACGACTGGATCCCATCCTTTCAACCACCGCAGCACTGATCGATGTGTCCGCTCGTCCCCGACCAGATCTGTGAACTTCTTTGCTCGGTATTTCTCCGTCCACATCAGGGTACGGTTACTCTTCCCGTTCTTGGCGACTGGCTGTTCAATTGATTGCTCTGGCAGATCGAGAACTATTCTCTCTTTGTTTGCAGCCTTCTCTACGTCCATCGCTTTTGCCTCATCCATCAGCTCGTGGATGTTGAGGCCGTAGTAATCCGTCCTCGCCTTCCCTGCCTCTGCTACCGAACGCGATGCAATAAGCTGCTCGTAAGGGACAGCCTCCTTGTTCGCCTTTTTCTGGACGTGGATCGCCTTCCCCGCTGCATTCCGAATGACTTTTCCACGCACGGGCAGTGCCGACGTAGGCGTATTTGGTACTGGTTGCGTCCGCTTGACTGGCGATAGCGACTCGAAGCGGTACTGGTCAAGGGCGTCTACAGGTATTGTCTCCGGATCTGCAGCCTCGTCCTGGCTGGCAGGCGGAGTGTAGTCTGCGATACCCTCGGGTGCTACTGGGAGGTCTTTGACGCTGTTAAGAGCCCTCCGCTTCAACATGTGCTCCTCCTGCGCTGCAACATCATCCTCGTCGTCGGAGTCGTCTAGGAAACCCCCAATCTTCCGGGCAGGCTGGTTGTTGTGAAGATCTTTCAACGGACTTCGTGCATCGTCTGGACGCTTTCTCTTCTTTGGCGACGCGACTTGTGGCATGGACGAACTCGGCGGGTACGCGACTGGTGATGAGATGAGCGGCATCGTGTAGAGTGGCGGCGACGAAGGGAAAGTTTGGTCGTCGACTGAAGACTCAGCGGGGAAGCGCTTGGTATGAGAGTGCTTCTGGCGTTTTAGAGGGGTGTCTGGAGGAATCAGTCCTGGGTACGCGCTTTCACCACGTTTGCAGTACCGATTGAACGATCCCCTTCGCTCCTGAATATTTCTGTAAGATTCCAAGCTCGGTGTTGTATTACAACGCCTTCGCTGTTCTTCTTGGCCTTGTCCTGGGCAATGCACTGCTGTAACGCGTCGAATTCGTCAGAGTGGGATTCCGAGACGGGTTGGTCGTGGATGAATTCGAGTTCGGAGTGGAGTAGTGCAGGGTCGAAGGAAGTTGGTATGCCAGGGGAGTAGCTGCTCATCGAGTCATATGCGTGGCATTGTGTGGAGGTGGTGGTGACGGTGACAATTAAAGTGCAAATGGCTCGCGACACGCGACGCGCCAAAGTTGGGCGTTCGCGTTGCGCCTAACCACTTTCGTCTGACCCTATTCCGGCTGCTCGAACACCACAGCAGACATCATCATAGACAACCAGCTTGCGAGAAGTAATATCCACAGCACCTTGGGAACTTCTAGATATCATATACTCTCGTTGTTCATTGGCTTACACACGTCACCATATTGCGCTTTCCATGACTATTCAATGCCAATAGGATGCAGCACGCCTCCCAGATCATGCACAGGAAACACCCAAACCCTTCACAACTTCCGGCTTGTCCACGTATCCATACAAATGCACTAGGATCACTATAAACTTTGATTGCTTCCACTACTCTAGCCATCGGAAGTGCGCGAACAACAATGTCCTGAAGAGAAGACTGTAGTGGGGCAACACAGAATCAACCTGCCCCACCATTTCCACGCCTACACAACACCCCAACATCCCCACCCAAGACACTTTTACAGAAATCCAGAACTGTCATCTCCAAATTCTTGCAATATATTCCCCAAATTCCACCAACTCTCCATCAAGCAACAAGGCACGAAAGCTGCTTGGCGCAGCGGAAGCGCGCCGGGCTCATAACCCGGAGGACCTCGGATCGAAACCGAGAGCAGCTAGCTTTATTTTTGTCTTTTTGCTACCATCACCATATCCAGACGTCCATTTCACCTATGGACATATGTGTCTGCCTTTGAATTTTCCGTTTTTTTTTGCCCTTGTGCCGCAGATGTCGATGCAGACAAAGCCGTGCTGAGGGCTTTGTAGTATTTTCGTTTTCGTCTATTTCTTTATCTTCATCTTCATCTCGGGTTGTAGTCTTTTTCTGACGCGTATTTGATTACCGGTACCTAGTTGTATGCATGGTGTATCGGGACCAGCACAGCAAAGCAAAGCCATATGATAATTCCCCGTTCTATTCTTTTGCAAACATGACACTTTTCCATGCGAGCAACAGTAGCCCGCCCGCGGCTCGAGGACGATGATGCGCAACCACCACCCAACTAGCCGCAAGTTGAGTATAAAGTCGAACAGGACATTAACGTTTCGACCAAAGTTTTCTGGCCAACAAGATGATATACGATAGCGTTGGATGGTAAGTTCCAAGAATGAAGAGTGGATAAAGAGTTGGAGTTGGAGGCAGAGAATGTGCGCACTCACTTCTTTGTTTTGTTGATGGGTGCTATTCTGGGCGTTGTTCGACGCGCCGGAAGAAGATGCCCTGGGTAGGTAGGCGTAAGAGGTTCTCCTTGCTGTGTTGAGACACTATGCTAAAACGCTGTGCTGCTTGCGGGTATGGTGGTGGTGGTTGGGTGGGGTTGTTTTCGGGTGTTTGGTAAAGAACAAGAAGGTGTGCGGAGGTGATGTAAACTGGTGCAAGAATGTAAGATGGATCTGGAACCCTTTATATACCCACAGCCAGCGCTCCACCATAGCACCTCACCCCATCCCAGCCAGCGCATCCATCCACGACAGTCGACCCATCCCACCCCACCACCAAGCATGCCCTCCCAACCCCCCTTCCCCCCAGACTCCCTCCTCTCCAAACTGCACGGCTGCATCTTCGGCTCCGCCCTCGGCGACACCCTAGGCCTCTACACAGAATTCCTGTCCCAAGCGCAAAGCACCGCGATCTACCCATCCGGGCGCTTCCGCCTCGTCCCCCCCACAACGCCATACCACCTCGACGCGCACCGCCTGCGCTGGCCAGAACGTTCCTGGACAGATGACACGGACCAAGCCCTACTAATCATCCTCATGCATGTGCACGCGCACACCACGGGCTCACACTCCACCGCAGTAGCCTTCGCGCGGCGTCTGCATATATGGGTCTCGCAGGGCCTGCTCGCGCTCAATCGGCCGGCGATGGGCATCGGCGCCTTAGTCGGCAGTGTTGTTGGCGCCGCGACCTTCCTGGCTGATCCAGTGGGGACGGCGACGCGCGCGTGGATTGCGAGCGGGCGGAAGGCGGCGCCGAATGGGAGTCTGATGCGGACGCATCCAGTTGGGGTGATGGGCGTGTTGTGGAGCGAAGCGGAGACGTGGCGCTTGAGCGTTAGTCTGGGGCGGGTCACGCACGTCGATCCGCGGTGTGTGGTTGCGTGTTGTGTTTCTGTTGGGTTGGTGCGGGGGCTGCTGCGTGGTGAGGTGGTGACAGAAGGGCATGTTGATGGGGTGGTTGAGCGCGCGTTTGAGTGGGTGGGTGGGCAGCCCGGGTTGGTGAATCCTGGGGGAAATGCTGAGCAGCGGCTTGATTACGGGGAGTTCTCGCGCCATGCGTATGCTCCGAGTTTGGAGGCGCTGCGGCTTGATAGTCCGCGGGAGATCGGGTACGTGTATAAGTGTCTCGGTGCGGCGGTGCTGTTGCTTCGGCTGGCTATGCGTGGTGTAGCGAGCGCAGAGAGTGGAGCGAGTACAGAGAGCGGAGTGAGCGTTCTCTTCGAGACCCTCATCACCTCCCTAATCCTCCAAGGCGGAGACGCGGACACCAACGCCGCCGCCGCCGGGGCACTGTTGGGCGCCTACCTCGGATACTCAAATCTACCTTTACACTGGGTGGATGGGCTCCAGCACCGCGAGTGGCTGATGGCGAAGAGTGTGCGGTTTGCGGTGGCGGTTGGTGCTGTGGAGGGGGGGACGTTGGAGGAGGAGAGTGATGAGGGGGAGAGTGGTGCGGGAGGGTTGATGACGGAGAGGGAGCTGGGGGAGAGGCGGAGGGTTTTGAGGGAGGAGGGGAGGAGGAGGGTTCGGGAACGGAGGAAAGAGATAGAGAGGGGAAGTGTGATGGAGAGGTGGGGATGAGGGGAATTTATAGTGATGTGTTTGCGAATGGGTGGGTGAGTGATATCGAATGACGTATTTATGCCACTATATGAGAATTCTACATTTACGTATCTTCACCTCTTAGCATATATATACATGCCTACCCAAATTTCCTCTTACTATCGATCATCATCATCCCCACGAGGCTCCAACCATCAAACCCTATACCATACTCAAACGTGAACCTCTCTAGTCCACTTCCCCTTCCCCTTCCACAAGCCCCCTTAAATCTTCCCCCACGCCCCCGCCACCTCATCCCACCCCATATCCCTAGCACTTCCGTCCACCCAAACCCCCCACCACCAGCCCCGCGACAAACCACCCCCCTCCCCACAAACACCAACCCAGCAATCCACCCCCCATCCAAAAGACCACTACTCCCAAACCCCCCTCTACAACCCCCACTAACCCACAACACCACTTCAATCCCCCGCTCACATACATACCCACCACACCACCACCTTACCAGCGAAACACGCACACACCCCCGCCACCAACACCACTCCGATGATCTACCTCTGCCCTGCCCTGCCCTGCCGTTCGCCCACGCACACGCACATAGTGTCCCCTCCCCCTCACCCCTCAACATTTGCTCCCAAGTATATCCGCCCTCCTGAACGCCAGACTCTCAGAACGGTAACCGATGAAGGGTGGTTTTAGTACGGCAGAGCAGAGCCCAGGGATACTCTGTGCGTCCTGTTTCCTTTCCATCAGCATCCCATCCCATCCCCCAGAAACCAGAAACCAGAAGATGGACGATAGTAAGTCCTCCTACGCACACGATATGCAACACGCACAGAATATATAAAGAAAGACAAAGGGATGCTTGGGTTTGATTTAATTGGTCTGGTTTGCTCAGCTCAGCTTAGTTGTCTTGGATTTCATTGGATACAATTAGAAAGGGAGAGTGTAGATGTGTTCATTACTAACAGGAAGAACTTTGTATCTATAAAGTAGGTGTGTAACACTATATGTCCCTGCCCCTGCTTCTGCCCCTGGGCTTTTGTACAAAGCATCCCGCCGAATAGGACTCAAAGAGAGAGACATGAAAGAAAGGGCGAGTCCATCGACAAGCCATGTTATTGAACTATCAACGACAGAGAATGAAAACGTAGATGTATATATCGATGTAGGTAGAAATTGGAATTGAATTTAGCTACCAAGGACGATTACGGAGTGGTAGAATGTATAGATGCTGAAGACGCTGTCGATTGGTAAGAGTAATAAAGGAAGGAAGGGATGGTGTTGGTGATGTTGATATTGATAGTGATATCCTTAATACCAACAAAAGAAGAGAAGAGAAGCTAAGAGATTCGTGAACCCCCCTCCCCTTGAAACCAGCCCAGCCCAGCCCAGCCTCGCCATGCCGTATCCCCCCCAATAAAAACACCAAAAAGCGGAACAAAAATGCCACAACGCCCACCCACACAATATATGACAGAGAACCTCCCCCACCCAACCCGTAATCGCACACCCCATCCCTCCCCATCCCCTCCCCCTCCCCCTCCCCATCCCACCCTCCACCCGCCCCCCTACCCCTCAACCCCCTCAACCTTCCTCAAAAACTCCTTCACCCTACCAACCTCCATCCCCTCCAACGGATCACTATCCAGCGCCGCAAAAAGCTGATGAATACACTCATCGACCCTCTCCTCGGGCACCTTCGTACACAGACTAACAACCTTGATATACATGACCTCCAGCTGACCATCCTTCTCCTTAAGCCTACGACTCCTTTCCAACAACGCCGCATTAGCTTTAGTATAAACCTCGATTCTGTGTCTCAGCACAGCAGGGAACACTGCGCTAAGGCGCGGATGCACGGCGACGCTACCATGCGAGACGGCGAGCGCGATATCAGCGGGTAGGGGTGTAGATGCATACTGGGGCCCGTCCGAGGCGCGGCGCAGCAGCAGGTGGGACGCGTGGCGCACGTCGTAGGGCAGGTCGTCGTCTTGGATGAGCAGGCCGGCGCCTTCTTGGTCCGCGTAGCCGATGCGCCGTTTCTCGTGGAGGTCGGTGGCGCCGGCGTTGACGGAGAGCATGTGGCGTTGGGGTTCGAGCCAGCGCTTGAGGTTGGCGATGCGTTTTGCGCGGTCCTGGCAGGCGCGGAGGCGGAGGCGGAGGGATTCGAGGTTTTGCTGTTCTGTTTTTTGGAGCGCGGAGAGCTGCGCGATGGTGTCGTTTGTGCGGTCTATGGTGTCTTGTTTTAGGCGGGCTTCTTGTGTGAATTGCATGGAGGCGGATTGCAGGATGCCGCTCATTACTGGGGGTGGTTAGTGTGGTTATTTATGGTGGGTTGGATGGAGGATGTTCTGGACTCACGGGGTTGAATCTCTCGACTTGTTTCTTCTACTTTGCTGAGTGGCGCTTTGCCTTTGGACGGGCTGGGGATGATGACTTCGCCGTCGCCGTGTATGTCGCTTCCGACGCCGAAGTCTATCGGACGTGTGCCCTTGTGGTTTGGGATTGTGGGGTCGGCCTGGACTTCCATAAGCTGGGAGATGATGTTGCGGTTGCCAATTCTCGCTGCCAAGTTTAGTGCTGTGCTCCCAGCCTTATCCCGCGCATTCACCATCTCCTGCATAAATCGCATCAGGCCTATTGGTTTGGGGTGGTTGTCGTGGAAGGACGAGGGTTGGTTGGCGCCAATATTACTGCGCACGAGATATTCAAGCAGGGCTTCGAGGTAGTATTTGCTCGATGCTGCACGGCCCTTGATGGCGCATGTTACAGCAATGTGGTGCAGGATAGTCCGCCCCTGCGTATCGCGGAGTTCAATGAGGGGAGCTAGAATCTCGAGTGTTTCGGGGAAGCAGCTGTGGTCTAAGCTGTTGTTTACTGACACAGCGCTCATCAACGGCGTCATGCCTGTGGCGTTTCCTCTGAACATGTTCGCACCTTTAGACACCAGCAACCGCATAAGAGAGACGCGAGCCAGTGTTGCTGCCCAGTGTAGCGCCGTGTTGAGGGTGTTGTCGATGGGCATGTCGAGGTCTGTACCGGACAGATGCAGCATCGCGGGGTGGTTAGTAAAGTCAGTCCGTTGCTGGTCAGCGAACAAGTCTGTCAACATGGCCTGCTTGTCTTCGCTCTCCTTCGTGTCTGGCCGGGGTAGGGGAGGCAGGGCGGAGGGGACTTCGGTGCCGTCTGGGAGGGAGATGCGGTGTCCCGTCTGGTGCTGGTAGAAGGAGTCGCTGGGTTCTGTGGGCGAGCCGTGGTCGCGCATCGACGTCTCCGTCTTCATGGTCACGGGCTGCGAGAAGGATTCCTCCTGCGAGGCGCGCATGCGTTTCCTTGGCGGCTCCTGGGTCTCGTCGAGTCCCGTGGCGTAGGCCGAGTCGGTGTGGCCGTTGGTGGCGGTGAAGCTGCGCTCAGAGGCCATGCTCGGCACGCTCTGCTGGCTGCTCGTGCGGAACGAGTCTTGGCTGACCACGGGAGCCTGTTGTGGACGGGCCATGGATCGGCGGCCCTGCGAGGAGCTGGCTGGCCTTGGCGCGGGTGAATTGAGACGGGCGACCTTGTTCATGGCGGCGAGGGCGCTGGTGGCCGTGGACGAGATGTTGGAGAAGAAGGTGCCGCCGACGCTCTGGCTGGTGCTGCGGCCGTCGATGCTCTGCGTGTAGAAGCGCTTCCTATTCGCGGCCATGGCCTGCTCCTTGGTCGGCGTCTCGATGCCCTGGCCGGCATTCCCGTCGGCGCTGATGTCGTAGTCCAGCAACGGGCGCAGAATGTCCTCGACGCCGTACTGGCGACAGAACTCGCGGCCGCGACGGTAGCCGATCCACGTGCCCTGGTATTTGCCGTAGCCGCCCTGGACCTTCTCGTGCTCGCCCGTCAATATCTCCTTCTCCAGCACCTTTGTGCGCTTGCCCTTGTCGACGCCGGCGACCTTGAGGATCTGGGTGGCATTGAGCCAGCCGTCGGAGCGGCGGCGCATGACGGCGACGCGGTTGACCTCCATTTCGTAGACGGACACGCCCGAGTAGACGGCCTAGACGGGTTAGAGGGGACAGCGGACGGAGGTGACATGCGCACCGTGTAGATCTGCGGCTTCTCCATGGCGTGCTGCTGGAAGCCGTTGACGTCGGAAAAGGAGCGGTTGAAGGCCGGCGCCGCCATCAGTCCCTGCGGCGAGTTGGCGTACATGTGGGGGTGTGCTTGGGGTTGCGATTGTGACTGGGGCTGCGACTGTTGCTGCGACTGCGCCTGCACCTGTGACTGTGGCTGCGGCTGCGACTGCGACGCTGGCTGCGCTTGAGACTGCGACGGAGACGGCGAGCCGGCGGCAGGAAAGGAAGAGGCCAGCAGCGTGCGCGCGACTTGCATTATGTCAGCACGGCGCTGGGTGAGTGCGGCGGTGCGGGTGCGTCCAGCGGGCGGATCTCGAGTCTGGCGTTATCGTTGTCGTTGTCGTCGGCGGGCGCGGGGAGTGAATTGCCGTTGTCGAGGTGTAGTTCGTAGTTCGCGACGCGTCTGGCACGACAGCCAATCACGCCTGTCAGCTGTCACGCCCAGCCTGGAACCTCACTTTCCCGCCCGTATCATCTCGTCTCGCTCTATGCCCGTGTCGCTGCAGCAGACGGCCGCTGGTGTCAAGTCTGTCTCTGGCGTCAAGTCGATCCACCTGCTGCGTGCTCTCCTCCGCGAGGCCTCGTACCTGCCTGACGAGACTGCCCGCCACTACTTCCGCCGCTACCTCGTCAGCCGCTTCAAGGCCTACCAGCCCAAGCAGAACGCGACTGCCTCGTTTGATGTCGAGGCCGTGGAAAAGTACAGACACCAGAGCTTCAGACGTCGCCATGTAGGCATCATCAATGAGCGTGCACACAGACTGCAAAGAAAAGGCCACAAGGGGCTCAACTACCTGCGCCGTGCCAATCTAGGCGAGCAGCCATGTCTGCAAAAGGTGCTGCACTTTGCCTATGGCCGTCTGGGGAGGCGCAAACACGTGCTGCTAGACGCTCTGCTCAAGCCAGACCCCTTCATGCAGGGTAGCAACGAGACTGCACTCCCAGACTTCACAGGTCCAACACCTCTGCAGAAGCTCTACTACAGTGACAAGCGCTATCTGCAGTACTTTGACGCTCCCAAGCTCTCCAAGGCCAACCATGTCATCAGCATCTCTGACCGCTACTCGTGTCTGCGCACGGTACTCCAGTCGCAGCATCAGAAGGGTCTTGGGCTGCATCGAGATCTAAAAGGCGCTGCATTCAAGACGCCAGTCCACAACATCTGGCACCGACCCATGCCCATTAAAAGAGCCCGCAACAACGTCAAGAGATGGTATGCTGAGACTATGGAACGACTGCTCCCTCCACTGCCCAACGAAGAGTGGGACAACATGCACGCCATGGTGACTGGGGAGAAATGGATCAGCTTCACCAAGCCGAGGACGCCTGGTGTTGAGCTCAACCCATCACCTGTACAGGATGTGGACCTCTTCAAGAAAATCATACACGAGGGACTCGCCTTGGACAAGTTGAGCAGAGCAGACAGACCAGCAGGCATAAACCGTCCCCACACCATCAACCCAAAGTTCATGCGGCGCCTCTACTCCAAGATCCTCGCACTCTGCTGCAAGCTCGACTACGACCACGAACGCGGAAGATGGATTGCGACTTGGGGCGAACCCATACAACGCGATACTCTCAAGACATACCCCGTCGACGAGTCGCTCTTCGCTGGCGTAGACGCAACCGGTCACGTTCCTAAGGAGAAGAAAAAAAATACGCCTGACATGGGTGATGCTCCCAAGGTGGCTTATATACAGCCCAGAAACGACAAGGGCGAATACCTACGCTTTCCCTTCTTTACAGAATTCCTGCCGCCCAACAATCCGCTGCGAAAAGAGCTTGACGAGTGGAAGAGGAAGCGTGCTGCAGCGGCAGTTGCCGAAAGCGGTAAGGCTAGCTCCAAGCGTTGACGTCGCTGCATCATTTCTGCCAGGTCGTCATGCAAAGGGCGCACAACATCAAATATCTACAAGACTATCTCAGCACTTGCACACAGAAAAACAAAACACAATGTCGCCGCCAGAAGCCTCGCAAATGCCCGCACCCATCATGCAGTCCAACGGCGCCACCATCCGCTACGCCACACGCGAAGGTACCACCCCCAGAATCCTCCAAACACCACCCCCCACACCCAGCCTAACCCAACCCAGACGTCCCCGCAATCCTCTCCCTCATAAAAGAACTCGCCGCCTACGAAAAAGCCTCCTCCTCAGTAGAAGCCACCGAGTCCACCCTGCTACAAACCCTCTCCTTCCCCCAACCCACCTCCTCCCCCACGCAATTCACCCCCGGCTTCGCCAAAACCCTCCTCGTCACCGCCCCCGACGGCTCCACCTGCGCCATGGCCCTCTTCTGCTACAACTACAGCACCTGGACCGGCCCCGGCGTGTATCTCGAGGACCTGTTCGTCCAGCCTGATTATCGCGGGAGGGGGTACGGGACCATGTTGCTGGCGCAGTTGGCGCGCGAGACGAAGATGGTGGGCGGGAAGAGGCTGGAGTGGAGTTGTTTGGATTGGAATACGAGGAGTTTGGCGTTTTATGAGGGTGGGAAGGTGGGTGCGAAGAGGAAGACGGAGTGGCTTGGACTGAGGGTGGAGGGGGAGGCGTTGGAGAAGTTGGCGGGGGAGGGGGCGTGAGTGTACGAAAAGGTTGGGATGGGGGTGTTTGGATACGATTTCAACGTGTACAAGAAACATCACAGCACATCACCAACCACATGTAAAAAAGTAATAACCAACATCTCACATTCCCTTACATTACACCTCCCCCCCTCTCCCCCCCAACTCACCCCCTCCCCTAATAAACCTTCGCCAACTTACTCCTCGCCCTCAAAAGATGTCCATACCTAAACATCACAAACGGAATAACACTCAACACGGTCCCAAAAACCGCCAAGATAAGCCCCGCCCACTGACTCCCCACATTATGAAAAAACGCGCTCGCAAACAGCGGCGTCACAGCCCCCAGCGTATTCCGCATCAACCCCTGCCCCGCAATCGCCGACGACGACGTCTCCCCATAGCAATCCGCCGTATAACTATACGTACTCTCAAACACGAAGAAGATGCCAAACGCAATGGGCGCGAGACCGATAACAGGACCCACCCAGGAGAGCTGCGCGTACTGCGTGAAGGAGTATATGAACAGCCCCACGGGGAGCCAGATCGCGCCGAACATTGCGCCGTAGAGGCGGTGTTCTGGGACGATGGAGATATTTGGGTCGGATTGGAGGGCGTTGTATTTGCGCATTTGGAGGTGGTGGGCTGCCCAGCCTAGGAAGGTGCCTACGCCGAGGGAGATGTAAGGTAGGCCGGATACGCCTTCATTCCAGCCGCGTTTCTCGGAGAAGGTTATGGGGATGACGCTCAGGAAGAGGAAGACTACCGCCCAGCAGAAGGCTATCCATAGCCCGAAGGCGAAGACGACGGGTTCGGTGACGAGCATGTGGATTGCTTTTACCGAGGAGGCGCGGAGCATGGATTTGATATCCGGGGTGTAGATGTCGTCTTCCGCGACGTAGCGGTCGTCTGCGGTTGCTTTGCGGAGGGCCTTGGCGCGTTTATGCAGACGAGCGCCGCCGCGCGTTTCGGGGAAGAAGGCGAAGATAGCAATTAGAAGGGGAACGTTTGCGATGCCTTGGATGCCCTGGATCCAGCGCCAGCCGAGGGCTTGGTCGATGAAGCCGGCGTAGATGGGGGCGGCGACTGTGCCGAAGATGGCGACGAAGCTGAACATTGCCATGGGGCGGCCGCGGTGGTGCGGCTCGTACATGTCGTCGAAGGTGCCGCCGACGAGGATGGTGCCGACGCAGCCGAAGAGGCCGAGGAGCAGGCGGAGACCGATGATGGTGCTGATGTCCTGTGCGAGCGCGAGCCCGATGAAGATGAGTGAGAAGCAGAGGAAGGCGCTGGCGTAGACGATTTTGCGGCCGACCAGCTCGCAGAAGGGCGCGAGGATCATGGGCGCAATGGCGCACGCGATGTTGAATGTGAACAGGCCGAGCTGGCCCATGATGGGCGCTACGCCGAATTCAGCGCACATGCTGTTGATGCCGGAGCTGTATGCCGTGGTGGCCAGGCCGATGAAGAGCGTCATCAGGTTGAGCATCGTGGTGATGCTGCGCTTGTACCATGGGTTCCAGTTGAAGGGGTTTTCCGGATCGCCTGTGGCGAAGGTCAGGACGATGTATTGCTTGCCGTTGTGGTCGACTGTCTCGGTCAGGGTGAGCGGCATGTCGACGTCGACGGTCTTGATGGGCCCGCACTCCGGGTCGATGTCCTCGACTTCGGCGTCGACGTATTTCCCACCCACGATCCTGCCGATCAGCGGCTCGCCCTTTTCGTTGCGGATCACCTCCGAGTTGATCGTCTCCGGGGGTTCGGAATGCGTGTCCGTTTTGCTGTTTGCCCTCGACGTTTCCGCTGGGGTAACGGCCGCCGTCGAGAAAGCCCTAGGGGTAACAGGTCTGCTACCAGGCCTACTCTGGACGCCATTGTTTATAGAATTCGCTCTAGAATTTGCCCTCGAATGAGCCAAGGAGCCAGGACGCGAAGGCGGCGCCGAAAAAGACGGGAGATAGGACGACATGATGATTGAACTGCTCAGAAGCAGAGAGGAATTGTGACAAGAGAGGTGGGAAGTAGTAGTCTTGAAAGGACGAAACTCTAGTCAAGTAGATATCTCATACCAAGCTCTCAACAGAAAAAAAAACAGCGTCCATGGCTATCTTATTTACCATATCCACTGCGACGTCATACAACGGCCGTCAGGACTGTCGGAATGGCGCCGGGCGGACCGCGTCTAGTCAGGTGGAGAGATCCCGAGTGAGGCTCAACTCTAGCGCGTGTTTGGATCCACAACGGGACGCCTCAAAGTGTGCAGGCGAAGGAAGGAATGGTGCATGTCAGGTGAAGAGTTGTCGTGCTTGTCCGAGCTACCACCGAAGGAATCCATTGGAAATATTGACTCCGCACCAATATTCCCATACAGACGACCATACTCACACTTTCTAACAATTCCCAAGCAAAAAAGCCCACGCATAACTTTCTCTTCGAAAAAGTCGAAGATCCGACAGAAACCGAACAAGTGACGTTGTAGTGGAGTCGGCGACACCGGGGAAATTTTCGGTTGAAAAAAACCACACACCTGCAAAGCTGTGCCTCGCAAGAGGAAAGTACGGCCAACTTCGCCCAGCCTACCCCATAGTCAATACACGCACTCTCCCCTAAAAACACGGACGTGAGGTGAGCAGAGTGTGTGGTCCCCCCATCTCCGTGAAAAGGGACAAAGGATTGCATCTCCACAAAGAAGGGCCCTGTCTTCTCCGAGTTCCACCCCGCGACCCCGTGGCACAGTTACAAACGAGGCAATTCCAGTGACAAACAGTGGCATGTTGTGTTCCATACCCACATGCTCGCTTCTGGCTCCTGCGGCGTGAGTGGTGTGGTCGGACTTGAAACGAGCACAGCTTGTGACCCAGTGATGTGAGTGTCGTCCGATGGTTTGTCGGATGCATTCCTCCTCTTGTCTTGAAGGATGAGCCGCGCAGTCGCGTTGGAAGTGTAGGACCCGCTTGTCCTCCGACTGACAGACAACGACTTCCATAGTCGAGCACTACCCCATGGGCAGACCCGCCCGCCGAGGCACGCGATTGAAACGTGGAGAGACGTAGAAGCATGGTGGTGTCGTAGTCGAGTGATTCGGGTCGATAGTACTGACATTTGCGCTGGAGCCTCTTCACACCAGGAAGTGAAGCAGCAGAGCTACCCGTTCACCTCTATGGCGACCATGACTCACGCTTTTCCCAACCCAAACACACACCGCTTATATTTCGCTGGATAATCCTCTTCATTTCGTTCTCCGCCGTCTGTGCCGAAACGTGCTCATGGACCGAGGCGATGTGATGAACACGGAAGCATTGTCAAGGGACGTCGTCTTCTGCTATGCTTGGCATCCTCATTGAAGACTAGCGCATTTTCCACACAAACACAAGGGAACCCTCACTCAGGTACCTAGATGTCATATCGTATCGTATTTCCGCCAGAATCTAGAGTCTAATTCGCTAAACGCCCGCCAATGCATATTCCATCACAACGTCTATCTTGACAAGTCCGTACTCATACATAGGCACCATGCTACAAAGCTTCGTCCGTCTTTACAAGAGGGTACTGCTCAAAACGTCTCAATAGCGTCTGGTAAAGAACAAGCATAGTCCCCGACTGCACGCTTGTCCAAACGAAGCGAGGCCCCACGCCTCGAAACCAGCCCGCAATACCTTCGGTACGGTATATGATCTTCAGGCCAGTCAGGACAGAGGAGGTATCGAGGGTTGCAGCGCCATGGGTTTTGAGGGTAGTTGAAGGAGAAGAGGTGGAGATGGGACGGTTTTGTGTGGCGTGCGGTTTGCTCGACTGTGAGGGGACGGCGTGTTTTGTGGGCGAGAGTGTGGATCGAGAGGAAGTAGAGGATGGGTGATTGACCTGAGTCTGGATGCGCGTCTTGACGACGTCGAGGGGTGTGGTGATGACGCCTGCCATGCCTCCTGCACTCGCCGCGGTCGCAATCTCCAGCAGCAGGCCGATGTTGTTGGAGCCCACGTATCGCTTGGCCCAATTCCTCTCCTCCTCGTAGAAAGCGAACTGCAGGGCGGAAAAGGGCAGGTCACGCCATAGGGTCGCCTTGTAGCCGTAGAAAAGCGCGCCAAAGCCTTCGTTGCGGGCGATTGTGCGGGCGGCGTCGATGGTGGAGCGGTAGTTGTAGCCGCTGGAGAAGTAGGGGTTGTTGTAGCGGCCCTGCAGCTGGAGTCGTGTTTTCAGCACCTCGGAGGGGACGTAGGCGGGGGCGGCGGCGAGGTCGGCGAAGAGGCCTGCGGAGAAGTAGGCGATCGAGGGCGTGACGCCGTAGTCGATCATGGTGCGCTTGCTCCATTCGTAGGCGCCGAAGAAGCACACTGTCCCCGCAAAGGAGCCCAGGAAGGCCGGCTGGACACCCCCATACAAGCCCTTGCGTATGCCCTCCTGGCGCCAGATGGTGTAGTATGTGCTGCCCATGGACGTGTAGCGCGGCGGCATGTGCGGGTCGCCCTGCTGGCGTGTCTTGACCGTGTCCAGCGAGTGCATCAGCATGTCGCCCGTCGTCCCTCCGATGCCGCCGGCCAGCATTGCCTGCATCCGTGTCAATAGACGGCCCTCTCCCCCACCCGCCGGGGCCTCCTCACATGTAGATAGGGCGGCCGCGCTGCCTCGTCGTCCATGCCCTCGTCGACTACCGCCGCGGCCTGTGTGATGTCCCGCACGCTCTCCGCCGGCATCGTGTCTGCTCTCCGGCCATCGTCGACGATGCTGTGCGTGGGGGTCGAGTCTCCGTTGGTGAAGAAGTTGGCCACTCGGGCAAGTACCATTAGCGATGAGCCTCGATGCGGCGCGGCGTTGCTCGGGGGGGAAGGGGTTTGTATGGGGATGGTGCAAAGAGGAAAATTACAGGTGCACAATGGTGATGCGAGGAGTGACGTGGGCTGCCGGTAACAAAGTCATGGTTTGGCGTTCGCTGTCTCGAAAATTTCGGCCAAGAACGGGAGCGATAGCACTATCTTAGCCTGGGAATATGACGCCTCAGAGTTGCATCCCAACTTCCTACATCTATGTGCATTCGCAGAACACGCAACAATTCGGCATTGCAATGGAAAATATAGCAGCCATGCTGGAACGCAGTCCTCACGTGGCTGATCACGTGCTGTTATGGACTAGCATGACCTAGCGCCAAACGCCGCTTTTGTTTACATCACGGCCATCACATCCCACCCCAGTTACCCCACCCACGACACGTTTCTATCATTTACATATCTGTATATTCTTGATCGCACTGTTTACGCGACCGTATTATTACTACTCACAATGTCCCGTCCTTGGTTGCAACGTAAGCGCAAAGCGGAGCTGATTGAGCTCGCGCAACTGGCCAGAATCCCAAAGTATGCGTCTCGCCGTGAAACCATGACATCCCGAGACTGATGTGATGATACAGCGCCGACGGCTACCTCAAAGACGATCTGGTCACCGTGCTCGAGGAACGCCTCGACCACAACGAGAGCAAGTTTGGCAGAATCGCCGAGTTGAGTGATTACTACAGCAAGACTCGCATTGGATCGCCAGTGAAACGCGAGTTGCGCTCATCGCCTTCGGAAAGCCTTGCTGCCGCGAAAACGCGTCGCAGGACGCTCGTGAAGACGCCTGAACCGTATGTTCTTGACATGGACACGCGACGCGTGACGCGCCTCGACTAACACCACCCCAGTCAAGAACCCCTCCCCAAGAAGAGCACCCCCGTGGAAACGGTGCATGCAGTGAAAGCAGCTGCACCACTACCACCAGCAGTAACACGTACTCCACGTCCCCTCCCCAGCCGCGTGTCCGACGCCATCTCTCAAGTCGTCCCCCAATCCGTCTCACAAGCCATCCCCCAATCCGTCTCGCAAGCCACCCAATCCATCTCGCGAGCCCTCCCCCAATCCATCCCTTCAGTCAATTTCCCCCCACCCCCCCTCGACCTCCCCACACCACAAATCGACTTCCCCGCCTCCCCCGCCGACCTCGCCTCAGTAGCCGACCAAACCTTCCGCGCCGCCTCCACAAAAGCCACCGAACTCTGGTCACGAACCCGCATCGACCAAGCCAAAGAGCTGATCCGCGAATCCGCCTCCTCAGTCTCCTCAATCCAAACCCTGATCCTCCTCATCGAAGCAATCGGCCTACAATACAACACCCTGCAAGTCTTCAACCTCGCACCCACACCAGACACCCTCCTCAGCGTGCCCGACGGCTGGCGCCTCCTCACAAGCGACTGGTGGGCCCCCGCCACCCTGTGGTCCCTAACGAGCTGGATCCTGCCCCTCATCGCGAGCTACTTCTTCAACCTGACGCTGCGCGCCAACACGATGCGCCGGTCGGCTGAGCGCGAGTACCCCGCCGACCCGCTGACGTTCAATATCGTCAAGGCGGTTTTGGCGTATAGCGCGTACTACCGACCGCTTGTGGAGATGGCGGTGGGTGGTCATACGGCGTTTGTGAGGGCGGAGGGGGCGCGATGGGGCCCGTTTTCGAGCGAGACGGTGGGGGTTGTGCGCGGGAATGTTCCGGGGGGGCATGCGGGGCTGCAGATTGGTGCTGTTGTGGGGATTTTGGTTAGTTTGTATGATGCTGCGTTGAAGAAGTGAGTGGGGTGGGTGGGAGAGAGAGGATGAGAGAGAGGGAGGGAGGCACATGAGCAAAGCGGTCATGAAATGTTCAAACAATCGTTTATTCTTATCTTCCACATAAGAAGTCATTACCGCGTACTCGGGCGTTTCGCATCATCATTCATCATTCATCGTTCATAGTTTGGGTTAGGCGCCTCTGGGTCAGGTCAGGACAAGCAAGGCACGGTACGGCACGATGGCGAAATCTACCATCTAGCATTCGTTCTCTGCACATACAGTGGGGAATTATATGTATACAATTCTTTCAATCAACCAACCGATATACGTGACCCGTGACGACTAGTCTAAACCCATGACAAGACAAGACAAGCAGAGTAGAGCAGACTAGACTAAAACATCACCAACGCCCACCTCGCTGTGCGACACACACACCCATAGTCTCCAACGTAATGCTTACAAGCTGCCTATCTACAAGCGTGGGCAAATTAGCAAACCAGCCGCGAAATTCTGGCCGCTATTCTGACGACATAATAAAAACAGACGACCCCCACACCCCCTCAAGAAGAGTAATAAAAAATATTGAATGGTCGATCGATAGATTTGGATTTATACATTATGTGCATTAAATACGTTATAGTTATACATGCCTAGCTGGCTGGCTGCTGGCGTTAGATGATTACGCCACTTCATCGCAAAGAACATTGATCAAGTCATGACTCCACGGGGGAGCCTCTGCTCATATATCGACATGCAGTTCGTGAACTGCAACACTTCGTGACTTTCGACCCATCACTTTACCCCGACTCCACGTCTACTGAACATGGACGCTTCGTCTATCGGGGTCGGAGTGTTGCGGAGAAAATGATTCCTGGACAGGACGCGGGTATATCGCTCGATTGGCTACGCGGCTGCGATAATGCCGGCGTGTGAACCCTAGTCGTACGCATCATCGCGATGTGTTTCGCGTTGCGCGAGGTATGGATACAATTCTCGCGCCTGGTGTGAATCGGACCCAAGACTGCCGTAGCAGCCACTGCAGGCGAGATGCGACCACTCCTAAAGGGGTATGCGAGTACTGTCTGCAAGACCGAGCCGCTCAACGTGGTATATCGTCGAACCAAACAGCGACATAATCATCCGCTGGGTCGTCGCGGTGAGAAATAAAATCCCAAACAATTCAACTTCCGCTTCATCGTAGCCATTTGCGTTCCCAGTCCTCGAAGGTCTTATCCGGTACGGGACTCGAGTAAGGCGTATTCGAGTACGTGCGCTCCGGCAAGCAGCCAAGATCACCCATGGTGGGCAACGCCGTCGCGCGGTCCGAAAAGCTGCCACAACTCGTGCAATCTCGTCTTGCGTGAGTCTTTCCTGGTTCGGCCACGCTGTACATCTCAATGTTGTCGTGTGGGCTCATTTCATCAAAGGGAGAGCGCGGCTCGGCGGTCTCGTGATCGCTATCGTCGCTCAGTGCAGAGTGGAGCCGCTGCGAACTGTGCCGTATGGCTGATCTTTCTATCCAGGAATCGTTTCCGAAGCTTTTCGACGTTCCATTCATAGACTCGCCCGGCATCGTTGAGATGGTCATCCACGTAGCCGGTTTCTTCCATTGACGTGATACGTCTGATTGCGGTGCTGGGTTGCTCTTGCTTCGGTTACTGTTGGTCTTCTGTGTGAAGAACTTTTTGAAGCGCGTTGGAAGGATCCTGACGAGGAGTAGGCGGATGGGAGGAAGCGATACGCATGTTATCGCGGCCAGCAGTTCGAGTTCAGTCCAGATTGTGACTGTTACGTAGTCCCAAGAAGGGTCTATCGAGACCTTGAAAGAGCGGAGACTCCGCAGACGGAGGATGGTTGTTATGCAGCCACTGCGAGAATCAGCATTGTCAACGGCATCTCAGGGGGGAATGAATACGGACAGTGATCCGATAGCGAAGACGAGAATAACAGAGATCTTCCGGGAAGTTTTCATCTGGAGCGTCGAGATAAACGGTATTGGGAGTAACAAAAGCATGAAATCTTGGGCAATGGAGCTGGCAGAATTCGCGAGGGCGAGTTCTGTAACGTTCAAGCAGTGGCCATTGATGTCCTGGTTCCAGAAGGCGCTTACGGGTGCGCACGCAAAGACTGTCATGAAAAAGATGACCAGACTATTGATGATTATGTAGGCGAGAACAATATATGCAAATAGCTTGAAGCGAGGGGTGTGGAAAATCTGGAGGAAGAACAAGATGAGGGAAACCTTGGTGAGGCAGAGGATAACAGTGTATGTCGATGAGCAGACATAAACTGCGTAGCATTAGCAGAGGATACATGTGAGAGTCGATGTCGTTGAGCGTACATAAGCGCAATATCTCCAAGAGCTTCCCATCTTCAAGGTTCCATAGATGCTCGCCGAAACCTAATGTCCCCACTGATTACGTTGTTAGCTTCATCTCGAGTGCCGATGTCGCTGGCTTCAACTCACTTTTGAGAACGCATCCGATAGGTATTGCACCTAAAAGTAGAGCAAGAATGAGAACCCAATCGTCCACTGACAATCTTTTCGAGGCCAACTTCCCAGCCATCCTAAGCACGACGAAAAGGATGCCGACAGCGTATACGACGCCAGTGTACCAAAAGACATGATGCCTTTTTGATTCGTTGGACAAGTTGCACATGTTTGCCTGGACCTTTGCTGTGCCTTCATCCAGGTCGTTAGCTATATTTGGGGTCATCTTCCAATTTGACATACCTAGGATATCTGACATGGTACAATTGGCTAGCAGACAGGCAGCATTGGATAAAGCAAAATTTTGGTCGGTGCAAAAGCAGTCGGTGTTGTCTAATGTACAAGCGGTTGTCGGCAATGTGATAAGTATGCATCGGATCTAAACAACATCAACATCGAGTGCGAGTACACGTTTGACAGGACTTACTCCGCATGGTGGAATATCAGCAATACCCAGAGCTCTGGGTTGCAGGTCATGGCCAAGAACACCAACATGGAAGAGTGTCAAGAGGCACAGCACAGCTGCCACAAGGGCACGTATAGCCATGGTTTCGACGACGACGATTTGCGCAAAAAGGTGTGTAAAAACGTATACTCGACATGGAAGGTAACTGGGTAATAACAAGGAATACAGCCTCCGCGGCAATGGAGTTGCGAGTTGGACGTTCGAACTTAATCGATACTTTCCGTCAGCGAGACTCGGTCGCAGAGCTAAATGCGGCTGGATCACTCCTTGTGGTTTGGCCGATTGACAAATCGAAAACAACTAAACCCTTATCATGACCGGTGGCAGAGCTGCATGCCGCCATTGAGCTTAGTCTGCCTTCTGGCTTGGGGTATTGCGAAAGAGAGGGACCTAAAATTCCAGCCCCCCGGTTGTCCCTAACGGTTTGCAGGTCCCAGCACGCGATTCTCTACATGGCGCGCGAACGATTTGCGCCCCCATGGTTTGAACCTCCACACAGAGATTGGTGGCTCGTTGGTAGGTCTGTCATTGACCCGGACCTAAGCTAGCTGCTCGGTGTGGCGTGACGCAAATGTCACACTGCGAATGTCACTGATTAAGGGGCGCCGAGACTTAGCGTCGGGCTCTTGAAAGCTGAGAAAATGCTTCGATTGATTTGTGGGAATAGTAGATATCGCTATGTCTTGCCAGCCAGTGGTGAGAGTGATTGTGTTTGTCCAGATTCTGCAGGCAGGACCTTGTCGGAGTATTGTATTGGTAGCAACGGGTACATCAAACACAGATCTACTAAGATCTCGCCGGTGAGTGAGCTCATACCCTGATTCATATGCATATATGAGCAACACGACAAAAGAATGTGTCGTTGTTGTTATTGTTTGTTGAAAAGAGCGTGTGAAGGTTTGACGAGGGCGTTACCAGAGGAGTGGATGAAGTGGGAACGGGAAGATGACGACTACAAAAGAGTGGGTCCGCTTGCCGGTCCAGGTCGCCGATCCGCCGATCCTGTTTCGATCGTCAAAACTCAAACTCCAGACACGATGAAACAACAACCTGCACGCATGATGAAGCATCACAACACCCCAAGTTGATCGTCAAGATCGCCCAAGTTTTCCAACAACAACCTGATTCGAAAAGATAGAGAAACCGGATGTCATCGCTTTTGATAGTGTGTCCTAGTTCAGACGCCAAACAGCCAAGTGCTTCAACCAACGCACACAGCATCGCCCTACCGTCTAATCCTGCCTGATGCGATTCTAGCGCGTGTGGTTGGGGGTGAGAGAGAGGGAACGACTGGAACAACAAAGGTGCCACATAGCGGCCAGTGGACACAACCACTCACTGATACCGTATAAATTTGGTCAATTGAGCTTTAGCTAGCAGGGGTAGAAGTGAAGCGATATGCGATGATTGGATTTGTATCGTGGCGTTGGATGGCTGTGCAGATTCCACCACTCATTGGAGGACTCGCTTCGCTCCAAACCCCTGCTAGCTAAAGCTCAATTGACCAAATTTATACGGTAGGTGATCTTGTTTCGCTTCCTACTTGCTAGTCAGCACAAATCATCCAAGCTCTTACACTAGTGTCGCGCTGGAGAAAACTGACTTGTTCTCACCTCATCTCACTTTCTCATCTATACCTCGTATACATGACGCCCTATGCTTGACATCATCTAGACGCTGCGCAAGTTCTCTGGGTAATTCCGTACAGACAAAATCATGATTCGTGACCATTTAAACTCCGATACGAAGTGGCAGTAGCAAGGTGAAATCCAAATTATTCTGATTTGTCGCCGACAAGCGTCTTGGTCGGGTGGCTGGTCTTCATCTGCAAGGGCGCCGCCGTTGTCACTCACGAGCTTAACTAGCGCACAACAAGAACGTACTGAACAAACCAAACATGGCCGATCTGCTTCTAGGTTGGAACTGGCGTCATTCCGGCTTGAGATATACGGTAGGTACTAGGAGAATTGTCCAAAATAAGCAAAGTGTCCGGAGTTGGCCGTGAACTGGTACTTGTTAGTTCTTGAAAGATCGAATGCGGACCATACACATCGCGACACTTGTTCGAAAGACTCGAATCTACAGGTGGGCCTGAACGTGAAAATCTTCGACCCACGTTGTCAAAGTGGCTAATGGTCGGCCCGGACTTCGAGGGTCCAACTTGTCCAACGAAAGGACATGGAACTGGCAATAACAAGGCGGATTGTTCAAGCCGATGGGTACTTCCACTAGCTAGCTCCTTGCCACTCCTCTTCACAGCTTGGTTGGGAATCATGGACAGTCAGATAGTCCAGATCTTCATAAGACAAATGTCAATGATGAGCACTTCAGCCCCACACATTGTCAGCATACAGTAGGTATAGCGAAGATGGCAACGTTAGGACAAATACCATGGCTGTAACTTAACCTCGCCCATGTTATCGTTGAGAGCAGCATTCTGTGCAAGTGCATTCTGCTGAACCACGATAGAGTTTGTTACCAATACTACAGAGCATCATAGGAACAGGTAGGCACATGAGTATCATGTCCCAGCAAACACATGGCTGCGTAATGGTAGAACTTGATTAGGTATAAGGAGTTGAAGATACCGTGTATCGATACAGAAAAAAGTTCTTTTAGTTGTTCGAGTATGGAATAGACGAACAAGGTCACGACATGATTGAATTTCACTCCCACCACCTGGAGGAAATAATGGCCTAAAATTATGACACTTCAGAGAACACAAAAATCAAGAACTCCATCACCACAAGACTATAGATACATAATTTAAGCATATGGTAAAGCTCCGTATTCTAATGCTCATGTTTAAATTTCATACATTATCAACGTATAGTTGTCATGTTATCTACTCAGCAAGCGAAAGACTTCATCAGTTATCAAAATTATGGGACCTCCTTTTTCCAGGTGGCGCTCTAGTAATGTTGCAACATTGATTACCAAAGGCACGAAGGTTAGAGAGGTCATAGTAGTGTATAGAGAGGCGTACGGAGTGGTTCGAGTAAATGGTTCGGTAACAATCACCCATACGAGGACTATATTCAGTATGTTGAGGACCTCCAGCAGTCTATTCCAATTGGTCGAACCGGACTAGTCTAGGCACGTCCTACGAAGGACGAGACCTCCTTGGTATACCTATGTGGGGTAGATGGCCCAGGCCTGTAGTTCTTTAGTATGGGAAGGCTTACGCTTGAATAAGCCACCCCGTATTCGTCGAGTCCGAGTGCCACTACTAATAAACCGAACTGAACCTAGCCACATCAGTACATGATCAAAGAGCTAATGACAACCTCAACTAAAGTTCTTCGAACAGCTATGACTTCTACACCTTCCCTATTGCTAAGCATGATGATATGTCACGCACTTTCTTTACGAAATTTTCACCCACAGACTTAACGCTTCGTCTGGACTCAAATGAACGACTGTCTGAGGTGCAAAGCCCGTCAACCACTAGCAGGTACGGCGAATCGGGCCTACTTTGGTGTAGAAATGAGCCTCACGATACTCTAGAAGACACAAGACTCGGCGACCTTGCCCATAAATTCAGGGGCACGAAATTTGTCGTTGGCTGACACATCCACTGCCAACTCATCCCCATACCTGCGGAGGTGCTGTAGGTACCTTAGTTTGGAAAATGGACCAGACCTTTTTCTTTGATGAGCCATATTTCCCTCAGAACACTCATTTCCTGTCCGTTCAGATTCAATGGGACTGCGATATACCTTACTGTTGGTTCATTGGTAAATCAACTACATGAAGTTTGGCGTGTTTGATGCTCTTCTACAATCGAACCTCTCGACACAGGTGACTTTGGTTACGTGCTGGCCGAGCGGTGTTGAGCTTGTTGGACGAGATTTTTTTACGGCGAAGGCCCTTACGGTTCGTGTGTGAGTGGAGGTACCAGAGCTTAGATCAAGCACCGGCCCATCACGACTCCTTCGGTGAGCGCTCACAATGGTTGTAGTTATTATACTAGCATGGCGGTCGTACCACATGTGTGGTTTTGCGTGTAACACAGGTCGTTTGTTATGACGCCTGGTATTCATTCATGTCCGGACAGTGATTTCTAGTCATACCTGTCGTTCACTTCTTGATCTATCTCCTACCAGACCTCACCAGCCAGGATGCATCATCATATCTATATAACTTAGACGGCGCCGCAACTTCATGACTCTTTGTTCGCACTTTGCTTTCTAGTGAAGGTATCGAATTCCGTTCCTTACTTGTGGTTCAGAGCTGCACCCATATCAGCTCAATCGTGCCTATACGTCGTGAAGTGAAAGTGAAGCAGAGTCTCCACAGCGGACTAGTGTCGCAACACAAGTATTGACTATCACTCGCTGACTTTCACCGTCACCGTGAATATGCAAAACCGAAGCTGAAGCAGTTATAACTAGGACCCCCCCAACAATTATGTACTGCAACAGCGTCTCCTCGAAGTCAACAGCGAGATGAGTGGCACATACCGAACGCCGTCTCCGATGAGGGGTGTGGATCACAGGCCCGGCAAGTCAATGGCTGCTTCGTCAGACTTCCTTACTTTGACTAACAGGTGGCACCAGAAAGCTCTTCTTGCCAGAGCGAGCAAGCCACCAGCCCCTCCATGTCGCCCATGACCGGTCTTTCGGAACCGTCTACACCTACCAGGAAACGCCTCCAAATTGGTTGGCATGGACTACTATCTCCGCAGACGCCGACCGTCACAGATCCAAGATGTGCATCGAACGACACGGTTGAGGCGGGCAACACCAAGACTGCGCAGGACATCAGCAATGAGACGCAAGCATCGAACGCTGTCCTCATGTCGGGCAGCACCCAACAAAAGATCGTGCCAATTCGTGATAAACTCGTTCGAGCGGGCTTTCCACGGTCGACACCAAAACCGACTACGACAGTCTCACAAGAGAAGATCGATGAGATGCATGGGGAAGTGTTAACCTGCGTGCCGGCATCAGACTACCTCGAGGAAGTACAGACTCTTGCGTCCGAAACAGAACATGATCATGAAAATGAAAGGTTGCTCAGTCCAACCAACCTCCGTCGGAGCACAAGATTGAAGACTTGTGTAAAGACTAAGGGTACGTTCATCTTTTGTGTATTTTTGAAACGCTGACTGACTTTACTTGTCTTGTCAGCTGCCCCTCAACTCGCTATCGTGCCTCCCAAGAAAAAGGTAAAGGCCTCCGCGACACTTACAGATGCAATTGCATCTACATCCGCATCTACACTGGCGATTGTGTCTGCGCCATCGCTCACGTTCTCCGATGCCACCGCATCCCCGTTCAATGTCGCACTGTCTCCGTCCGACGTTCTTCTTGAGTTGCACTCATCCGAGTGGCAGCTACAGTATCCGCCTGGGGGGAGCACTCACCCGTCATATCCTTGGCCGATGATGGATCCTCGCCTGGTGTTCAAGTCACACTTCGTTCCAATTAATGACGGCTTACCCGATATATCGCAAGCACCAGCTTTGTTCCTTCCGATCGGCTGGAAACACGTATCCTGGTCTGGCCTGCTTCCAGTGGTTTTCGATCCTTATCGGCAGGGATTCAAGCTGACGCCTGTTGGCCCAATGCCGTTGACGTGTGAGGAGCTACAGCAGGGTGGCTTGTATCGATATGTTCCCGGTGGCGACCTACACCCAGAGTTTGGACTACTTCCTGAGCTCTCAGCCATCAGCGACGGCTCTGACGCTGAATTCATCAACTTCGAAGGAATGGATTGGGAATTACCATGGTCTGCACAGGATTTGACATTGGCTTTGCAGGCTGATTTCGAGCATGCGGCGTCCAGTCTCAAACACAACGACTCCGCTTCGCCCGTATATGTATCGCCACCTACTACCTCATGGGTCGAAGCGCGCGATTGTCCTGATAACATCATCGACATCGAAGATGCGTGGCGATGGCTGATGGAGAAAGAACAGAAGTCCGACAAGGTCTTTACTCCCTCGCCAGGCAAGACTTGGTGGGGTTCCGGTGTTGGGATTACCTCTCGTCTACAGAAAGCACCCATCCCTAGTCTCATGTCTAGTACGCTGGCGAATATCATGGAGGATCCGATTGGATACCTGGGGAAGCAGAATGGCCGTGAATTCTGCCCATTCAAGAGCGTCGCGACTCCTGTCCATGTCGACATCACGTTGCTAAGAGACACCGAATTCACACTCATGGAATTTCTCTGCTATTTTCCAAGCCACTTTGCGTGGCGCAAAGGCGCGGATCGACTCGCCAACTCTGGCATGACTGCACTTAATGTTGTGAGTACTTTGGACATGACCCGAGGCCTACCAGGCGACGGAACCCCCTCAAAGACTACTATCGACAAGTACATGTGGTCAGAACCCGAGACTCCAGAGAGCAAGAAGAGGGTTAAGATTGTGCGTTCAGGGACCGAGATGACGACCTATACAGCTGAGGACTGGGCATACACCACATGGGAGACATCTGACTATCCCCTGCTTGGCCTCGCACACGGTCTGCTTGAACTCCCAACTGGGGTGGACGCTGGACCCATCACTGCGTTGATTCACTGGTGCCGCAGCAACGGACGTTATACTGCTATGTTGAGCGACGTGCCTAGTCTTCTCCAGGAAGCGAACATCGAGCCGCTCATTGAACCTGGTGATACTGGTTGTCCCGACAAGGATGTCGTCGTGCGACTTGCGGAGCCGCTGAAGGAAGATCGGAGGCGAGTCCTGAGAAGTATGGCCGAGAAGAAACGTCAGCTGGAGGACGGCGAAGGAAAGAAGAGTAGGAAGAGGAAGTTTGAGTAGAAGTGCTCTCGATGATGGGAGGTGCGGTAGAAACTTCTGGGGTTGATTGGTATAAGTCATTTGGCCATGTATTGGAACTGGGCTTCTGTGCCAGAGATCTTGACTAGGCTATTGGAGTCGAGAAAGGAATGATTCTTTCCGGTATCTGCGTGACGATATATCCTGGTGCTTATCAAAGAGACGCTGGAGCCACGGTTAGATAGCGTTTCAGTACGAGCGGTGGGTACGATATATTCAAGATAATACTAAAGGTTCGCACCTTGCTTTACGGATTGTCATCGCCGGATGAATCGAACTCGACCTTTTGTGAACAAGGTTGCAGATAAGCTCCACTGTATTGTTCGCCTGCTGTACGGCACTCTGACTATGCTAGATGCGAGAATGCGAACACAGTGAGACTCTCGGTCGATCGAGGTATCAGAAATTCAACTAAGTTCTTTCTACACCAATTGTTGTCTGCACTTGTCAAGCTGTTGGAGGCTTTGTCGCTCCTTAATTCTGGTTATCTTGACTAATTGAGAGTAAGCTTTTCTCTCTGAAAACTGAATTGTCAACGCTGAATCACGATTTTGTGAATACCCTGCAGACAATATCTGATTCTGCGTTGCGATCCTGATATTTCTAAAGCGCCTGACCCCCCCAACAATTCTCTTCATCGATTGATCAGTCACTCATGGTGATGTCGATGATGTTCCAGAGGTTTGCCACCATGATCATGTGATCGACGCGCCTGCAATACACTGTATGAGCTTGTGCAGGCTCGTAGTTAGTTTCTGACTCAAACACGATATGTACGCGTAGAATGATCAAGAACTGATTGCTAACTCAAGGTGCGAAAGTATAGGAAGGGATGATTGAAGCAAGTGTCGTGAATGTACGACGCGTCGTGAAAACGCGCTAGGGACGGTACGAACTCGCGACGCGTCAGATCTTCCGACTATCCAGGCCGCTGTGGAATTTCTATGAGTGAAACGGCAAGCACACGAAGCGATATATGTCCTTACTATGCATACACAAAAGACTAGTCGATTCTCTTATTGATATGATTTTGTAGAACGCGCTCTCCTGTTAGATCAAGTTGGCTGCCAAGATCGCCACGCGCAAGGAGCTTCCTCTCCGGCTGCAGTCTGCTTCTCCACTCCATCGACTCCATCAACACCACTCCAGGATCAACACCACTTCCACGATATCTAGCCATGTCACAGCGACGGCGAGTAGTCAAGCAACCTAAGCGACTCATCCATGAGATCGGCCCATCATCCCAAGAGCCTGAACAGTCGAAGAAACGAAAATTTACCCGTGAAACCCAATACCCGTCTCACGTCAGGAAGCATTTGAACGACTACCAGTCATTATGCGTCAGATATGAAGATCTCCTCGTGAAAGCACCAGATCTTTCAGGGCCCGCTCTCGATCCAGCGTACATTCAGGCAACGAAAGATCTTGGCGATATGCATGCTATGATCTCGGACTTTGGTCGCCAGTTTGAAAAGAAACTCGCATCCTACGAGGATAGCTGCGAGCGTCTGGAGCGTGCTAATCGACAGAGGCCTGACTGGTGGCAGCACATCAACCTATTTTCACCAAGTACGTGGCTTATCACAAATTCTTGTGCATTTCTGATGTCTTGTTAGCTTTGCCGAAGGAGTATCTCAAGCAACTGGAAGGCAATCCCCCAACTAATAGCAGCGAATGGGCTAAGTACCTTTCGTCGCATCTCAATGAGGTGATCTACCATTTGGATCCAAATCATACACCCAGCGTTGGCCAAGAGTACCTTCGTTCCCCGTCATATCACCAAACTAAGTTTCTGCCACGGTTTTCGAAGGAACTGCGACGGCTTGGCAATATGGAGGATGGGGAGCAGCATGCCATCGCCTTAATCCTGAAGGCCAAATACAACTATCTGCATTGTGGTTTTAGTGGCGGTAGAGAAGCTGCAGCATTCGTGTCAAGTGGGCATTCAAGCTACGAACCGATGCATGTTTCGATCGACAAACGGCTCGCGGAGATCTTGCAGTCGATCAGAAGTCGCCCGCTCAATATGTACATTCGCAATCGACGCCAGGACCCACCTTGGATAAATGCAGCCATGCACTGTCGGAATATTTACGGATTCTTCATGCCCGGCATTTGCCTACATGACAATCACATAGTATTCGCCCTTGCTGGCTGCGTCCGGGCCAACTTCGTGCACGCTTTGGATATGCTACAGCGCCATGCGTACGCTGAGATCAAAGCGAACGTGTACCACGCAGTAGGAAGACGATTGCCTAAAGAACTCACCGACCTCATCTTCCACTCGACGTTACTTGCCGAAGATATACCGCAGGACCCTAGGCTTATCAAAAGAAGAGGAAGAGTAGATATCGACTGTAACAAACTCCAATTTTCAGTCCCGGTACGCGAAGATTGGGTGCCAATATGAGTGCGCCATCCGCCTCCCAACCGCATCTTGACCGTTGTCTTGGCAATCCTCCATGCAACATACCCCGGAGTTGGGTGTGTCCAAGCTCACAATCTTCCGTGACCATCGCCAGGGTCTCGACAAGCTTTCCCAGATTCAGCCGCTTTGATCAGTCTGCGCGCTAGCCGACGAGTGTGACGATTTCGTTCCGTTCGTTAGATCGGGTAGATTTGGCAAAATGTATAAATAATCCCGCGCAGCGGGCAAGATTCGGCCAGGATGCAGCTCGGCAGACCACACAGAATCTCGGCCGACCACGTACGCTAGACGCCATCCCTGCCCAATGGTCGGCTGAGCTTTTACCGACTCGGTAGGATAAGCTTAATTGCGTTCAGACCATGTCATCAACATGACAACAGTTGGTGCTAGAGGCGGTCTTTCTATGTCGTAATATGATGGTGGAGATGGTACTCATGGTAAACTCTCGAGATAACCACTCTCGGCGAACAAATACTCTATCGTATCAACACATTCTTATTACTCCATCCGCCTTGTGATGAACTTTCCGCTGGTCACGTCATCTGAACTTCTCTGACCGACATTCCAGCGGGGTCGCTCAAGTTGTAACCTCCGACCCGACGACGTTAAATGGCGAGATATACAAAGCCCGCGGAGGAATTGAGGTTGAACAAGAAGTGCAGCCAAAGCTTGTGCGAGATGTAGTTCAGCAGACCACACAAATAGCTCGGCGGACCATCAACACTGAAGAAAGGCCCGTGCATTGGTCGCCTGAGTTATTGTATGGTCGGATGGGCTTGGCTACATTGACAACATGGTTTTAACATGATAGCAACATATTCAAGACGTCCTCTATCTTGAAAGCATGATTGCCTCATGACTGGATTCTACGACGCTACTGGATTTCCACTTCAGATTGCAATCTATCCTAAGCAAACAACTTCAAGATCAAGATATTTTTATTTGCTGAGATGGTCAGTTGAGATTTCTCGTAGTCGAATGAGTTTTGTTGTGGTCGGATGAACTCTCTCGTGGTCGGATAAACTTTCTAATGGTCGGATGAGCTTTCTGGTGTTCGGATGAACATTCTAATGGTCGGATGAGCTTTGCTGATGGTCGAATGAGCTTTGCCGATAGTCTGCTCGGCTAAAAAATCAACTGGCCGAGCTACCCGCATAGTCTGCACGCGGCTTCTAGGATGCTCACTTTGAGCTAGAGCCTCCAGCTCGTGGGGCAGCTTGTCCATGTGAGCTTTCCTTATGCAGAGATCAGCGCGTTTTGTGGACAAGTCGCCGTCGGGCATGGCTGTGGATCTGGATCTGGATCTGGACTGTCGGTGGACCCTTTATCTTGTAGTGAATGGGTCTCGACGTGGTGTGTAGAACTGCAACGGTACTTTGGGATAACGCTTCCAGTAAACACACAGAAAAACCCCACTATGAGCATCACTGCAACGAGGAATAATTTATCATAACATCGTAAACTTCGTAAATTCGTGTCAAAACTATCAACCGCTACCCCACTAATGAGCTCGTACGTCACATTTTCGTGTCCTGTTCTCTGTCTAGCTCATGCAGCGTATTCGTCCTCATCTACCATTCCGCTCTTTTCCATCGAACGTCGATGCTGGAGGGAGCCCTTGAATGGCTTCTTCGACTCCCTGACAATGCTTCGAATCGACTTGTTCTCTGTGAACATCGTCTCCAGCTCCTCGAGACTGCGACCGTTGGTCTCGGGGTAGAAGAAGTACACGACAGGAAGGACGAGTGCAGAGATGATGAGGAAGAGGAGGTAGTATTTCCATCCGATTGTGTCAATGGCAACCTAGCGTAACGAGTCAGTCTCAAATATAGATAAATAGTGAATATAACAAGGAACTTACCGGAGTGACCATGTTGACGACGAAGTTCCACAGCCAATGATTGGCTGTGCTGATACCTGCCATTGGAACTCTCAACCTCGTAGGCGCGACTTCTGTGCAGTACAGGAAGTTGGCACCGAGGAAACCGATGGGGATGAAGAAGTTGAACAGGAAGACGAAGAGCGCCGAGGCGATTTGCGCAGGCTTGTTGGTTTTGGGGAAGCTGGACGCGACGGCGAGAGCAAGCATGCACGAGGCCATGCCGGCACCGCTGAACATGAAGAGCTTGCGACGTCCGAAGCGGTCGATGGTGAAGAAGGCGACGAAGCAGGAAAGGAACTTCCACGTCAGAGCACCGCCGGAGAGGATGCGGGAGAGTTCGCTGTCGAGGCCGAGACCTTGCTGGAAGATGATCTGTACAAGAATTGTCAGTGATGTATTCATATGTATGATGGAATGTGAGTGACCTACGGTGGAGTACGTGGAGATCAAATTGCTTCCGCACATCTGCTGCAGGAACTGCAAGAAGATGCAGAGCATAAATCGGTAGAAAAGCTTGTCTTCTCCCATGGTGAAGATATCGCTCAGCTTCGCGGCGCTGCGACCTGTCTCCTCGAGCGCCAACTCAATGCCACCAACCTCAGCATACACCTCAGGATCATCATGCGAGACGCCCTTGAACGCAGCCAAGCTGGCCCGTGCTTCGTCAATGCGACCCTTGTTTACAAGCCATCTTGGAGACTCGGGAATAGTGAACACAGTCGCCAACGGGATCAGAGAGATCAGGCAAGGAATGGCGAGGGGGATGCGCCACTGCAGAGGGGCGTTGTTCTTGATTTCGAAGAATCCAAGATTGATCCATGCTTCCAAGAGGTAGCCGAGACTGATGAAGCAGCCGTCAAGGACGACGTGCTTGCCGCGGTTGGCGGTAGAAGAGCACTCGGATTGCCACACTGGCACTGTAGCACTAAGGGTTCCAACACCCCAGCCGAGGATGAACCTGCCAACAACGAACTGAGCAACCTGGAAACTGGTGCACTGTAGGATCTCTCCGATAAGAGTAAGAATTGCCGCGCCGAAGATGACCTTGCGTCGTCCTAGCACGTCGCCGATCCAAGAGCAAGATAGAGCGCCAAACAGAGCTCCAATAGTGAATGTCGCGACAACTGCGCCTTGCACAGTCGACTTGTGGCTTTTCACAGCTCCAGTAGCGTGAACAGTATCGATTTCGGGGAAGTGCTTGGTCCAATCTGATAGAGAGAGGAGACCTCCCACACCCGATTGATTGTAGCCAAAGAGGACGAATGCTGGGAGGACGACCAGCAAGAGCTGGGCCGTCTGGAGGCTCTTTCCGGTGAAGCCCATTGTGCAGAGCTCCGTCGATATGGCGGGAGGAACAGGCCAAGTCTACTCGCAGATACGATAAGGACGGCCAAAAGTTGAGATGGAAGATAGAGAGGATGAAAACCACGGGAGACGCTGACGGGTATTTGTACTCATCACCCTCTCCCCACATTATTACGGCAGTAGTGTGGATGCTACATTGGAGCCGTGAGCGCTACTTTGATGTCTCCACCATGGGGTTATCGGAATTACAAAGATTGTTCGCAGCGCGGTCCGGTCCCTTGACTGACTGGAAGCAAAGCCCCGAAACCCCGAGGTAACATACCCCATGCGGTGCTATGTGGGACTCCGGGAGTTGTTCGGATCTGGAGAAAACCACGCAAAGTTTTGCAAGTCAATAAGCGTAAGCGGAGTGGAACCGGGGAGGCGAATCAGTTGAGATGCGGCATGGATAGTAATAGTCTCCGAATGGCAGGAGCAAGCTGTCGGTGGCCAACTACAGCGCTGATCCTGTAGCGGCAAAATTTGTTGAGTGAACACCTGACGACAGATAAGGCTGGTGAGCCTATTCGTACGGAAAAGTCGAGGCTCTGCGGCCGTGGCTATGCCAAGCTTTGTCAAAAAGAGCTTGGTGAGCTTGGCTCCGCTTTCTAGAGGGTCGCTATTCGCCTATCTTTGTTCGCCTGCAGTTTGCCGCTCACTAACATGCGGTGTGCATCATCGGCGTGCGTGGAATCTCGAATCGTACGTGGTGGGTTGGTAAGTCTCGCGAGGAGGATGGAGGATGCGGCAACTACTGTAGGTACACCCTGTAGCAATCCTTGATGTCAGATGTGCAACTGTAATCTGTACTCTTTTGTGGGGTTTGACAGAAACGTAGACAATGCACGGCAAGGTGCCAATGAACGCGAGTCATTAGTTGCTGACGAGGCGCCATGACGTACGCTACTGACGCTACTGGCATACGAAACCTACTACCGGCACTATCACACGGGAATGACAAGGACGCGACACATTGGAAAGCAGGCCGTTGGGAGTAGCCTCGAAAACTATACCATATACTTGCACTTAAACTCAAACAATGCTGGATCGAAAAGGATGCGCCACAACTCTCGATCAACACCGGCCTGGAACGAACTCCGCGTGTGCAACGTAGAAGTGTTGTCGGAAACAAGCAGGTCGCCTCCCACGAATGCCAATAACAAATTCGTCGGTCATGCAGCAGCGACTCGAGCACCTCGCAAGTGCTGTTGTCTTCGTTCCGGATCACAACATCCGTAGGGTCGAACCACGTCTTTTCCTGCGGCCATCGTTCGTGATACCTGAGGCAAGGCTGCCCTGTTGAAGGGTGGTCGACTACCAAAGGCAAACCATGAATGCTGGAATTCCCAAACGATGGTGTGCTAACCCACCATGTCAACTGCTTCAGATGTTCCAGCGGTCGGTTCCTGGGAAGATGTGGAAAACAGCGTGTATCCAGTATTCTTGGGACTCGGCGTCACAGCCGTGACAAGCTGGAATCTCGGCAGCGTCGGGAATAGATATTCGCTTCCATCTTCTCGTATCCGCTTTTCGGTTTTGAACATGCCATCAAAATGGAAAGGCATCCATTCTTGACTCAAGACATTGTTCAGACCCTGGCCCTGGTTTCCTTGCTTTAACTTTCAGTACGAGGCCAAACTTCCATGGAGTTGGGACTCCCATGTCGTGTGCTTTAGCAATGAATCGGTCGCAATTTTTGGTTTGCGCAAAGTCGCGCAGTATTACAGACGAGTTGTGTTCTGCAAGCTCCCGCACTTTCGACGCATTGATGTCGCCAATTGCGAGTGTCTTTGTTCCATTTGTCGGTCGGATCATTAGGCCGCACGGATACAGCGGAAAAAAAGTTACAGCGGATGTGCTCCACTCCTATAGGTGAGATCTCACGGAAATGTGACGGTTGGTTATTCTCGTACACCAACTCCATATTTCCAATCTGCTCGAACATACTACAATGTCCAGCCCGGACGGTTCCGTCCAGCTTGTAGATGACGCTACTGTGCCATGGTGTGACTGTATTTGGCACCGACAGGATGTTTAATGGATATCTTGTCTTCACCTATTGAAAGATGGATAGATAACCGGACCTGATCTGGAAAATTTTCGCGCAATGCTCGGGCAAATGCGTCGCCGCGGCCGAGCATGCACTTTGCGATTTTCTCAAGACCTTTCTTGAACCTGCTTTTTGTTCGGCTCTCCCCGACCGGATACATTGTCTTCAAATCCAGTCGAGAAACTTTAGGTATCCACAGTAGTAACATACGACTCATTCTTGACCTCATCCCACCCAAGGGTTCCGTATCGCTTCACTAGTTCTAGGTGTATGACTGAGGCCACGGCAGCATATGTCATATCGTCGTATTCCTCTTGTAAATTCTCCACGGCGAACATGACCTTCAATCGGGCAAACTCGATTTGGTCGTACTTGCGGGCTTTCGTAAGCGCGCGGAGCTCTTGTCCATACTCCCAGACGACATGATCTGGTACTTCGAGCAAATCTATAATTGTCAATGTCTAAAGCAAAGCTGGAGCCTCCACGAGATAACTGACCATTGTAGACCAATCCATCCGAGACGATGACCAGTCTGGCACCAGGATCATATATCTCTTGGGCTGCAGCACACATTCCGTTCAGATGTGCTAATGCTAGATCCTCTGCTTTGTCTGGCAAGCCTCTCAGCACTTTGACTTCGGTGTTGGGGCTTTTGAATGGAAAAGCAGGCAGGAACATACAAACAGGCTTGTTTAAGTTTACAACACGGAAGATTATGATGATAAATTTAATTGCTCCCTCATCGCTGCGATCCACAAAACCCTTTGGGAAAGGACTTTTATACCTCAGGTTGATGTTGAGAATTTTCGGGGAGGTTGCCAGATAATCAGCCTGTATGCAGGTAGCAGCGCTGGCCTCAGGGCTCAGGGGCGTGGTGGCGTCGAAAAATAAGAGGCATGCTGAGATCTCTGATGTTCTCAGGTGAGGGTACAGATAAAAGACTTCCAAAGCACAACAGAACGCTAAACATGAGACACAGATATGATCTTGAAGTTCTCACAGAGTATTAATATGTTTTCTTGCGACTCTAGAATAGTGAAACCTCAAATGCATTCTTTCTTTCGGTCTCAATCCGGCTGAATGATGCCTTTTCAGAAGATGTTGCATGCTTGTGCAAAACATGCGACGCAATGGTGCATGATGAAAGACCCACACGATGCCAAGGTCGATATGTTATCTGGATTGAGGAGGCAAAGGCGGTTGAACGCAAAGCTTGCATGCAAGTGTTGTCACCAAAAATCTGGTGGCCTTTCCAATCTGTCCGAATACCAGTCCTATGGAGTTCCGCAGTTACATCGCCCACGCTGTCCCGGTCAAACACCCTGTTGCCCAGGCTGTTGAGGCGAGTGTACAGTCAGAAATTTCTACTACTGGAACCATCATACCACCTTGACCAAGACTGCGAGATCTCTACCTTGAATTCGAGACATTCGTGTGCCTTTCGAACTACACTCTGAAGTCTCCTTTGAACGATATAGTTGTACTCGGACCTGTACATTCCTAGTAGATATTCACAGAATATGGCCACAGTAGGAGGACAGGGTTTCAGTGGTACATCATCAAAGACTGTGACAAAAATGAATTTGAATGTTCTACCATGGGTCCAGGTCGCCGCGGGCTTCTTCCTCATGTTCAACTCATGGTGTGTGCACTACTCATGCATGATGCTGCTTGCTGATAGCAGATAGGGGTCTCATCAACGCATTCGGGGGTTTCCAGGAGTACTATACCTCGGTCGACCCTTCTCTCTCAACGCCCTCGTTCATATCATGGATCAGATCTCTGCACACATTTCTGCTGCTAACATGCGGTTCTGTAACAGGGTCCTTTGTAGACTGAGGTCTTGCGCAAATAATAGCGTTAATCGGCTGTATACTCATCACACTCAATTGATATCCACATCCTCCAGCAGAAAATCCACCAATGACCACCATCCAGTCTACTACCAAGTCCTCCTATCGCAGGCTATCTTGTCCGGACTGGGAACGAGTCTTCTTCTCGTTCCATCGACTGCGATTATGCCCACCTACTTCACGCAGAACCGCGCCTTCGCCGTGGGAATTGCCAACACCGGTGCATCAGTTGGCGGTGTCGTTTATCCCATCCTCATTCGCCGCCTCCTAGCTAGTGTAGGATTTAGCTAGTCCATGCGAGCCATTGTACTTGTGGTTCTCGTTACTACTGGCATTGGTGGCTTGCTGGCGCGCCGATGTCCTGAGTTGATGCAGAACCCTGTAAAGTGAACTTTATATGTACTTTTAAGCTGCGACAACATGACAGCAGTCTCTCCGTGCGTAGTGCAGAAATCACGCTTATGCCAGACAATCCAGACCCAGCACGCCATCTATACCATCATACCATCTCGTCCAACTCCGCCCCGCTGGTAAATATCGAGTACTTTTCCCCATGCTTCATATTCATACTAAGAAGCCGATTCCATCCCAGCATTTTTCCGACAAACGACTTCTACCCACTTCCGCAGACGACGATTCCAGCATTTGACCATCGACTATTCGCTGAAAGGAAAACTGTAGACATGGCTCTCCCCCCAAGACGTCGGATAGCAGCACGTATGGTGGCGCGAATATGTCGGTGGAAGAAGGCGACTGGTTAGCATTGGAAGTGAGTAGTTAGTTAATTTCTTCCCAAGTATCGGGCTAGTTTTATATGTGTGTTTTTCGCCCGAGTAGTATGGATGGTGTGTCTTAACGGTAATATGACTGCTATTGAAGCCGTGGGCGGGATGTCGGATGTCGTGGCGTATAGATGCTGGTCTGAGGAGGGGGTTGTGTGCAATGTGAAATAGTTCTCGTTAGTGGTGGTCTTTGTGTATGTACTGTGGTCTTATCTTCTTTTTTCTTTATCTAACTTTCTCCCTTCTCACGTATCTCACACTTACAGACACTCAACAAATAACACCATGAAAAGGTAGAAAGAGGGTTATATACCCAACACATACCCCTAGTGAGATATATATCGAGCTATGTAAGGTATTCATTCACTGTACAGTCTACACTCTCCCCCTCCCCCTCCCCATCCCCTTCCCCTCCCTCCTCCTCCACCGCCACGAAACCAATCTCTACGCCCTCCCCCCCACCACACCCCCCAGTTCACCTTCCCCCTCCCCCTCCCCACCCCACTCCCCAGCCAACCCCCCCTCATCAAACCGCTCAGCAAGCCTCCTCTCCACACTCTTCGGCAACGTCTCCCCCGCACGCGTCAAATCGCGAAAAACAGCCACCCCGCGCACATCGCCCTTCTGAATGCACTTGGCGATGAGATCGGACCAAGTGCCGCGCCGGGGCCGCATGGCGGGGGTCCAGGTGCTATCCTGAAGACTGGCTGGCCCATCTTGTTGTTGTGCAGCAACTGTGGGCTCACTTTTATTCGCGCCCGTCCCCCCACCACGTCCACAACTCCGCATCTCCTCATAATAAAGCAACGCATCCTCCAAATCATCCGCCTGCAGACAAACCAAAATCAACCGATCATACGTCAACCGATCCGGCTTAACACCAATCTGCATCATCTCCTCCACAAGAAACATAGCGACCTCCTTCCTCGCCGCGACGCGACACCCATGGAACAGGATATTAAACGTCGCGGTATCAGGCCCCGCGTGCGCAACACCATGCAGGGATTTATAAATCTGCAGCGCCTCTGGGAAATTCTTATGCGCGATGCTAGCTTGAATACACGCGTTGACGGCGCTAGTAGGTACCCTGCGGCCCTGCGCTTCGAGGTCCATGAGCTGTGTGAAAGCGAGTATGGGCCGTGTGGGGACGGCGTGCAGGTACCAGTACAGGGCGTGGCAGGTTGCGGATTCTACTTTTACGCCGGCGGAGAGCATGATGAGGATTACGGAGAGGGCGGCGGGGAGGTCGTCGGCTGCGAGGTAGGTGGCGATTAGGGGCTCGTAGTGGTGCGTTGTGAAGGTTGTGTTGCGGGCGGTGAGGAGGCGGAAGACGTCGGTTGCTAGGGGTACGTTGCCGGCGCGCGAGGCGAGGGTGAGGACGTGCATGCAGGTGTTTGTTGGGGGGGCGAGGTGGTTGGGTTGGACGCGTGTGGTCCAGATTAGGTTTGCGGCGTCGTGCTGGGTGGGTGTTAGTATGTGGATTAGGGAGGATGGGGGGAGCAGACGCACGAGTTGTTTCTGCCCTGCTGCGTCGAGGAGGGCGCCCCAGAGCGCGTTATCCATTTTCACCACGTTGATCCCTCCCACCATGTCAGCGCGCAGACTGAGCACATAGAACGCTTCCTCCACTTCGCCGAACTCAAGCAGCATCCAGATGGCCTTGTCGAAAAGCCAGTCTTCAATCCTAGTCTTCTTCTTGATCATATCCTCCAGCGTCTCAAGCGCCTGTTCAAAGTTCCTCTCCCGGAGCAGTCCGGCAACGACAAAGCCATGCCCACGATCAGACAGCGTGAACCACCTCGCCTTCATATACTCCAAAATCTCGGTGCGCAGGAGGTAGTCGGGATGCACAGCCAGGGCTTCCAGCACGCACTCGCAGCCCCTAGCATCCAGCTCGACCTTCCCCATCCCGCCCAAAGCGTCGCTGGTCTCGCTCCAAAACCCCATCTCTTCAAGCACCTTCCGCACCTTGCCCGCCGTGCCGTTGTCCGAGCTCACAAAACTATGCAGTATCGCAGTGTACATCTCTTTGTTTGGCTTCTCCCGCCTGTCCTTGACCAAGATGCTGTTAATCTTCATAACTTCCTCATAATGTCCTTTTGCGCCCTCCGCGCGGAGGTGTTCGTAAAGATGTGGGGTCGGGAGATGCACAAGCGATGGCTTGCCTTTGGGAGATGCAGTCGTGGACGGGTCGAAGGAGAATGGCTGAACTCCTTTCTGGGAGAAGAAGGATTCTTTGGATAGCGGGGTGGTGTTGTATGTGCGCAATTGGTGTTTTGAGCGTCGTGGGGTATCACGTCGTCGCGGCGCATTGCGAAGTATTGCATCGGCTCCTGCGCGAGCGGGAGTCAGGGTAGACGCATTGGAGGGAAAGCCTGGACACAGACATCGCCACAGCGCGTCGTTCACGAATGGGCGTGGTGGCATTTACGGCGTACTGAGAATGGATCATGTTTGAGAATGTGAAGCTTGAATTCAACATGGCCCGTGCAACCTCGGCTGCCAAGACGGCCCACAAGTTTGGTGAAGTTGATATTGCTCTCGTCGTCGCCATGCTTTTCCAAGCCCATGCACAAGGGTCATGACCCAAGATATAGCACTCCGCCCCGACCCCTGAGGCAGTTGAGTGGAGGGTATATATGTCCAGATACCAAGCAGCAAGATGCTCCTGCCCATTACAATGAATCCCAAACGATGCGTAATTCGAATCAAATCCTAGCAGACCGCCCAAAACAAACAACGTCGTAAATGATTGGAAACGGGCTAACACTTTCATCTCCTCTTCAATGACTCAGATAGATACTCGAGGATCTGGAGTTTGGTTAGTCAGGTGTAAGTTGTTTTGGTGGGAAGAGGGGACAAACATTTGGCGAGATAACCTCCTTGGTCACTAGATGTTTCCCTAGAATCTTGACGACCTCCAGCTGCTCCTCAGATGTCAACCCGTGGATGGCCATCTCGATGACACCTCCAACAGTCGTGTGGTGGCTTGCAATGAAGCTGGTGTAGTAGAAAAAGGCGATGGATCCCATGATGAACTGGCAGTCCATGCGGTCCGTGATACCGCCGTGTCCGGGGATGGAGTCGCCAAAGTCCTTGATCTTGAAAGTGCGCTTGAGCCCAGAAGCGAAGAAACCCCCAAAGGGTGCAATCAAGGATGCGAAGGTTGCGAGCACATACACATGGAACTGGACGGGCATGAAATTGAGCGTTCGTGGGATGGGCAGACCGGCGGGGACAAAAGGCACCGTGTAGTCACGCGCAATGAAGACGGGGTTCGGCTTGCACTCGAGGCCTGTCCAGATGTTTGCGCCAAGGTCCTGATACTTGTCAGCAGATTCGATGCAAATGTGTTGGATGGACTTACGTTGACAGGGCAGATGAAGTACTTGTATCGCGCTAGGAAATGCGTCAATCCAATACCCCAGATGACGGTGAAGACCCAGGCACCCAAGAAGCCCTCCCATGTCTTCTTAGGCGAGATTTGGATCAGCGGAGTGCGCCCGAACGTGATACCACAAAGGTAGGCGAAAATGTCGTTTGTGACGACCATGGATACGGGAAGAATGAACCAGTAGAAGCCCTCGAAGATATTGTTGATGACGAAGTGAGCCTGTCCAACAATCAAGAAAAGAGCCATGTGGGTCCAGGCGAACTGGGTGAACTGGAACTTGTAGTGCCCCTTTTGCAGCGAGTAGACGAAAAAGACGAAGCCTACTATAATCAGTCGTGGTCTGGAATCAGACGATAACGAACATACCAATAATGTACAGCATGAAGGAAATGAACCTGTGGTGGGTGGCTAGCGGGAGAAGGATGCGGTCGACGAGCAGAATGTGCTTGAAGTAGTAGATGACGCTCTCGCCGTACAGAAAGTACATGGCAGTGCCCAGAAAGTACCAGTTGAGCGACTTTGTGAAGCGCAGACTGCGGGCTTTACTTGGGACGTTTGCTATGGCGATGACCTCCTTGAAGGAGACAATCTGCACTGCCGTGACGATGATGATGATGTAGAGGTGGCCGGCGCCCAGGGCCCAGAAGAAGCCGGCTATCATGACCAACGTCCATGTGGTGCGCGTTATGAAGTTTGCCTTTTTCTTTTCGTACTCGCTCTGCTCGGGGAATGCGACTGCCTGGGGAGGGGTCAGCGGGGGAAGAGGCAGCTATGGCGAGGCCAACGTACCGGAGGCTCGAGGACGGTGCTGCGCGCGGGGCTGTTGGGCATCTCGCCGTTGTCGCTGTACTCGGACAAGCTCGTCGAGGGCCGCCGCGCCCTGCCATTGCTGGCGGGGCCGAGGCGGTGCTGGAACTTGACGTCCTTGCGGGAACGCGCCATGTCGAGGGGGGTGCCGGGTCGCGGGTCTGGGCGGAGGAAGAGCGGCTGGCTGTGTCGCGGGGAGGTGCTGTGGCGGGTGAGGGCGTCGACCAAGGGCAGCCGTGGGTACAAGTAGGCTGAGGTTGGCAGACGGGCGTGGGCAGGTCTGGTAGAGGCAGGTTGTGAAAAGTAGGGCCAGACGTCACTGTGCGGGCTTAGCGCCCGGCCTGCATAAGAGGGTTGCACCGACGCCGAAGCACTGCAGGTAACGTGACGACGCGACGCGACTGGAGCATGCACAAAAGGCACACGTCCGGCGGATGGAGTCGCAACCATGGACCATGACGACTTCGACTTCTCCGACCCCGACCTCGACGACCTCCCCGCCAACACGCTGCAGCATCTCGAGGCGAACGCCATCCGCGCAACCCAGCAGCCGACACACGCCGCGCCCGAGTCCGACTACGGCCTCGACGACGACGGAGATGAGGTGATCAACCTGGATGACGTGGCGGGGTCCCCACAGTACACCCAGGACCAGCAGCCCCAGCAGGCCCATGACCACGACTACCCCGACGGTGCACACGACGCACTCTACCACGACCAGGCCGACGTCGAGGACCAGCAGCTCGTCCGAATCAAGAAGGTGCGCGCGTCGGTGGCCATGTGGGGAGCGCTGCTAATCGTCGCAGCTAGAGCAAGAGAGGGACCGCGAGAAGAGGCTGGCCGAGGACCTGAGGGGGAAGCTGCAGACCAAGGAGGGCGAGGCCGACACGCTCAGACGACGACAGGATGCTGAGCGCCGCCAGAATGACCGCCGCCTTGCAGACGCCAAGGCCGCGCACGACAATGAGCTGGCCCAGCTGAGGGCCGAGAACGAGAGGCTGAAGCGGGAGAGGGAGCAGGCACAGACGCACGACATGTTCGACCAGCACGACGCGCGAAACAACGGCATGGCCCCGCGGACCAGGAGGGGTCTTCCATCGCGGCCAAAGCCTGCCTTCACAGCAGCGACGAGTCCAGCTGGGACACCAAAGCGCGCGCAGAAGACGAGGGCGCCGCTCGCAGACGGCTTCGACGACGACGATGTCATCATGGCCTCCCCGTCCAAGCATCGTGAACGGCAGAAGACTGCAACGCCGAGGCAGGCCGGCAAGCGGAAGCGGCAGGCTATCGACCAGAGCCCCATACCCATGCCTGCTCTCCAGCTGAGCGCGCCCCGGACACGACCCAAGGAGCCCGAACCGCCTGCCCAGCCACGAATTGATGTTGCCCTCCTACAGCACTTTCGAAAGGAAGACAGCCGTTTCACCCTTCTGCACCGCCTGCTGTCGCATCGATCGTCAAACGGCACAGACCGCATCCTGGAAGCCCTCGCCCAGCATGCCTTCCCATCGCAGCCCTCAAAGAAGCTCTCCTCCATCATCTACGACACTCTGGCAGTTGCGACCATGTCGGACGTGCATGAGCTAGCCCTGCAAATCTGCCACATCTTCCTCGACCTATGGCAGCGTTGTCTAGACGAGAAGCATTATGCTTCAACGAATTTGATTTTTGACGCCCTTCATTTTGTTCTTGCGTGTGAGCCAGGGAAGACGGCTGTGAAATTGATCGAGCGAGCTGTGCCACTCATCATCGCCTCCATCGATCTCTTCGCCTACCCCCTCGCCAAAGCAGCAAAGCAGGGCGGAAAATCCATCGAAACGTTATACTCCGCCGCCCAGCGCGACATCAGAAACCAGATCGACGCCTTGGATTGTCTAGAGCTCCTCTACATCTTGGCCACAAGCTGCGTCTCCTCGACAGACGCCGATGCCGTATCCCGTCTCTGGCAAAACATCCCCTCGGAAACCGCAGTCATGCTCCTCAACAAAGAGCACCCACAGCCCCAAATCACCCTCATGCTCCGCATCCTCAGCACCTCCGCCCTCCCCACATCAATCGGCCCCATCGTCTCCTCCGACACGCAGAACGACACACAAGCCGCCCGCGAAGACGCCCTCATCAACCGCCTAACAAACATGTTCACCGAAACCCCCACTCCCATCCCCGACCCCTCCCTACAACAACAACAACCACCCCCTCCCACCCCCACCTCCGACCTCCACGTCTGGGACCTGCGCCTCCTCGTCCTCTCCGTGCTAACGCAATTCTCCATCCCCGTCACGGGCTGCACCCGCCTCGCCACAAACAGCCTGTGCATCGGCCGCCTGATAAAATACCTCGACACGTGCATCACATCGCTATACGCCGCGCTGCTGGCCCCCGCGCAGTCCCGCAAAGTCGCCGCTATCAACGCGACTATGAAACTCATCTACCACATCGCTACGTCTAACCCCGGGTTCGATGTTAAGAGTAAATTGGTTAATACGCTGGGGGGCCAGCATGCGTATCTCGTTTCGCTCACGCGGTTAGCGTTTAGCGAGGGGCTGGTGCTGGAGGCGGGCGTGGAGGATGGGGTGGTGGATATGGCGCATGCGGTGCTGGATGGGGGGTTGAGTCCTGAGGAGGGGGAGGCGTATGGGAGGGTTTTTGGGGGGGGTGGTGTGTGATGGGTGGGATGTGTTGGAGGGAATGTGATTTTGAAAAGTTTGCATGTTTGATTGTTTCATGGTGATGTCGTGTGTGCAGATGTGGTGGTTGTGTTAGCCGCTCCTACTCCCTGTTTCAACTGTCTATAATGTACTTGTACCTTTGTCTGTTCTATGTTTCTTGCCCGTCTAGCATTACACACTCGCATCTCAGCTTTCTTCTGTCTACGTCCTGATCCCAGTCTCTACCCTACTACATCTATCCCCTTTTCACTTCACTTCAACACCCCCCTTCCCCAATAGGATTCACACTACACACACCACACAGAAAACGAGTTTATGTAGACGCACAAGCAGAACCCCGCACTCATCCACTCATCCACTCATCCATACACCCATGCATATAAATCTCAAGCACCGCCTTGATTCAATTGCTGCGGAAGTCTGGTGTGGTCTAAGCGTTGGATAGGTTTGTGTCGGATAGAATAGGCATGAGTAGAGGAGAGGAGAGGAGTAGACACACTTAGCATACACAGACAGAACATCATACTAGACTAAACTAACCTTAACACACAAACACCGAGAAGTAGTCTAGCGAAATTTTCCCAGTACCCTTCCTTCCTTCCTCCCGGCTCTCCGTTCAAAGTCCATACTTAGGAGAGAGAGTAGAAAGATCGAGATCGCAATCGAGTCAAACTCCAGATATACACATGCGATTCCATACACAGCAGACTACGATCCTGATAAACGATAAGCTTCTCGACTTAAACTAAGCTTCTCGACATCTGCCCCAGCTCTTGAACACGCGTCTGTGTTAGTACATTGAGGAGTAAGTTGTTAGGACGGTTATTCGGCTCGCTTTTCTACTGATTTACTTTACGGGTATTTATTCTACTGGATAGTAGCTTTTATACTGCGTTACATTCCTGGCTTTGTAATAAGTTGCGCTTAGCTGCTTTTATGGAGAAGTTGGATATGCTGTGGATTCGGAGTAATAGTAGATGGTGGGGGAGTTGGCTTTTTATGCGAGATAGATGGTTGTTTGTGTTAATGTAATTATTCAACCTGTCTATGTTGTTTTATCTTTGGCTTATGAGATGTGTTTGGATTTGATTAAGTTTTAGCAGAGGCGAGTACTGTCTGCCGGGCATGTATCAATAGAAAAGAGGGAAGATATATTAAATTCTTATGCAGTTGATCACGTTTTGACTGTTGAAGTATGTATCGATTCAGTAGTATAATGAAATATATGTGTCAACAATAATATCCCAATTTTCGACGCGCTGTCTATGCTACAATTCTGAGCCTCTAACAACAGACTAACAAATGCGCTCGAAGCAGAGCACATTACCAGCCTCTTGACAGCTTCTCAGGCAATTCCTAGAGGTCTTCTAAGCTTGTCACACCTAAGCAGACGACCAATATCCATGTCTGAGCGAATCAGAAGCCCTTGTGTAACATCTCAGGCCAATTGAAATTGGTTCTCAGTATTGGCGCTATAAGGGCTACATGGTCAAGATATCACAGTAGCTGCTCGGCGTACTGGCCAAAGCAAGCGTGTGGAAAGGCTTAGGTGAGAAGTAGCTTGTTGAATCTGCTTCAAGAGTGGAGAAACGAGTTGCAGACATAAACAGGAACATTAATTTTGATATTCACATGCCCAATAATCTTGAGAGTTTCTTGCTACATGACTATTCAACACCCCTGTACATAGCCTATCAGCAAGACTACACCCATACCAACATAGATACGAGAACGTGGACTCGAAGTCTCCACGCGAAGAACATTTAGTACCTTGAGTCTCGCAGTTAGTCTTACAGATTTCTTCTTTTCTTGTGTAACTGAAATCATGCACACGGGACCAAGGTTCTGCGCCGAGACGCTTGTTCGCCCCGTCTTGTCGTGGCTGATAAGCGCCCTGTTTTGGCGCGGTGAAGCGCTGTCCGTCTATGCGAGAAGATGGCTGATATTGGGCGTTGGTGGCGTACAACTCGTTTGAGAGTGTCTTGCGTCAAGCTTGGAGCCCGGGATTAGATCGATATATTGGTGAAGGAACGCAAGCACAACGCCACAACTGAGAAGGATGGTAAATCTAAACAGAGAGGTTAGAATTCTTACACTCTTTCGAGCTTTTGTGAATATGCGTCTGGCTGTGGGATAGCGTTGTACCAGCCTGCCTGCCACCACGTTACTTTCAGCTCTTCAGATCGAGACGAATGGTCTGTTCAAGGGCGGTGTGATGACCTGTATCAACAAGCAGAAGGATGCACAAATGAGGATCGTGTTCGTGCCGCTGCAGTGGGTAATTCCGCGGATCCAACGTCGCTTGGGGTCGTCAGTAGAATGTTCTGCAGGCAGACTAGTGAGGCTAGGCGTGTGTCGAAAGTGTGGAGATGAAGAAGCAAACACGTGTGCTAACGAGTAACTAAGAGCGGGAGCTACGGTGGGGAAGAGGCGAGAGAAGCGGTGGTTGGTGATTGGATTGGGAAGCACATTCCAACTTCTATAACAACGTAATAGTGCAACGCAGGGAAGGTTTGAGACTACCTAGAGAATATGCAGGCTACTTTTACCCAGCATTGCTTAACTTGTTGTTTTCTTTCTGCAGTGTTGCTGGTTGTTGTGAGTGTTGCAGCAGCTCATAACAGTGCGGCGGCTAATTCCGTAGCCTGCGTCATGAGAGACGACATGGCGTGGTTGCTAAGTTTGGACGATGGTGCCTTGACATGAGGTCTCTTCGTCCTCGCCATCCCCGGCACCGGCAGTGGAAGAGATGTGCGGTAGCATGCAGTTGATCTTGTGTAACCAGGAGACTGGGTCTCACCAGGCTCAAAAGAAATAGAGGAACGGTTGCGCCTAGGCCTATGTGGAAAGGTTGTAGAGTGGATACCATGGCGAAAAGTTTCAACCATAGGAAGGATCAGCTGTGGAGTTGATGGTACCCAATAGATTTGCTCTGCTCAGACATCTGCTTGTGCATACTTTGTATCCCATGCTCCTGCAGGACGGAAAGGTCCAGGACTAAGCTACTTCAGTCCTACCAAAGTGATAGCCTGTCAAACATGTACCAACACAACAAGATAGACATTTGATGCTTTGAACAGACTATCCTATGACGGGGTGGCGTAGATAACTAGGTACGTACTCCAGTCTTGTTTTCAGTGAGAGTCAGTGATTCGCGTTTCATCGTAGGTAGCCTATCACCGTGGCGATCGTCACCTTATCCACTGGTTAGATCTCTTAGATCGCGGGACAGCTGATCATGATCCTTCTTACCAGCCCACTGTTTGTCTTCATCAAAGCTGACTGATAGGGAGGATCCTTCCGGTGCCACTTTGATTGGTTGATAGGTCCTAGTACAAAGTGCAGGATGATGCATTCTCAGGATGGAGGATTCACGCGTGCCCCCGCTAAGGATTCAACACAGTCTAACTTGTTTCGCTAGCGATAGGAGTAGGATTCCAAGCCCCCCGACATCGAGAATAGAAGTACCCGCAGGCAATCTCTGGAGGGACGGGATGCGCCACTTTTCCCATGGGGCACTTGCTAGGCACGACATGCCGCTGCTGTGCCTCCATACCTCCTTTCGCATGCATCAAGGGAGGCTGTCTCACTTCCACGCAGACCTTGTTCTAGACCGCTGTCCCAGCAACAGATCAGTCGTCCTAGCGGGCTTGGAATGACTGACTAAGTGCATGCTTGTTGCTATCACCATAGTCCTGGACAGGGGCTCGAAGTCCTTCAGCAGTCAAGATGATTGATTTTTCGTGAAGGTTGTGAATACTATACATGGAAATTCTAGCTTGTACTAATGTCAGCAGGTGTCACTTACCGTCCTAGTTCGGTTGAAATGTGTCAAAACTCTGGGATCGACGCAGGATTGAACACGGATATGGGCGCAATTGTGATTGCATCTACTCCGTTGGCACCACATAGAACCATGCTGGATTTATGGACACATTCAACGGTGCCGGCATATGTGCCGTTTTGGACATGTCGACGATAGAGCATCGAATTGACACGACACGTAGGACCTCCCGGTTACATCGATGCAGAAGACTCAGACGTATTCAAAGCCATGTTAAGCGGATAAACTAACGGTAATTAAGCATCGACGATTGTCATCCGGCTGAATTTAGCGTGAGGGGCTGATGGACTTTACCAGTGTTAGAGAGGTGCCAAAACAATATGCCCATACATAGACAGCGCGGAACGCCTTCCCTTTCGATCGTACCCCAGATATGGCACCTGACGATCCACTTTCGCACGTACAAGCGCAGATAAGATGCGAGATGGAGTGGCTGGAGGCCGAAGAAGCAAGGATGCGGCAGTATCAAGGATTACTGATGAGATCCAGTGCGGGCCAAGAGATGTGAACGACGGCACACACCTCTCAGCTCCCTGATCAAAAGACCAACGCCACAAACAAGTAAGACATGTCCAAGTCAACCCCTATCTGTTGGAGCTTGTGAATGCAGAGAGACGTCATTCAGGATGGTACATACCTGGCTACCCGCGTCCTAGTGACTTGCAATGTCTCGTGACCGTAAGATCATGTCGTAGTTGACAATGCCACACTGTCGCAGTAGATCCGTATCTTGAACCAAGCGTGTATGTGCACAAGTCATCGATGTGAAGAACAAGAAACTCACTCTCTCAGTCTCTGTAAACCTGATGAACAGTAACCGACCGGAGACCATTTTTTGGTGGCTAAGGAGGATCCTCTTGCATCTTCTAGAAAGCTATCTCGGCAGCCCTTGTGTTGTTCAACTTCCTTGCGAAGCTTTGATGGACTTGTTGCACCAACTGACTAGCCTGCGAAGTCGAGGACGTGAAGTTCTCTGCGTCAGGGAGTTGTAATCAAGGTGCACTGCCGAAACCTGACGCAGTTGCTTTTCAAATGCACTAGAGCGTAGCACTGAGAGATAACAAACACACTCTGGATCTTAAGAATATTGGAGGTTGGGGTAGAGCAGTGGAGAATACAGACCTCTCAGTCGTGACAAAGTTTGTCTGTACCAGCCTACACCTCGACTAATTGCTGCTTGTCTTTTCCCAGGCAAGCACTTTGTACCATGAGGTCAAGGACACCTCAAACAATTTGTTCAGAGTCCAGTAACGCAAACATTGACAAAGAACATGTTTGTGTGTGCAGTGATGCTCAAATGCGCAATACGTCGACCTCGTGTATGTACAACACTGGGCAATTAGTTCGAAAGTCTATCGAAGCATACCCTGAGCGTAGTCGGCAGCATGGAGGCGACACTGGTACGTTCTCTTGTATCATTGTCGCCTTCAGAATGTCGATCGATTTCAAGCCACGTCTTTCGAACACAGCACGGACGCTAGCCGTGCAGCCACACTGTGACCAAGCATCTTGTTGCAGGGGACAATGGGATTCTTCTGGCTCGGCAGACACTGGAGGATTGATCCGGATACAAGAAGGCGATTTTCAAGCAAATAAAGATCTTTTATTCACCAAGGAGATAATGACCGAGGATCCATGTTTTGCGGGACACCAAGGGTCGCGGAACGCCGCGAGCACAAAAGAAACGTCAGTCGTACAGGAACGCCAGGGATAATGCTGGATAGGTGAAGGCGGCCCTGAACGGCTGTTCGAACTGGATACTAGAGAAGTCCCTATGCCAAATACGATGCAAACAAGAGCGTGCGTGTATAGCCGCTTGCAGCTACTTGCAGACACTCCACAAAACATACACAGTAGTGTCTGTACCGGTAGTTAAACCCTTCAATGGGTAGCGGCCCCATAGGCCAGGAACTGGGACCCGAAGCTGACAATCAAGAGTACCAACATCTCAAGAATATGGGGGCATGACGAGCGGTGCTGACAAGGGTAGGTGCTTTGAGTGCCGTTGAGGCCCTGTGAGTCGATCGCTAACGAATCTTTGAACAAACGATGCTGGGCGCACAGATAGCCAGCGAATGGATATGCAGATGAAGATCAATAGCGAACGATGGATGGATTTTCGTATAGCCGAGGCCGAACGCTAACCTTATAGGGAATCGGTGTCATGCATGGTCGGTGCAGATCAGCCCACCAACGTCTTCCGCGGACCCACCCATCGACTTTGGCTCGTCACCCTTTGTGCATCCATCAATGCGGCCTTACACTCTTCTCATTTTCTGGCAAGCCACAAAAAGCCTCTCACTCAGAACACCATGAAGCTAGCAATTTGAAATCTATTGCAGACTCGATCGGTTGCCAAACATCTCGCTGAGGCTGAGATAGAACCACAAAAGGAAGTGTGAATCACCCTTCCGACACGATGATCGCGTCTTATTCGCTCCGGCCACGGTGCCCGGTGGGACAATGCGCCAAGTCTGAGCGCGACTAAGAGCGGCAACGGTGGCCGACCCGGGCTCTAGCCTCGCGGAGTGCCATCTCGCACCACGTTCCGCCCTGGTTCTCGAGACGTTGGATCAGGAAAGCCCAGCACTCGACACTCTAGCGTCAGAATGATGTTAAGATGCGACCAACAAAGTATTAAACCAAGAGACCAACACATTTTACAGAAGTCTGAATTGTGCAAGAACTTGAACCGCCCCTTCACGTCTACCGATTGCTCTTTTCTTAGATTGTGCGGATGTAGCGTTGTGGTAGTGTTGCTTGTTCAGACACGGATCTTGCTTCCGACCTTCACGTTGACGCTAGAGCCGCCATCTACTACGCCATGGCAATCGTAACAAGGTTATTGGTTTCGCCTGGAAAACCCGGATATTTTTGAACGAGCCCATACTCAAGCCTCGTGTCAACAAAATGTACTGCGAGCTGGGTTGATGGGTGTTCACGTAACCTGCATGTTATCCACTATGTATTGCACCATGGTTGTCGGTCTGAATGAACCCGGATGTGGCGTTTTAACACCACATTTGCGGTTGCCAACATTGGTTATAAGCCACGTCGAGCCTTAGTGGCCGCGGTCATCGAGTCTGGATGCGCCCACTTCGAGCCCACTTGATTCACTATCGTTTCCCGTAGGCAACTCGATTACAACATAAGACCATTGTCCTACACTCAACTTGTTTTATCCACTTCTATTTTTCGACCATGACGACCGGCCTACTTGGAATGCAGTCTCTCGGAGGACCACGGTACTGTGATTCCCCCTTGGACCTTAAGTTGGCCTCTGAAATATCCAACCTGTACAGTACACAGGATAGTTGGGCCTGCCCTCCCCGTGGAAGTCAGCCTTCCATGACGACGACGGCTTATATGGATTTCTCAACGCCAAATTTATCCTCCTCTGATGGCCAGTTCAGACATGATTCCATGTTCCAACACAATGGATATCCAGCTCATGACGACGAGTCTTCTCACAAACAAACACTACGACGCGCGTACACCGATTTTGTCTCCAGGCCAGAATCTACCACCGTAACAGCACCCCTGGAATTCTCTGCGTCTCCAATGTTCACTGCGACAAACTTGCCAACAAACACTCACAACGCAACAATGATGACTCCATTAGTGACACATTTCGACCAACCCGACGCATCTCCCGATCCCAATGGCAATTTCTCCTTCGACGAACAATCCCATTCTACCGAGTCTCACAACTTCGTTCACCTCCCCACCGGCCACGACCAACCACCACTCAAGCAACGTCGCAGGAGTGTACAGACAAGCCAAGAAGCGCTTTCTCCGACGGAATCGCTGAGCTCAGCTGGGAGAAGGCGCAAGTCAGAATATGCAGAGCCAGGTTCAGCGCGTGCGATATACCTCGAGAAAAATCGTAAGGCTGCTAGTAAATGCCGAAACAAGCAAAAGAGACAACAGGACGACCTCGTTGAAATGGCTCGGGATGTCGAACGCCGAAACAGATTTTTGAAAGCAGAAGTAGAGCTGCTCAGGGCTGGAATGCGAGAGTTGATGGAGGTCGTGGGTAAACACAACGAATGCCCTGATTCCAGACTGCGGTCGTATGTGCAGCGCGAGGCGAACCGGCTTGTAGCTGGAAACCAACGGACGGCCGTATTCACTCCGCCTTCGAAGAGCTCATCCTCCGATGGCATGTCTCCTCACAAGACGTCATCGCCTTGAAAGTAACCAGGCTATGGGGTGTCAAGCAATGGTCACTCAAATCCATAGTGTGTTTTCCTACCAGATCTGGCATCAACCAAGCTGACAACGATGTGTTCCAGAGATGATGCGACAACCCGCACCTCTGTACCGCAAAGCCAAGTCCAAGATCACACGATCACTGGTAGATGGATGGACGCTGAGAGGTTAAAACTGCTCCAAGAGAAGGCAGAAGAGGTCATCGACAGGCTGGAACAGATCCCAAGAGAAGTGATCAACTGCGCAACATGTGCCTCGCGTTCGGGTCTGCTACGTGTACGGCTGTGTGCGCGCTAGTCAAATTCGGAAAAGTCTAGGGGACTCGACGCCTAGAGTTCGGACCGCATACTTGGAGAGGCAAAGATCGGTGGCCCACTACGAAAGAAGGGCTTGATGTAGCAACCCTGTTTCCGGTACTGCAACTGCGCCCTGTGGCTGCAGAGATTCACGTTACATTCGTGAGCACAGCAGGGCGCAGCAGTGATTGCAAAACAGTCCACACTAGTAATAATCAAATGATCTCTCGCACGATGCAATTTTCTGTATGGGAGGTAGTAATGGTGTCATATTAGTCTGCCTCTCTTTTGGAGCTGTGAATGCTTTCAACAGTCTGCCCAACCTTGTCAGCTCATTTATCCTTGGCTGCTACCTTCACTAGCCGAATAGTATCCTAATACTGCACAGATAATTCGCCAACATGGATACCAATATCAGCTGCACGACTCGATCCGTACTTCAAACCCTACCCCTCAACGCGCCCCCGCAGTAATTATCATGCTCGGCCTTCTTCGCGGAGCCACCGTCACCTGTTAGTAGAAGGCCGCGGATTCTCGGCTGAACAGTCGAAGATCTTCACTTTCAATTGCACCGGCAGAAAAGGCCGTTTCTTTCATCGCTTTCGTAGCCCGTGGTCTTCGGTTGACTGCGATTGGCTGGCAATTCAAGTAGGTACGTTCGGCTCCCGTAGCAGGCTTTTGACGCGCCATCTCCGACATTCCGCCGCATAAAAGTGACATAGATAATCGCCACGCCTACCCGGCGTTGTGGTAAGACCGACCGGAGAAGTATAGCGATGCGTATTAAGAGTTGATCGGATGTGACTGAGCATCATCTTGTTGGGTGTAGACAATCTTGCATGTTATTGGTCGTTGCGCTCAATGCCCTGCATATCGCCTTAGATCCCTCCTTATAGTCCAATATTTAGCGGAAGTATTCAGCCGGTTCAAGGGTGTATCAAACTAGTTCTTCCTCCCCAAACGTAGTAGTAAGGTTACAATTGGCGATCTGAGGTGGTTGACTAATTCGCATCAATCCTGCTACTGAGATGGGTACTTGGAGCTATATTGCCATTGGGACGCTACCAGAGCTTGAAGATGTTCGATGTTACCTGGTAATTCTACGCTGGCACACTATCACAGCGTTTTAAAGTTTATAGTGGTCTCTAGTAGTTCGTAATCTTGAACATGCGATACAGTGGACCGGAATTAGGCATTTAACAGTCGAACACTACCACGGAGTCTTCCAGAGTGGTTCTGCAGTCAGCTTGAATCTTCCAAAACCTTTTCATGTTTTGAATTTGTATAAGATATCGAAGTGTATCGCCATCAAGGATTTTATTCTGGACTCTACAAAGCATTACGTTCAATTCTGATCATCAGTCACTTCCTTCAAACTGAGACCGAACCTATCGTTAAGACTTCGCTCAGCACTATGTTCTCAACGTACATCTGGGTCGCCAAGTACGTTGTTGCTGGTTCGACCTAGCATGTCGTTATCATCAAATCTTGAATTTTCGAAGGAATTCTTTTCGCGACGCAGGTTATACCAATGCTCACTTCCTTAACCGTATGATCACTGACGTCGACGTTCAAGACGGCATAACTTCAGACCCTACGCTATCTAGTGTCAGTACCGGATATTCTGCGTTCAGGGATGCATGATGGTGTTACAACATCTTCGTTATACGGTTGTAATTTGTATGTTTTATTGAACAAAAATACATTTTGGCATGCTGGTGCACCATCACAAATGGCCGAAGAAGGGTTCTCGGGTCATACTTGACTCCAGAACGGGCATACAACACCGCATCAATTCAGTTAGCTGGTAGATGTATTCAATATATCGTGCAGCATAGTTGGCTCCAGTGAGCTTCGTTGTAGTCACTAAAGACGTAGACAACATCATACTCCATTCCCACCACTACCAGGTGCATAAGAAGTGTGATGAAAGTGCATGAATAGTTGTCGCAAAATTGGAAGTTGCATCGGATGGTTGCACAGTTATCAAAAATGCACATCCATGCATGAAACACCCCTCATTTGTTGGCATTCACACTCCGTACTCTAGATGAATGGTTGCATACTTGCTTACATTCATGACTTCTTTGCAGTCGTTGGTCCTTGATCCCTGCTAATATCAAGTCTCGATAATTTTGATGACGACTTGACGCCGACCATCATCTCCTGTGGATCATACTCGTTTACTCACCATCATGACCTGAGTCAAATTCAATCATCTTGCACTTCCCCAATACGGTCGTTCAACACAAGAACGCCAGACTCTTTCTGCCTCTCAATCACAATCCAACAGAATGAAGGGATCCTTGCGAGGTTGTTGGCGTGAGCAATGGGATGATCAACTCTCCATGGCTTGGAATCGCGCGTGTAACTATCCTACTGAGGGCCGTCGGGGCTTCTAGTCTTGGTGTTTGTTACAATCATCATGAACGATATAAAGTATCCTGGGAATAATTCAGTTAACTCTGTGTTGACTATTTATCCGCCCGCTGATCTGTTGAAGCTAAGTATTGAAGTGATCCCTATTCCGCTGCATGAGACCGCACCATCTCGCCAATGCATATATTGCAACAATCAAAACTTGGCTTGCCATGACTTGTTCGACGATGTTTCGAGCACCGGGCAGATGGGTAGAGGAATAGAGCGTTTGAAAGAGGTCGGCAAACTTTCAAGAATGGCAACGGATAGAGAAACGAAGCGGAGAGAGAGTTGCAGCTTGCCAATGGACTAAGAACAGAGTATTCTCGTCAACTACAACAATTTTGCCTTGCCGTAGACTCCAAGTGATCTACCGTTTGAATATCTTGGGGCTGGGCCGCGGCCAATACAAGTCTGGTGTTGTTCTTCGAAGCAATAACCGCCAGACTGGAGATTCGAACAATACTTCGAAAGACACTCAGCAAAGTGAGCCGAATGCGAGGGCGATCTGATTAAGTTTTGCTGAAAGCGCGGTGGATGATGCGAGAAGTCCACCGCTTGGTACAGAAAGAGGCGGATGCAATAGAAGCGATCAATACACGGTTGAACAACGAACGTAACTCCATGATGGCGAAACACGGGAGTGCGATACCTAGATGGTGATGTACTCGTATGCCGCGACTCATGAAGACAAGGGGGTAGTGGTTGTGCTCCAGCTCCTAGTGTTTATCATGTGTCGCGGCCAATCAAGCCATCTAGACAACTCCGCTGTTGTCGCCAATAGCTGCTCGGTTGCGTAGAGAATACGTTGCGGCCATTCGGCGATCCACCAGATTGGGTATCCCTGCGCCAACAGTGCAGCAAAATAAGCAGTGATAATACAGGCGACAGGGTTGTGTGAGGATAGGAGCTTCATGAAACGTTCTGGCAGGTTCCATCCCCAGCGCAAAAGAAGAGAATAGCAGTCACTCTGTGGAGGCATATGTCGAAAGCGTAAAGCAGTCGCGTGGAGCTCGCTGGTGGCACTTGTGCATGCTCTCTTGTCTTCGGAATTAAGAAGAAGTTCGGTCAACTCGTTCAGACGTAAAATTTCCGGAACCTCATATCCCTTGGCTCGGTCGTCCACAGATTTCAACGTTTCATCACCCAAGACCATTGCGGACATCTCAGCAAACACAGTAGTGGATCCAATCTGATCCCATTGCGGATCGAGCACTACTTTGACACCTTGAAGCAACATGAAGCAGTGGTGAAGAGAGCCAATCGGATCTTCCGGTTTCTCTAGCTGTGCTGAGGCAAGGTTGTAGGTGACCAGAGTCGACGACAATGAGAACATAGGAACGGCTGTCGCCACAGTCGGCTCTTCGAGAAGTCTTCTATGCGTCTCCAAAGCTCGACTCATGTGCGAATCGGCCTGGAGAAGGAGACTCTGCCTGTCGCCGGGCGGTGCACTAGCAGCTTTGTGAACAGCAGACAAGGCAAGCAGGCCATGGAGCAGAAAAGGATGCTCAAAACCTAGCTCGACCATTTGATTTTGCCAGAGATCATGTTTCATGGGAACATCGGGATGCAATGATTGGTAACACTTCGATGTCCAATGATGTAGTAAACGCATATCCGGGATAGAAAGATCGAAACTGTCTACATGCTGTGTTGTCTCGGGACTACTGACAGAGATATGGCTGCCTGGGTTTGATCGTGGTGAGGGCGGATAGCTGTCTGGTATTGGTGGCCATGTGCATTGTACATCAAGACGAACACAGTTGGCACAGCGGGGACGTGCCTCATTGCACTAGTGAGCGTAAGTAAAACTAATCGGATACTTGTATAAAAGGTCCGATCGGCTGTTAGGCAGATCTAGAAACTGACTTGACGTACTTTGGTGTGACGTTGTTTGCACTGGAAACAGCCGCGACGCGACTTTGTATGCGTTTTGCGCTTTCCGACGCGTTGGTCTGGTTCGGTCATGTCGTTGGTTCTCGAGTCATTAGACCGATCGAGAGGTGATGCTATGGTGAAAGTGAAGTCGACGAGTGTCAAGTAGCCCAAGAATGTGGATACATGTTATGTAAGCAGCTAGTGTGACGCGTCGAGCTGCTACCAAACTCTGCGTTATCTTTGCATCATTCGCAACTGCATCTGTTTGGATAATAAACGAGGCTACTCAATTCGATGTGGTGACTATGTAGAGGTGACACGAAACGTCTTTATGTGGATCAGTAATCGGTGGATGTTTCAGTTCGAGTTTGCCAAACTCTCTCAAGCATACACAGAAGCCCTGCCAAGCCATCTCGTTGCTTTTTGTTATTAACTCGTGTCAATTTTCCTGGCCCCCAACCAACATAATAATCCAAGTAACTTAATCCCAACGCCTTAAATCCGCTTGCGCATCCGCATCTCGCCAACCCACGTTCTCTTTACTCATTTGCTCCAAAGCATTGAGCTTTCTGGAGGCTTTTGTCGCTTGGGGTATGGCAGTCAACGCTGCAGTCGGCTTTTTCGCAAAACGCTTGTCGAGGGCTGCTTGTTGTTTCGCACGCATCTCGTCGCATGTCAGCTGCAAGCCGTGAAGTCTTGACGTCTTGCGTCGACCCACCTCTTCCAAAGCCTGGGCCCGCTCCTCCGCACTGATCGCCGGTTCAGGGGTTTCAACAGGCTGTTGTGATTGGCTCTGTCCCATTTTGAATCCACCAGCGCGATTTTAGGATGGGATCGTCAGGAGGGAACGTTGAAGGTGTTAGATTTCAAGTCTAGTAAAAGGGCAGCGGTGAAAGACCTCGAAAGTGCGAACGATACGTGCGGAGGTTTGCAGCTTTAACTGTTAAAGACCAGACTGCCTGATCGTCTGTGCCACCAGGCACCAGCAGCACGGTCCTCAATACCATTGACTCGTGCAAGAATGTCAAGGATCACTTGCGAAACTACCTTGTGATCATGTTGATAAGAAGCATTCGAAAAATGAAATTCTTAAGTCTTGTAGGTTTTTAATAGCACAAGTATCACTACCACAATTCGCTCTTGCTTAGTCACACTAACGGTCTCGAGTGAACACGTGGGAAACTCTTCACTGTCAAACCTATTTCTGACCGACGAAGTTGAGTCTATGTATTCAGGAGTTGAAAACAAGAAGAAAAACAATCGCCAAGTATTGTTGAGGCGCCTGCCGTGTAAACAGTTCAGTCGCCAACAAAACATGTGAATGCAATTCGATGATCAGTCTATCCAATGCTTCCACTCCCTCAATCTTCTCCTTACACTTCCGTTTCCGCTTCTCCTCATATATTCCTCTACGCTGACACTCAGACCTTCTGTCAATCTATGAGTGCCGATTGATGCGCGGTCGCACGACTTGTAGATTTATTGTATGACGCCTGATTGTAAGTTTGTGCATCACCATCCTGACTGTCGTATGTAGCATTCCGAAGAAACTCTACAAAACCTCCCCTTGACGAGAACGTCGATGTTCCATTGAAAGTATAGGAGTCTCTTAATTCTGTAGATTTGTAGATAGATGGACTGCCAAGTCGAGTGTCATAGGGGGGCGATGAGCTTGCCTCTGACTTTGAATATAAAAACATCTACGTCCAGCATGTACCTGCAAAATCTGGTCCGTAGTTGTCCAGCTGTTGAAAATAATACTCTTCTCTACACTTTCTACAGCTGGTGAACCATCAAACCCATCTTCCGCCGGCCGTAAGTTTTTACGTCATATTCTCGCGACTGTAAGTGTCAGGATCTTGGAAGCGGGTTGCATTAAAAACGTTGAATTCTGGAATTAAGACCTGTTTACTGAGCCGTTTGGTTTTAATCATAGTAATGAACTATTTTCTCGAAACACTATCGGTGAAAGTCAGTGTTTGGTGAGAACAAAGCACTGTTAGGCGAGAGGGCGTAAATTGCAATAAAGATTCATCATTTCGATTAACTCAGCCGACTTATTGGGAAAGCTTCACGTGTTTGTAGCAATATTCAAGTCAAGCTTGTGCGATGAACAAAGAATGTTTGGTGCGGATATTTGGATCAGGAAATCCAAAAAAAAAGATTAATCGTCAGTAAGTACTCGCCATCTCATGCAAGTGATCAATTGTTGGGAAAAAGATGCGACAAGTACCAAAACTACCGAGATGGAGATCTAGATTGAGGTTTTTCGAACTAAACTAGCATTACAAGATGTATTTTCGTACTTATCCCCGCCTCTGGATTAAGACACCGCAACTCAGTGGCATTGATATGGCAGTGTAGCTAGAGGATATCAGGACAACTTTGGGACGGATATCGATGCGACTGAGTGACGTCACGGGAGAGAGCAACATCAAGCTCTCGCGCAGATATAGCTTATATTTCGTAAACCAACACTTTCTCTATTTTCCATACAGACATAGTCCTTGAAGCCCTTGCTTGTAGCTCAAAGCACCCAAGATTTCAGTTCTTCTATTTTCCTTCTCGACTCTAATTGATCATTTGTTAAGGCTCCACGGTCCTTCAGCAAACGCATACATTGATCATGATTGTAATCGATCGCATAGTCAAGTGCTGTGCTTCTGTAGTTGTCTACCCTATTGATCTCGATCTTTGTGGGATTTAAAGAGAAGAGTCGCAGAAGGTATTCAACGACATTTGAGTGCCCTTCAGAAGCTGCAGCCGAGAGTGGCGTCTGGCCGTGCCGACCGGGGCGATCCGCATCGACGTGTTTCTCAAGGAGCTGAAGCACCTTGAGATTTCCTTCTTCAGCCGCAAGAAAGAAGGGCGTACAGCCTTCCACGTCACCCCTGTCAATAGCTTGAGGGTCTATAACTTTGATCAGGCACTCAACAATATCCGAACAATGCTGTTCCGCAGCCAGGTGCAATGCAGTCCTATTATCATAAGAGGACTGACAACTTAGACTTTTGGCTGATATATGACAAAAGAAGTCGACAGTATCCAGGTGTCTGTTTTTGACCGCAAGGTGAACGCAGTTCTGTCCGTCTTCGTCTGTTATTTCTTCTAGAAAGAGCATAAGGTTCAGTGGATACGCCGTTCGCAATTTTCGAAAAACTTCTGTATATCCTTTTCTAGCCGCGAGGTGGAGAGGATGTGGATACGACGATGCTTGCTTGATCCATTCGGTTCCATTAATCTGCAGTATCTGATCAAGCAGTGCGTAGCCTTCTCTGCCGCAAGCTAAGAACAAGGCTGGACGACCAAAGAAATCCTTCTCTGTAAGGGCAGATTGTGGCCAAGGTACACGGAGACCTGCGTCGTGACCTGCGAACCAAGGTGATCGACCGAAACAGTCCACTCGTCCGTCCCTACGAAGATCTTCCATTATCTCAGGACTTTCCAGTGACGACTTCGGTAAGAAAAGCTGAGTCTTTAGTAAACACAGTTTGGATTTGCCTATTTCGTCGAGTTTGAACTTGCAGAACACAGCTTCCCATGTATCCAGAAGATGTTTCCTGTTTCTGAGAGTTGTGGTTTCGTCATGTCTGGGGTCTACGGTGATAGCCACTATACACGCAATTCCATAATGGCCTGAATCCTCGTAGCGTGCAACAATGTCACTGAGACTTCGTTTACAACATCCAATGTCAAAATTAGCGGAAAACACCTGCTCAAGGATGAGTCGTGGCATCTTCTTGAGTAATGATTGAATGGTGTCAGTAACCTCCTTGTAAGTGGCCCAGAAATCATCCATCCTCTCAAGCATGTTTTCCCCTGGTAGGTAGTCGAACAGCTCGTCCGATTCTTGCCAGATTGTGAATAATTCTTTGGTTGCCATTAAAAGAAGAACTTGTACCGCAAGCAATATGAATCTAGAACGATTAGTTCAAAACAAATTCCCTCTTGAGAATCAACTCACGCTTCATGAAGTTGTTCATCTTTGGCCTCGGTTATGAAGGTCGTTTCAGGGGATGTATTTGGTGTGAGAGGATTCATTGTTAGAAGTGGTATTTTTCGTTGTGCTGGAGAACAATCAAGCTCCTTTTGGGAACACCGAAGACACTTCTCACTAGGCCACGACCTTTGCTCAGGCAAACACTGAGTTATATTAGAAATGCTTTAACACGTATTACAGTCATATATACCTTGACTTTCGCCTTTCGACAGAAAGTGCAACTGAGATAATTCAGCTTTCCGCGGGGCTTGCGTCTTGGGCGAGGCGCAAGTTTGATGTCCATGGATGAAGATGAGGCGGATGCCATGATCGGGCACAACAGCTTGGAAAATGTGTGTTGCTCGAAATCCAGAACGACACGGATATTTGGTCAAGGCAGGAGAATTGTCCAGTGATATATGCGACGCATATCAATACGAGCTGGTGAGCTGACAGCTGCGGCCCCATGCCAAGATACGTTGTGCAGCCATCGATTTGAGAATCAGCCAATCGGGGGTGTACAGACGGTCAGGGTTGATCTTAACCCAGGGAGCCTCCTCGTGGTTTATCGGGAAGCTAGAAGCAAGCCGAGTTCTTTAAAGCATAAAAGTGCAGCAACGGTATGTGGATAAATGACACAAACAAGGTGGAATTATACATGTAGTAATGAAGGCACACAGTTTCTATCCTGATCGTATATGTAGGTGTTGCAAGATTTTGCTGTACCTTACTTCCAAGAGAGAGCTTGAGGAGTGTCCTGTGCTGTGACGTAGCTATACAGTCACTCGCATAATTCGACCAATTGTAGCCTATTCGCACTCAGTCCGAAATTGACAACAAGCCTAACTCAGCCAGGTTCAATGCATGTACCGAGCATGCAGTTAGAACTCAGCCTTCTCGTTCACGACCAATAGTCCTCCAAACGCACTGAACGCACTCAACACCTTCGGGTTCATCTCAGACTGCAGCAGACACACATATTTGTGTACCAAGTGGGTCAAAAACCAAGAGATGCCGCCGATCTGACAACGTAACCAATCGCAGTGAATTAGCCTTGCGAATAGCAATCCAAACGCACTGAACGCACTCCAACTTCAGGAGTTTTTGGAGGCGGTGATACATGGACGTGCTTAGGTGTTGTCGGCCTTGATATAAGCCTGACATGTTTGAAATTCGACAACGAGGTTGTCTAAGAAATGGTATAAAGCCAAGATGGCTTCAGCATTCATTCATTTGATCATCAAGCTACCCACATCATCAATCACTTTCGACAGTTTCAGGCCTCGTCATCATCTTGCGTTTCAATTCCCACAGCCCGCAACCCGCCCATATCAAACGAGCATGTCGACCGTTGCTTCAATCGTAGCCACCGCCTCTCCACCCATTATATTTCGAAATCCGACTCAAATCATGGAGCCCAACACGCATTCTACCAAGAATGGTTCTCAAGATGCTGCTAACATGTCAGAGGCGGTCTTCGCCGGATTGGCCCTCTTGGTTGCGCTCATCGCACTGGTCGTAGCGCTTCTGCATCTACGTCACGAACGCAACAAGCGTCGTCAGACCTATGAAGTTCAAGTTGAGTTGGCAGAACTATAGGCTGAAATATCTGAGGTACGGTCAGTCGCGCTTGTGGAGTACATGGACGTATTTAATGGTCAAACAGCGCATACGCGAAAGGTTGCGGCGGCGGAAAGAATCCAGATCGCATAGTTGAAGTCCTACTGAAAAACAAATTCAGTCTGGGATGGAAGCTTAGTGGCGTCTCGGTCCAGCTTGCGGACGGTGAAGAGTAGTCCATGTCGTGTGGAAAAGACATGGTAGGGATGAATCGTACCGTAGAGGAACGTGGTCGTTGAGATGGCACATATGCAGCCAGTGTGCCGCAAACGTTGGTTTATAATTTTCCAAACCTCAGACTTATCAACATACCACTTCAGCCCAATTTTTTAGGCGTTATGTTGCAATAGATGCTGTGGAAGTCGACTCAATATTGTGTTGTCGTGGTGCTGTGGCAGTAGACCCAATATTGCGTTGTTGTTGTGACGATTTGCAATCTCGCGAACTCGCTCTATGACTGGATGTGTTGGGTTCCAGAAAGTAAGTTGTAGTATCAATTTGACGCATTCTGCCTCTCCCTCAGCAGCTGCCAGAACCATAGGTGACAAATCCAAGTCGTCGTCAGATTGAAACTGATTTTGATACATGTGCAGGCTAGGAAGGCCGAGTAGGTATGCGACCGCTTTCGTGGAGCCGTGTTTTGCGGCAACTGCAAGTGGACTGAGTCTGTCCTTAGCTCTATGGTTGATGTCGACGTTGCAGTGTCGTAAGAACTTCATGATATCGTGGTGAGAACCTTGAGCTGCATACTAAAACGGAGTGCGACCTTGAACATCCGGCACGTCGCAAGCATACCCTTGTTTTGCCAAGTACGTGACAATCTTCATATGACCTTGAGCGGCTGCGATACCGACAGCTGTACATCCATAGTCATCTTGAACGGCAAAAGTCCTCCCGTGGAAAAACGCTACAACTTCTGAGCTACCAGAAAAGGCGGCCCATAACAGAGGGGATCGACCATATCCGTCCTGCGTTGCAGCTCCAACAAAATGTTGTCTGGACCAGATTTGGGCGCAGGTTGTCTTGGTCCCGAAGATGGCCGAGAAATGAAGTGGCAATAGACCGTTCAAGGCTCTTTGGTCTACACGCGCGAGAAGCTCCAATAATTGTCTGATACTATGCTCATCACACTTTCGACAGGCCATATGCAAAGCTGTTCGACCCAAGACGTCAGCACGATCGACTTCTTCTTTGGACCATTTAACGGGAATCCCAGCGTCATAAAGAATGTTATACACAGATCTACCCAGACAATCCGGGCGCCCATCCTTCCGAAGACCAGTGGCAATTGCAGGAATCTGGAGGAATCTTCTTGGAACAAACACCTGAGACTTCGCGAAGGTCGTTGGTAGTGGTATGCTCCCATTGAGAAGAAACCGTCGTACATCCTGAAGAAATGGTTGTCTGTAAGATTTTAAATCCTCAATGTCCTCGTCCCTCCAATGAGTTTCTTCCAGCATAAGTTTCATCTGTAAGACGTATGCAAATCCTGCATGGCCAGACTTGTGGTAGAATTTGACAGACCTACGTACTTCCTCGAGAGATCGCATGTCTGAAATCCATGTGACTTTGCGCCGAAAGTAATCGCTTGTCAAGGCCAACTGAGCGTGCAAGAGTAATTTGGCGGCTCCAATCTCGAGCATCCTCAACTGCAATGCGAGACTAAAGCATTTGAAGTCATCTAGGATGGCATCGATACCAGGCATGCATCTTTCGAGGGAGCTAATATGTGGATGCCGTTGGAATGGCTTTGCCATATCGGTTGCTAGGTCTTGGAGCTCGTCGAGAGCCATGTTGACTACTTCGGAGATGCCGAGAAGAAATATCCTGTAGGTGCATTAGTCGAAGAAAGACGAAAACTGTCAACGAATGTACTGACGCTTCTTGGTTGCTGGGATCCGATCCCTCCGGTGTGCATTGCTGAGTCAGAATGAAAGGTTTTGGATTGAGGTATGCAAATGTCGAGGATTTCGCCGCTAACGGTGGTAAACTGTTGGATGGTTGCGGCGGCGCATTGTTGTGTGTCTGGACATAACGATTGATCCTAGGCTTTATCGTGCCCTTTGAACATGTGATTCCATGCGTGGTACAACGTTCACATTTCAAGGGCCAATCGCGATGCTCAGGTAGACACTGACGGTTGTTAGTTCTTGATTATTCTATAATGTTTATAGATGCTCAGCAAAGCGATGTACCTTTTTCTTACCGCTTCGACAAGGAATGCACTTGATGACACTTTTTGCCTTTCTGGAAGGCATCACTTCCGAAGTTTGACGATGTGGCAGTGGCTGCAAGATGGTTGAGTTCGGCATATTGCAATGTATTGAGATGATCCCACCAGAGTTACTGAGGAGATATGGTCAAATATATGAAGAGTGTAAGATATAGCATGAGGTAAACTCAGGGGCGAGATTGCAATAAATAAGTAAGATGGGTAAGAGAGTAAGCGATGTATTTGCGCAATTGAGGTCCTTCATGCCTGTATCCGTCAGTGAGGCGTTGTCGCATGTTGTTTGACCAATAACGCACGTGCGCGGATGCGGGTACCTGCTTCGGCGACAGGTAGCATAGCTGCAGAGAAGCACAAGCGATGCTGCAGTCCAAAACCAGCGAAGTATTTTGTTGACCAATGGCGCACGTTGGAAGAGAAGCGTCTTTCCCCGTGTTGCGACGAGAATCACCGTCCATACTCACCCCTCGGACCACTGAGCTTCACTCAGTGGTAAGCGAGTAGGTGCGTGGCACGAGTACGTCGAGGGTGGGCAGTCTCAGCCAATGGCGCACCGGTCTCATCTACCTCTCGAAGTCCCAACCTATATCGCAACGAGATGCCCCTGGAATATCACTTTCTCATGGAAAACGAAAGCATGCCTTTGCGCAGCCACCGGTGCCGTGCCTTTGTCGCAACCTGAGAATTTTAATCAGTGTAAATGCATTTAAGTCGCACGTCGAGCTGGAAGGTATGGCCACTACCACCTTCAATCAGCCAACTGTAGCATCTGGTAGGAAGACCTCCTGGATTTGCTCAAGATTTGTTCCTCATATTCCAATCCAGTATGCCACTCACACACTCACACTCGTTACAGTAGACGCATTAGCTGAAGAGACCAGATACCGTACATCTCACCGCGAGCCTTCTCCAAGTACATCTATCAGATTGTCCATCTCCAGGTCGAGACAATGACGGCTGAGCTTGCTGTCAATGCAACTGGAGTGGTGGTTGCATTCGTGGGTCTTGGAGTGATGATACTGCAATTGCGTCGACGACGCCGTACTGCGCTCATGAATTCCGACGTGTACGAGTTGGACGCGACACCGGCATGGTATGTGAATCTGCAAAGACATGATGTGGCGATCAACGGTCTGACGCCCAGTAAAGAGCAGAAGCTTCATCACGCCTCGAGCCGTCGGAAATGGCACCTCTTACTGAAGGATAGATGAGAGATAGATATGTGATCAGAGGGTTTAGGCATGCTCCTTGTTGATCGAAATGCCAGGAATTATGGTGCAGTGGAAACATGCAGCAGGTTGACAACTACAACTGAATTGAGTGTATAAATCTTGTGCCCAAGTCTCTAGCAATATACGCCTGACTTACATATTTGTAAATATTGAATTGTGTAGTTCTGCAGTTTGTAGCCACAAAGAACATAGCTTGTTTCCCCTTTCCAGTTGACCGAGAGGCAGGGTGTGAAGTTACAGGGGTTCGCGTCAGGAAGCTCGAAGCTTGGTATTTTAGCGACGAAGGATGACGTATCCGCAGCTTCGCAACCTGTAAGATCCTATCAACATCAATGACAGCCACTACATCTCGCTATGTTGCTTAGCCCTTAATCTGCCGAAAATTCGTAAAGAACTTCGGTCTCTTCAATGGTATGTGTATCAGGTAATATCCGGGTACCTCGTGGTTAATTTGTCACCAGGCTTCAATTCTACGCCAGATCGTAGCTGGACCTCGCGCCAGGCACCCCGAAGCTGGCCTGGACTTGTGCTATGTCACAGATAACAGTATAAACCCCAAGCATATATACAGGCGCTTCACTCTCTGACTGCGCATAGTCATCGCGACGTCAGGCCCCAGCGGTACTTACCCACAACGCGCTTACCGCAATCCACTCGATTCCCTCGTAAAGTTCCTCGATTCAAAACATGGCGAGGACTGGGCAATATGGGAGTTTCGTGCCGAAGGGACGGGCTATCCAGATTCAGAAGTCTACAATCGCGTATACCACTACCCCTTTCCTGACCACCACCCGCCACCCTTCGCTCTCATACCGAACATCATGGCGAGCATGCGCAATTGGCTACATGAGAAAGAGGGACGAGTCGTCGTGGTACACTGCAAAGCTGGGAAAGGACGATCAGGAACAGCGAGCTGCAGTTACCTCATCAGCGAGGAGGGCTGGACTATGCACAAGGCGCTACAACGCTTCACCGAGCGGCGCATGCGACCAGGCATGGGAAAGGGAGTCAGCATTCCTAGCCAACTACGATGGCTAGGATACGTCGACCGCTGGGCGCAGCATGGCAAGATATACGTGGAGAGGCAGGTCGAAATACTAGAAGTGCACTGCTGGGGCCTGCGAGACGGTGTCAAGATTCAAGTGGAGGGCTTCGTCGAGGATGGCAAGCTGATCAAGAACTTTCACACTTTCACAAGAGAGGAGAGGGAGGTCGTAAGAGGCGAGGTCAAGAAGACTGGCATGGCACAAGCAGTATCCGAGGTCATGTATAAGAACGGACTGGGTGGCTCGGCCAGCAACTCCAGTAAAAAGGATACGAAAGATTCGCCACAGGAAGGTGGGACCGAGGACGTAAGGGACGCCAGCAAGCCCTCGATGGACAAGCAGGCGAGCCCCAACGGCGCTGTGTCGAGACGCAGTTCGGGCGAGAGCCTCCCTACAGGTACTGGCGACGTTGTCTTTCGACCCTCAAAGCGTGTCGTTCTACCTACAAATGACATCAATATTGACGTTGAGCGCCGCAACCATGCCGCCTTTGACCTCACTATGGTTACAGCCGTTGCCCACGTATGGTTCAACGCCTTCTTCGAAGGCCACGGTCCCGAGCAGGGCGGGATTGGTGACGACTCTGGCGTCTTTGAGATTGAGTGGTTAGCCATGGACGGTATCAAAGGCTCATCGCGGAAAGGCACCCAGGCCTTCGAGCGAATCGCAATAGTGTGGCGCACACTCGGCATCGACGAAGGATCGACTGGAAAGATCATCACCGAGCCAAAAGAAGGTGAGGAAGTGCGGCAAACAGGTCCAGTGGACTGGAAGGGTACCAAAGGCGTGGAGCCAAGCGAAGACAAGGACCTGGGTCTCCGCAAAGCAAGCCCGCCCAATTCGACCACAAACGTCAGCAAAGCCAACAGCATTCGCGACGAAAATGAGCAGAACAAGCCTTTTGTTACAGTACCAGGGCGACGAGATAGCGGCGATAGTGATACAAGACATGTTCGACCGCATGGCCCGAATGGCGAAACAACCATCCAAGATCCGATTGTAGACACCAGCGGAAGCGGAAGCGGATCGGGGAATTTTGCATTGCCAAGCCAGGTTGACGGCACGAATGCAGACTTGCGATCACAAGAGCAGGCCATCGAGTCTCACAAGAGCGGGGGTCATTTTGGGGGGACAGTACAAGACCTGAAATATCATGTTTCGGGCGCCGCTTCGACAAGTGACTTGCCCGATGGACGACCAGAAAATGAAATGAAGGATGCGAAAGACCATGGTCTCGGGCATCTGACCTTGGGTAAGAAGAAGACAAGCTCGTAGTGAGCCGAGCCACTCGTAGACAACTATGCAACTACGCGAGGACCCCACGTAGGTAGCATGGCAATGTGCAATACGGGTCGAGGACGCAATGCGAAGGTTCCGGATTAGAGTATCACATGGTTGCACGACGCATTGGCTTTTGAGCATGGAATTACAGGCTTTGGATCTTGTCACTGGTTGCTCTTCTTGCTTTTGTTTGTACATAGATATACCACTTTGTTCTTGTTGAGATTTCCAGGCGTGAATTCCCGCTAGACTTGAGCTCACTACGAGCTCTTTCGTGGAATACAGCTGTCCTGATCGTGCTTAATTCGTTCAATCCATCTATATCTTACCCCACAACCTCACCGATACGCGTTGTTTGTGCTCGTGAGCACGGGCCACCAGCACCACTCGGGTCTGACTATCAGGACACACGAACGACTGCGACCGGTGCTGTGCTCACATGCACGGGTCAGCTCGCCTCCTAACGGAAATAGAGCATGACGAAGCATGTGAGCTTATGCGCTGGTTGTCTCAATGCTTGGAAGACATGGCTGTATGACGGTGGGTGAGGGGTGCAGGGCGACGTCTCAAGTCGACGATGTATAAGAGGAGGAACGCGACTCTGACATCCGATCTGACTTTCTCAGCTTTGGGTACGAGTGTCGGTACCCTGAAACACGAAGTGATAGATCTTGCGATCAACAAGGCAGCGACTCTGACGTGTGCATACCTGCAAGGCTGAAAGGAGGCTGAGTGTTGAGGCGTCTTCACATTGGACACTTGTTCACCGGTCAACGACTAGTTACCTCACTCGACTCTGGCATCCAGATCCACCGATGGTCGTCAAACCTATTTGTTGTTTTCTTATTTGCTGTTACGACGGTAATAGCTAGGCAGCAACAAAGCAGCTGGTAAGTATGTGCATGACCCAGGACTTCAAGTGCGTGCACTAATGCATTTGATAGGTGGACGCTTGGAACGCGTTTTGCCCAAACGAGAGGGTACTGTTCTAAACAGACCGGTATTTCGGGGTCATCGATAGAACTACGACAAGAGTAAAAACAGGGTCCAACAGAAGGGCGGGGCATTCCTCTGGTTGCAGGTGAAAAGCTGGAGCCTTCAACAAGCGTGGGCTGAGCGATCTGATTAGCGACGCTATGTGGATAGAGAAGCAAGGCTGCAATTAGACGTCCTATGCGGCTCTATTCTTGAGCGTATAAAGGTTCGTGGGAACATTTTCATCATATTTCGTTTCTGTATCGGTCCCTATTCATCTCCCAACACTTCTTTGGAGTATCATATTATTGTTCTATCATCTTATCAGTTGATCATATCCCCCTCGCCAGAGAGTTGAGCAAGACCGTATCAACAGTTAAAGATAGGCAGCATTCCCCTCGGGCTCCTGACCAATGAACAAACAAGTCAATTCAGAATCATCTCCCGGGACCTGTCCTTTACCTCCCCCAGCCAACAAGAAGCTGTCCGATACGTCTTCTTCTTCGCCAGTCATTATTCCTACACCGTCCGTGACCTCTGAGCCGGAACACATCTCCCTTGAAGAGGAGTCGAAGATGGATTCCTCTGAAAGCAAAGATGTCCAAGTGGATGAAGAAAAACGAGCGGTACCACAGGCAACTGTCGGTGTAGTCATCGACGTGGCGGCCGACAAGAAGACCAAGCAATCTTCGAAGGAAAAAGAACGTCAAATTCAAAACAGCGGTAGCTCAGACGACAGCGATGCAGATTCCGAATCGGAAGATAGTGACGAGGATGAGAAGGCCAAGCGGAAGAGGAAGAAGAAGCTAGCTGCTAAACGCGCTGCGGCCAAGGCGAAGCAGAAGGCCAAGGCGAAAAGTAGAAAAGGGAAGGGTAAGAAACACGACTCTGCGGATGAAGAGTCGAGTGACATGTCCTCAGATCAGGGCTCGCAATCGGACCTTGATAAAAAGAAGAGAAGGAAGCGAAAGGATTTGCGAGCCAAGGCTAAGAAAAAGGGCAAAAGCTACGATAGTTCGAGCGGCGACAGCAACTCTGACTTGCCTTCGAGCACAACCAGTAGCAGTTCAGACTCTGACAATAAGAAGTCAAAGCACAAGCGTGAAAAGGCCAAGCAAAAGAACAAGAAGTCGAAGATCTCAGACGACTCATCCTCGTCATCCAGTGACTCATCAACGGAAGAAGACGCTGTAGAAACGACTACCGAGGCAGCTCTTCTATCTGCTGTAGAGGAAGATATCGAGACACAGGTTACAAACGTGAACAATTTGCTCAACGCCCTCAAACTCAAACAGGCGACTGATGCTGCTGCCGCCGCAGCCGCCGCCGTCACAACTACACTGCTTCCCAAGGCAGTGAAGAAGAACGCCCACGAGTTCAAGCGTATCAACCAAGTCTGGGACACACAAATCCACGATTACAAGCTGGTCGAGAGCACGACTGAGCAGAAAGATGAATTTGACTGTGTGTTCACCGTGCGACGACGTTTTGACTGGGATGGCAAACACCGCGAGACACAAGTCGACATCAAGTCGAAGGTTCTCCGAAACGTACTCCAGGAAGTGCTGAAAGAATGCAAGAGCATCAGCTTAGTTGAGGAGACGCCACATATTGACCCTCACACCCTCTTCCACTACTACGACGAGCTGGAGGCACATGTCAAGAAGACGTTGAAACCGAAGCTCAAGCGTGCAAAAAGGTCGAAGGAGAAAAAGCAGCTTAAGCAACAAATTGCTCAGTGCAAGCTTCTCCTGGGCTACATCGACGAGGACTATGCTAAAACGCGAAAGGCATTGAAGCCTATGCTCAAAGCGGGAACGATCACCTATGACCTATGCTGGGCACTGTTCAAACCAAACACGATTGCATTCACGCCTACCTACGGTAACAAAGACGATGCGCGGTGCTTTAAAGTCGACTTTGCGTACGAGTATGAGAGTTGGCTGAGTGGTGCAAAGTCGTGGTATGTCAACGGTCGGTATCTGGAATATGACGGTAAGGTCTTTGGGCTGGGCGACCACGAAGTGCAGATTCCAGCGTTCAAGGGCCACAAGAAGATTACCAGTCTGGCAGCATATCCACTGAAGTATCACAGAGACCCTGAGGTAAGTTCCGTTCGATAGGATTTCACAAAAGCGCACTCGACAGGAACTGATTCTTTTGCAGGGCATCAAGAAGCGACTCATTGAACGGGGTATAAAATTTGTCGGTCTACAAGGCATGAATTACCGCCTGCAGAAAGGCATTGCATACCAGAAGGTGAAGAACACAATCGCCAAATTCAACATCAATGGCCGCGTCATGGTCGATCCAGCTATCTTCCGGCGGATCAATCCTAACTATCCGCTCTCATACATCAAGCAAGATGAACTAAAGCAGGATGATGAAAACGACAAGGACGAGGATGAAGATGATGACGAGGATGATTGTTGCTGCGCAGGCTCAGACGAGAATGAGGGCTCCGATACGGAGAAAGACAAACTGCGCACCGTCATGTGGAAAGACCACAAAGGCAAGAGACATCCTATTCGTGTCCTTCAGAGCACAATAGATCAGGAGACTGGCGCAAATGCCGCCTCGAAACTCGACGACGAAAATGACACGTCAGACAAGAACCATGTTTTCACTGAAGAAGAGCTTCTCATCGCCTCTCCTGTCGTGCTTGGCTTTGCCTTCTCCGAAAAGCTCTGGCTCGAGATCTCCCTCTCTGGCATCGAAGAGATCAACTGGAATGCGGAAGCTTTCGACTCTCTGGTTTTGCCAGATCGCATCAAACAGAATCTGAAGGGCCTTGTTTCGTCGCATCGCTTCAACGCCGCGAGAACGATCGACGACGTCATCCAAGGCAAAGGCAAGGGCTTGAATGTTGTACTTCATGGTCCACCCGGTGTTGGCAAGACACTGACCGGCGAGTCCATCGCGGAGTACCTCAAGTGTCCTCTCTACTCTGTTTCAGCCGGTGAACTTGGCACCAACAGCCGCTCCCTAGAAACTGACCTAAATCGTATCATGGACGTCACACACTCCTGGGGTGCCATTCTTCTCCTCGATGAAGCTGACGTATTTCTCGAGGCGCGACAACCTCACGACATCCATCGCAATAGTTTGGTATCGGTCTTCCTCCGATTGACGGAATACTACCAAGGTATCCTGTTCTTGACAACGAACCGCGTAGAGACGTTCGACGAAGCGTTCCAGAGCCGCATTCACATGGGCATCCGGTACGAGAATCTGCAACCCAAGGCGAGGAAGAAGATCTGGCAGCACCATGTGGGTAAAGTGGAGGCGATGAGCGCCAAAGAGGAGAAGAGTGAAAGTGTGGTGAAGCCATTCAAGGAGGTTGACTTTGACGAGCTGAGTAAGCGAAACATGAATGGACGACAGGTATGTGCAATGCTGTTCTTTGGTAACACGCGTTTTGCAACAACGACAATTAACAGTAACACAGATCAAAAATACCGTCAAAACGAGTCAATCAATCGCGCTTTCCGAGAAAGAAAAGTTCAGTATGCAGCACATCAAACGCGTGCTCGAGGTCGCCGAGGCCTTTGAAGACGATATGCGAGGCGGAAAGGGCTATCGCGACGCGATGAGACAGTACATGTAGGACATTGCCGGTTCAATCAATGAACTTGAGGAGCGCCTTCAAGTAGCTGGCGTGCATATGGAATCAGGTCGACGTGGTGCGATTGTCAGTCACAAACTGAATGAAAGGACGAGCGCAGTGCAGTGTGTTCCAAAAGTGGGGTTTGCGTTGGTTCTGCAGGCGTTTCGCTTCAGGGTTAAGCTGGGCATAATACTGTGGTATATCAGCAACCTACATCATCTCATCTCATCTCATACGTAGATCTCCCAACTCATAATGTTGTATTAAAGCATTTCATCTCTCCAGGCGTCTTTCTAGTCACTCTAAAGATATTCATCAGTTCATGTAAATTGAACACACACCTCATGTGGGCAGTCTCCAACTCACAGATCTGTGGTGCAACTATTTGAGTATTTTGACCCGTTCTCGTTCACACACCTATGATATCATCGACGTTTACTCTCAAGATGTGCATGCCAGGTAGAGGCAGAATTCAGCCGTCCATATCTCACTTCGACTATCGAATCTCACTCGCTCTTTCTTCCATGGCAGTTCAACTCCAGGCGATGGTTGCAATCAAGGCTAAGTCTCTCTTTTGCTATGTTGCAAATTCAGTCTTACGTCGAGCCTAGATCTCAATAAGCACATCTTGACCTTTAACTAACTCACATATCAATACCACAATTTCGGTCCAACGGATAAGAACACTGATATGCCATCTACTTTGAGTGTAAACCAGTGAAGCTACTCCAACCAAAATCGACTGCGATGGCATAGTTTGACCGAATATTGTCACCAAAAGGCGGCTTGGACTCTCAATCCCTGATCTTTTCTGATACCCAAAACACATGCCCGATTGTAGCTTGCATTAGTTGAAGTACGATTTGGGTATTAAACCTCGTCGGTAATGGGATCCTGCCTGATGTCGAATGGATGGATAGCCGTTGCTATCTAGGTAATGCCCACGTCGAGGTTCACTGCGCTGACGTAGGAACGGAGACTAGCGGCTGACTTAGTGCTCTAGATCGCTGGACACCAACTGCCGAGGCGTGGCTTTAAGGATCGCCACATCCCCACCTACCGTTCGGAACTCTGGGAACAACCTCCACTCCCACTTATTCCCGCCATCCCCACGACGCATCCGCGTGGCGTACATGCAACCCCGTGTCGCGTCGACCACATCATTACTGAAAACTAACATCGGGTTTCCCGACGGCACGCAAGCTGGGCAATGAACTTCAAGGCTGAAACATCAACAAGTCCTGATCCGTCCTCAAGCGCGACGCAAGGATCAGAGCCGCCCAAGAAGAAGCAAAAGAGGAACAAACCGACGCTGAGTTGCGAGGAGTGCGTCGAGCGCAAGACCAAGGTGAGCGCATGCACTTGCATCGGCGATGATTGATATTGCGATGCTGAACCTGCCTCGAGAGCCGAACGAACGGGAACAAGAGCTGAACACGTGGGCAGTGCGACCGTAGTCGGCCGAATTGCATCGCGTGCATCAAGCGACAGTCGACATGCAAATACTCGGAAATCGCGAATTTGATTGCGTCGTCGTCTGCTGACACGTGAGTCGCGCCCGTACATGGCTTGTACCTAGGCAGTTGCTAAGTGACATTCAGACTCGGCGCTGCGCCCAACACGGGACGGTCTAGAAAACAGCTGAACAAACCCACGCTTGGCAACGAGTCACAGCCACATGCGCTTCCTGGTCAAGTAAGGGCTCTTTTTATCCTGGTTGTGTTTATTTGATGCGACGCCACGAACAGGTGTTCACCCGCGTCGACTTACTCGAATGATAGACGTCGTAAAGGATGACCCTAGTGTATGCTGACCCAAACGCCAGGTTCACGTGCAGTCACCCCCGAACCCCGTGAGGAATCACCAATATCGGAGCGTGTCCTTGTCTTCGTCCGGATCCTCGCCATTTCTGCTTTCCAACATTCCGTACTCAAACCACACGCCTGCACCCTACTTTGGCCTTGGTGCAGAGCATCCTTTTGCCAACTATTGGACCAGTAGAGGTGGCCTCGCCGAGGTCATCGGAGTACTACCGGCCAGAGAACAGGCAGACATTCTTGTAGATAAGTATTTCGATGCCGTTGACCCAGTGTATCCCATGATACACAAGAGGAACTTCTATGCCGACTATGAGCGATTTTGGTCGCTACCGCCAGATGAGAAGCAAGTAGCAGACCCAGTGTTGGTCGCCCTGCATTTCGTCGTGTATGCAATGGGCACTCAGTTTATCCATACGCCGTCAAATCAAGAGCGAACACAAATTGCCGAATTCTATATCTCAGCAGCACAGCAAGCTCTTCGGTTATCATCTTACCTGAGCAAGGCTTCAGTCAGGACATTGCAGGCCATGGTACTGATCAGCTACTTCCTCATGAATGATAATCACGCTTCAGATGCGTGGTCTTTCGGCGGCGTGCTCGTGCGACAAGCATACGCCATGGGCCTAAACCGCGACCCTGACATCATCGCGCCTCGCTGTTCTCGAAGCGACAAACAACAGCGACGGAAGCTCTGGCAAGCTGTGTTCTTCCAGGATACATTTCTCACGGTACTACTCAAGCTCCCACCAACAGCAAACATCTCCGACATCCGGCCAGAGTCTCTGAGCGACGAGCTTGACGATTACATGCCGAACAGTTCATCCACAAACGGTAGCACGGATCCCATCATCAATCCCATGAGCATCAGTAATATTGCGTCGATCACTGATGTTTATCCTCCCTATGAGCTCTCGGATCGCAGGTATATTCGCTCTATGTGGCACCTGGCCAACCTCGTCTGCCGCACGGTCTGCACACCACGTTCACTAGCATCACCACTCACCACCTCAGTCGCTCATAAAATCCAACTCGTCGGCGAATACTTTGCACTACATAGCACCTTCCCTAGCGAGCTAACCGCGTCAGATGACGACACAATACAAAGCATGGCGAAAACGACTCTGCGGTCACTGCGCCAGAACCTCTTCTTTCGAAGCAACTTCTGGCACTGCGTCATGGTCATCCAATCGGACGAGAACGTTGCTGAGGGCGTGTCGTGCGATGTGAAAGGGGCGCTTGAGGCGGCAAGGATGGGCGTGCAAGCCTTCTTCCACTTTTGGGAGTACTTGAGAATCGACGCGAGCGTGTGGTGGGTGTTTCAGCATCGGGCGTTCGAAGAAGCTGTAGGTCTCCCGTTTACTATTCACGAGAGGAATCGTCGATCATTGTTTGAACCTTAATTGACAAGTCATCAGCTTCTCATGGCACGTATTCTCGCCCAGCAAGAACAACCACTCTCGTCCAAACACCACGGCATGCCGCCCTCGGCCGATCCACTCCTCCAACTCGCAAAGGAGGATGTGCGCAAGTGCCTGAACATCTTAGATTCTGTGGGCATAGCGCCCGAGATGCAGAAAACAAGGACGGAGGTACTTAGGACGGCTTTCGCAGATATCATGTGGTAGCCGTGGTTTAACCGGACTATGTGTGATTCCGCGTTGATGCGTACTGCTTCAATTCTGATGTAGAATATCTTTAGACATACTAGTGCTAATACCATTCATGTAAAGAAGGTGATAGCGGTCCATTACCATTAAGCCGCTGCTGTTGTCATACGCGTCAACAAATTGAAGGTTTTCAGATCATCTACATACTTACAACGACTCACCTGACACCCGTAACAACGCATAGATATGTGTCAGAGTCCGATGTACGCGGCTCTTACAAAGCACCAGCTGTAGCCCTTCCACTATTGGTACGCGAAACCGAGCCAGTCCATCTCCAGCATAGTGCACATATCCAAATCTGACTCAGCCTGCTCAGTCTCCAAGCACGACCCTGCACCTCGTTCATCCCACCCTGTGTTGAGGTTCGAAATCAACGAAGCATCCTTGTAGCTGCATCAGAGATCTGGCTACAAAGTGAGTCATCTCCAGGTAACGCTATAAAAGCTCACTGGTTGGACCATACTGATGCGAGCATGCAAGGTTGGAAGAACGCGGACGCGCCTGTCTCGGCGAAAATTGACGACGTACTCAGTGATTGATAATCGGTAGACTGAAGAGGTGAGGACATACGTGCTGTGGAATGAGTCGACGATGGTATAAAAGTAACAATATCTCGTGGATTTGTTTGACATATAACGCTACGCTTCTATCCATCCATCCACCAGAAACCACGGTTAGACTACTATACCAGATTCCGCAAGCGTTCTTCACAATTCTGTGACGCCGGTCTCTCTGTCTACCACTTCCATAAAGATTCTCACACAGGTCACATCTCCCACGATGTCCCCACCATCGCTCACAAATATGAGCACACGCTCTTCAAACGACGTCGTTTCGCTCAAGTCAATATCAATAAGTGCGTCCAAGACGTCGCTCTTTCGATCCCTCTTCCCATCAAAGCAACCGAAAAAGCCAGCTGAGGAGAAGAGTGCAGAGACGCCGGCTATGAAGAGTGAGAGGAGGCTTGTCGAGGCAGAGGCTAGGCATGCTTATGCTGTTTATCGGTAGCTAGGGTGTAAGAGGTGCGTGGAAAGATGTCGACCTTTTTTCTAAAGAAAATCCCTCCCTGGGTTTCCGTAGGGGCAGGGCGTTCCAGAAAGCGGTATATAAAAGAATTTCTCGATTAGCCAACGCGGGGATATATAATTCTCTGCCATGCCCAACCTAAGATCCTCAACCGTCGTCCTCCTCGTCTCCATCTTCCACATCTTCATCCTCCACCTCCCCACCTCCCCCCTCCTGCCCTTCACCTTCACCTTCCATCTCCACATCCTCTCCCCACCGCAACG